AAAAGTATTTTCATGTACTTTTCGCAGTAGAATATATTTCCGGCAGCAAATTAGAATTCATCGTAGCGTAGAACATAAAAGAACGATTGCGTGACTCTCTTTGAGAGATGATTGCATCGATTCAGGAACTTGTTTTAAATACCGGAACAAATTGTAAAGCGTAAATCGAAATTATCTCGTTAATTCACAATTTTATAAAGCGCGAATTTTCCTTCCAAATTGGTATATATGTATATTGTATAAGTACACATATTATATTGTATAAGTACACATATTATATATTTTATTTTCCAAATTAGTAGAGATACACTTGCATTAGAAAATTATGTACCAATTTTTCGCAAATAATTGTAAAAATATGAGTAGATATACACATATGCGGATATATGTATATATAGATTACTTGATTAATTTTTTTATAAAAACTGTACAGCGGATTATTCTAAAACTTTTAGACATTTATTATTAAATACTTATAAATACAAAAAAAATTTTAGGTAAAAATATGGTCTGTACAAGTCGCTCTATAAAAATCGTGCAGTTTCATCACCGAAGTTGCAAATTTGCGAGCATTCTCATATCTTCACACCTCGTTTGAAATTAAAAAACTAAAAATTGTCTTATTATAGAAAATTATATCGTCAATAATAGTACATATTTACAGTCCATATTTTTAACTAAAAATATTTTTTATACTTGTAAATATTTAATAACAAATATATAAAAGTTTCGAATGATTCGCTGTAAAGCTTTTCCAAAAAAAATTCTCAAAGATTAATCTTATTTTTAGTTCTCTATAGTACGATTTTCAGGTACATTTTTTTACTTATTTATGCAAAAAAATTGTTGAAATTAATTTTTTAATTAAAATATACGTTAAAGGTCTTTACAGTCCATATTTTTAATTTAAAAAAAAATTGTATACTTGTAAATATTTAATAATAGATGCTTAAAAGTTTCGGAATAATTCGCTGTAAAGTTTAAAAAAATTCTCAAAAATCGATCTTAGTTTTGGTTCTCTAAAGCAAAGGATGTTTCCTTTAAAGAAGACTAACAATGGCCTGGATGTCGCTAGAATCGTCGGGAATATTCGCTTGACATATCTTAAATAATAATGAGTAAAGACCAGCGACGATTACGTAACGAGGCTTTTTATAGTCAGGACGCAACCTAGGACGCAATGACATTATGAATGCTCGACGTCACTCGCGGTTCCGGAGTGTCATCGCAATATGACTTTTCACTCACGAAATATATTCCGCTTCGCCCGTCGCAAAATTCTTCCTTTAGTTTGATGCAATCGAAACATTTCAAGAGACAAGATAAAAATAATTTGAGTATTTCTTTGTATTTATTTCCCGAGTTTTTTAGCAACATCCGGTCGCAGATAAATAAAGGAATTTTTATAAAGAACACTTTCCAATTTTTTAAGAATTTTTAAAAGTCTTAGTCTCTTTGATATTTTAAGCATATGTTTCTCACACGATAGTCTCATAAGATTAAATTTCTTTTATAAACTTTCCTTACTGGTATTTGCTATTATAAGATCGCTATCAAATATTTGAAATTCATAGCGATACGTAAATCGATAAGAGACGGCGGAAATATAATGGTCGAGCCATAAAGCTAATGGCGGAAAAGTAACAGGAATTTAAGAGAGACTGTAAAGGCTGTAAAAGTGTAAAAACTTGTTCCGAGTAAAAGATCAGGTCTTTGGTTGACTCGGATCGCAAAAGTCGAACCTGAAGAATCGTGCGAGAAAATTATAAAACCCGCAATTAAGACGCAGTAAAAGCTATCTGAATTTTTGTCAGATGAAACGTGAAAAACGGATACACTGAAAAAAATTATTAAATTAATAAGTATTTATTTCAATACAGCCTAATAAATAATTTATTTGATACTAATAAATATTTTTCACATCAAATCAATATTATTAGTTTCAAATAAACGATTTATTAGGCATAGCATTGAAATAATTATTTATTCGAATTCAATAAATTTTTTTCAGTGTATAAAAAATTAATTTTTGTTCTCCTGAATGCAATATTTATTTAAAATGTTGCGTTACGTTGGTATAAGTATAAATGGATAATATAACAGATTATGTATACTGGTATATACATGTACAATGAAATATGAATATTGTATGTGAGTCATTGACGTCATAAGCGGTCTCTTTCAACTTGGAGAGAATCATCTCTTTATAGCGTAGAACCACGTTTTTCGGAGTAAATGATGTTTGAAAATTATCCTAAGAGGTGTGAGTGCAAATAGAAAACTGGGGCCGTTAGAAATCTCTGTTTACATTTATATAGCTTGACATATCGGATGATACGTACATTTTTTTTGCTTTCTAAATATTTCGTCCCTCGGAAGATACCGGAAATACTGGAGAGATGCCTTTCGAAACATCCTCTCGATATATGGGTTATTCGCAGACAAGCTCAATGAAAGTATTTCATACTTCCTATATCATCTTCATGGTTATATAATGCCGTATTATCTTCTCTTCGATTCGAGTTTTACTATATAATTCTTACTAGATTATAGAGATAGAAAATATTGATATTTCATATTTTATATAACAATTTTTTATTTTTTTTTTCTCTCAATACAGATATGAAATAAGTTTGAGAGGATAAGTTTCATGCAAATATATAAGCTACAATAATTATAAGGAAATATAAGACACACATTTTGGCTCTCTCTAATAACGTTTTAATTATTACGTTATTAATTTTAAGGTAAATATATTGAAGACAATTGAAGAGTTTAAGAAAGTCTCGAGATTTCTAAATTTTTTTTATATTCGCAAGACAATTTGAGTCGGTTCCTTTCAGCCACGGGCGAAAATGCGTATCAGATCGAAAGCGTATATCCTAGGAGCGCTTCCGATGCTCCGGGATCACTTTCGTGTCTGGATTCGAAAATCTGGAGCAGCAGTGAGTGACCGTGAGTGATTTACGAACCGGACGGGCGAGAAACGCGCTGTATTATATACCTCGCGGGTTTCATGCGAGAACTCTCTAGCGACGAGGAACCGACGACGAAGGGGAATTCACTTTCATCCGCGAGTTGAGAGACGCGACGTGTTAAACGGATATACGCACTTAACGCGGTTTAACGCCTATCGTTAACTCGGTAAAGGCTGCTCGGGGACGAAAAGTCCTCGACGGTTTCTGCTTTTTCCGAGATATATCCGTAAGATACAGTTTTCCCTTCCCGGAAATGGGAAGAGAAGAAGAGCCGTTTTGCCGGCACTTTCGCTATCGCCTCAACTCGTGGAATCTCGCGAATGGTGCCTCGTTAGATCTAATTTTCTCGGCTCGGACGATTGTCTTGGCGATAAAAAAGCGGAAAATACACTCGCGCAGTCGTATGTGCGCGAAACCGTTCCTCCTCGATACGCTTTCTCCGAACGTCATTGGAAGAAGAAGTTGGAAGCTTCGGCGCAAAACAGAGCGATCCAACAAACAACACCGAGTCCAAAATAGCTTTAAGAAATCTTATGATATTAAAAAGAGAGATCTTGAAGATATCTTTGCGTCAATTTTGAACTTGGTGCTGTCTGGGATCGAGTACAGTTAAGGGTTTCAAGGGTCCCGTTACTCTTGCCTTACAGGACTTGATTGACTCTTCTTTAAATTCAATTTTATGTGACTCTTTGATCTCCTGTCCCAACCGATTTCATTGTGATTAATCAGATTTATTTCCTTTTGCTTTGAAAATTATCAAGTTATTTAAGATTACAAGGATACATCCAAGAGGTTTTTGAATCTTTTAATTTGTCTCTTTTTTTCAAATTAATATTTGATATTAATATCTCGGTGGGTTCTTTATTTTTTTATTGACGGTTTTTTATCTTCACGAAATGGAAAACTTCAAAACCTACTTGAAATCGCGGATTCTATTTATCTAGGATTCATGAGGATTTCAAGAGTAAAGGTCCCATTACTCTTGCCTTACAGGACCTGACTGATTCTTCTTCAAGTGGCCGATTTTATGTGACTCTCCTTGATCAATTCCAACCGATTTCATTGCGATTAATAGCATCAGATTTATTTTCTTTCTCTTTGAAAATTATCAAGATTATAAAAGAATACATCTATATCAAAAAGTTTTGGAATCTCTTTTAATTCTTCTCTTTTTTTTTAAATTAATATTTGATATTAATGTCTCGGTGGTTCTTTATTTTTTTTATTGATGATCTTCACGAAATGGAAGATTTTAAAACCTACTTGGAATCGCGGATTCCGATCATCTAGGATTTGAAAGTACACGTATCAAATTATACATAGAATTATACGGAGGTATAATATCGAATTATTATGAATAATTTGCTGCGTTTTCTTTTATATATATATATATATATATATTGTTTCCACCAAAAAAATATTATATCAGGAAACGGACAGCTCGCAACTTTCGCGCGGCAAATCTATAATGAGGGACAGCGACCGGGTCAGGTTCAATAAAACCGAGAAACTTGATATTCGATGAAAGGCGATCGAACGGCACGTTCGCTCTCTTTTTTTCTCTCTCTCTTTCTGGGCAATATCGATATAATCCAGAGCGATCGGTGTAACCTTGTCGCGGGTAACCTTGCGAGAGCTTGAACTTCACCGTTGAGAGGGACGCGCTCGAATAAGACCGGGGGTCGTTCTGCTCGTTCGACCGGATCGCGTGCTCTCGATCACTTTCTCCGACGATATACGGCTGGCTTCGACGGAGGTCCGGTCGTACCGGAAGTGGGGGTCTCTCGACGCGGGAGAGAAAGAAAGAATGGCGTTGGGAGGGAAAGGTTCTTTTATCCACGGAGAGGCCCGGGGGCCCCAAATCGACGAGACCATATACGTGGTGTCGGTGCTATTACCACCTTCCCCGATGGAATTCCCCGATTTCCACCACTCAAGGCCGGATGGACCACCTCCATCGGCCAACGTCGCCCATCACCACCAGCCCGTTCGCGGGTTTCTTCCTCGCCCGCTTCGAGCGAGGACTGCCTTGGCGATATGCCTTCGGGGGAGGATACGCGCCTATATAACTACGGCGTTCCGGTGATTGAACGAAGTAAGCTAAGTTTTCCTGCGCTCAGGGTACAGGAGGTACGGCGGCCCGAGCCCGACGGGCGGGAATTTGCGAGAAATATGAGGATACGCCCGGGATGCGCGGTCAGTTGTTCTTCATTCTTTCATTTCTTACCACAATTTTCTGCAAATTTTCTACCCGGTTGCCGTAGTGTTTTTTTTTTCGCGCGTGTCGATTTTAAAGAAAATAAGACAAACAGAAGGATAGAAGCCAGAAGGCAATATTGAAAGATTTTTTCAGAGTGCTCTGATTCTCTTCGAGTCCACTTCTTTCTTCTATGTGAATTATTCAGTTGTGAATGGACGTGGTGTTTCTGGCGAACGTCAGTTCGTTTTTAATTGGATATGTCGATTTTTTTTTAAATTTTACTACGCACGAATCGTCACGATCGAACAGAGAGATATTTGTTCACAAGCATGCGTCGATATTTTGATTGTACCTCTTTGAATTGATCACTTTATCAACTTTATTTATAGGCTGTATTAGCGCTGCTACTGCAGGCCGCTCTTGTGGCGAGCAAAGCTGTAGATCAAACGCAGCTTCCACAACATCAGACTCCGTACGTATATTATGAGTTATTTTATTTATGACAATATAAATGGTATATATGATGATTTACATGACAAAATTTAATTATAATTTTTCTCGTCCTTGTATTTGTTCCATATTTATCGATAGTCTATATTTTATCTGGATCTTTATATTTTATTTCAATGATTATTGAAATAAAATATAGAGAAATTTAAATGTTCACAATGTCATAAATATTTTTCACTCGTTAGTCATAATTCCAAGAAATTATTCTACGTACTATAAAGATTAAAAAAGACACTTCAAGTACCTAGGCTTATTCTGTTTAATCGTGCGATATTACTTGCCATAGATACGTTAAAGAGGCGCAAAAACGATGGGGCGATTCCGGTGGCGATTACGGTAACGGATTTGGAGGTGGTGATGCTGGAGGCCACTTCGGTGGTGGAGACGCTGGAGGCCACTTCGGTGGTGGAGACGCTGGAGGTCACTTCGGTGGCGGTGATGCTGGAGGCCACTTCGGTGGTGGAGACGCTGGAGGCCACTTCGGTGGTGGAGACATTGGAGGCCACTTCGGTGGTGGAGACGCTGGAGGCCACTTTGGTGGCGGTGACGCTGGAGGCCACTTTGGTGGCGGTGACGCTGGAGGTCATTTTGGCGGCGGTGATGCAGGAGGTCATTTCGGTGGCGGTGATGCCGGAGGCCATTTTGGCGGTGGTGGCGATGCCGGAGGTCATTTTGGGGGTGGCGGTGACCTTGGAGGTCATTCGGGCGGTGATATCGGTGGAGGTGACTTTGGAGGTGACATTGGTGGTCATTCAAGTGGCGGCGGCGGTGACATCGGCGGCGGAGGAGGAGGTGGCGACCATCATCATCACGATGAAGGCTACTGGAAGAAAAAATTAGTGTGGAAGCCGGGCTGGAAGAAGATTTGGAAACCGGCGAAGAAGCAAATCTGGAAGCCCGCGTGGAAGAAGATCTGGAAGCCTATTTGGGTGCCGACGCAGAAAGCGGTGTGGAAGGAGATTCAAGTACCAGCCTGGAAGAAGATCTGGAAGCCCGTGTGGAAGGAGATTCAAGTGCCGGTGTGGAAGGAGATAAAAGTGCCAGCCTGGAAGCAAATTTGGAAGCCGATCTGGACCCCGATCAAGGTACCAGCTTGGAAAGAGATTCAAGTACCGGCGTGGAAGAAGATCTGGAAGCCAGTTTGGAAGGAGATTCAGGTACCGGCGTGGAAGGAGATTCAAGTACCCGCTTGGAAGAAACTTTGGGTCCCCGAATGGGTTAAAATTGGTATACCGGGTAATCATTATCACGGTAAGGATCATCACGGTTGGGAATATACCAGCCACGATCTTTGGAAGAAGAAGTTGATTTGGAAGCCGGTGTGGAAGAAATACTGGAAAACGGCGAAGAAACAGATTTGGGTATCGGACAAGAAACTCGAGTGGAAGGAGGCCTGGAAGCAAGTGTGGAAACCAGCGAAGAAGCAGATCTGGGTAGAAGACAAGAAGATGAGTTGGAAGGCGGAGTGGATACAAATCTGGAAGCCAGGTAAGAAACTCATCTGGGTACCTGACAAGAAGCTCGAGTGGAAGGAAGCTTGGAAACAAATCTGGAAAACCGACAAGAAACTTGAATGGATACCCGACAAGAAGCTCGCTTGGAAGGAAGCCTGGAAGCAGATCTGGGTGCCAGCTTGGAAGGAAATCTGGGTACCGGCATGGAAGAAGATTTGGAAACCGGTCTGGATATCCGAATGGTTCCCCAACGAGGATCATCATCATCACCACGGATGGGATCGCAAGGACTCGCAGGCTCAGAATACGCAACTTGTACCTTACAGCCCGGAAGCCGCTCCGCAGAAGAGGCAATCGCAGCAGCCACAACAACAGCAACAACAACAGCAACAGCCAGTGCAGCAACAACAGCAACAGCCAGTGCAGCAACAAACGGACACAAACAAAATCAGATGGGACAGATCTTTTCAAGCAAATCCGACAGTCTCGCAGAACCTGGTACCACCGCCGGCTAATCAAAACGGAGTTCAAGCCGGCTTCGCGTTCTCTGGTCGCTGAGATGAAGCTGGATTGAGCTCCGTGTAAAATAATCTCGCACTGTAATCCCTGAAAATGCTTGTACAAACGTTTCTATGAGAGAGTGCTGTAACATAAGCCGCTGTATATATTACGTTTTAGGAGAGATTAAGATAAGTAGCATATAAAACATTAAGTTACCCGAAATTGTTCGACTGACTTGCGTACTTTTCGAGAGTACCAATTTTTTTGAGATGCGTTATAACCTTTATTTTTCCCCTTTCCTTGTTTTCTTTTTATACTCACGTTGTTGTCATCCCAATTGTTAATTCTAATACTGTTACGAATAAAATTTATAAATATTTTGTTAATTTTTTTGACTACCATTATCTCACATTTTCAATCCTCGTATCTTGTGTATAATATATGCACTTTTATTTGATTATTTATACTTTGATTTGATAATAACGGAGCAGATTATTAAATTAAATATACAGAGTATTACAAATCATTTTTTATATATAAATTTTGTTGAATTCGATTTGTTTTTGGCGAAAGTGTCAAAGGAAAGTCAGTTATCGTAAAACATCAATCTTAAACGGAAAATTGAACGTTTTCTCAACGGAGAAAATTTTTGAGATGCTCATTGCGTTTAGTAAATACACAGTTGCATATTCGTCTAGCAAGCGTATATGATTAGTATGCGCTGGCTCTGTTAGATCTAAACGAATTACGTTTACTTTCTAAAAGTCGATTGCTCAATCATTTTGTTCGTTGAAGACACTTAAAAATGAACAAAAAGAATTATTTGTGAAAACAGCACAAATAGTATCATCAATTATACGAGTAAAAATATATATTTAAATTTATAATATTTCTTTAAAAGACTATACAATCCATTATTAAACTAAAGGAAATATTGATGGAGCTTGTCATTTTATATAATTTTATTAAAAAAAAAAAATTGAATCTTTTCAAGCAAAATGATGGATGGGGCCAAAGAGCAAGTCTAGAAATATTTTACTCCGAAGAAAACAAAAATAATATATTTATCTGTTATAAGCTATGTATAATTTATGAAGAGGAAAAAGAGAATAATAGTAATTTAACTTTTAAATGTCAATACATTTATACACGTATAATACATTTCTCATGCAAATTTTATTTACCAAAGAAATATAAGAAGATGATAGATTATTTTTGATGTACATATATACTTAAGCCTTAATTATCTTAATTATAAACGATCTAAAAAAATATCTCTTTAGATGGATTATTTTTAATTCTAATTCTTTTTTTTTCAGAAATGCTATTCAACAATGGGAGTGTTTCAATGTTGACACTTGTGTTTCGGTGAAAGACGGCATTGTTCAAATGGTACATCTAATTTAAAAATGAATCGCCGTCATATCCTGAACTTACCTTGGAGATGATGCAACGCGAATACGCGCACGTATTCCCTGCGAAATTGGAGAAAGTGGAGTCTGCTATGGGAGGCAGGTGACCAGCATGTAGAGGACCTCGACCGTGGAGAAAGTATCGGTGCACCCACACAGCAACATAAATTAATCCATGCCACCGTTACTGTCCGTCTGGATAGGCTACATCGAGTATTGCGCGTCGCAGACTCCCGTTCCACGATTGATGACGGCGAAGACGAGGACGTCGATGAGGAGATTTCACTGGCGCCGAGACCACGGAAGAGTGGATTTTTCTCAGTAGCGTTCTCTATCGTAGATAGAAAAAAAAGAATCAGAGAAATCATGATACGTATGTTTTTTTTCTAATACGAGACACACGAGACCGGAATACAGGAAACATTTTCACTTTTGTCTCGCGTTTACTTTCATTTACTTAATTGCGCGCGGAGATGAGTCTTATCCGAAAGGTCGTACATCCCTTCCGTCATCTTTTCGTTTTAATTTTATGCCTCTTGCAAGGTCTTTAAAAATGTTCAAGTTGAAAAAAATATTCAAACTCATCTTTAAAAAATACTCAAATTTATCTTATATATATATATATATATATATATATATATATATATATATATAAGTTTCCTAGGTGGAATCGCCTTGAAATAAACTACTTTGTCTAGTTGTTTGTTATATAATTGAAAAGATTAAGCAAAAAACTCGTAGTAAATATGGGCGCGTTGTTTATTGTTATATAATTGAAAAAATTAATATTAAATAAATTTATTTGCAATTTTATTTAATATAAAAATATTAAAATAACAATATAAGAAAAAATGATAAAAAATTAAGAAAGCATAATAATAAAAAATAAAAAAATTTTAATTATGTCTCTCCCTGGAAAAAATCCCGCGGACGCCCATGTTTACTACAACTTTTTTGCTTAATTTGTAAAATTATATAACAAACAACTACATAAACATAAGTAATTTATTTCAAGGCGATTCCATCTAGGAAACTTTTCTACGTCGCTTCTGTATATAAAGATAGAGCATTCGTGTGTAAATTATGATCTGTGAGCTGTGACCGATTATCGTGATAATAGTCATTTTACAACACAATAGAAGATTTCTAGACATCTCTCTTTCGTGTATGTGTTTCTCACGATGGAAAGCAATATATTACTTTAATTTTCGCCTGAAATGATAACTGTGAGATAAATTATTTTTAACTTCTAATTGATATTCAAATAATTAAATTTTTAGTATTATTTTTCTTATCTTATACATCTCCTTTAAAAAATGATGTTTTGCTTTCATAATATTATGAGCCGTAATAAATTCTCACGATTCCGTTTAATTTTGGAAGAAAAATTATTGTGCAAATAAATATTTCTTGAAAAATCACAGTTTTACAATATTTTTTATTAGCATTAATCGTTTTATCGAAAGATGATGACGTCGAATCTTAGTTTAAAAAAGAATGATTCACATGTTATGTATCGTATAAAACAGTTTCTAAGTAAGGACATATGTGTAGAAATGTTCCAATCGAACGTGAAAAGATATTTTTGTTCGTGGGGCCACAAAGGGTCACATATTTACATCGTTTTTGTCACCGTACACACATAAATATATACACGAATATATACAAACACATATATATTTTAAGTTTATATATAGGATATACCGCTGCAAGGAGTACCACTGTAGAAGATACAAAGTTGTCAGTATATTTGAAGATGTTATACCTAACTATCTTACTTCTTCTTCTTACGTTTATTTGTCTCTATTGTCTTTATGATTGTGTCAAGCCAAAAAATTATCCACCTGGTAGGTATACTAAATTTAATAACAAACTTATCAGGAAAATACAATTCCTCGAAAATTTTGATTATCTTTTATTAATTATATTATGAAGGCTTATATTCATCATATGTTTATATGTACAGTGTCTGTGATTTACTAATATAATATAATTAATTTATTAGTAAACGATTAATATAATTAATTTATTAATCATACAGGTCCGGCATGGCTACCATTCTTAGGATGTCTCATAAAATTTATGCGATTACGTTCGAAATGTGGATACATCTACCTGGTTGTGCAAGAACTGGCACGCATATACGGACCGATATTGGGATTAAAACTTGGAAATCAAAAGGTGGTGGTAATCTCGACGCACGATCTGGTGAAGAAAGTTATTCTCCGCGAAGAGTTTAACGGCCGACCAGACGGATTCTTCTTCAGGGTACGATCGTTTGGGAAGAGAAAAGGTATGTGCGTTTTACTTTAACGAAATTCGAAAAAATTCATTCCCACCGTTTCGAGATTAGCATATAATAAACGAAACCTACACTTACGCGCTTTTTGCATTCTTTCCCTGGTGAATACAATTTTTGTAAAAATTTCTCTCGTTCTCTCGCACAGGCATTTTGTTCACCGAGGATAACACATGGACCCAGTGTCGTCGATTTACGACGCGACACCTGCGAATGTTTGGCTTGGGTCAAACGCTTATGAAAGACCAATTGGTCATCGAGGCTCGGGAGCTTGTTGATCATCTGCAAAAGCTGAGCGAGCATGGCCCAGTGCTGATGCACACTATATTTGACATTGCGGTGCTTAATGCCTTATGGTTCATGATTGCCGGACACAGATTCGACTACGAGGATCAAAAAGTGCAAGAAGTGCTCGTGGTCGTTCACGACGTCTTCAGGTAATGGTTGATGAAAATCTCTATAAAGTTCAATAAAATAATAATGTATAAAATTATACAAAGTAAAAGAGGAAAATAAGGCTAAACGAGCTAGTGCGAATGATTAAGCGCAAAAATCCAAGTTTATTATAACTAAACCGCTTACAAAAACATAAACATAATTACAAAAATTAAAGTGAACGTTTCGATCTTTTTTCTCCCGACTGCTGCCAACCGAAGGTTGTGTTTAGGTCATCTTTAGCGTATGTCACAAAAAATAGAATTAATAGCAAGCCTCTAAAAGATCGAAACGTTTGCTTTAATTTTTGTAATTATATTTATGTTTTGGTAAGAGGTTTAGTTATTTAATAAACTTTGATTTTTGCGCTTAATCATCCACGTTGGCTCATTTGATCTCATTTTCCTTTTTTACTTTATATTATTATTAAGAACCAATTTTTTATTTTATTTAAAATTATATAATAAAATTCTTTTGGTATATACATATAGATACATATAATATTTTTATATTATATATAATAAAATATTATATTTTATTTAAATTATATTTTATAATATATATATATATATATATATATAACACATAATATGTATACTGCAAACATATTGATATTAAATTAATATAACGTAATGATATTAAGTTTAATATAATGTATTTTTTTTACTTACATAAAATTCGAAATATATTTGATGTTACATAGATTAATGGACCCCCTGGGCGGAGTGATGTCGCAGATGCCTTTTTTACGTTTTGTTATCCCAGAACAATCGGGATATAACGAACTGATGAGGATCCATAAAAAAATATGGGGTTTCCTCGACGAGGAGATCAAGATGCACGAAAACGAGCCATCCGATAATCCACGCGATTTGATTGACGCGTTTCTCTTGGAGATGTCGAACAAGAGTGGCGATGAAGATACTATCTTTGATCGTGAGCAATTGTGAAATTTTCTCAATTCAAGATATACCATTTGATTGATCAATTATGATTTCGAATTGCAATTATATATGATTTCAAAAATTATTTCACGATTCGGAATCGTATCTATATTTGTTGGAGATTGTTGGAGAATTGCATTCATAAAATTTAACAATAATCAAGATTTTAGATTGATATTGAGATATTTCTGCGCGATCAGGGATTAAATATAATATATCTAATATAATTTTTTTTATGAGTCGCGCATTAAAAATTTGATTGTGTCATTGGTCTGTATTTCACTTTTTGCAGGTGAGAATTTAATGATATTATGCCTTGATCTCTTCTTGGCCGGATCGAAGACGACCACAGACACCTTAGCGACCACGTTTCTCTTTCTGTCAGTACATCCTGAATGGTTGAAGCTACTTCAAATTGAATTGGACGGCGTCGTCGGAAGATCGAGAGCTCCTGTCGAGACCGATTTGCCGTACTTACCAATGACAGAAGCTTTCTTAGCCGAGGTAATTGATGAAGCTGATAAACTGATGAAACAAAAAATGCAATCATCGCACAAACGAAAAAAACTGACAATCAGTAATTATAAACTTAATAAAATTAATTACAAAACGTAATAAAAGTAGCACACAGAGAGAGTAAGTAAGTATATAACATCAAATATATATTATATACATATGTATATTTATTATATATATTTTATGTATATACATATATATAATAAATTTATAAATATATCTATATATATATATAATTATAGGTGCAAAGATATTTGATTTTGGCACCGCTCGGCGTACCTCATAGAGCCACAAAAGATGTTTTTCTAGACGAATATTTAATACCTAAGGTAATGAATCATATCCCGCTTTAAATAATCGGTACAATCATACCCAACGCAAATTAATATTTCTAATATGATTCCTTGTTGTTCATTTTTAAAATCAACTGCACACAATTTATTGAATTTTATGTAAAATTAATTCCTTGCCGATTTTTTATTTAACATATGAGGATATAAATCGGATTAGAAATATTTATAACATTTCATATCTAACATCAAATAATTAATACGAGTTTATCGCTCCTAAATTGCATTCTATGTAAAAAAAATCTTGTTTTGCAGGATACGATTATGCTTTTTGACTTTCATAGCGTTCATAACGATAACACGTACTGGGAAGAACCGGACGTGTTTCGTCCTCAACGTTTTCTAGATGAACAGGGCCAATTTCGTCGCAACAACAACAGCTTACCTTTTGGCTTAGGTAAGTTTGGAGGGGGACGCGAAATCGCGAGTATTTTCGCCATTGTCTCCCTGTATTATGAGCTGTAAATTTCACGCTTTGCGAAGGCAAGCGTAAAGCAATCAACACGCATTGCGTTCTCACAATTATATACTAATTGCGAGAACAATTGCGAACGATATTATTTCGTGTTTCAAGGCAAGAGACGCTGCCCGGGTGAATTGCTGGCGCGTTCTTCATTGTTCATGCTCTTCACCAACGTTGTGCATTACTTCAACATGGAGATCGCGGCTGAGTACGGCGAACCAGATTTAAACGCCTACGACGGCTTCACCCTGTCGCCGAAGCCGTATTATCTCAAACTCACGAGGAGATCCGACTGAAGTCTGGACGACCGCTGCGAATCTTACGACGATAGATTTGGACTTCTGCGAAGCGTTCGGGATCGCTTTCGTCGAAGTCGTAAAAGTACCAAGACTTTCGCGCGACGGTAAAATCAATAAACGTCATTTTGCAAACATTTCGTTTGGATCTGTAACGGCTACGAATGTTTTTCTCAAACACAGCTCGCATAACACGTTTAACACTTTTAATATATACATGTCAATTATAAATGATTACTTAGTATATTTAAAAAATAATTACATAATTATATTTCTGCTAAGGCGGATGGAGAGATATGAAAAAAATTGTTTCCAATAATAATAATTCTTTTTAACAATTGACACATTTAACATTTTTAAAGACATTTAAAATGACATAATTTACGATAAAAATTTTTTTATTAATTAAAAAGACAAAATGTCATATGCCTTTTCTTTTTCTCTCTCTCCCATACAAATTATTATTCTTAAATCTCCTTTAAGTATTTTTTCAAATATAAAATAATGAATATATTTATTTCCAACATACTATATTTACTATATATAAATTTGACAAATTTAATCAAACAGAAAAATGTTTTTATATCTGCTTATATAATTTAATATGTTATACAAATATAAAATACGACATAAATGTAATAAATATAAAAAGGAGAAAAAAGGAGAGAGAGGAAAAAATTAATTTTATTTTAATGATAATTTTATAATTTTTCTAAGATACTTTCTTGAAGATTGTAGATTTAAAATATCTATATATGTATATACGCTTTGAAATATAATTATATAAATTAGTTTTAATATATAATATGACTAAGGTGGTCCCTATACTGAACATTTATCATTAATGTAATTAATTTATTATAAGATTAAATAATAGAGAAAAATATTCGCACACAATCATGGCAAGCTTGTGTGCTTATAATTTTTTGCTATATATTGTTTATTATATATTTTGTCTAAAATAAATCAACATTTTTTAGAACTAAATATAATACATTAACTTACATAAATCTTCTTAAAATGTTATAACACGCACTCTCAATCATTCACTTCCAAATTTCGATTAGAAATTATTTGAAATATTTTACAAGCACATGCACAGTTATGTTTGCAATCAGATAACAAGCATACTTTACACCATACAAGAGTATTAGACATACACGCACACACGCACATCTATTTTTATTATAATTAGCATTAAATTATTTAAAATGTCACATACGCGCGTGCATATATATGTTATATAATAATTGATCATTATGCTTGAAATTTTATAATGAGTAATGAAACGTATAAATGGACTGTGGCAATCTTAGACATGCCATTAAAGCCACTCGTAAATTGGAGCTTGCATTTATAATTAACACAATTAGTAGAATCCAATTCGTAAGACACGATTTCTTGGTATATATCACCGATATTATGATCGCTATTTTTTGGACTTGTAAAGCAAGATTAGATAGGAACGTCGCTAAGAATTTTCAATCAGCCTAATATCCTGCAACTGTAGTTCACAGACAGCAGTCTTTTATAGCGCTATACTCCATGCTGTACATTGTTTACTTTATATATGTATATATATGTGTGTATTATGTATATTTAGCTTTTCCAGACGATGATTCCAATCAAAATGGCCAATACGACTGCTGCTATCAGTACGAGAATACACTTCTTTTTACGCAATTTAGTTTGGTACATACTCGCTTGCCTTACTTGAGAAGCACCTTCACTGACAGATACTTCAGTTCTTTCAACTGAAGCTTCTATAGAATCTATAACCTCTCCTTGATCATATACTAAAGCTCCAAGATCTTTGAATATTTGATTAATATCGCTAATGTTACTCTGTATGAAAAATAAATAATATAATTATATTTGCATATATATCTTTTATGGAAAAATATTTACTGAAAAAATATTTACCTCCAACTGTCTTATACTAGCCTCTTGCTCTTCCAACATTCGTAGATTCATTTGTTCCTGCATTTGCTCCTGTTGCAGTTTTTGATGATCATTTGTATACGTTCTACTGTCTTGTAACTCTATAAGTGTCTCCTGTTTCTTTTCCCCAAATGGTGCAATGCCTGCGCTAGCCTTAGCCCTTCTGACTATTTCTTTCTCCTTTGATGCAGCCAGCCTTTGTACAGCCTAAATTTACATAAATAATTATCACTAATATACTACAAATATTGACCTAGTTTACACCGATATACTTTGGTACGCGTATTAAGTATTACTGACCAACCATAATCATTCTATTCTTTAAAAGAATGACTGTGATTTGTCAGTAAGGCGTTTGATGTGTATCAAATAATCGATGTAAACTAGGCCATTTTAATAACTACAAATATTGAAATGTATACATATGTAAATATCAAAATATATATATATATATCAATATTTACTTGGAAAGAATTCAAAGCACTTGTAAATTCATCTTGAAGACGTTCTCTTTGCATCTTTCGCTGCCTTTGTTCTCCAGGACTCGTAGAGCCTGAGTTATTTGCTAATACAGCTAAATCTCGAAGATGGACGCTAGTATCCTTCGCCAGTTGCTGTGTATAGTGTTGTATCTGATGCCTGTAAAGCAATAACATTTTGTTTGCTATTGACCTTAGTTTTCTCAGGTATATTGTAACTTACAGCTGATTCCTGAGTTCTTGAGAATCAGTGGAGCTACCCAACTGATTGACCATCTTCTGCATGGAAGACACTGCGGAAGAATCATTGATATAAGTATTTCGTAACAGAATTTTCAAGTCAAGTCAAATTTTGCCGGTTCAATACTCACCATTCTGCGATATCTTTAATATTGAAGTACCAATAGTTTGGGACAGCTTGCCAAAATCTTGCTCTCGAGCAGGACCACCATTGTGATAAGACGAGAATCCAGCATCCATTTTGACGTTATTGCTAGGTTATACAAACAATTTAATTTATTGTACAGTATATTAGCATAAATATTTGCAAATAAATCAATTTTTAATGTAAAACAAGGAATTGAAAACGTAATCGAATGTGACAATTCGGACAAAAACCAATTTTTTCGCACGAACAATATTACTATGGATTCCAACTAACCAATTTCCTACGAACGAAATTATCAGCTGATCTTCAACGCACTCGACGAAATTTTGACACTGATAAAACTCGCATGAAATGCACTTTGCAACTTGACACTTGCTGAATGACAGGGGATCGCTGCGTATCACCTGATACGTAATCCTATTCTTCCTGTGCCTGTGTCTGTGTATGCACGTTACTTGTCAACAAAACGACTAATGACTGACTGGTGGGTCGATACGATCTGCGCGATGACTCACGAAATCGTTATGCGAGAAAAATTCCACCTCTCGATCTTCGACATATATTTATATGTGCATATGTAGTCGCTGCGCATTCAAAGGGTTCTTCCGAAATCGTGTTGTGCTACACACGCTGGTGATTGTGAAAGACTGGAGAAAAAATTCTCGCATTGATCGATAACTCGTCGCCGAGATAGAATGAACCTTCTTGTCGCCACAAACGTATTAAATTATAGATTCCGTCTTCAGTAACGGAATAACTAAGGTTTTTGTCGTAAATAAATTTATTGTTATCTGACAAGCATATATTTCTAATATTTAATATTACCGGTATTTAATATGCATAAAACATAATCTTTTTTTCTTGTTTTTCAAATCAAGAACACAGTCCACTTGATGCTACGAATAGCATTCGATTGACCAATCAGGATAGAGAAACCCATCTTTCAATTGCATTTCAAGAAAGAGAGAGAGAGAAAGATCATAATTATATTACATGCTTAATCTTCGCCACTAAATCATGAACATAGGATTTATATACTATGTATATCTATATCATAATAAATATATAAAATATTGAATGTAATATACAAAATATTAAGCAATTACAAATCTTTTTTTCTACAATAATGAATTGTTTTTTCATAATTTTTTGTAGTCATATTACAGTACAGTTAATATATAAATCTTATCAAGATAAAAAGTATATGAATAAGATTGATTAATGAGATAATTTAATTTAAAATCGCCTAAATTGCTTTTTAAATCTCTCATAATGATAATCATCTGTCGCCTTTTCTCCATCTTTTCGCTTTCCTCGAGCATCTTCTTTAGTAGCACTTTTTTTCTTGTCATCAGATTCTTGCTGTGATTTCTGGAAATCTGAGTCTTCTATGTTAACTGAAAGTTAATATATAATTATTTACAATTCTATATTTAATATAAAAAATTAAAACATCAGATAATAAAACATGAGAATAACTGTTTTTTCGTACTTTATAGTAGATTCATTATTGCATCTTTCAATAAAACAATTTTATTTCTAATATATCTGTGAATTCTACAATAAATTAGACCAGAAAGAACAGATGTTAAAATGATATTTCAAACAAGAAAAAACTTTGCTTCAATTAATTCTTACTAGATATATAATAATTTAAAAAAAATTTTTGATTGATTTGCATAACTTGTGTTCTTTCTAAAACAACTATTTCAAAGAAAAAGAGAAATTCACATACATCTGTTATGCTGTACAAAATTTACAGCCATATTAGTAGGAACAAACTGCGATGGTCCATCCTTCTTTCTGTGTCTGTCCCAAAGTAGTTTTAACTTTGCCTCTTCTGTAGCTTCAATATTGCGAATTTTAGCCCTGAAAGTTAATTATATTTTTAAAAATAATACTTGTCATAAAACTTGTTTTATTAAGAATTTTCTTTTTTGCTTCTCTCTAATATAAATTTTCTTTTTAGGAAAAGTAACTTAACAAAATAACTTAATACAAAATATGTATATATTCATATTTGTATGTTTTTTATGTAAGCAATGATTTCTAATTTTATTCAAATAAATTCTTTAAATAATGATATTATTAAAGCATTTTACATCTTAATTGACACCCAATTATTAAAGATTTTCGATATTTTTTCTTTAATACTAATTCTATCGTTATGGTTTCAAGTTTCAACAAGAATTATTGTCTTACTTTAATGGCTAAATATCACTACTACTGTTTACATTTCATCTTGTCTAAATTATTAAGCAATTCTTACTCTATGCCAAGATCAACTTCTGGAATACCAGAAAGCATTTGATTTGAAAGCATTTCCTCGCTACGATTGGTTGAACTTTGTCTTAAGTGTCCTGGTACTGCACGTAACGCTGCTTCTTCAGGTGAGCAATATGATCCTTTTTCATTATACGCACTATCTGCATTATCAGTATTATTTTTACTTTTCCTTTTTGATAATTCCTCTTCAATGTATTTAACCCTAATAAAAGAATTCATATTAACTTGTAATACATCTGAATTTATTTTTAATAATATAATATATAATATAAGTAAATATACACATGTACATACATTTCTTCATCTTCATCCCGTTTATTAGTCTCTGCGTTAAATTGTGTTCCAATGCCAGTTTCGTATGCATCATTTTGCCTGTGTTTTGTATTTTTTAATGCAGCCATATTTACCATTCCTCCAGTCTTCATGTTAAAGGGATCAGACTAAATTAACATAAAAACTTATTAATTTTTATATCACAATTTTATATATATATATATGTTATGTTTTAATTGCACTACGTATTCCACGTACTGTTATTGCATCGGATGCAGCATTTTCTCCAAGAGCTAAACCAACGACATTGATACCTGCTGGTCTTTCACGAAGCTTCTGAATAATCTTCATCTCTTCCACTTTTTCTCTAAAATAAATCTTTCTCTTAATAATCAGACTAATTTCTAAATTGATATCTAATTAATGTATAGGATATGTAATATGTATATGTACCTGACAGATACTTTTTCACTCTCGCTGTCATTGTCATCTGACAAAACTTCACGTTTCCTTAACTGCTTCTTTTTCTTCTTCTTAAATTGAATATTATGCGATTCTTCGTCACTGTTACTCATATTTTCTCAAGTCAAACACTTACAACACTGAAACTTATATATTTCTATATATATTTTTCTTTTTACATAAAAACATCCACTTCGAACATTCACGCGCTTTCACGCGCAATTGTCAAAAATTTCGACCTTGCAGTTTTCTATATACAGATGATATTAAAAGAAAGAAAATGACAACTTTCGACAAATATTCCGAATTAGGTCGAAAATCTACCTGTAGGTTAGAATAATATTTCATCGACTAATCAAGACGAAGAAACCTTCGCCTGTTATCTTCACATATAAATAAAAATATATAATTACAATAATATATTTTCTAAGAAAAATATATATTTACGGGTAATGAATTTTTATTTCTTAAAAATATTAATAGCTTTCATCTTTCATTTTTAAATATGGCGGTCAGTTCCGCCATATTTAGTCGACTCAATCGATGAAAAATGGTTCCTACCTTGAGTGTGTTCGGAAATCCTAGGATTCGATCGACCAACCAGAACGAAGGAATCTTTGCTCCTCTTGTCCCGATTGGTCGGTCAAACGCCGCTGTACGTAAGATTTTTGAATGCATTCTAGTCTCAGGATGTCGCAGAGCTCACTGGGACCTTCAGGAAAAACGCCGGGATGACCTCTCTCAGGCTTCTCTCTGATACTGTGATTGTACATAATTGTCAATTGTAGAAGTGCGTAAAATTACGTCCGACACTACTGTTATTACGTCAACGCGTAATCATGAGTTGCGGATTTGTCACTTGTGGCCCAAACGAGGCACTCGTGGTTTCAGGTAAATTATGCGATAAAGTGACATATCATTGCTCGAAATTATGTTTTCTTTTTTTGTCATCGCATCTCCGCTGATTAATGATTCGTGAAAAACAAGAAGAGAAAGGGAGGAGCGCGCTCCTCCTTTGCTAGATAATTGATTCGTAGAATGATACAGCGGTGGGGAAACGCGGGATCGATCAGGAATAATTACGCCTGATCTATTTTAGTCATGTTAGATGTACATATATACATATATATGTATAAAATTTGGAAATTTTTATTAATTTATTTTATGTTTATTTTGAAATTTTGATTACTGAAAGATGCTTTTTTTCTGGATTTTGTTGCAATTTTTATGCACATTTATATAATTTTAAACTGTTTTTAACTTTTGCATCAAGGATGTTGCTACAGCAAACCCCTTTTGGTACCTGGAGGACGAGTATTTGTTTGGCCACTCGTTCAACAAGTGCAAAAGTAAGTGTTATATAAGTTCTATTATAGCATAGTAGTAGTATGGTAAATTTTTTAGTTTTACGTATATGTGTCTCTTACTCTCTATAGAATCTCTTTGAATACAATGACTTTACAAGTCGAGAGTCCAACAGTGTATACTTGTCAAGGAGTACCAATATCTGTAACAGGCATAGCACAGGTAATATACTGTAGTTTAAGAAAAACTTGTTTTCTATATATGATGTTGTTATCTATAATTATTATAGTTGTGTATATTAATATAGTTGTATGTATTAATTAATCTGATTGTAAATTGGATATTTAAATTGACTTACTTTAGCAATAGTATATATTTATTATTTATAAAATTTTGAATGTTTTCTGCAAGTATAAAGAACTCATTAGCTTAATTGTAGAGATATATGTCAAATACAATTACATTGGTATCAGGTAAAAATTCAAGGACAAAATGAGGAAATGTTATCTACAGCATGTGAACAATTTCTTGGAAAATCTGAGGATGAAATACACAACATAGCTCTTGTCACTTTAGAAGGACATCAACGGGCTATAATGGGCAGTATGACTGTAGAAGTAAGTTAAATTGCATCAAAAAGAATAATTAAATGTTTTTATGATTGTTTGTTTTCATATAAAAGACCAAACATATTTTTAAAACTAATATTTATGGACAGAATTACTGTAGAAGTAAGTTAAATTGCATCAAAAAGAATTATTAAATGTTTTTATGATAGTTTGTTTTTATATAAAAGACTAAAAAATTATTAATAATTAAAAAAGCTATAGCTTGATTTTGCTTTCTTTTTTTCACAGGAAATTTACAAAGATCGTAAAAAATTTAGCAAGGAAGTGTTTGAGGTTGCAAGCAGTGATTTAGTCAATATGGGCATTACTGTTGTGTCATATACATTAAAAGATATTCGAGATGAAGAAGTAAGTTTATTGCACAATTCTAATAAATAAAAAATTTACAAGTATATAAATTACTGAAATATATGACACACTAATAACAAAAGTATAAAATTCAAATATATAAATATTCTAAAGTTTAACTATGAAAGCAAAATAATATCAATGACATATACAGACTTAATGCATTGTAGTGCATACATCTCTGAATTATAATTAAATTACTAAAGTGTACATAAAAAGCATTTAAAAGACCCCCTAAACATATATTTTTCATAATTAAGAAGAATATGAAATTTTTAGTAATTAATATAGTAAGATCTACTTGTATACTGTAAATATTGAATACATCTTTGTTTTGCTACTTGCAGGGGGCAAAGGTATGTTCAAATTTTATTTTACCACTGTTGTATTCACTATTGTGTCTTGGCACACACTGCTATGTCTAACATTTCTACAAATTTTTCAAATATTGAAAAACGGAATTTTACAGCATATTCTCATCGCTTTTTGTAATAATACAATTGTGCACATACTTGCAATATTTTATTCACAAAGTACACATCATTACATTTAATTGATTATCAAACTATTTTTAAATAACGAATTTTAAAGGAAGATACATATTACTCATTTACATTTTTTTAAAATTAAGATGTGTGGATGTTGATAAAAAAATAAGAATAAAAATAGTTTTTTAAAAATGTCTCAGTATACATTATTTAAAGAAAAAATTAAAAATATTAATATATTAGAATCCTAATTAAAGATTAAATTATTATATTAAAATACAGTGCTAAATATAGTCTTATATGTCACTCACAGTGATACATGCAGCCTTTATATGTCACTCACAGGCATTGCTTATTCAAATGCTGAAATCGTCTGGGCTCATTGTATATATCATAAATTTTATTACATAGTATTTTATGAAGATATATATTACTTGTAGGGTTATTTGCAAGCACTCGGTATGGCACGTACGGCAGAAGTAAAGAGAGACGCCAGAATAGGCGAGGCTGAGGCTCGCAGAGATGCTCAGATTAGAGAAGCTATTGCCGAGGAGCAAAGAATGGCCGCTCGTTTCTTGAATGACACAGAGATTGCGAAAGCACAACGTGATTTTGAATTGAAAAAGGCCGCCTACGACGTCGAGGTTCAAACAAAAGTGAGCAAATTTTTATGATTTCTCTTTCTATGATTCCATAGTCAATTTCACAAATATAAAAATATTACTTGCAGAAAGCCGAAGCAGAAATGGCCTTTGAACTTCAAGCGGCGAAGACCAAACAAAGGATTATGGAGGAGCAAATGCAGGTAAAGGTTGTAGAACGTAGTCAGGAGATAGCCGTACAGGAGCAGGAAATGCTTAGACGCGAAAGAGAATTGGACGCTACTATACGACGTCCTGCTGATGCAGAAAAATACAGGTATTTGACTCGTACTTGGAAAAATCGAGTTTTCGTTATAAAAATCAAGATTTCGCTTCCAGATTAGAGAAAATGGCTGAAGCGAACAAATTGCGCCTTGTTATGGAGGCTGAAGCTGAGGCTGAGGCTATCAAAATTCGCGGTGAAGCAGAAGCTTTTGCCATCGAAGCGAAAGCTAAGGCAGAGGCAGAACAAATGGCGAAGAAAGCTGCTGCATGGAATGAATACAAGAGCGCAGCCATGATAGACATGATGCTTGACACACTTCCAAAGGTATACAAGCTTTGTATTCCTAAGATTCTTCTTATCTTTGTATCTTAATATTTTTCTTCTAATATTTTTAATTAATTTCTGTTATTCTTTTTCCGTTTATTCACTTTTATATTAATTTGTATTAGTTATTCATTGTATATTTGTTTATGATATTTATGTTTATATGATTAATTAATAATCAATGATTTATGTATGTATGTATAATTACTAATTAATCACACATACATGCAATGAAATGTTATTTTGTGCATGAATTAACATTTCTGTACATGAAAAGAAAAAAGTCTTAATAGAAAATCTTTATAATATCTCAATGTGTTCGAGAATACTATGAAGAAGATATTCTGATTTTTCGATTTGTTTTATAGGTTGCTGCCGAAGTAGCCGCCCCTCTTTCTCAAGCAAAAAAGATAACTATGGTCTCGAGTGGTAATGGTACTATTGGTGCGGAAAAATTAACTGAAGAAGTTTTCAACATTGTACAACGTGTTCCGGATCTTGTTAAAACTTTGACAGGCGTGGACATTGCAAAGGTACACACAAAGCTTGTGACTGTCTACAGTTAAAGGAAAATGTAAGGTAAACTTATCATCTATAAACTTTTCTTTCAGTCTGTCCATGCTGCGTAAACGTGCAATGTCAAGAGCATTCGAATTTCCTTGATCATTATGATGTATCGTTCTTCAATGTATATTTACAAAGAAATATTTAGTGGATTTTTTATATATACATTTACTTTTTAAATACATTTTGTCTTATAATACAAATCAAATATAATTTGTAATATGGAAAGTCTTCTATTAGAGAAAGAAGGACACACTTTTGCTGTGCCATTTATCTAAATCGCACGTGTGCATTATTAATAATTTCTGAATGACATTATTTTTAGTGTCGAAAATCAGGAATAATTAATATCAATTTAAACAAGCGATTTATCTTAATTACAATTTTAAGATTATAGTTGCAAAAATAAGAATTTTCGCTAGTCATCCATCATTTCGAGCTTTTATCCATTCCGACAGTGAAAGTGTGGTGTGACATTAATATAATATTATTGATATTACTTATGTGTATATTATGTGTATTAATCGTTCTCCAATGAACACATTTTACTAACTGTTTAAAATATTTTATCAATTTAACGCATATTTGTTAATAAAAAAAAAGGTGTGCGTTCTGTCGAATCTCTTAAGAACCGATCGTAATGGTTCATGTTTATCTATGTATAATTCTATGCCAAAACGTGCCGAATGCCATTCTCCCAAATATATTCTATATATTACATGTACCTTTTAAATATAAATTGTCAAATGACTCTTTTTAGAGGTGAAAGTATTCAATGTTTCTTAAAAACATCACTTATAAAATATCGTTCAATACGAGAAAAGATCCTCTTAGTTTTTGAAACAAATTTATAATGTGACTGCGCAAACGTTCTATTTTCTGTATTCACAAGATGCGTGTGAAAAAAACAGTAATATATTTTATCGTGTTTATAAATATATATAAAAGCCACAGAGAATCTAAATCATTTATATGATTATAGCGTAGCCTTTCAATAAGCTTCGAATTATATTTATATGACCAATATACATATATAATATAAAGCTTTATAAACGGATAAATATATGTATGAGATTTTGTGTAAAGCAATAACGCAAGTAAATGTTACAAGCACATTTTTCAGTGTGTCTTGCTTATCTTTATTTGTTCTACGATTCTCTCGTGACCACATGGTGTAGCGATTTATTTTTATTAAGTATTATTAGGCTTTCGAAAAGGCGAATGATAAAACAAACGACTCGCAGCATAGTAGATCTTATGTTACGCTTCACTCTTTTTTTTTTTTTTGACAGATAATGCAAAAATGTATATACGATAATATAATATTAATATTAATAGGAATACGTATGATAGATAAGAAATCTATGAATGTTAATCTCTTGAAAATATCGTAAAAGCATATTACGAACAGAGCCTCTTAAAAAATGGATCCATATAGATCTTTTCTAGTGGACTTCCTAGCTGGAGGTCTATCCGCAGCAATTGCGAAAACCGCAGTTGCTCCTTTAGAAAGAGTGAAATTGTTACTGCAAGTGCAGCACACCTCAACACAGATCAAACCTGAAGAACGTTACAAAGGTATATATTATTTTATATGTAATTACATATTATTATATATATATTATGTATTATTATATGTTATATATTATTAATAATATATATATATATATGATTTGTTAATCGGAAAAATTTCATTTCACAGGTATGCTAGACGTGTTTATACGTATACCTAAGGAGACGGGATTTCTCAGCTTCTGGAGGGGCAATTTCGCTAATGTGATTCGATATTTTCCGACCCAAGCGCTCAATTTTGCATTCAAGGATAAGTTCAAGATCTTATTTCTGGGGAACGTGCCGGAGGATGCGTTTTGGCGACAGTTCGCTGGAAATTTAGCGGCTGGCGGTGCCGCCGGCGCAACGTCGCTTTTATTCGTCTATCCACTCGACTTTGCTCGGACTAGGTACACATTTTGCATACGTATATTTTTATTATAATTATTATATAATATATTTTGCGATCTCGTTTTATTATATTTGCGCGAGATGATAATGTGATTTTATTTGATTTTAGATTGGCCGCTGATATCGGAAAAGGCGACAAACGAGAATTCAAGGGTATAAATGACTGTATAGTAAAAATATTTAAATCAGACGGACTGTTCGGACTGTATCGGGGTTTCAATGTCAGCGTGCAAGGAATTGTTATATATCGGGCAGCGTACTTTGGATTTTACGATACCTTGAGGGGAACGCTGCCTGATCCGAAGAGTACACCGTTGTACGTGAATTTTATGATTGCCGAGGTATATTTTTTGCTTTTTATAATGACGAAGCAGTAAAAATACAATGAATAAATGTTTTTTAAATATTTTTATTACGAATTTCTCATATCTTTTCTTACAGGTAGTAACAACGGTAGCGGGCTTCGTATCTTATCCCTTTGATACAGTCAGAAGACGAATGATGATGCAATCAGGTCGAAGCAAGACCGATATGATGTACAAAAATACATTAGATTGTTGGATAAAGATAACAAAGATCGAAGGACCCAAAGCTTTCTTTAAAGGCGCATTCTCTAACATTCTTCGTGGCACCGGTGGTGCTGTCGTTTTGACATTATATGACACAATCAAGGAATTGATCGAAAGCAGCTTTGAAAAATTTGTGAAATTTTAGGAATTTCATAATTTTATGGCGGTATAGAAACGATCGTCTTATAAATGTGTACTATTAAGATTTAGAAATATTTAAATTCAAATAGTGAAATCTATATGTATCTTTGTATAAAGTTATAAATATAGATGAAAAGCATTTTAAAATATCACACACCAAAATTAACTTTTCGCATGGAGCCAAAATTATTGAAATCTTTTCACGAATTAATTTTACGATGATGTACGATCAATTTTGAGCACATATATAAGTATTAAGTTTGTGTGATTTATTCATAGTTTTGATAAAAATACATGCATATTACAATGCAGGCGATTAATATGTATTTTAATAATTTATTATTTAATTATACATTAAAATCGCACAAAATTATATACAAATTATATATAACATTTCTGCATATAGTTTAACATTAACATAACATCTATAACATGTCAGCTAATTATTTTTATGAAAATGAGTAATTTGCTGATCTTTAATAATACTCTTTACTACTGCAATATATTTTTATCAATACGAATATCTGTAGAAAACTTCTCAAAATATTGAAAAAAATCATTATCAACTAAAGCATCTATATTTTAAATATTTTATATTTATAACAAAATATGTAATTCTTAATTCAGCATAGTATGACGATCATAAATGATCCTCCTTTGTTCACGAACTTGTCGCTTCCACTTATCTTGCTGGTGTCCAACACGATTCAAAACATTGCCTCTTTCTCCCATTGGGTGAGAAGTTCCAGGTGCAAGAGATGAATCATCCTTTGAAAGAAAATAATCGACAAATTAATTTAGTTTAAAAATAATTGTTAAATTTATTTAACAGTAAAAATATAATAGATGTACTGTTAATAAGTAAATTTAACAATTAACATGGAAAAATGTGAAAACAATGAAAAAAATTGTATAAAATTTTCTTCCATACTTACATCCTCATTATTATGCTCATGATAACCAATATTTGCCGAAGCTTTATGTATCCGCTTGTTAAGTAATGGATCCAAACAAATTAAGAATAACATATATATCACCAATAGTGATATGACCCATATAACTATTATTACTACAATCTGCAACAATATTAATATTTCAATCATTAGCTTATACAATAACGATATAAAAAATTGATTAATTTAAAAAGTTTGTATGTACCTTAATAATAGTTGTGTTTCTATTTTCGTATTTGCAGTCACATCTTGGGCAAAATATTTCTTCTTTTCCTTTTATCTGATCTCCAAGTTTTGGTAGAACAACGCTTTCGCATTTGCTATAAATTTTACATGTATTTCAATATATTGACGACAGTGTATAAGATTACGAATTGTGATAGATATGCAATACATGATTCTTTATATCAATTTGTTTGAAACTTGCATATATCATTTTGACATTTATACATAAATTGGCTTTAACCGCAAAAAATAAGGGGAAAAAATATTTTCTTAAAATATACAAATTTCTAATCAAACTAAAGAAAATGATGTATTGCATATTTACGCTAATTATAAAATTACCATTGTAATGGTGGCACGTTTATAATATATGCGAGACGGTCCGTAGACGACTGCGTTGTATTTATAACAGAAGAGAGGCTCGGACAAATACATTTGCATCTCTTGTCGTCATATTGCGCCTGGAATTTCATTTGCAATGTCATTAAACACGTGTACGCAATATCCAAATTATCAATCTTACACGATTAATTAATTAATTAATTAATTAAACAAAACCACAAAAATGCATCCTAACCTCGGACTGCGACAGACAGGTTAAAATAACTATCGTGACAAGAGAAATGTACTTTAACATTATGTCCTTGGCATGAAGAAAAACGTAGAGTTTGTCAATTTTCGACGTGATCGTGCACAAAATCACGCACGAGGATAATAATTACAACTGTACATGATCCTTATCAAAATCATAACGCAGTAAATTGATACACTTGACGTTTTGACGTTTGACACGCATGCGCGACGTCACGTGACGTCGAATCACGTGATCGACTCGACCTAGGGAGATTCTAGTTTGTTTCAGTTTCCTAGATTGGTAGCGGAGCACAGCAGAGCCATCGTGGTTTTAGTTACTTTCTGATGCAATCCTCTCAAACCTTGCCGATTCTCGACAAGGAGGGCTTGAATCTTCAGGTATCGTTCAGTATTGAGGAGCGTTTAGATAAGAACTTGTAAAGAAGAATAAGACTTAAAGATTTTTCATTCGAACGCGGAGGATCTACACGCGGATTAAAATGACGGAAGAGGATTCGGTACGTAAAATATACAATAATTGCCGACATATTACTCCGTTCGAGTGATTTGCAAATATTTGTCTTGTTTTATTTAAATTTCTTCTATCGAAGGAATATTCAAGAAATTTCCTTTTTTTCTTTCGGAACGTAAGACTTCCTTACGGGGTATTAATTGATGCCTAGAGTATTACTGTTATAAATATCACGTTATTACTATCGGTATGTAAAATTCACGCATGGTGTGCTCCGTTTGATTTCAACATTTTTTGATCATAAATATACTTTTATTTAGGTATTTATTTACTTTTTAGTTACTTTATTATTTCTTTACATAATTAGGATATTTTTTTTATAATACACGTAAATTTTACGTATGATGGTAATCTAAGGTTAATAACCTCAAAATTCTTGCTTTAATGTTTCTCCGATGTAACATCATCTCATGTCATCATGTCTTGTAATATTATTTTTCGAATTGTTGCAAAAATATTTTTTGAAAAAACTCAATATGTTTATAAATTTATTCTCTGTTACATTTTTTATTATATTTTTACTAATAGTTTTTTATTTGTATTTATACATATGTACAATCGTAGAACTGTAAGAATAAGAAATAATATAACTTATTTTGATTCTATTTTTTAGGTATTTGATCCAACCTTGAAAAAGAAGAAGAAGAAGAAGAAGACTACCTTTGATATTGATGCAGCTTTCAATGAAGGAGGTAGTAGCGGTGATGCAACCGAAAGCACGGTTGACAAAGAGAATCAGGAGCCAGAACCTGCAGTTGTTGAAGACGACGAGGCATTGGATCTGGAAAATTTTGGTAAAAAAAAGAAAAAGAAGAAAAAGGCTTTCAATTTAGATGAATTGGAAGCAGCTTTACCCGATACTAAGAAAGAGGTAAGAATTTCTTGTGAAAAAGATCATTTCTGTGGGAGCATATATTTTTCTATTGGATATCTTTATATTGACTTCGGTATCTTTTATTTATTGTGATCTTTATTATATAATTAAGTTTTATTCATTTTTTATTGTTTTACTGCTGATAAATGTTTTGATAAAACAAAAAATAATAAAATTTGTATAAAATAATAAGTAGTAGTAAAACATATATATATTTGTAAGTAATAATAAATAGATATATATTTTTAAAAAATTTAATTCTATTAATAATTTAATTGTACAAATTAAAAAGTCTAACAATTTTTTTGTATTAAGTAATAAGACTTAATAAAGCTATGTTTTAAATTTTCTAAAATTTTATTATTTATTAAACAGGAACCTATAGAGCAACAAGTCGAAGAAATTATAATGGACGATGACTTTGACTTAGATATGGACTTCTCAAAGACAAAGAAAAAGAAAAAGAAGAAAAAGGACCTTGATGAGTTGGTAGCTGAAGAGGAACGCAAGGAAATTGAAGATAAGGAGAATGGTATGTATCATAAGAAATGATTTTGTGCCGACATCTTTTTGCGTCTAGTTGTTTATGTTACTCATTATTTGTTAACATGCTGCACTGAATCTGAGCGAAGTGCAGAGTATGGTAAGACATATGCTTTGTGTTTTCTAATTACAATCAATCCTGCACTTAATTATTCTCTGATTATTTGCGCATGAATTTCACAATAAAGTCATATTTACATATTTCTCAACTTACATTTCATAGTCTAAAAGCCTTAATTTTTAGTCTTAATTTTTATTTTGAAAACATGCATTGTGTACATATGTATATTTCACATATATAACAACAAAACTTAGCTTACTTACAAAACTTTAGCATTTTGAGCACTATATGTCTTCTAAATATATAAAAGTATATTGCTTATTAGTATTAATTAAAAGTGCACTAATTTTATAATTCTAATAAGGAAATTTAAAAGCAATGTTTTTCAATTTTAATTAACTGTTGCAAGAAGCCACAATTTTGAGCATATTTGCATGCATGTTGTGTGTATGTGTGTGTAATATTCATGATAAAATATTTATAATTTGTAATATTTTTTAATTCGATTTTAATCGGTGAATTTTCTTTAGTAATTTATATAATGAGAGGAAAGGAAGTCTTCTAATATAAAACACATATTTAGTAAAAATTATAAAGAAGTTATATTTAAATATTATTTTATAAATATTTATTCTTTACAATATACAATAATTATTTTTTAATAAGTATACTTGTGAAAAAGTTTTTTTTTTTTTCACAGATATGCACAAACTCCTAAAGACATTGTGTATTATTATTATTGTGTATTAAACTAATTATTGTGTATTAAACTAATTATTATTATTGTGTATTAAACTAATATAGAGATATTTCAAACATAAATATTATTTGCTTCTCAACTTATCTTATTTTGAAATCTTTTTTTTTCAAAATAAATTCAGAAATCTTAAAACATTTTTACTTTATGTTTGCTGCTTATATCTGTGATTTGAGATGAAAAAAGCATTTCATATATTTAAAATATATATTTATTATGGTATTTTCTCAACCTTACATATTTCCATATGCAATATACATAGTTCACACTACATGTTTATCAATTAAATTATTTTCAAATGTTAACAATTCTATAAATAAAAAATATGTGTACATCATTTTTATTTGCACTCATATATTTGTTCAATTGTAGTATTTTTATATGTAAATTTGAAAAATATACTTATTGACATCTGTTTTCGACTCATCTAATTAAAGTCAGATAAATGAAAAACATTTATTACGATTTATGTAGTTAATGCTAGATAAACATTTGTTTATTCTTTTTTCTTAGTGGAGGAACCGAGCTTGTGGGTGGGCTCGGACAGAGATTATACGTATGACGAGTTATTAGTTAGAGTATTTAATATCATGCGAGAGAAGAATCCTGACATGGTGGCTGGCAAGAAACAGAAGTTCGTCATGCGTCCCCCACAAGTAGTGCGAATTGGAACGAAGAAAACGTCATTCGCCAATTTCACCGAGGTATGCGCTTATTCAATTAATTAATTATGAATTAATTATTATTAATAATTAATAAGTAATTAATAATTATTAATTGAAATTATAATATACCTCCTTTTTTCTCTTTGTCTTTCTAATATATCTGCAAGATGTAAGACAGACTGCGAATTTTTATCTTACAAATATCTTCGCAGATTTGTAAAACATTGCACAGGCAGCCAAAACATTTACTGGATTTTTTGTTGGCTGAGTTGGGTACGAGCGGCTCGGTTGACGGTAACAGTCAATTGATTATCAAAGGTCGCTTCCAACAAAAGCAAATAGAAAACGTTCTTAGGAGATATATCAAGGAGTATGTCACATGTCACACATGTCGTTCGCCGGACACGATCCTTCAAAAAGACACGCGACTTTTCTTTTTACAATGCGAGACATGTGGTTCGAGATGCTCCGTCGCTAGCATAAAGTCTGGATTCCAGGTAAGTTATTCTTTAAGGTTTTACAATGATTATATTGCAAGATATATTCGATAGCTTTATTACATCTGTAGATAATAATTACGATTAGAAATTATAAATGCACGTTTTCCACATAATATTATATAAATATAATAATATACGAGTAAAAAAAATAATTATTACTTTATAAATAAAATTTTTCTATATCTATTTTACAGGCTGTCACAGGAAAACGCGCTGCTATTCGTGCGAAAACTGCCTAAGCAATTTTCTCTATTTAAGAAAACGCTAGTGCAAATAAAATATTATGGAATATAAATAAATGATACAAATTTACTGTTTGCATTTCAAATTAATTTGAATACAATTAAATTTTATTAATTATTTATTTAAGCTATTGGATTTTATATGAAAAATTATACAATTTCTAGAATATGATATGTAATTTTTGAAAATTTACAAAAATATCTTTAAATTAATGAATGTTATATTCTTTAATATTATTATTTTGACCATTGTCGATTTGTTTCTGTATGTAAGTTTTAAGCACAATAATTCAATTTTGATTTGAATACAGGAATGTAGATAGCATTATATAGTTTACGTTATCTATATTTAATTTTTAATGTAAAAAAAAGATGATTCGGATTTAAGAAAAGATTGTTAAAGATTTTATGCTCAAGTCTCATCTTTTTGTTACATTAGGATCGATATTAAACTAAGATAGTCCGGGTTAATGTTAACTTCATTTCTGTATTCAAATCAATTAGAGATGCATTATGATTGAAATTTGTATATGGAAAAAAATATTAACAATGATCAAAATAATAATTATTTAATTTTCTATTTCTAATTTTTTTGTCATTAATATAATCTAAATAAAGCCTACAACTAAAACATTACATTTGTTGCAACATTATTTACTTGTTTATTTAGATACTGTACAAATATTTTCTTCATATTAAACAATGAATAATATTTGATTGTTGTTAACAATAAATTTAAGTAACAATTTATTGTATTTTTTGTATATATAAGAATCATAGATTCGAATAAACTTTTATAAGATTAATAGCAAATTTATAAAATTGTGCAAGCATAAAATCTCCTTCAAAATATTTTTGATAATATATAGAGCAGTTTCTTAAATAATTTATTAACTTATATTCTTACTAGATAATAAATTTTTTTCAAACCATTTCATGTTTCTTTGAATATCTTTGAAGGATTTGACTCAAAACTTTTTAACAAAATTTTTATATAAATTTAATAAATAATTAATATAGAAATATTTTTTATCTAAAATATTTCCATATTGATTAGTTATTTATTAGATTTATATACATTTATTATATATTATTAATATCTTTATACACCCAGATAGCCACAGTAATTATGATGACATCATTTTGATGTCAAAATGATGTCATAATAATTACTGTGGCTATCTGGGCACTGATGAAATTCTGCAGTTAAATATCTAAGAACGATTATTATTTAATTAATAAATTAATAATTATGAAACATAACATCATAAACTTGCAAAAGAATGTTTATTTGTATGCTTAAAATATATATTTGTATCTAATAAAAATTATGCCATTCATACATGTGTCTAGAAAATCTCAGGAATTAATAAATTTTTAATATCTTTTATAGTACTTATATTTTAATTTTATGTTGAAACAAAATGTATTTATAAATTAATATTTTTCAAAAAATTGACGTATTTGGCACTTTTCAAAAAGACCGCTTTTTTTAAGTTGGCACTCTGCTTTTCTCGCACCTGCGCGTGCGCGTCGAAAGTGTAGTACTTGTTCATTCGAAGTTCAACGTTCGACCAATATAAAAGGACGTGTGTGTGTATTCAATTTTCTTTCTCAAATTATCTAATTCCTGATTTATTCAATAGTTTCTTTCATATATAATATTTAGATTTATATGCGCAAATTGAATATTAAAAGTTATTTATTTATTTTGGTATATATATATGTATATATATTTGTAATATTTCACATGTAAAATATACGTGCATATACATGTTTCTATATGCATGTGCACACAGGCACACATCAATAGTCAGACTTAACCGTGTGGGACCGAGAGAAGCATGGTAGTACACAAAGAAACGTGATACGAAAAAAAAGATGTAAGTACAGCGCGTGGAGGAGAGACAGAGAGAGAAAGAGAGTAAATAAGTATTAAACTACACGCAGCAGTCAGCTGATTCGTGATCGCCAGCCACAGCGATATATTTTGTTGTATTTTGGTTGCGACATCGCTCCGTTTGGCTTTGTTTGGCTATGCCGGATTGTATACGTATACGTTCAGTTATTTATTGTCACTTTTGAGATGCTGAGATTCCGAAAATTATTTCCAAAACCTTGCTCGATTATAGCAATGGTGCACGTGGGAGCGCTTCCTGGTACATAAACTTCGATCTTTCTATATTTAGCGCGCAATTGATTTTGAATCGCGTAATAATAATTAAACTCGACCATAATTAGATTTTATCTAATCGCTTTTCAAATGATTAATGGTCAGCAAATTTATTTCTCTATTTTTCTCGATTCCTTTTTCCTCTGCAATATTCTAAAAAACTGTAGAAATATTTTTTATTAATAATTTGTAATATTAATTTTATTTTTTATTAATTTGGATAGAATAATGTGTATGCTAATATATGCGTTCAGGAACACCAAGGTACAAAGGCTGCATCGAGAAGATCGTGGAAAATGCAGTGGAGGAGGCATCGATGTATGCGAAATATTACGTGGTAATTTCTTTTTTTAATATTAATATATTGTTTTATATATATAAAATATTCAAGATTTATTTTGAGTTTTTTATCGAATGTAATATTTTTTATTTGTGGATTTTTTATTTGAATTGAATTTTTTTTATAAAACAATTGAAATAGGCTAATTGAGAGTCGAGCACGTAAAAAGTGATTCCTTTTTGTGTTTCAATTTTTTATTACGTGTGAATGTTTCTAATTTTTTAGCAGCTTTATAGTGACTTAAATCAATAAAAAAATACAAATTAAGAAATTAAATTTTTTACAACATTTATCTTATATATTCTCTAAAGTCAAATTTTTTCCATGTATAAGATAATAAATGTATATGCACTTAATTAATAATTTTAGTACGAATGTGAATGCATGCATTGTTCTCTTTCTTGTGACTGCCAGTTAGATCAAAATGAACAAAGTCTCCTTTTGATTCCAATCTTAAAGAATAACTTTATTTCATTCCAGAATAATAAACTCATAAAGCAAACTAGACAATGTTAAGTATTTTATAAGAACAAAGACGTAAAATTGTCAATATTTTAATGATTTAATTTGTGATAAGGTTGAGTCATAATATTCTCAAATATAACATATAAATGCGGTTATTGGAACCGAAATGTTCGACAGAATAAAAAATTTCACACAAAATGAAAATCACAAAGCAATTTAAAATATGAAGTTTTTAAAATTAAATTTTAAAAAGTTAAAATATAAATAAAAAATCAAATCTTCATTTAATTAATATTTAAGTGGATTTTGCTTTAACAGATTTATAATTTGAAATTAAAATTACAATGATGTTTAATATTGATTTATAAAATTGGCAATTTAATATATAAATAATAAATAAAGTATAAATCTATATGATATTATATTTTGATTTCTGAATTGAAAATACGTATCCTGCGATTGCGCATCAATTTGAATGCATATGTATTTTCCAGGATGGTATACTGATTGAAAATATGAACGATATTCCCTATGTGAGGCAGAAAGATCTATCACCGGAGATTACAACTATGATGACAAGAATTTGTTCAGAAGTTAGGAAAGTTGTGCCGCAAAGTATCGCATGTGGTGTTCAGGTAAAAAGAAATTTGCACACATATATATATTTACACACACACATATATAATTATTAATATATATTATTTTTCGTTTCTTTAGAATTTAAATTCGAATTCATCAATTTATAAATGCTTTGTTATCTAAATTTTTCTAAATGATAAATTGACATCAAATTGCTGTTGAATTATATCGATTTCATGTGTTTAGTTAATTATATTAAAATTATATGAAATTAAATTAATTATAAAAAATTACTAGGTGTAGAATTGTCTTTATTATATGTATTAATTTATTTAAAATTTTATTGATTTAATTAATGTTAAATTTACTAAATTAACTTAATGTCAAGTTACGATGTAATATTTAATTATATCTTATTTAATATATATTGTATCCTATATTTTATTTAACATACCTTTATATTGTATCTTATATTTACAATTAATGTTTATAATCGTTTGTCAGAAGCTTTTTTAAATTATCGAATGTTGCTTTGATAGATTCTCGCAGGGTGCAACAAGGAAGCGATCGCAGTTGCCAAGGCTGCAGAATTGCAATTTATTAGAGCCGAAGGATTCGTCTTCTCCCACATGGCCGATGAAGGCTTTATCGATGCAAACGCCGGAACTTTATTGAGATACAGAAGGCAGATTGACGCAGGCGACGTTCTCGTGTTTGCCGATGTCAAGAAAAAACACAGGTGAGATCATTTGAGCTTTAAGCTAATTTAAAATAGATGAAAGGATATCTTTATAATTAAAAAAATATTAATAATAACATATAAGGAAAATCTCGGAATTTCTCCGGTTAAGAGTGTTAAATATATACAAGAAATAATTATACGCTGACGTTACGCTTTTCTCCCCTCCCGTAATTTTATATCGCGAAAATAAAGCTTTGCGTAAACATTCTATTTTTCGTCATCTTTCTCTTTGATATTTTTACAGCTCGCATGCGATTACTTCCGACGTGAGCCTGTCGGAGACGGTAAAAGCTGCGGAATTTTTTTTAGCTGACGGCGTTATATTAACCGGTAACGCAACTGGAGAGGAAGTAAGCATAAGGGATCTTTCAGGTATCTTTTTTCTTAAACTTTTTTCTTAGAATCTTCATGTAATATAAGTGCGACTCCAAAGAAAAGGAAACAAGAATTTTAATAGAAGCTATATTTATATATACACAAATATATCAGGTATTTATATACAAGTGTTATTTAAAATGTTAAAGCGACGACATCTTTTAATTAGCTTTTATTAATTTATATATATATATATAAATATTTGAGATCTTAAAGTGACGAAAGCTCTTTATTAGTTTTTATCTATATTAAGCTTATCTTTTACAGAGAAAAAATTAAATAAAAATAAACGATCGATATCTTATTCTTAACTAGTTTCCATATTCTTAGCATTTTTTCTTGCGTTGTTTTTCTATTATCTCGTATATTTGTCACGTATGCGTAGAGTTGAAAATTAACGCTTAATTAGAAATTTCAATTTTGCGCTCTATACACTGAAATTAACTTGACTAAACTGTTCAACTAAATTATTATTGTGATAATTAAACATTAGTATTTAAGTCAAATATACGTTTTGTTAGATTTTAATATGTTATATTTAATTTTAATATTTCTATATATTCAATTAACAAAATAGTATTTAATTTAGTATTTAGTCGAACGATCTAGTCAAGTTAACAACTTTTTTTCAGAGTGCAAATAAAAAAAATAAATTGTGAAGAGTATGAATTTTAAATATAAAAATATATATCAACTCCAGATAGCAAAAGTAGTCATTTTGACGTCAAATTACGTCATTTTGATGTCATAATAATTTCTATGGCTATTTTTATATATATTATTAATATTATATTGATATCGCATTAGCTACAGACTTATGTCGACCTAGTGAGGACCAAAAAAGAAAAAGAAAACATGTACATATTGCGCTTTGCAGAAGTGCGAGAATGCATCGCGGAGAGGCTGCCGTTGCTGATCGGCTCGGGTGTGACGTTGGACAACGTGGACAATTACTCGAACGCGGCGGACGCCCTGATTGTGGGCTCGTACCTGAAGACGGGCGGCCGATGGGAAAACGCGCCCGATCCGGAGAGAGTCCAGGCTCTTGTCGGACATTTAAAAGGCCAGCAGCGCCTATGACGACACGCGATTCTGTCGAGCCAGCCAGAAACCCGGCAGCTGTTCGACCAGCTGAGCGAGCTTCCACCTTCGATTGGCTCCGTCGATGTCAGGGCTGAATATCGAAACTGGCGCTTCGTGTACCTTCGAAAGTCGCAGCGGCACACGGGACGAAGAAAATATCGATCGAATAAGAAAACTCATCGTTTTCTTTTTCATGATAGAAGGAATTTTGAGGAACGTTAATGAGAGTATCTAATGTAAGTCTAGTATCGTAAGTTTGTATATTATAGCAATAGAGGAGCTGTGTGTTTCGAAAGAGCTGCTCTCTTCTAGAACATAGACTTCATTGATCCGTCATTGCTAACGCTGGGCTTTGCAAAGCTGAAGCGTGACAAAATTTAGGGAAAGATAGATGAGACGAATGATCTGCAAATAAAAGAGTTGCGAAATGAGACAGTGCAAAACATGGTGATGTTAAATTGAGTTACATAAATAATTAGAAATACAAATTTTATTTGAGGATTTAACGATTTGACGAAGCCAAGAAGAAATATTTAGAGTAATCGTGAAATTGATTTTAAAATTTTAGAATTCATATGATAAGAATAATCTTAAAAATTCTTAGGAATTAAGAATAATCTTATCTTTAAGTTCTTAACGCAAAAACATTTGTAAATGTCAGAATTATTAGATACGCACGTTAAGAATATATGTATATGTTCTTAGATAAAGTCAAAATATACACATCGCAGATAGAGTTTATAAACAAACTTAAATATTTTGCAGAAGTATTCAAGATCAATAAATACGAAAAATACATTATAAATATCGGATAGATATATATATATTATTACTTTTTTCTATCTCAAAATACAAATAAATTTTAAGCGGATCACTTATCCTTCTCTCATTCCTCAAATTTCGTCATTTTTCGATATATATGGATCCTTATGTTAAATAAACAGATGGTCGATCCAAGTAACAGTTCTACAAAAATTGAACTGCAAGCAAAAGCGCAAAACATCAATACGAAATCAAAAGGCTATCTCTTTCATAGTTTAATCCACGAACCATTGGAATCAGCATTTTTAGGAGGGGAGAGACGGGAAGGAGAGGGCAAAAAAAATCATTATTCTAACGCAACGTATCGACTCCGCGGATCTATACCAGGCACACACGTCAAAATACACCCCTGACATCGCTCTATGGAGTACATCCCACCATCCCACTCTCTCTTCTCTCTCTCCCCTCCCTCATCCCATGCATCGACATTGTCTTTCCCCCTACGCTATAAACCCTCGTCATTCCCTCGGCTGATGCTCGGCCCGATGATGATGAGGTAAGAAGAGGGGACGGTGAGGGAAGGAAAGGCTCCCTCTCCACATCTCGTTTTCCCCATTCCTAAAATCCCTTCTTCACCCAGGCAACTGAGGCAACTCATTTCTGTTCTGTCCAACTCTGCGCCTAACTGCCTCTCCCCTCTCTCACCCCCTCCCTCCTCCCCCGCTATCGGGAAACTATATTCCCTCTTCGTTCCCCACCGTTCCTCACTAACCCCGCCTCTCACCCCCGCACAGTGCCTCGTAATCGGTTGCCTAGCCAGCCAGCCAGCCAACAGTCGAAATCAGCTGACGGCGAGCAGTTGCTACCACGGCTCCTCAAACGCGATACTATTCAGGCGAGTCGATCGCTTCGCAAGCTCTTTTCCGTGCCATCCTCTTTTTGTTTTATTTTTTTATTTTTATGTTGTGTACACCTCTCTCTCTCTCTCTCTCTATATATATATATATCCATTCTCTACTTTCCCTAGTCTATAACGTAGCGGTAAACTATGTGTGTCTGTATATGTGTGTCGCTTTTCCGCTTTCCGTAAGCTTTGTGTAGCGTCGTGTAACAGCGATGACGGTATACATCAGAATTGACGTACTTTGACGTAACTGGTCAGAAGACACCAACGACAATGACAGTTCTCCTGTCATTCGCGTTCTGTCATACAGTTTTGGAGATCATCGACGCGCTTGAATCTAGTGTGAGGGAGACCTCAAAGATAAGAGATGAGGAAAACTACGAATATAATAGTCCTAAAAAATAGGCATAAGTTTTTTCGAATGATGATTTTCACGATTGTGTTGTTGTTGTTGTTGTTGTGCAGTTGAAGCTACGCCATGGTACGATGGGTGGTTATATGGTACGAGAAAGTGAGGGAAATTCGGGAAAGGAAGGAAAATGTGAGGCGTTCACGCGCGAGGCCAAGTGGGACGATAGCGAAATGGCTTGACGTCGAATTTATTTACTTTCTTTATCGTGTTGCGAACTCTTTTACACGATCTGCCTGCGGCTGGTGTATATATGTGTATGCGCATGTATCCGTGTATGTGAGGAAAATTCGAAAACTGAGGCAAATGGCAAATTGGAGTATCGATCGATTAAACAGGCCGATCGCACAGAGCCATTTTTTGCGAATTTTCACGATTTAATTGTTTAATTTTATCGATAAATCAATTTATTTCGATTTCGTAAGCACGAAATTTGAGAAACGAGAAGAACAAGTTGTTGACGTCATCTGATAAAAGTGTACATTTTTTATATTTATATCTCGTAGAGAAATACGAAAGAAAATAATTGCGAAAATCGACTAATATATGAGGATAGCTACTTAAAAATGTCTTATTAACGAATTTTCTTATTTTATATTTGTGTAAACTTTTTTTTATCATTTTTTATACAATTTATTGCGCGTGGAAATAGACACAAATGTAGGAAAAAATTTATATAAAAACATTAAGGACGAGACAGCTCTGAGTTTAGGACGCCAAGTTGTGATTACTGAAAGAGAAAGAGGGGAGGTGAAAGAAGAAGGGAGAGGGGATGGAGAGAGAAGAGGGGAAGAAGGGAGAAAGTTATGTGAATGTGTCTTTGTGTTATATATCTCATTGTTGCATTATATCTTTCATGATAAGATTTTTTCATTAAAAAAAATATGCTAATTAGAGATGGATTAGCAGTGGAAAGGCGACTTCAGGGTCGATTACACTTCGTTATGCGTTGTTATCGTACGATTCATTTAACTTCATTTTTGCGTTAATTGAATGTTTGGATAACGAAGAGAGAAAAACAGAGGGAGTTTAATTGTATACTTTAATCTTTTAGATATTAGTATATCGCGCTAGTCGGGTAATAGCTCAGATTTTAAAATGACGTGAGTCATTCAGCCAATTGTGAAATAACTCAGGATGATGATATTGCAAGAATAAATTATACAATCTATATATTTTTACATGTATAATATCATACACGTACAAATATGAGTTTTATTACAATTAGATTATTACCGTTAAGAGGAAAAAAATCGTTGGTGTAATGCCATGATTTGATATGCAGAAGAATTCTAAGTCTATTACATTTACATTTTCATCGTAAATTTCTTTCGAATAAATATACAAATGCTGTTCATATTTATAAAAACCTAATTTATATTTTTAATTCGGTTAGTTATTGCAAATTTATTATTTTAACATTATATAATGATTATATCATTTTTAATTATATTATTTTTTATTGTTTATAGTAATATTATTTGTAAATATTTATATTTTTTATAATTATATTTTTAGTACTTATATTTAGAGAGTACTTATTGTATTTGTTTTATCAGTAATTATTTTATTATTTGAATCTTTTTCGAAAATTATAATCTTATTAATTAAATTATATTAAATTATTAAATCAAAAATTAAATCACATTAATAATTTTCAAATTGCAATTACAAAAAAATAATCTTCAGTAAATTAAACAGAAGGCGGAAAAATTACGTTATCTGTTAAAAAAAAACTAGGGAGATTATCAAAAGATGATAACATTTCCAATGATTATATTATTGATTATATTGCATCTGTCTGTTGATGTGTTTGGCTATTTGTCTCTGTATGTGTGTTGTATAATGCAGAAGTAAATATATATATATATATTTTTTTTTCAATATTTTCCCAAAGGAATCACATCAAAAGAATCTTTGAAGCTAATTTTATCTACTTAATTATATCCATGCGCGCATATACATATATATATCGAATAAATGAAATCTCGTTTAAACATGCATATATCATAATGAGTTATTATGTACTTTTGTGCATTATTGAATGTGTATTCAAACACAGGTTTAATAATAAGCCTCTGAAAGAGGACTTACGCCACTTGGATTAAGATAACATCGAGAAATGAGTTATAAGCGCGTACATTTGTGTCAGTTCGTATACTTATAATTATATAATTGGCACGTGGTATATGTAACGAGGAAAACTACTGGCTGAGAGAGGACTCGTTGCCCTTCTAGCACCAGAGAGAAGCAAATTCGAGATCAAGGTCGTCGTGATCGCTTCGCTCGCGCGCCCACGAAAACGCGTCGAGATTATACAACAGAATGAATGAGAGGGAGAGAGAGGGTGGAGAAGAGAAATAGAGTTAGAGTCAAAATACAGGGATCCAAGAATCTGTTTTAGAATCTTTAGAAGTCTCAGTGTCTAAGAATACGATTTTCTGCCTTGTCTTCCTCTTGCCCTCTCAACCTTTCTTCTCTTTTCCAGTGTAGGATAAACAATGACAACATTGGAATTTGTACATAATATTTTTTTCCATTTGCTTGCAAATCTATAAAAAAATATCAAATATTATATTATATAATATTTTTGTCAGAAAATATTTGACAAAAATATATCTTATATAATATTGATATCAAAGTATTAAACTGGCATTATATAAAGTAATAAAGTTTATATGCCACTTTATGATTTAATTTTACTATTTATATTTATTAAAATAATGATTTAAATAATAGTTTAAATAATAGTTAAAAAAGTAATAATTTTATAAGTAAATAGTTTGAAATAAATTATTTTATTTGAATTATATATATTTATATAAATAATTATATACATATATAAACACAATATTGATATAGAATTTTTATTATTACAGACATCGGACGATCAGGATGTTGGGTAATTTTGTCGGTTACTTGTTCGGAAATAATTATTCCGGCACACAAGATTCGCTCGAAGAGGATCCTCGAACCCGAGGGATAATGCGGAGATTCAGGCAAGTGGAGGTCGAGGACGATGAATGGATCCTCATTGACCGAACTGGTACATAATTTATTGTTTTTTGGTAATTATTGTAAACTGTATGTATGTAGAGAGAGAGAGAGAGAGGGAGAGAAAGATTATTATAGTCTAATTTATAATTTTAATCGAGATTTTCTTAGAAATATTTACGTGTGATAAAAAGATTGTTAAAATAGTGTCTTTTGTCATTATTCAATTATTCACAATAAGTTATTCATTTAATATCTTTATGAGTTTGTTGTACAAGAATTAATGTAAATGTAGTTGTAACTTCCGGGATTTCGCTTATAAAACGAGTTAATCATTTTTATTATTGATTCATAAAATATCTTATCTACGAGAGATTTCGTTTATGTATATAATAAAGCGTTTTATGATGCGCAGTTATTTTCTGCAATTTTTACTGCGAATAAAATACTGTTAAATATGTACACTTCAACATGTTACAACATTTTTCTTTCCGCCTGTATCTCGAGCATTTCTTTTTCTCAAGTATTATTCTTGGAATTTTGAATCTTCAGTCTCTTCTTTACCCTTTTATTTTTATGCTTCACGCTCATCTTGATTTTTCGACTGATTGTGTGCTCTCTTTCCTCTTCTTTCAGTTGAGGGTACGCTGGAGGAGCCGTGGTATGAAATGCCACCGGCAGTGTTCACCAAGAAGGGCCCATTAAAGTGGCAACTTCTCCTATGGAGAATCTGCTGATAGAGCATCCTAGCATGTCGGTGTACTCCGTCGTCTCGGGTACGTCTCCCCCTGTCACTCCGGACACTCCACCCCCTTCGCCGGACAGATGGATAGAGGACCAAAAGGACGTCGATGTCCGACAAACCGCCGACGTTCCTCAAAATGTCCCCCCGGCGCCGCCAGCTGATCTCTCGTCCTCCACGTCCTCCGCGCTTTGTACCGTGTCTACGTCCTTGGATAGTCTAGACCGAAGTAACATCGACGAATTGTCCCGCAGAGTTGTCGCGGAATTACAAGCCATTCACAACGACAAACTGCCCGCATCAGATAGCAATAATAACGGAGTTAGGATCGGAAATCAGCTCCGGTCCGCTCAGCAACGAGCTCAGGAGGTAAACTTGAAGAATTTCTCAAATTACTGCAGTCTTACATACTTACGTATCCGCACTCGTGCGAGCTATCTTGAAGACTCATAATCGATGATTCGAGGCATTTATAATCGAGAATGTTGTTAAATCGAGAACTCACTCTATCTCTTGTCTTCGCAGGTGTTACAAAAACGCTCGACTCAGGGCCTGAAGAGGACCCGTTTAGAAAGGAGCAACAAGGCGCGTCAGGCAAAAGGCAAGCGGCTACGTCGCCAAGACCGTTTGCGCGTTTGTCACAGCGGCGCCAATAACAACCGAAAATGCTAGTCATCCGATCTCAGGTCAACCTGTACTTAAACTTCTTCCTAAAACGCGACGATCAACGCAATGACAAATATAGATTACTCGGTGAAATTTCGCTGCAATGACAAAAGTTAGTATTTACAAGAATTATCATCGATGAAAGAGTAACAAAATCCTTTTTGCGGTATGTGCTACTTCTTTATCGATGATGTAAAATATTAACTTCTCCGATATAAGACACTTTAGTGGCTCTCAGATGAGAGTCTGACCATTATATTAGATTTTATATATTGAATGCGTGCGTGTGAATATGTATTGTATATGTGTACGGAGTAGTGTTTATAGTAATAATTGTTGTAGAATTCACTTTAATCTTTTGATACATTCTGCAAAAATGGCTGATTGTTGTACGCGTAATTGTAATTTAATGACACGCCAAACGACTCTCAATGACATTTTTCCGTTAGCGATGGAAAATAAACATTACGAGTATATTCAGCCTAATTCTTCGAGCTAAATCAATTAATAAAAAGTCAGAAAATGACTTGAGGTCAGACTCTCAATCGAGGACTAGATGACTTGATTTGTTCATTGTTATGTCGCAAGTTATAGATCAAATGACAAAGTGTCTTACAAAATTTACAAATGTGTCCAAATGTTTATGTATAATTTTCAATTTATTTTTATTATTTATTCAAATAATAATATAGCATATATATGAGAATATAATATATATGCACAGCAGAGGAAAAATAATTGCTGTAACGAAAATAAGAGTCAATTGCAACTTTTGTAAGAAGTTATTTTATACACAAAAATGCTGCTGCTCAGAACAATCTCAATTCGATCGGTTCGGAGTTCATTGTGACGAAATTTTACTTGTCAAATGCGTTCTTGTTTGCGTAAGCGTGCGAGGAAGTGTGTACATTTGGTGATTATGATAAAAGGCACATGTGACATGTTTAATCCTTTCTAGAAAAAAAATACGAGTGACATGTTTAACCCTTTCTAAAATGATCATAGATACAATTTAAAGAAAATGTTTGACATCGTAAGATCCTCTTCCCTCCCCTTCATGTAAATCTTCATACAAGATTCTTTATATAGAAATCTTTACACAAGAACAATACATATTTTAAACTCCATATATTAATGCAATCATTATGTTAAGGAATAGAATAATTACATTAATCCCAATTTATTTCTAATAATAAAGATAATAAAGTAAAACTCCTTACCCCCCTACATTAAAAAAAACATGGAAATGAGAAATGATGAAGCTCTATAGTTAATATATTGAAAGTGTTGATGAATTAATCTCACAAAGAATAAATTCTTATCACTTTCTTTCAATAAAAATGTATTTTAGAAAAATAATGAGAAAATATATTAATGTACAAAATAATTTTTTAAAATTTGTGGCCTTGTACAGCTGACCGAAACAATACTTGAGAAACGTAATTCCGTCGTGAAAGGGTTAACAGGGTCCTCGAGCAAACACAGTCACAAGGACAAGATATATCACAAGGACGTATATCGATATCAGTATCATTAAGAGAGATATATTTGATCTGTCCAATCTTTCATTTAATTGCTAAAACTCTATTAATTATTATTTATTTGATTAAATGACAATGTGCGTAAAGTGTATGTATACGAACCAAATCACAAATGGCATGCACGAAGCCCTGAAAGTCTGTCTTTTGGTTCTCAGTAAAAATATTATAATTATTATTATTAGATTTATATTTGCGCATCTTATATATAATTCCTTATGTCCGTTTGGTCATAAAATTCTTGGGCTCTCAGATTCATGGATCATTAAATTGCGTTAAACATTTAGAATTTGAGGATTTAAATTCTTATAAAATTATATATTTTTATATATTATATATATTATATATATATTGAATATAATATATAAAAATATATTTTAAAAATGTATAATTATATATTTAATATATATTATATAATATAAATAACATATAATCATTTATATTATATGTATATTTAAATATATATATATATGTACATTATATTATAAATTTTCACAAAATGTACTTGGTGACGTATATAAATAATTTAAATTATCGAATTAAAAAAAATGTCTATATCGAGGTATTTCTAAATGTGCGAATTGATTGAGCTCTTGATTTTCTGAGAGATCCTTGAAATTTTATTCTATTGCCTAGATGGAATTACATCCTTGGATGATATTTTCGGACCTGTATATGTAAATTGCACATCTGAATTTTCTTCAGATTCTTGGATAATGGATATATAATTAGTATTCATTTTCCATTACATCTTTTTCTTTCCTCGGATTTTCTCACAAGTCCTTGGGCGTTATTTACACACCTTTTGGGATCCTCAGATTGATGCACTATGAAGAATATATCGCAATTGTATTATATATATATACCGTTTTATAGTTGCCTATTATTAACATATTACGATGGCATAGTGTTCAAAATAAAGGATTCCTCTCATCTCGAACGAATCTTTTTAAATCATTGATTTTTCTATATTTATTTATAACAGAAATTATAGTGATATTCTGTCTAACGTATCTACTTTTCATATAATGTGTAATTTATTTCTTTTAAGTTACTTTAAACTTAAGTAAGTTATTTTTAATCTCTACTTTAATCTATGTACAATAATGTACATGATTTGCTTCTAGTTTCTTTACTCAATCTTAAAATTTATGTTAATTTTAAGGGTAAGAGTCTTAATTATTAATCATCTATAAACTTTCACAAATAATGTATCTATTAAATATTAAATATAGAAGAATTGATTTTATATTTATTTTTTTGAGTTATGTCAAAATAAATGCGTTTGAAGTTGTCTATTTTCAGCTACGTTGTTTATTTCATAATAATTAATTTAATTAACATCATTAATGTTAAATATTTTATTTTTAGCTGCCCATCTGTAAATAACATTTTGAAAAGGGAATTTTTCCGGAAACTGTCATGGTGCACAAACATCTAGATGCGACGTAGTCAACCAAAAATGCCTAGTGATCTACATTCTAATCTAGTCATTTTTAGGAATGCGTACAACAACCCTGCGACGACTAGAATTTCAAATACGCACCCTTGAAATGCTACAACGCAGTTCGTGTTTATGTTCGTCGGAATCGTGGAAGGTTGGTTTAAAAATGGCGCGCAAGATCAGAAAGAAAGGAGTAATTGGAGCAAGTGTGTCCTGAAGAAAAAATTATTCATAGAAAAAGAAGGAAGAAGCACGATGGCTTATAGTCAAATCCTGCGTTCCGATCTTCAGGATCTTCTGGATCAATACAGAAAAATACGCGATGTATGTATACAAGAATTGTGTACAAGAATTATTGTATACATCTTTATTTATATCTCAAGTGTCATATGAATGTTAAACTTCTACAACTCTGACAACACTGGCATAATCTGATGGCTATATCTGATAAATAGCTTTGAATTTCGATAGAAATGTGCAAAATTAATCTTTAAATAATTGTATGCGGAAAATTGAAAGATATATAGATGCATATAAATAACAAAATTTTATATTTTATTTTATTTTAACCCTCAACAGGGTATATGTTAAAATTTTTATGTTCACTTTTTAATTCTACAATTTGTTTATTTTATATATATATATCATAAGATTTAAATGAATCAATTTAATTTAAAAAATCTCTTAATAAAAGATATCCTTTTTTTATGCGCGGCAGGAATTTTCCGCGCTTTATAATTTCAGTGAAAAGCAGGAAAAGTCCTTAGAAGCCGAGCGCGAACGATCAAGAATGTTGCAGTACAGATTAAATAGAGTGCTTTGCTTGTTAATGAGTCGTGAGGAAAATCACAAGATATCCTTGGACAAATTGAAGAAGGAGAATAAACAATTGCACAATATAATAGCCACTACACAACGAGAATGCGAACGTGATAAGTTTCTAAACAATGACAAAGGTAATAAAAAAAAACATTCAATTTTTTAAAAATCTTGATTTGTTGTACATCTTTTCATATACATAAAATTGTAATTTAAATGAAAACTTTGAATTTTTAATTTTTTTTCAAAACTATTTTAAGAATGTTGTAGGTCTTTATACATGCATAAGAATTTAATAATAAAATTAATTAATAAAAGTTAATTGTATAAAAAAAATGATTTTAAAAAATAGTAGAAACGAAAATTTGCAGAAATGAAAATAAATAAGAGAATTGATAAAAGTGGAAACTAAAAGTTGGTTTGGTGCAGTTTCTAAATTGCAGGTCGAAAACGATTTTTTGCATATGCAAATGATACAGCTCGAGGAAAAGCACAGGCAACAATTAATATCGCAAAATAAACGTCACGAGGATGAGATTTTAGAGTGCAAACGTCATTTGGGGAATGTGGATATGAAATTACTTATGGTAATTATATTAATTACTTATTTTTTACACGCGTTTATTTATTTAATAAATTTATCGAATTTCTCTCTACATAATAAAACAAAAAGAGAAAAAATTCATTGATATAAAAATGGTTTATTTAATTGAATCTATTAATGTATTCAACGCATTATATCCTAAAGTATAAATTTCGATATATTTTTTTATTATGAAGAAGCAACATGTGGTCGTGGAGAAGTTTCAAGGAACGAAAAATAGATCAAAGGTTCATCCTGCTTTTATAAATGAAGAAAATGTGGAAAAAAAGAAAAATCGAGTTGGCAAGTAAGAAAAATTAATTTTGTTTTTTTAATTTATAGATAATTATTAAATAATAATTGCTATTGAGAACAGAATTAATATCTTTAAAACTTTGCATTTAAAAAATTTCATCACAAAGAATAGAACAAAATGTATATATATATATATATACAGAATAATTTATTAATAGTCTGTCAAGTTTTTTTTTAAATATATTAACTATTAAAAGGATTTTCAAAACAGAATTTTATTAATTTTTTTTAAATCTAGAAATTTAAAAATAAAAATATAACAAATATTATACACATGATAATATTATTATATAATTAAGTAATAAATATATACATAAAACAATTTGATGATAAAAAATAATAATGTAAAATTATGATTTTTTTAAGATTGCCTGGATTAGAAATAGTTAGAGTAGAAAAAGTCGCCCGTAAAAGAAGAAAATTATTTCTAAATGACGAGGAAACCGTGGTTGACATTTAAAAACATTATATACTTGCAAATTATCATATACACATATATAAGTATGAAAAGAATTTCAGTTTTAGTTACAACTTGCATATTGTTAATTATAAATATGCTATATACATATATATATATATATATATATGTATTTTTTGGTTACTTATTATTACGTTGTTTTGATCAAAGAATCCATAAAAAAGTTAATATAATTATAAATTAATAAAATAAACTAACGTAATATAACGTTTGAGTTACTGGCTAATAAATAATAATAATAATAATAAAGATGACTTAATTACAAGTTTTTTTCGGTTATAAATTCTTAATTAAAACCTTTAATTGAGCATATAACAGTGTATTATTTATGCTATATATATATATATATATCTCATATTATCGAGTAATTTATCTGTCCATTTCTGGTCCGAGAGAAGCTGATCCTTTTATTTTCTAATTCGACGATTGAGTGAGTTCCAGCTGTTTGTATAATCGATCTTTAGGTGGCCATGTGTGTTTAAATGTCCAATATGTGGTGAACAGATCGCTTCTGTTATATATCTATCTTTATCTGCATGAATTCCATACGGCCAGCATCTTTCTTCTTGCAGAGGATATCGAGAATACTCTTGAACAAATAAATTTACGTAAATCAATAGAGAAAGAGACAAGAAGAAGAGGAGAGATCCGTATACATAATTTAAAATTCGCAAGTATATTTCAATATATATGTATGTATTTTTTTGTCTTTATCTTTTCTTCAAATTAATCTGAATATAAAATTATAGGACCAAATTAATTTCCAAAGATAAAATCCATAAATGTTAAAAATTATACATTACTTATATTATCCACAAATCCATAAATGTTAAATCCATAGATGTTAAAAATTATATATTATTTATATTTTATTAAATATTAAATATCCCAAGTAGCAAACTGACGTCATTCGACGTTAAACTCGAGGTATGCCATGAATTAATTTTTTACATTCGTCTTTAAAAAAAGGAATGAACTTTGCATTTTACATAAAAAGAGCTTCAATCATGATTATACTTTCTGAGAACAACAGATGCGCGCGCGTGAACACCGCAAATTTCGCGCACGATTTAATATCTAGGAGAGAAAGTTTTACACGCGATGAAAATTACAATTACACGGTCGAAGATCGATTCCGTACATCGATGTACGGATTCGCGCACGAGCGCATCGCAACAGAGGAAATTCTTGCGACATCGTGTCGCGCCATAAGACATTATTAAGTATAACGACAGCACATATAAAAAAACTTTCTAACGCGTTACGGACCATAGAAATCGTTCGATTTCTCGAGGTGCATTTCGAATGGAAAACTATAGAAAATAGAGTATTATGCGTTCTTTTTTTTTCTTCAGATATATACGACGTGAAATCTGCAAAATTGGACTCGCGCCATATATTTGCCAGAGTGACATACATCTATCTGTTTAACGATTTTATTATATCTCTGAAAATATCAATATCATGGGCTTTAATTTCAGCTTTTCGTAAATTTAGTTTTCAGTAATTTCGATATAACACATTTTAAAATCTATAAAATTATTTAAACATTTCTACATTTCTTTAAAATGTAATTATCTATTAAAAGTTTTTGAAAGAGAAATTAGAAAATTAAATTTGGTATATATTTTTAGCATTTAAAATTATATTAAATTTTTAATTTAAATTTAAAAACCGATATTATTTATATGGAATAAATCAATATACTTTAATAAATCGTTGTTTTGAAAAAATATAGCTATAGGTCAAACGAACATATTTGAATATATAAATAAATAATTAAAACATATTTGTGTAGAAATGTCAAAGGGATCACATACTAATAAAGTGTTATATAATTTTCAGATAATTCCGAGCTGGTATAGACGAACCTTACCGAATAATCCAGGCGTGTAAACCGGAAACGGTGCAGTGTAATCCATTCCCTCGTCCTCGTAGATAGTTTGCTGATAATAGAAGCCATTGTTTGTTGGCTTAATTGGTCTACGGTACAGTTCTTGCGCATATGGGGAACCATCGTATTCCGGTTCTCTCGATGAAGGTGAGGCATACCTGGAAAATTCGTTCAGAAACCAATAATCGATTAAGGACCAAAATTGGCGAAAGAATCAAACGAGGATACTTACTAAACTTTATCTCGAAAATGTGTTATCATTATCGAAATTAAAAATATAATAATTCTCTCTTTAATTTGTGAAAATTGATTTATATGCACAGTAACTGCTGTAAGAGTTTCAGATTAATTGTTTTGTTCCAAGTTTTATTAATTTCTTAAATTATTATTGCCACATACAATTTAATATTATATAATTATATATATATATATATATATATATATATATAATTATATAATATTAAATATATAAATTGTATATGTGGCAATAATAATTTAAGAAATTAATAAAACTTGCAACAAAACAATTAATCTGAAACTCTTGAAGCAGTTACTGTGCATATATAATTGATTATATTATTGATATGAATATTAACGATTAAAATAAATTAATAATAATTTAATAGAATTTTAAGTTGTAAAAATATTGATAAGTATATTTAAATAGATTATTAAAGAGAGAGGATGTTATGATTCTAAATAGAAATTATACATACATATATTTTTGGCATGAAAAAGATTTCTTTTTCTTAAATTATATCTCGAAATAGGATGAGAAAACAACTTATATATATTCTTTTTAATTTTTAATATAATAACTTAATGTGTACTTGCAGACCCTCAATTTTACAGGATTTTCTCTCGTGTATTACCAGTATTCCGAGTACGTCCGCACATCGCGGGAAGATCGTTCCTCGTTCGTGGGAGGACGTCGCGTACGGCGCGGCACCTCGGCGACGCTGTGACGGCGCAGATAAGCGTAATTCTCCAGGTCCCACGGGTCCACGTAATGACGACCGCCAACATCGCTTCCGGAACTGCCGGAGGTCGAGTTTCGAGAGTCCACCGTACTCCAATAGATCGACGATTCCGCCGGCATTTTCTTCTATCTCGAGAATGCAATGAAGCTTTTTTGAAGAAAGAAAACATGTTAAATTCCTTTTGCGAAATGTTTCTTCCGGTCTTATGCAATATATTTGATTTATATATATTTATCTAAAATTAATTAATATTCTTAAATTAATTTTCACAAGTTATATTGATTTTTAATATCATAAAATTATCAAAATTGACTATTTTTTTATTAATAACAATTATATATATGATATGTGTGCAATACTCTATAAATTATCTATCGTCTTTCACTTGATAATTGACTTATTGTCATTTTCTGTTTTTATATATTTATTTACTTATTATTTGTTCATGAAAGAATGTCTTACCTTAATTGGAAATCTTCTTCGCACGTCTTTCCACGTAAAATTCTTTAGATAAAGATATATTCAAAATATTTATTACACTTAACAAATAAATACTTAATAAATTTTAATTCATCTTAATTCACTAATTAATTTCTTTCATTTTTTTGACTTTTCTAATTGTAAAAAATATTCTTTTACTTTTTCACGTTTTTTTTCCAAAATAATTGTACGTTATTTATTTATTACTTTTATATTTCTATTATTATAAACTCATGTGTATATATTATATAATATATGTGATCTTGATTAGATATTTACAATTTTTTTGTGATAGCACGCCGACTTCAGTTGCTCTTCCTCGTCCTTGTACGAGCCGCGCACGCTTCGAGTGCAGTTTTGCTTCTGCGGCCGCAAAAGCAGAAACATTTCCCGCTCTTCTTGGTGAAATCCTCACGTACACTTTCACGCCCGCATACGAATCTCGTGGCCCGACCATTCGCATTCTGAATCCTGCGATGATGTGTATATTGAGCGGAATCAGAGCACGCACGTGTACTATTCAAGGACACACTACTTTCGACAGTACTCGAAAAATGATTCGGAACTTTTTTCACGATTTATTCATCACATCTCTCTTATTTGAAAAGTAGATCCAAAAGACTTTGCTACGAAATTCGCACTCTGAATTCTAAATGGGTCTTTCATTTGAAGTACTAGCAGACATTCAATTGTTTCTCTTTAGATTCATGAAATTTTATATACATGATGAAATATTAAATTACTATACATATCTTCTTAAATTTGAATAATTAAAGAATGAAGGATTTTGGGATATTAAAAAATGAGGTATATCTGACTATCTCTAAGTATATAAATCAACAACTTTGACGTAATTTTTTATTCATTCATCGTCAAACAGAAAAAAGGCATCCTAAAGAGATAAAAAGAAATGAGTAGAGTTGACTATATTAGCTTAAATAAAAAAAATTATGCTATTATTATGTACACTCTTGTTTGGTTTTTATATATGTAATAATAAAATAACTCTCGATATTCTTCAACGAATGTAGGAAGAAAAACTACATGTCATGATAATATCTAAATCCTCTAATCTTTATCTGGACTTACAGTTTTATTATGTTTGTTTTTCCTAATACTTTGTTCAATATCAGATATATCAGAGTTATTAATAATTGTTTTGTCTTTTTTAATCTTTTCCTCTGACTGGTAAATTTTTCTGTTCTTCGATATCTAAATTTATCTAATATATAGATTTTTCTAAAATTATAAATTCTCAAACTCTACAATCCTTAAATCCTAGATTCCTTAGAATCTTCAAAGTCTTTCCAATGTTTAAGTCTTTGGGATTTACGAATTTCAGATCACATTTTTTTTTTTAGAAACTTCTTAAAGATTTTTTTTATATTTTTTAAACTTTAAATTCTGTAATATCCTTTTTGATTTTTAGTTTGTAAGTTTTTATAAATCTTGAAATCTTCTAAATTTTCTACTGCAATATACAAAATATTTTATGAAACATATGTTAAATTTTGACACAAGTTTTTCGAAACACTGTATATGTATGTGTGTATGTTTTTGTACATATATCTGTTATGGTAAAATCTAAACTTAAAATTTAACTTAATTGTTTAATTAGCGGCAGATCTATTAGTAAGATTAAGATGTCTTTGAAATACCAAGAGATAATGACACGATAACAATGTTTGTTCTAAAACTACATAATTCTGATTTTTCACAAATTAAAAATTTATATTAATTATTTCATTAAATAATAAATGTTAATAAAATATATAAATATAATAATATATATAGTAATATATATATATAATTTATAAAGTGATATAATATATTTATATTACTTTATATATATTTTTATATAATAAAACTGAAATAATTTTTAACTATAACTAAAAAAACGTAGATTTGCCACTAATTATTTCACACATACACATACAATTTGCGTGTACAAACAGATATTCGAATAGAACAAACCGATAATAATTAACATGATGATTATCTTCACAATTATGCAAATAGAAAAAAAATTTGTCAAACAAAAGCTTTACGGTACAAATAAAGTTTCACAATATAATAATAATCTTATGCAATTTTGTTCGATAAATTTTCTCCCTATTCGCACCAGGTTTTGAAAAATGTTTAAAATACTAATTGGCCTAATTGCTAATAATTTATCTTATATATATAAACTAACAATAAGTATTATTTATAATCTCAACTTTCTTTCGACAATACTATCATTATAAATAAAGTGCAGCTTTTTTATAACTGCCTCAAAAATTCATTAACAAGACTGCAAGTCTGATTGTAAGTCCAGATAAAGATCAACAACATATCACAGTTTCAGATTTATATTCGTTACGTCTTAAGAGTAATGTCATGCTAGTAGTATCTGCATCAACATCACCTATCGATTATGCACACCTGTTTTTTTACACCGTCCAAGCATCAGTCACATTTAACATTAAATTGTGCTATAGAACGGAATGCAAAAGCTCGACAAAGAAATCCACAAAGCAATCTCAGATCACTTTCATCGTTTCCTGATTTTCGAACTTTTTCTATCGCTTTTGTTCATAAACAAACAATTATAGTTACAGCTATGTCGCAGGAAGTTTTGAAACATTGACCGTGGTTATCTCATCTCGTCTGATCGAGCAATAACGAAGCTGCCATTTCTACATCGTACTTAGTCTGCTTCAGAGCGCTTTCGCACTGTTGTTTATTAGCCAAGCCCAACCTACAAAGAATGAAAGAATGAATCGTATCATAGCTTTCTCCCTTTTTTTTGGACACATTATAGCTTAACAAAAAAATCTATTAAATTTGCACGGCGGCAAATCTGTATAACTGTAATATATAAATGCCGAATCATGGTCTGTTTTAGAGCAGCGGAGGTAATCTAGGCGTAAATAAATCGATTCGCAAAGGAATATCGAGGTCTTTACCTCACGAGACTCTCGACCTTCGCCTGCCTGTCTCTCGCGATCTGCTTGGCGGCCTGATTCGTGTCCCAGCCGGTCGCCTGCAGCGCGGCCAGCACCTCCTGCTGCGAGGCGTCCGCGGCCTCCTTCTGCACCTTCATGATCCTGCTAGCTCGAAACTCATCGCTGAGCGACATCACCAGTTGCTGGGAGGCCCCGGTGAGCGGTGGACTAGTACCGGTTTGGTGTTGATTGACTTGCAGCAGGTTCACCTTGACGGCGGCCAGGTCGTTCACCGTCGACGATCCGGATATATTTCTCGCCGGCGTGGAGCTCTCGGTTTGCAGCAGATTCGAGGGTCCGCTCAAGTTGCACTTGGTAGTTGTGGAATAATGATTCGGCGTATAACCATTTTGACCGGATTTATGCGGGCTCCAGGTCGACGAAGAAGGAGGCGGCGGTGGTGGCGGATTGTAAACTGGCGGCTGCTTCAGATAAGGACTGAAGTCGCAAGAGTGTCCCTGGATAGGCTGATTTCTGCCAATCATAGTCTTTTGTTGCTGCTGATTGCTAGTCATTTCCTGAGCGTAATTTTGGCTCGTCTCCCCGCTCAGGTTATTAGAGTAGTAATTTCGTAATATATTCTGCTGAACAGTCTTATTGTACAGAGTATTGAATTCGTTTTGAGACAACTGCTCCAGATTAGGTACCTGTAAAATATTTAGAACTCGTTTGAGTTTTTAAAATCTCATCAGATTTTAATAAGTATCGTTACACAAAATGTTATCATTTATTTTTTTACGTGTTGTTTAATCTCCATTTTGCAATTATTATATAATCTACTGGATAATTACGAAAATTACATACCGTTTGTTTTAATTCGGCGTACACTTGCTCGGATAAAAGCGTGGCGGGCTTCAAGTGTTGCAGTTGCTGCAAATCGTTCTGTATGTGAGCGATCTTGTGGCTATTACTCGCGCCAGACGACATTGGCACATTCTGAGGAGGAGTCTGATGCAAAGCGGCGCCGCTCTGATTCTGCAAGTAATTCTGACTCGTCGTCGGACAAGTCTGCGCTTGACTGGCGAAAGCGGCCTTGGAGATATTGCAAGATCCGTACAGAGAGGATTCGTTACCGGAAGCGCGATTGGCAGTCTGAAGCAAACTAAGAGCAACGCTCGATGCGTTGTAATTCTGGCTGCCGGATGACGAAGTCTGCGTCTGATTCAAGCTGGACTTAGAAGAGTTCGCGACATCGTATTGAGGCTCGTTCGTGACACTGTTAGTGGCAACCTGCAACAAATTGAAGACACCCTGGCCGACGTTCGACGAATTTTGAAGATAACTTTCAGGGTTCGCTGAAGAACAAGCTTGAGCTTGATTAAAAGTGGTCTTGGCGAGATTGCTGGGACCATGTTGAGCCTCGTTCGTGTTGCCAGCGATGGTGCTGGTGGTTCCGTGAAGCAGATTGATATTACCCTGATTGATATGCGTCATGCTTGAGGGAGAATGATTATGATTCGACGAGCTAGCTTGTGACTGTGTGGAGATGGCTTTGGCGACATTGCTGGGACCATGTTGACCTTGATCGTTCGCACCGGTATTGATGTTGCGGATGACTTGATGGAGCAGATTAACGCTTCCCTGAGAAACTGGCGTTAACGTCTGACCTGCAGTAGCCAACTTGACCAGGCGCATGTTTTGATCTTGCTGGTCCGCCTGAACCTGCTTCCGCCACATTTTATCCAATACGTCGTCGGTGGTCAACTCTGAGCGTTGTTCATCCTGGGAACGCGGTTTCTGAATGTTCGTACTTTTTGACTGCCAAGAGTTTTGTACTTTACTAGTAGATGGCGTCGACGAGAAAGACGCTGGACGATCCGTCGTTGTCACCGGGGATTTTGATTTCTTGTGTGGCGGAGATTTCAATGCTGGAATAACGGACAAAGGTCTAGGGGCGTCTTCTACCGTCGTCGTGAGCTGCTGAGTCGACGCGGTACCCTGTTGTAACTTGTCCTGCGACGAGCGCAAGTAATTCGCGCCTCCCCGTTCCTGGGAGCTCTCTTCGCCGTTGGTAGAATTCGTGTTCTTCGTCGCCTCCTTCTCGCCCAAGTGCTTCTCCAGCTCGGCCAAGAAGGTAGGATCCAGCTTTCTCGTCACATTGGCACTAGAGTTGGAATTTAGCGATAACTCGTTCATACTCCGTGCGAGCTCGCAGTTGGATTTTGGCTTGGACGGACTCGTGTTTGGTCCGATGGAGGGAGGAGGTGGCGGAATAGGAGCGGCTACGACGTTTCCTCCATCGGTGACATTGGCATACGTCTGCGCGGCGGAAGAATTCCGTAGATCCTCCGGCCAGGTAGACCAGTTCGAGCTGCAAGGACTAATCTTGTCTATCTCGCTATAGTGATTCGCGTCGTCACCTTCCGCATTCGTGTTCACGTTCAGATTCACCGCGTCCTGCCGACACTCTTTATTCAGGTTCAACGAGTACTGGCGAGCTTCCTGCAAAAATAATAAACAGAATATAAATAATTAGAGTTGAATGTCAAGTATCGATGTAACTAATTTGGCGAATTACTTGGAAAAATTATTTTTCAAAAATTTGTAATTAATTTCTTGATAAATATAATTATTAATTTTTAAATAATCAAAACTCTAAGATAATTTTGTGAATATACAGCGCTATTTCTCAGTTTTGTAGACCATTTGTATTAATCTCTATTTATCAATATCAAGCAATCAATACATTCAATATTCGCGGCTGAAAATTGATGGAATTTATAAATAAAGATGAGACTTTCAATATGTACCTCTGCATCAGCAGAATCAGCAACGAAGTTCGCGGCGCCTTGAACGTGATCGCCTCCCGCATCTTGATTGTCCACATTTCCGTACATCTGCGTCTGCAGATAGCGATTGGCTTCGGTAGGCACATGACTATAATATCGCGAATGTGGCGGCTTCATGAACACCGCAGAAGTATCGAAGGGATCGGAATACGCTGGATCCACGTTCCCAGGAAAGTTGGCGTACGTCCTGCCTTCTTCGTCCTGCCAGGAGAACTTCTCACCGTCGATGGGCTCGTCTAAAATGTTGACCACTCGCCTGCACGCGACTTCCTCCTGCGCGCTGGTGCTCGCCAACTCCTCGGCGGACAAATCAATCAAGTTACCCTCCTGGTTGACGCTCGAGGTCGACGTGGTCGGCTGCGAGAGCTTGATCGGACTCGATCGCACGTCGTTGCGCAGCTTCGTGTAATTGAACTGCTTTCTGGTGCGCGGTGTGCCGCAAGAGAATCTCTTCTTTGTCGGATTGTCCGTCGCGGCTGCAACCAACACGTCCGGTGGATCCATCGGGTTCCTCAGGTACACGTCATCGATGTAGACGGGGCTACCCCAGCTCTTGCCGAAAGGCGCGCCATGTCCCGTATGAATGAACGAGTTCTCCAAAGGTTTGCTGATGTCCGTCGGTTGTTTTCGTCGCATTGGATCCACCAGGCAGCGCGGAAAGTGTGCCACTTGGAAGGTCCGCTGATTTTGACCCTTCCACCAGTAGTTCTCCGGACGCCCATCGATGATCGCGATCTGGTCTCCCGGTTCGATGGACATCTTGCCAGGTTCCTCGAAGGCGCTTAGAGCCTTCATTACGGATGGCACCATGCCGGTCAGGGATTCCTTCAGCGAGGCGAACGTTGGCCTCTCCGAAGGTTCTCTCGCCCAGCAACGGAGCATCAACTCGTACATGTACGGAGGCGTCGCTTCCGGCTCGTGAAGCCTCTCGCCCTCGCGATCGATCTTCCGTAGTATCTCGGAGCCGTTCAGACCCAGCCAGGGTTCCTCGCCGAATGTCAGCATCTCCCAGAGCGTCACCCCGAACATCCAGACATCCGACGCGTGGCTGAATTGTCGAGCCTTCAGAGACTCGGGAGCGCACCAAGGAAAAGGCACTTTCTTGTGTTCGGTCATGACGTAGCAATCCTCTTGCTGAGGAAGCGCTCTCATCAGCCCAAAATCGCCGATCTTGACTTTGTCGATCGTGCTCAACAGAACGTTTCTGCACGCCAGGTCGCGATGTAGAAAACGCTTCGCCTCCAAGTATGCCATTCCTGTAGCGACTTGCAGGGCATAGTTGCAGAGGGTGAGAATCGAGATTCTGCCGCACTGCTGCCGCAAGTGATCGAGCAGGGCGCCAAGGGGTGCGAGCTCGGTTACCATCATCATTGGCTGCGACAACACCACGCCGTACAATCTAATGAGATTATGATGATCCAAGGTGTGCATCGCCTGAACCTCGGACACAAAGTCCTCTATGACACTTGGCTGAGAAAGAGCGTCCGCCTTCAGGACTTTCACGGCGACAGGCAGAGTTCGTCCAGAGGGAGAGGTCCATTCCCCTCTTCTAACCACGCCAAAGCTACCATCGCCCAGTTTCACGGACAATACCACGTCCTTGTCCTGTATGAGACACGTCAGTGCTGAGGAGGTCTCGATGGGCTGAGAAGCTCGCTTGCTGCTCTTGCTGCTACTGCCGGGTTTAATTTTCGTGATGAGGGTCTTCTTCCATTGGGCGCTTCGTCTCTTCTTCACCGCGTCCAGCAAACGCCTGACACCGGGTTTCCCCAGACCGATCTTTTCCAGATCCTCCGGCTGAACGTAATCGAAGTGATGCAACCGAGTGATCTGCAGGTCGTCTCGTATTCGCGTGAAGAACTGGGAGAGCTGCACATCGTGCAACAGCTCCTGAAGCCACTCCGTACCCTCGTCTTCTGCCATGATAACTACGCTGCTGCCTTGCTCACTGAGACATCCAATACTCTACAAATGTGTACGTACAAATAAATGTCTTTAATATACGTGCATATATATATGGATTTAAGAAAGCTTTTTCAGGTTTTCAAAAGATCTCTCACTTTTTTACGGTAACATTAATTTTCTCTCACAACGTGAAGAAGAAACAAATATTTGTTACATGTACATTAGTTTTAATACTTTAGATTAAAGATATGATTTCTGAGAAATGATAACACCAAGAAGAAATATTTGAAATTTTTTTGAAATTGAAACTTTCTTTATACAGTTTTTTAAAAATATGTCGTACACTTAAATAAAACTTTCAAACTGATATATTTTATACATCTAGAATAATAATATTAACATAGCTTGAGATACTAATTGTAAGTGAAGAATATTTGTTATTTAAACAAACCACTCCTTTTGTTATCTATTTCCAAGAATGGCAATGATTAATGATATTGAATATTTCATAAAATGTCGTTCAATTAATCTCTATATCATGTCATGGGCTTTTATATTAATTTTGAGTATCTTGGAAATTTAAATTTCTAATCCTATTAATTGTCTATTTAGGGATTTAGTCCAAAGTTTAATTTTTAGCATTCTTGTTCTCCAATTCATGCTTTAAAATTGAATTTTGACTTTTTAAAATAATAACATTCAATTTTTAAGATTTTAAAAACTTTAATTTTTCTAATTTAAGAATTTAATTTTAAATTGTGTTGAAATTTAATTTTAATCTTAAACTAAATAAGCAAACTGTCAGCAGATGAATAACAAATTTGAGCGAAAGCTATAGCAGAGCAAATATGATACTATATTGATAACAAAAATCAAGCAGAAATTATACTCATTTTCTGCCATCACTGCTGTCAATTTGTTTGACAACTTCATTAGTTTTCAATCTATATTTCAGACTATTTGCTTGATTTTCACACTTTGACAAGCTTTGCATTTTTTGTTAGTATTCCACTGATAACCTTGCATAAAGCAAATTTCTTATGAAATCCCTTATCAGTCTTCTCCCTGTCGACAAAATTTGTAGTAGAAACTTGATAAAAGATCTTCTCTCTCTCCACAGCTTGGCTGTCTAAAAAATTCTATCCTCTTCTCTTTTCTTACTTTATATAAAAAAATTGTAGAATCAAAAACAGTCAACAAGACAGGTGAATCTTCCAATACGAGTTCTCTTTCGTACCTCCTTAAAACAGCTTCGTGGGACTACAAAAGTACAAACCTGCGGATCTCGCTCTTATCATCTTTCTCCGTCCAGGCAACGTCGAGGGTCACCGGGGAAGGGAGAAAAACCGCCGACGCCTCCGACAAGGCCTCCTATTCGGGACGGATTTCCCGAAACGTCACTCGCTTCATTCAGGGCGCTCGAGAGCGGCCTTCGCTCGCTCGGAATCCCCGACGACGCGCACTTTCACCCGACGGTTTTCCAACGCGATGCATTCTCCAAATGACCGCGTCCTAACCTAAAAAAAGCCAGCCGCGGTTCCCCCTCCGGAAAATTAATCCCGTCTCCCGCGTACGCGGCACGGCCGCCGTTTCGTCGCGAACGAAGCTACGTGGGCTTGCGAGACGAGCCGTCCTCGCGGTTCCGCTTCCGCGACTTCCCGAGACGATTTTGCACGCGCGACGAGACGAGATACGAGCGATCGGAGGTGGGGGAAGAAGGAAAAAGAAAACAAAAAAAAAAAGCGATCAAAATTGAATAATTCTCACCGTAATGTCACAAGCAGACTGCACATGCGCGCTGAATTCGTATCAAGGTTGCATTCTACAATCACAAGGAATTCTTTCTCGCGCATGTGCAAACGACATGACATTTCCGATTGGTCGATCTCTGGGGGATTTTTCAACGCTAGGCGTGTCTTCCAGTAACTCGGACCGTCGCAGCATCGAATGTGGCGCGTCGCATCTATAACATTTCTACCCCGTGACTGTCGGTGGCGCGCTGGTGAGGGAACTGACAGCGCATGCGCGGCCGTGGAACGGAGCAGACGGCGCGCGCGCGTTATTGGTGGGAGAGCAGTCGGCGCGCGCACGCTATTGGTGGGGGAGCAGGCGGCGCACGCGCGCCATTGGCGGGCGAAGCAGACGGCGCATGCGCGGTGAGCGACGCGGTCTGCGGGCGCGCGCGCGCAACTGCGCATGCGCCAGTGTTTCTCCCTTCTCCGGCCCGTCAGCCGTCATTCGGCAAGCTCCGCTCCGGTCGTGCCGTCGTTACTCGAGCGCGTGGCTTCCTCCTCGGCTCTTTCTCTCTTTCTATCTCGCGGAAGATCATCGGTGCGCGTAAGTGCGTGCGTGCATGCGTGGCGTGCGTCCCGATAACGGGGAGAGTTTAACATGTGCCGGAATGTCACGCGCGATCGCGAGTCGGTAAATCCGCTCGTACGTCGCACCGAGGGTGTACAGTAAGTGGACGACGACGACGACGACGGCGGCCGGATCCAGGATCGAGGAGTACACTGACCGCGGGTGCAGGATGATACGCGTGTCAGGTGAATGAAAGCGTGTGCGTCCGTGACGAACATCATCATCGGGGAGCGTTGCTTTATTTCGTCGCCGAGTGACCGGAAGTGTGCGCGCATTTTTTTTTTTTCATCGGGAATCGAGTGACGTAGAAGAAGTGGAGGGGAAAGGAAGAAGAAAAAAAAGCGACGAACGCCGGCAACGCGCGCGCGCGCGCATTTCGTTCTCTCTCTCTCTCTTTCTCTCCTTGTTCTCGTTCTATCTTTCTCTCCGCGTCCGTATGAAAAATATTCGTTCCACAGTTTTGCGCGTGTGTATGTGTCGCGGGATAGGACGTCGGCCCTTCGCCAAGGAGGACGTGGGGCGAAATTCGGCAGCATCGGCCCCGTCGACCCACGCGAATTCGGATCAACCCCGAGGCTCGACTTTGTAGGTATGTATGCTGCATGTTTGCGAAGGGTATGTATGCGCTTACATGGGCGTAGCGAGAGGGGGAGGGTTCGGGGGGAAAAGGATGAAGGTTCAAGATACTCCGTCGCGCTCGGAAAAAATTCACGACCCTGAAGTTTTCTCGCGTTCTTCTTGTCTTTGCGCGCAGGCTCTTTATCCTTTTCCCTCGGAGGGATTTTTTTAGAGCGAAGTACAAAATTAGGCGCGCGAGAGAGGAAATGAATAGATTTGAATAGCATAAATAAATTATATTGGTATTGATATTACAATCAATATTATGACGTTATATACGTAACTAACTGGTGACTGTGTATAGCTACTCTAATGAGTTTGTAATATTTTCTGAGTATTTGAGAAATATTGTTTAGTATATGTAAGGATTACTTGATCTGACATCCATATGAAATTTAAATTGTTTGTTTAATTTATTTGTTCGAAGGAGGAATAGAAATACAATATAATTGGTATTATAAAATATTCTCATTCGCGCTTTATATATTTATATACTATATTCTATATATTTATGTCTATTTTGTATATATTTATATACTTTAATAACTAAAAAATATATTATATAACTGACGTTTTTAATTAAAAGAATATTTTATAACATTATAAATTGACATATATAATATATATTATATTTTTTGTATTATATATTTAACATTTTTTTGAAAAAATATATTATATATAATTAGCGTTTTTATAAATATTATTTTATAATTATTCTTTTTATATAAAAAAATACAATTTATTTTATTAAAGAAATATAATACACATAACAGTTTGACATACTGATCTACATGTTGCAATAAAATCACGAATACTGTCAATTATTATCTTATTTGTTTTCTTAAACGCGTGATATATTTGAAGATATTAGGAAATGTATATAAAATCTCAGTCTCCTCAATAATAATACAAGGTATATTAAATAAGTGCGGAAAAATTAAGTTTTTCATTTTTCTTAACAATTAATATTCTTTTTATTAGTGAAAAATATCCATCAAGTTTTATTTTTTTAATTTGTCTGAAATTTGAGGAAAAAAATAAAAACTTAATCTTTACTACCCTCTTCAGAAAAGTGTTAACTCCTCAAGGAGGAATATAAAAGTATATATATAAAACTTTCGACAAAGAATCATCTCCTAAAATCTGTTTTATTTATTGTTAGATACATTCTGTATATATTCTATATATTTATAATTTATATATTTTAAGAGCTAAAAAATATATTATTTTATTTTAGTGACGTTTTTATCTGAAAAAATATATTTTGTAATTAACATTTTTATGAAAAAAAATATTTTATATAATTAACGTTTATATTAAATATTATTTTATAATTAATCTTTTTATTAAAAAAATATACAAATGACATTTGACATACTGATCTACATATGCATAATAAAATCACGTATACTATTGTCAATTATTTTATATATTTTAGTAAACGAGTGATATATGTAAAGAAATTAATGTGTGTAGAATATCGGTCCTTGATGATATATACATATAATTACAGATATCCTGAAAGCAGTTTCTTATTAAATATTATTTTATAATTAATCTTTTTATTAAAAAATATAATACAAATAACAATTTGACATACTGATCTACATATACAGTAAAATCACGTATACTATTGTCACTTATATCTCATGTATTTTGTTAAACGAGTGATATATTTAAGATATTAAAAATATTATATAGGAAATGTGTATAAAATCTGAGTCCTCGATAATATAATATATAATTACAGATGGTATGTCGAAAGTATAATTTTTTATTAAATATTGTTTTATAAAATCTTTATTAAAAAACAATATAATATATATATTTATTATCTTATTTATTTTATGAAATGAGTGACATATTTAAAGATATTAGGAAACGTGTATAAAAAATCTTTGTCAGTCCTTAATATATAATTACAGATGCTATGCCGAAAGTAGTTTCGTGTCCGATTGCGAAAGTCGGAAAAAATTGCACGCGATATAGGGAAGTGGGCGAACGCACAGAGTCGTTTTCCGACTCGATAAGCCGTAAAAAAGCCGCCTTCCGATAAAAATCGAACGCGCGGTCGAGCGTAAGGTGCACCTCGGGAGAGAAACCGGAAACCTTTTCTCCTTGTCACGTGCATGCGGAATAACCACACGACGATCTTTCGAGCACGCATGCGCACGCATGTAGTAGTAGTAGTCATCGTCAAAATCTGGGCCTAGATTTTCGACGACACGCGGCTCCTTTTCCGAGAACGGCCATTGCCTCTAAATTTAGAATCCGATCGATCCGCGTCCGTCGATCCGCGGCGTCTACTTACATATCGATATATTATCGCTCGAGAAACTCGCGGAGCGGGAGGTTTGTTTATGCGCGCGAAATGACATAATGATCCTTTTCTTCACGACCGAGAAGTCGCATTCTCTCGCGCGTGTTTAGAAAGTTTAGAGGCTCTCTCTCTTTCTCTCTCTCTCTTTCAGGATATACTTAAAGGTTTTTACACATTAGTGTCCAAAATTCTTGTACCCTTCTTGAAAAAATGTAGCTTTATTTCTCTTTCTCGGGATATACAAACTGTCAGCATATCGGCTGTTAAATTCAGGAAAGCAGACTTAAAGGTCTGTACATATTGCGTAGTGTAAACAATTTTTGTATCTTAAAGTAACGAAGCTTAAAGAAATGAAGCTCTCTTTCTCTCTCAGAATATACAAACTGTCAGTATGTAGGCTGCTAGATCCAGAAAAGGAGACTTAAAGGTTTATTCACATTGTATAGTATCTAAATTTTTTATATCCTTAAGAAATTAAGCTTCTCTCTCTCAGGATATACAAATTGTTAGCATGCCAAATTGGTAGATCCGGAAAAGGAGACTCAAAGGTCCATTCACATTGCATAGTATCTAAAATTCTTATACCCTTAAGAAATGAAGCTTCTCTCTCTCTCAGGATATACAAACTGTTAGCATGTCAAATTGGTAGATCCGGAAAAGGAGACTCAAAGGTCCTCCATTCACATTTGCACAGGTCAAAATTCTTGTCTCCTTAAAGATCGCCATATTGACACTGACCCCTAGCAGAATTGGGCCATATTTTAACATACACGAAAATAAGAATGTTTTATTACGTTACGATATATAAGATGCTTCCAACTTATTTTATTAACAACAAGTTAATTACTTCCGCCAAAATATATTAAATAGTTAATCAACTCGTAAAACAAGATGAATACTTATTCCAATTATATTTTACATCCTTTCATTGCTTCACTATCCCACAAATTAATCGAAATCTAAGAAAGCGATCTGAAATAAGGAATTAAAATGAAATGAAAGCTGTCAAGTGTGCAAGTCGCTTAACTCCTTTAATCGGTTTATGTAAGACAGAGAATCCACGTGCTGGTCTCTCTCAAAGGAAAAGAGTCGCGATAAAAACACCAAGTTTCTTTCGCGCGACATATCCAATTAAAGCCTCCATCCCTCCCCTTTCCCCAGATACAATGGCAATCATCGTTCGCGCGCGCGAGATGCGCGCGCGAGAAACGCGGTCGCCGAAAAAAATGTCGCGAGCCCTCCGTAGAACCGGCAAACGGCGGCGGCGCAGCCGGCAGGGCAGTGGGGACCCCGGCGCGGCGTCGAAAAATCGATTTCCCGTAGGGCATAAGGGCGCGCAAGCGAGACCGGGAGGGCGCCCGGGAGGGAGAAGGGAAAACACGTACGGACACGAAATTCGGGAAAATCCGCAAGGCACCGAGAGAGAGAGAGAGAGATATATAGATAGCTTCGTTCTGGGATAAATCCCCTCGAGCGCTCAAATCAAGAGCAAAATACATGACAATTACAAAACTATACAGGAGGTACATAAAAAAATATATATATATATATATCCTAACAGTAGATATATCACGAAGATGTTCGAATGTTCTCGGATATCCTCTGGATATCCTTAGGATGGTTTTCGGATGTGCTGTTAGGGTAACGGGTCAAATATACAGTACACAAAAATGTATACCCTAAAACAACACATATCCCGAAGGCATTCGAGAACATCCTGAGGATGCTCGAATGTCCTCTGGATATCCTCAGGATGTCTTTCGGATATGGTGTGTCGTTAGGGTAACGGGTAAAATTAATATACAGTACACAAAAATGTATACCTTAAAACAGCACATATTCCGAAGGCATTCGAGAACATCCTGAGGATGCTCGAATGTCCTCTGGATATCCTCAGGATGTCTTTCGGATATGGTGTGTCGTTAGGGTAACGGGTAAAATTAATATACAGTACACAAAAATGTATACCTTAAAACAGCACATATCCCGAAGGCATTCGGAGAACATCCTGAGGATGCTTGAATGTCCTCTGGATATCCTCAGGATGTCTTTCGGATATGGTGTGCCGTTAGGGTAACGGGTAAAAATATACAGTACACAAAAATGTATACCCTAAAACAACACATATCCCGAAGGCATTCGAGAACATCCTGAGGATGCTCGAGATATCCTCTGGATATCCTCAGGATGTCTTTCGGATATGGTGTGCCGTTAGGGTAACGGGTAAAATATACAGTACACAAAAATGTATACCTTAAAACAACACATCCCGAAGGCATTCGGAGAACATCCTGAGGATGCTCGAATGTCCTCTGGATATCCTCAGGATGTCTTTCGGATATGGTGATCCGTTAGGGTAACGGGTAAAATATACAGTACACAAAAATGTATACCTTAAAACAACACATCCCGAAGGCATTCGGAGAACATCCTGAGGATGCTCGAATATCCTCTGGATATCCTCAGGATGTCTTTCGGATATGGTGTGCTGTTAAAGTAACGGGTAAAATTAATATACAGTACACAAAAATGTATACCCTAAAACAGCACATATCCCGAAGGCATTCGAAGAACATCCTAAGAATGTTCGAATGTCCTCTGGATATCCTCAGAATGTCTCGGATTTGCTGTGCTATTAGGGTAACGAGTAAAATATACAGTACATAAAAATATATACCCTAACAGCACCACATATCCCGAAGACATTCGGAGAACATCCTAGTGATGTTCGAATGTTCTCTGGATATCCTGTGGATATCCTCAGAATGTCTTTCGGACATGGATGGTGTGTGCTTTATTAACTAAAAAAAAGGAATAAATATAAAATTTATATATATATAGAGAGAAAGATAGAACGAGTGATGCTGGGCGATAAACCTGGAGGGAGAAAAAAAGATCGCGAAGGAGAGAAAGAGAGAGAAATTGGTTTTCTCTAGTTCGTGTGGGTGAGCCGGAGGGGCGAGAGGAGAAATAATTAATGTGCGACCATTCCTCTCTCTCTCTCTCTCTCCATCTCTCTTTCCGTACCGTATTTCCCCCACCTTCCTACTCTCTCTCTACCTACACGGGTCTCTCTCGTAGTACCGCTACGGCTTACTCTAGTAGTCTCCCATTGTGTCGGCGACGCCGCTTCCGAGGCGATCGAAATTTCATTCTTCCAACAGGGCAGGAGGTGAAGAGGAGCGTCGAGGGGAGAATCTATAGGATCGCGATAATAACTGTCGCCGGTACGTTCGGTAGCGAGTAGGGAAAGGTGGAACGTCTTCTCCGAGGAGTCGCGTGTCCTGGTGGACGACGACGCCGTCCGGTCGTCGTCGTTCCGGAAAATTCAGAAGTTAGGTTAGGACAGTTACTTCCGCAGATATTGGCGATCGTCCGCCCTTCTCTCCCCCTCCCCTCCCCGTCGTCCTCCTCCCCCCACCTCTTCTTCCTCGCGTCTCTCACGCTAGTGGCGTCGTCTCCCCGTCACGGATGCGTTCCTCGGGTATCGCGTCTCCTGCACGGGATTCCTCCGGGTCGCCGCGACTCTGAGAAGTCGCGATCCTCTTCCTCGTCGCCGACCTTCTCCGAGGAGGCCGCCTCCTGGGGGGAGGAGGACGAGCGGCGGGCGCGTGTGCGAGAGAAGCGCGAATTTTTCGGTGGATTCTCTGTCTCTCTCTCTCTTCTTTCCTTCCTTCCTTCTCTCTCTTTCTCGACGTGTAACGCTAACTGGTGCGTTTCAACGACGACTCGTCATCGGCCGAAACGCGAGTGGACGAGTTATTAGTATGTTGATCGAGTGATCGGCGACTTCGAGAGGCGGCACCAAGGATTTATATATGTGTACACGCGGATGTGGATGATTGTGTCTTCTTGCCGACTTTAACGCGTGCCTCGTAAAATTCCAGAGTGACCCCCGAACGGGAGAACGGACAGAGGCCATGGATGTGGACGGAGATTCGGTGGTGGACCTGAGCATCAGGTAAAGTCATATATATTAATTAATTAATTCATTCATCTTCAAGATTTATTTGTCATAATTGTTTCTCTGATCTTTAACGATTTTAATTTTAATGGAAAAAAAAAAATATATATATATATATGTATGTATGTATGTATGTATACATGTACAAATATTGCGTACTATTATTGTATTTTGTGATCTCACTCCGTTGAAATCGTATAATTTTTTTTAGAGCTCGAAATAGAACAATATACAATGGTAATTAATGATAATACTACTTTTATCCAAATGAGTTTCTTATCGGGTTGTTATCGCCGTTTGCCATGGACGAAGAAATAATAAATTGTTGTTACTCTGTAACTTGACATATGCGAATATAAGTATTAATTTCTTCTACCTTTGTATGTTTTTCAGCAGCAGTGGCAGACGCAATTCCCCGTCCCTTTCGGTAAATTCTGGAGATATCCCGTTAGACCTGGGGATTCATCTTCACACTGCTCTTAGTCCTTCGGAGAATGATATGCTAGAGACTCGTAATATACAAAATGCGACACGAGGTATTTTGGCTCCTAAACGATCGCATGGGGACGAACGCAAGCCACGTCGTAATCTTAGACCTAGGATTGAGAGAAGTTATGCTGAGAGTCCTGATGAACCTAGAATAAATGGATATTTAAATGGAAATGCATCGGATAGTGATGAAGGTTGTTCTCGAATCCTATTTTAGTCGTAAAAAGTTATCTTAATTACATTATTATTTTTAATCTTGAATTATATAAACAGGTGAGATGCCTCCATTATTACCGATCAAGGAATTGTCAACCGATGAGCTGGCTGAACGTGAAAGGGTGCTGAGGAAGTACAAGGAGGAACTCAAATCAGAAGAGATGAAACTGGTACTTCTAAAGAAATTACGTCAATCCCAGCAACAGCTTAAGGAGAATATTGCGACAGTGCCAAAGATTCCCAGCAAATTACCACCACCAGTGACGGTGCAGCAAGTGCCCCACAGGTAAAACTTTGTCATAATATCATTTTCCTAAATGTAGTTCTTCCATATTGTCAACACATAAATGTTAATGCCTTGTTTTTGTATCGTAGAGCTGGGAAAGCTCCACCACCCTTGCTCAGAGGCCAACCCGCACCAAGCAGAAGTAGCAGTTTACACGCTCCACCACCTGGCATGGTACTTCCTCCTACGGCTGGTCGAAATACCATTCCTAGTACAGGGATGCCTCCGAATATGGTGATACCGCAACCTCCTCATCCTAGAGGGAGACCACCTAGTGTAGCGGCTGCGACTGTGTCAAGTTATCATGCACCAACGGATAGAACAGAGAGGTCCACAAAAGATCCAACACCTGCCCCTGCGCATCAAGTAAGTAAGGTATAACAAATCACATTTTTTACTCATTTTTCTTACAAGTTGTATATATAATTGTAACTTTAATTTATACAAGGCGAGAAAACAAGTTAAAAGTCGTTGAATTTGATCTTTTATCGAAAGTATAGTTTTAGTTTAAGTAAAACATCTCACTAACACTTTCACCGCTAATACATCACTGGTGATCATTGAGAGAAGAGCGATCGTTGTGCGAACGCTCTGATCGGCCGTGAAAGTGTTAAATAAGTTTCTCTAATTAAACGACATTATATATAATTCATTATTGTGTTTTTTAAACACAAAGCTGCTTGCTGGATCGCAAGAAAATAAAACCACCGCATCCTTAAGCACACCTGTGAATTCGGAACAGGTATATTCATTCGTCGATAAATGTGTCTTTCCACCTGTGTTGTTCTTTAAGAGCTATTAATTTTTTTTCATGATTATTTATATGCATTATGACATTTTAATTAAGCTTTATTTCTGCTTGTGCTTTTTGTTCCTAACAGTTACATTAACAGCAAAGAAAACAATATATTTAGGAAAGCAATATCACAGCTATAATTTTTATCATAATATAATGTAGCTAAAACTTTACTAACATAATGGTATCTATTTTCTTTATATATCTACAATATAAAATTGTTATGTATATTAAAGAAGAAAAATTGTATTGCAATCGCATGCAGTTATCAAATATTTTATAATATAAATATACACATTCTATATAGATGCTTATAATAATATACATAAATAGATACTGAAAAATTACCAGAGAAATATTATTAGAGAGAATTTTTAATTTTTAAATTATTGAAATGCATTAAATATTTTTATTTTATTTTTTTCTTCATTTGTTTAATCTTTGTGTTATTAGGAGGTTAGCTGTGTTGGATATGTGTTGGATAAAAAAGTTCATTTATCAAATAACATGTATCCTGCATTTTTCGTTAACCAGGAGAGAACAACACGGGACGAGACACCTGCTCAACGTCAAGCAGCTGCCAAGATGGCCTTAAGAAAGCAGCTCGAGAAAACATTGCTACAAATACCGCCGCCGAAACCGCCGCCCCCGGAGATGCACTTTGTACCAAATCCCTCCAATACGGAATTCATATACTTGGTCGGTTTGGAACACGTGGTCGATTTTATAACAAGGGAACCGGCCATACCGCCACCGCCCGAACCGTTTGAGTGCTCGCAATGCAAAACAGATTTCACGCCAGTCTGGAAATGGGAGAAACCCATGCCCGGTGGTAAGAAGGATAGTCCCAGGGGGCAACATGCGACCTTCCAACGGCCGTCAGCGGGTCGCGACCCGCGGGTTATATGTGAACATTGTGTGACCACCAATGTTAAGAAAGCACTGAAAGCAGAGCACACTAATCGGTATGTTTTTTCTTTATAGTAACAGTTGATAAATTATTATTTTGATATTATTTCTTCTCTCGTTATTTATCTTTCGAAATGAATTGTCGATTATTGTGTGCTTGTAAAAAATTCACAAACATTTTGTTTAATCATAGATAGATAACTAAAATTTCAGTCTTGCAGAATAATGAAATATAAAAAAATGACGCTATTATGTTGTTATTTATACTAATGATTTTTATAATAATTTTACAGATTAAAAACTGCTTTCGTCAAAGCGCTACAACAAGAGCAAGAAATAGAACAAAGATTAGCGCAGGCGCCATGTCCGAGTCCAGATCCTCCGGCTCCGAAACCAGTTCCTAAGGCGGCTACTCCTACGAGAAGAGTAGCCACGCCGCCTGCACCGCCGCCACAGGTACCACCGGCACCCACGTTAACGCCGACACCTCCAGCACCAAAGTTACAAGAACATCCCTTGGTGAAACTGGCTGAAAGTGGGAAATTTAGTCCGCATCATGCAGCTGCCGCGGCTGCCTTGCAACAACAATTGCTCAGAGGTAGGAGAGCAAAAAAGAATTGTAGTAAAATTATAAAATTTTATTTTTTCTAATTTTATACGCGATATAAAATAATTTTGCATATAATTTTTTCCCGCACAATGTCTTATATTGAAAGTGTATACTTTCGAGAAAAACTTTGAAAATCTTGTTATTCTCAGAGAATTTTGTTTTATCTTGAAAAATCAGGGAAAATTCTTATGAAATTGGTATTTAAGGAATTTTTTAAAAATTGCCTCTGATAATCTTATTCTTATTTAGCATGTAGCTTAAGAAATATATGTCTAACGTATCTTTGCACTATTTAAGTTTTTATTAAAATTTAATGTGATTTTTTTATTAACAATATATTTTTAGTATCAAGATTTTGTATAAGTTTCATAGAAAATAGTTCAGTTTTTTAACAGGTATACTATTTAAATAAAATTAATCTTTATTTATTTAATAAATAAATAATTAAATAAATTAAATAATTTAATAAACGAATAAATGATAATAAATACTTAATTTAAATAAATTAGCATTTCTTAAGAAGTTTATCATAAATTATTTTTTGTATTTTTATTTTATATTTTTGCACACATTGTTAGCATCTAGATGTGACGATATATCATGCTTTATTAGTGCCCAAATTAATTTTATAATTAATAAATCAATATTGAATGCTAAGAAAACTGCATTCTTGATAACTACAATCGTATATATAGAAAACATTAATAAGCGCATAAAGGAACTTGTATTAAAAACCTACATTTACAAACTTATAATTTACTTGGAATTTAAAAAATCAGGGAATTGAAAATTTGAGTAGATACTCTGTTATTATCACAATCCGCGAGAAGATTCGATCCTTCTCACGCAGCAATTGCTTAATGTTACAGAATTGACGAAGAATCCGGTGCCAGCTATATCGCCGCATCAACCGCTTCCCGCTCACATGATGCCGCATTTTACCTCCATTGCCGCTTTATATCCGTATCAATTAGCGATGGCGCAGGCTGCCGGTGGCAAAGGTCTCGTAGAGTTACAACGACAGGCGGCGGATCTCCAACGTCAATATCTGCTCGATATGATTCCGTCGCAAGCATCCCAAGCGCAAGGCAATCAGGCACCGCCGCGGGCTCATCCGCACAACTGGAAAACGTAACCGGACGCATCTAAGGGATGATACAAACGATAAAATTAAAAAATCAGACGTTACTAGACGTGCGTGTAATGAAAAGAATTTAAAGTGGTAGCTGAGAGAGATCCGGTAAAAAAAAGTGTGCGGCGCTTCTGGAACGGTTATGCTGTGTACCGATCGCAGCGATTAATGTCTCGGTTAAGGAAGCTCAACTTGATACAGGCAAGCAAGATACGAGAGACATTTCGTTAGTATTGTATAAAGAATAATAACCATTGTGAATATTGTCAATTGACGTGTAAGTTTATTGTTATTCTTTCTTAAGGGTCAAGGTTTTATTACCGAAACACTACATGTGTAATGTACGTGCGAATTTGGAATCGTTGGCGAGACTCGATCGTTATTTAGTGCAGATCAACACTAGAACTTTCCACGATTGGAAGCCGTTTCACTTTCTCCTTTTTGATCTTTCCTTGCACGCGAGACATATGATATATATGATTAATTTTTATTTAAGGCTCTTTAGTGCATGTTAAATTGTGACGTCAGAAGCGAGAAAATACATGCTAATATTAATTTTTGCGTGCTACTTTTTAGATAAAAATATATTTTGATGAAACACAACTTTAGATGGCTTTAGTACACTTTTAAAAATATTCCGAAAACTATTCTTTTCTCTTTATAATCAACTAACAACTGTAAACTGACTGTGATATGAGGTCTGATTCGCATATAGTCTTGCACATGCGCATAGTTATATTCCACATAACAAAGTCTGATGTTTCAATTATTTTATAGTTGTTGATTGACTGTCAAGGGAAAAAGAAACAGTTTTCGGAGTATTTTAAAAATGTGTTTTTAATCTAAAGTTGTGTTTCATCAAAATATCTTTTCATCTAAAAGTGACTCGTAAAAATTTACAATGTACATCTTTCTTATATCACAATCTAACACAGCTACGGCGAGGACCCAGGAGCCTAAATAACGTTGTTCATTTGAACAACAGAGAAATATGATTGATTTTGATGCATATTATAATATTGAATTATAGCGATTGCTTGAATTATAAACGACACGAATTTATCTGACTAGGCGTTTGGCGAACGCCATTTCTCGCTTGCGCTCGACCATATTGCACCACTTTCATTCTTCTACCCGCGTTCTTCTATGTTAATTTACAAAAACGCAGAGATGTTAGTAAAGTAAATATTTTCTACTTGTGCATTTTGAACTACTACATCTCTCTTGTTTTTCGTCCTTATTCCATCGTTTATTTATATAAAATAAGTGATATATGGAAAGTTGTAAAGTGTTCGTTCGCTCGCGTAGCGTTATAAGTTAGATACAGCTCTCTGTTATATAACAGTATAAAGAACCAAATAGACACTTGCAAGGCACTAAATAAATCGATAATAAGCGATAAAACGAATCGGATGGTTTACAATAAATAGGGATAATTGCGGAGGGGAGTGTAACGTGAAATAACGGTAAACTCTGATGGAAAGGATCTATTTAGGCCCGCTTAGATAGTTAAGACGATCTTTGCCGCTGGTATCAACGAGAAATTTTTTGCGAACCACCGGCAGTACCTGTATTATGTGTATATCTCATTTTCTTCGAACTGTATTTTTAAGGCGAGTTTAACGCAAAAAATAAGGCTGTAGCTATACACGAGAAAAAGACAAAAAAATGAACGTTTATAAGAAAGCGCGTGTGAGCAAAAGCCGGCATATGTGAAAAATGTATAGCAATTTTTTTTCTTCTCTCTCTCTCTTTATATATATATATATATATATATATATATATGTATGTATGTATATATATACATACATATATATATATGTATATCTCTCGATACAGAATATGCATCAGCAAATTTGTAACGGAGAATGACACGGAGAGTGTGTTATTCGCACAAATACAATTTTTCTTTTTCCACGGACGTTAAAATCGAATGTTAAAAAAAGTTAGGCCCGTTTGCGTGAGACGTAATTTGACTCGGACTAATAGAATTATAAATATAAGGATGATCGGGATTCTCGAGTTGAGCGGCGAGCGATTGATTTCATGTCACACATTCGGTGTAAAAGTATTTAAAAAGAAAGACATTTTAGGAGGACTATTAGAGGAGAGATTTAAACGAAATTTTTTTTTGCGAATTGTTACAACACGGCGACCGCCGGATTTTTACGACGTCCTATTACTCAAGTCTGCACTTGAAACGAGTTAAAAAGTATATCCGGCACATACATATACACACACACATACACACTCTTGTCCCAGTAATAACAATGAATTACCAGAGTCTCCTCTCCTTTCCCCTTCCCTTCCACTAATAGTCTGATTTCTCATTGATTCCGAACTAACTCCGATCTTGGTCATACACACTTCCGAATCAATTAAATATATAGTACTATAGTCTTGATATTTCTTGGTATATGATACACAACTTAATAAACTAAAATAGCGCATAATCATCTCTCTTTGTACTAACGTGATAGATTTTGAACTCGTACTTGATATACATGTACACCATAATAAGTCTACGATCGCATAATAGATCAAGATCTGTGTTTTTTGTGTAAGAGAAAACGTAATAATATGTCGTCAAACTAATTATGTATCGTCATCGGGGCACTACCGTCGTCGTCGTTGTCGTCGTTATACTAAGGTGAAATCCGGAAGCGAAATAGGAAAATATGACACAAGAGTGAAAGAAGAGGGAAGCTTGAATGTACCTCCCTCGAGCAATATTTTGTATAATTTTGAACAATTGAACAATTTATTTAAAAGCCGTCTTAAGCGAAGAAGAAAAGGTTGAAAATTTAAAAAAAATTTTAGAAATAAGTAAAAAAATTATATATAATATTAATTAATTAAATATATAAATATATTAAATTCTATTTATAGGAGGGGGAAGTATTCTCCAAGTTATACAAACAAATAAAGCAAAAGAAATTTTCACAATTTTATTTTATGCACTAATTCTGTTTGTATTTTTAAAAATATATGTTTATATGTGCGGTGTTTAATTCTAATCGCTGTGTCGATTCTTTGTTTTTTTTTTTTTTTTTTTTTTTTAATGACTTGCAATCCAACAAAATCCGGCCAGATTTTAACATGTTTTTAACTTGACCAATATTGGACAAGATGTGTATTCTCGCGAATAATAAATAACGACAATTAAATATGGCGAATGTATAAAAATATAAAATATACATATATTTATATATATATGTTATATGCATTTTTGTGAAAGTATGTCTTTACAAATGTTACCGTACATATGTAAAATATACATTTACAAGTACACATGTGAAATCGGTATTCATTATTCGCAAATACATTCTGCTCAAATATATTGCTTTTATTTCTCCTATTTATTAAACATATAATATACATATATAGTTGTGCGTTTTAAAATTTGAAATATAATTAATATATGAGCGTTACAAATTTGGCGCAAAAATCATTGTCAAATCGTAATTTGATATTTAAAATTTACGAATGTTGTAAAAATGACTATTTTGAGAAAATATCCATTTTTAAATTAAGAGAACTTAATGTTAAGTTTTGTGAAATTTTCTGTAAGGTTCTTTCTTAAGACGGTTTGAAAATAAGCTCTTCAATTCCGCGGTTTGCTTGCGATATATCTTAAGGAAATGAAATACGAAAAACTCGATAGAGATATATATATATTGTGCGGAAAACTTGAATTTGAATCTGTTCCCCGATATATTTATATTAAACGGAAATCGTAAGCTTTCTATAAAATTCTCTCTAACGACGCGAAGATGTGCCTGATGTGTGACTCTTGAAATTACGCTGTTTCGATGGAAAACAGAAAATCATATCGTCATCAAATCATCATCTTATTCGGTAATCGGAGATCGCGTCTCGTTTCATTAATGTAAAAAAAAAAAATATCGTTTCCTTCTATTCTTTTTTTCTAGTCTTATCTTTGACCTCTGTGTGGTGCTGTTAGCAATTAAAACACTTTTCAAGAGTGCGAGAGAATTTTATATCCTACAAAAAAAATAAAAAAATAAAAACCTTTCGCTACACGACGGAAACGAGGGACTGCAAATACTTAGCAGAATTCTTTGAAGTGTTTTGCAAGATGAAAATACAAAATAGAGGAGTAAAGTCTTTGGCTGCACGTTTTTACGGGGACACGGGAACATTTTACGTTTACTACTGACATTAGATCGAAATGTCAAAGACTGCGTGTTAATATATACGCACACCTTTTTTTATTTTGTCAAAGAAAAATTGTTGCGAAATTTGTACACCGAGATCTTGGAACGTCTGTCCAAACGAGAAGCTGTGTCCTCACGATTTATAGAATTAGTGGATAAATAACGGATTACCGAATACTCTCTCTCTGGAAACTATACGAATAAAGCTTACCAATGATTGTATTAAAGGGTGATGTCTATATTTATCTTTTTATAGTATTTTCGGTTTATTTATCTTTCTTTTTCTTTCTGCCAAGTAGCAAACTGACATAATGTCATTCAACATTAAAATGACGTACGTTTGCTATCTGGATTAATATATTTGCGAAATTTTTGTTAATAGTATTGGCAATTAATGTTTATCGAAGAGTCCAGGATTCTGTGTGTTTCGTTATGATTATTCTTGAATTATTTTTATGTCTTGCCAAGAAAATCAAAAAGGTAAAATGCTGCTGATATACGCACGCGCGCGCTCGTGTATTTACACATAAATTTATAAATATACAGATGCGTATAATAAGTTTACCCTATGGATCTCTATACATCTCGGTGTGGATATTTACAAAAAAGAAAAAAAATTATATACCGAAACAAGTATTTTTGTAAATATCCATAAGAGATAATATTTCATCGATTATTTTGATTTTAAGATGCATCTTGCGGGATGGAATAATTTGCACTTTGAAATAATATAAACGGCATTTTACAAACTCAATTTTGTAACAAGCACATTGGTTCATGTATAATATTTTTAGAGAACTGAAATAGTTTATATACTTTTCTAAGTAAGAATTTTACTGCGTGTATCATTATGTAAGTAATATCATTCCACGAGTAATACAATATACATATGTCTGTCTGTAATTTTATCATTTTAATATGCGATTTCAGATAAAAAATCGATTTGCGGAGATCGAAACCCCCCGATTTTGCACACAAAATCGCGCTCAAAGAGATGGAACTAATCTAACGACTTTGAAGATAAATGCTAGATTTAGAAGTACGACGTTAAAAAACTGGTTGCGCGATACCAACGAGCTAATAAACGTCCTTTAATATTGGGTTCATTACGATCGAACTTTGACAAATTTGCTGACCGCGAGAAGGGGTGTTTTTGTATTGTAAGATCATCGGTGTAATGGTCAAAAACCGGTAAACCCAACAACTATCACAGTTGAGACATCGCCAGGGAATCTTGACACGAGATGACATCGCTAATTCTGCCTCTTCTCGTTGTACTGAGTCAGGCATTTCTTGAAGTGCTTCGCGCAAAAAGGATAAAGCGTCGGATGATCGCACGTCCTGCAGGCTGCAGCGAGATGAGAGCAGCATCTCAAACTTTCGCGACAGCAGGAGGCCCATAAATCAGGACCGGCGGCAGCGCAATCGTAACAGAAGCAATCTCCTGCAATAGAGATTCACGTAAGAAATGCAATTTAATATACTTATATATATATATAATTTATATTATAATTATAAAACGAAATTTACATTGTAATTTTGGGCTCGTGTAGATCACTTTGATAAAAATAAAAGAAAGATAAAGGCAAAGTTAATGTATTGATAAAGACTGCTGTGCAGTCGAAACGTATACGATTATAATAACTTGTTTTATGTAGTTCTTTTCACAATAATAAATTCTAGTTTGACATCCTGATTTAGCTCGTTTAAGTTGGCCTTTATCTTTCTTTTATAATTGTATAAATTTATTAATATTAATAATTATTATATATTTTAATTATAAATATATTTTTAGTAATTATAATTTATATATATATACATACACATATAATTACATATAAATAGTCTTATAAATAAATAAAATTGATCTATGAGGTTGCTTGAAAGATCTAATAATTATGTGTTTATTTTATAGAAGTTTTACATATAGAATATATGTGTATGTATTCTTGCTAAATTTGTATTTTTACCTAATGTTTAGAAAATAATCTTTAAATTTGAAATCTCTGGTATCCGGATTTATAATTGGAAATCAATATATGAACATTTTGCGTCTCACTGCATTACTTTCTCCTATCGGTTATATATGTGTGTATATATATTTCATATTTTGTATATTTCGCAAAGCACACCTGCAAGTCTTGCAGTGACGTAATAATCATTCGCGCGGATTATTATAAAAAATACAGAAAATATGAAGAAAAAAAGTTTTCCTCACTTGCGAATATCACTTTATATCTTCGTTTGCCCGAAGCTAAAATAGCAAAGACATATATTTTGTGACTATTTGATGTAACATTTGCGATATTTCTCAATCGCGTGTTTGTGCGAATTAAGTAAAATTTGGTACATTCTTATTACAGTATTAGAAAATTGAAGATTATACTTAAACACTAGGTAATTTTGATACAAAACATTTTAGCCGGTATACACTACTTGAATCTTTTGCCATTTTCTCTCAAGAAACTTTAATAATAAACGTGAAAAGAGAAGAAGACGCGCGAGATAAATTCGATATCGCATCAGAAATATGTAAAAATGTTATAAATTAATCATTAGTCTGATATTATGTAACTCGTTAGGTTTAAACTTGGAACATCTCGCAATCGAGATATCTTCGAAACTAATACATATATAGTAATAAATATTCCTCCATGTAATTTTTTAGGATCACTGCTGTAATTATTTACTCTAATCAACGTATTATATTCGCGAAAGCGAATGTTTGTAACGGATATCGGCTGGTTATGGTAATTACACTTTCTAATTAGACTAGCACACTTTGTAAGATATCTCGGCATTTGTTGCTGCAAAAACATTTTGTACCGCAGCATTATTTTTCACGTACATATGTAATGTCGTGCGTGTAATGAGAGCTCCAGCGCGAGCTGAATCGTCCTCATTTAAACGCATTATGTAGAGAAAGGTGTGCAACATGTGATGTATACATACAAACGTATATATACGTGATCTTTAAACATCCGCGCTCTCTTTTCTGCGATATCGAATCATCTCAATTACTAGAATCGCACATGAAAAAACAGGAGATTTTTCATCATCATCCTTTCCGTTCCGCTGAAATTTTCTCTCTTCTGTTTCTCTCGATGAAATTTTTCCATTTTTGAAATTAAACCAGATAGATTTGCAGATGAATAATTTTCCCGCTGACGCGCTCTGTCATGCTGTTTTTTTTCTTTTCAGAAATGGGAAGCAAGGCAATTAATACCGCCCATATAGTCATCTGGGAGCGGCTATTGTCAAGGTCAGAATGTCTATTGTTGAGGAGCGAATAGCGACATTTTTCGTAATAGCGAGGAAGCTCGCTGGAAACGGTGCGAATCGCGGAATGCGGTCGGAATGTTTCGCACCTATCTCGACGTTGAGGGAGATTCTTTTTTTCTTTTACCTCTGGGACAATCGACCGATCGACGAGCCTCGGCCCTACGACACTCCAGGCCTTCGTCACCCATAGGACAACTCGTGTACGACGCCTCGATTGTATTCTCGCCTAGTATCGCGTCGATCTGAAAAACATTTTAATTATCTAAGATTTCTATATGACAAAAAAACGGTAGGATATAAGCAAATAAAAATGTTGATTTGTTTATTGCTTACATCTTACTGTTTACATATGTCGTTTTCTATGTCATCAAAGGTTTAAGCGTGAAATTCCATCGCGAACACTTGCTCGTTATTTCGAAACTCTCATTTCTCTCATTCCGATGGCAAAACGCTAATTGATTCACGAATACCTTTGTGGAATTTTAGTCTTTTAAATCTTTTATCGCGTTTTTGGAATTAAAAATTTGTATATATAAGTATTGTATTGTACTCTGATAAAGATAAAGTTTTAAATTTTATATATTAATTCTATTTGTGTATAAGTATAAAAAAAATTTTTAATTCCAAACTTTTAGTGTTTTAAAAGTGGAATATGATGTGTGCAAAAAATCTCTCAAAGAATTATATCTTTTACGAGAGAATATCATATTTTTTATAAAATGCACTTCTATTTTTTTATCAATATAAAATTGTCTCTATAATAAATCACAGCATAAAATTATAGCAAAGTTCATTTAAAATTAATATTTAAAAATATATGTGATTTAATTATTTATATGCATTATATATGAATAGTAAACAAATGTTTTTTAATATTTCATACTTAAAATTCATTGCATTTTTGCAATAAATGATTAAAACAAAAATTAATCGATTTAAAATCTGTGATTTAAAATTAATCGAAGGACAATTCTTATAGGACTCTATTATTTATATGCTTAAAATGTAATTTGTTTAGCTTGTGTGTTACGAGATTCTTATTTGTCATATCATTATGCGCAGCACGCACAGAAGACATCGATGTGATAACTTTTCCCATACGTGATCATGGTCTATTTCTCGCGTGAAGAATTGCATCACGTGCGAGGCAATTCGTACGAAATTAAAAATTTGATTCACGAACGAAACTTCAATATTACATTTCGGCAGAGTTGTTTCCACTTTACGTAATAATATAACAAATAACGTATATTTGCGATTTCTCATCTTGTGTAACTAACTTGAAATATGAGTCAACCCCGCGAGAATTCTAAAGTATCCTATATATGATATTTCGTCTTTTTTCGAATTATTATATAGTTTTAATTTATAGATATGACGAAGAGATATATAATTTCTAAATAATAATTAAGTCTCATAAGAATCCGTTCCATTCCTCCGAAGAACTTCATATATGCTTCAACATCCTTCTTCATCAAGCTTACTTGCTTGAACGCGCCCGGTTTAGAGAACATTTTCACCAGCTTCGCCAGGGCGTTCTCCGTCCGCTCCGCGACGTCGGTGACGTTCTTCCCATCACCACGACAGTGGATCCCGGGTGACGACAGGACAATCAGCAGCCAGAAGACGAACACGCATCGTCCGAACATATTGCGAGACAGGAGAAAAATCAAGTACCCAACTCGACGAGGAGCGTCTCGTCGCGCGATTCGAAACTGATGACGACTGATGGTCAGCTGGAAGTCGCAGTCGCCGGTGGTACTCGCCGATGCCCCGCTCTGGTGGGGATATCCCACGTCGACGTAGAGAAGCGTCGTCTCGCACGCGTGCAAAAATTCAAAAATTTACTCATCCTGTAAATATAATAAATACTCTGTTTATTCGGGGATAATTTGGAGTAGATGAATTACAAGTGTAGGCATAAAAATATAAATAATGATTACCTGATGAAGTTGTTATGTAATTTTTAATTCGTCTCGCGTGCAAAAGTTTAATTCATTCTGTAAATATTTAAGTATACTCTATTTATTTGACATAACTTGGCGTAGATGGATAAAATATAAATTATGCAAAAATGTAAATATAATGATTATCTGATAAAGTTGTTATATAACCTTAATTCGTCTCGCGTGGAAAAATTCCAAAGTTTAATTCATTCTGTAAATATATTTAAATACTCTACTTATTTGGCATAACTTGACGTAAATGGATATATTATTACAAGTGTAAACATGAAAATAAATAATGATTACCTGCTAATGAAGTTACTGTTATGTAACTTTAATTCGTCTCGCGTACAAAAATTCCGAAATTTGCTCATTCTGTAAATAAATACTATATTTATTCGGCATAATTCGACATAGACAGATTACAAGCGTAGACATAAAACTAAATAATAATTACCTGATAAAGTTGTTACGTAACTTTAATTCTTGCAGCGCCGAAGAAGAAAAATTCGATGAGATAAGAGAGATTATTTGGAGAGAATTTAAATCGAATGAGTTCCCTTGGATCAGTCAAGATTTCCCTCTCTCTCTCTGATTGGTCGAACCGCGTGACGTAATCGAAGGCGATTGGTGGATTTTCCCTGTCAGTCGACGAATCTGATTGGTTGTAGAGCATCGTCTATCTAGAAATAAAACTATACGAAATATAGTTATATAACTAAATGAAATGTCACACGATTTGTTATTGACTAGGGATATTTTTGATCCTAGAAAAATTCCCTATTTGATAGCCAGTCGCGTGACAGGTTCAATTTGTTCTCTTTTCTGGAATTATTGCACTTTCCGCTCTTCGTCTCTTTCTTTCCAATTTTTCTAAATATGTATTCATCTCATTTCATTCCGCTTCGGAGTTCAATTAAATTGAACCTAGTCAATCTGTCATTTATTGTGTTTTCTTACTGGATAGGATTCTTTGAAATACAACACGTTTTAACTTGTAGCATCTCGATTTGCGCCACAGTTTAGGATTCATAAAAAATTAATGTAATTATAAATTACTTATAAATCTTTCATTACTTCGTTTTACTTAAGCGTAAGTTTATTCGATTCTCGTTGGTTCAAGATTTTCAATTTTGAATAATGTTTACAGACAGCTATGCCAGATCAGGTTACATTTGAGGAGCTACTCCAAGAGGCTAAAGAGATAAAGAGATGTCTGCCGAGCGAAAAACAAGACGTCGACGAAATCGTATTGTGTGAACTTCTGATGAATTTGCCCAGTGAGATAAAGAACAGGATGGAATATATTATCAATATAATTATGGGCAAAGATCCCGTAGATTCCGCAGAATTTTCGGACGAGGAACAATCTGTTAACAACGAGTCTCGAGATCAGACGCAAGACGACATTGAAGAAGTTTCCAAATCTGACGTTCAACATTTCGCCACCAAAAATTCCGTCATAACAATTGAAGTTTCGGATACCGAGGACGATAGAGATTATTATTATAATTGCGACGATATTTCAATTCTCGATATGAATCCGGGGACGTCAGATACGTCGTCATCTGGTTCTGACGCGATTTTGGACGAAGGTAAAACTGTCAGCAGCAACAAGTCGAAAACTTCTGTCAATGTTGATCCTGGCACAAATGAAATAGAATGCTTACAGGAGAATAATAATAATGTATCTTTAAAGGAGAATAATAATGATGTGATTTATATGAAGAGTGTTTTTTATGAGAGGAATAGTTTTTCTGATAGTCCGAAACCAGGTTGTAGTAAGGATTCTGATGATGGATCTCGAAGTCTTAAGAAATATTGCTCTTCTTGTAATTTAGATAATTTGCAAATAGATGCAAATCGAATACATACTCTTCTACCAAATTTTGATTGTACTTTAATCTATAAAACACTCTGTAATAATCACTTAGCAAACAATCGCATTGAACTTACATTATGGGACTTGTTGCCAAAGGAGAGACCACCTCCACAATTAGCAAGCAAACGAAAACACATGTTCCAAAAGATACGTCCTCTCAAGATTAAAAGACATTCCTGTACTAATCAGCATAAAAATATTTCAGAAGAGAATGTGACAGATACGAGAACAATATTAGAAAAGGAAGATAAAGTATGTGCAAGAAATGAAATGGAAGTTGTAGATATTGAACCACCAAAAAATAGAGAATCAGTATTGTTAACAAGTGATGAAATAAAAATGGATATGACAGAAGAGAGTCATTATGTAATAGATATGAATAATACAGATGACAGTATAAATTATTCACAAATTAATATGACACAGAAAGTGAAGGTGGATCAATTGGATATGCCCAGTAATGATGTCAACATGTGTAAGAATGTACATTTGGAGAAATTATCAGAAAATGGTTCAGAGAACAAGGAATTGCAACCGACAATGAATTCAGCAGTGCTACATGAGACAGAAATAAACAACATTCTTTCCGTACCAACTGTTCTGCCAAATATTGTACCGAGTATTACTGCATTAAACATTGCTGATCCAAGCAATGTTGCATTGAGCACTGCTAGTCCTATTACTACTGAGTTAAATACTACTGTATCAAGCAGTATTGATCCAAGCAATGCTGGTCCAAGCATTGTCGATCCAAACATGGTTGATCTAAATATTGCTGGTCCAAGCAATGCTGGTCCAAGCATTGTCGATCCAAACATTGTCGATCTAAATATTGCTGGTCCAAGTAATGCTGGTCTCAACATTGTCAGTGCAAGCATTAATGATCCTTATACAGATGATTCAAATATTTTTGACCTTTACACAGCTGGTCCAAGCCTTATTGATCCTTACACAGCTGGTCCAAGCCTCATTAATTCTTACACAGCTGGTCCAAGTTTTATTGATCTTTATACAGCTGGTCCAAGTATTGATCCTCACACAGCTGGTCCAAGCCTTATTAATTCTTACACAACTAATCCAAGCTTTATTGATCTTTACACAGCTGGTCCAAGTATTGATCCTCACACAGCTGGTCCAAGTATTGATCCTCATACAGCTGGTCCAAGTATTGATCCTCATACAGCTGGTCCAAGTATTGATCCTCATACAGCTGGTCCAAGTATTGATCCTTATACAGCTGGTCCAAGCATTGCTACATCGAGTACTGTCGATCCTAGCACTCCTGTGTTGAAAATGCAGATAATTGATACACCAGGAATTGTTAGTCCAAGGCTCGCTGATCCAAGCATTGCTACATCGAGTACTGCTGATCCCGGGACTATGTTGAGAATGCAGATAATTGACGCAGTGAAAAATGCTGTGCCTGTATTAAGACCAGCAAAGTTTACAGTTGTCAAAGGAACACCAGTTATTAAAGAAACCCCATCATTATCGAAACAAACATCTCCTATTTTAGCACCGCCAAAATTACAGCATTTAACAAAATTAAAGATAAATCACGCAGAAAATGTACGAACCGTCATAAACAGTAGCGCTGGGAGAAATATACACCTTCATGAAGGACATGAAAGACTACTGGGGACACGCTATCCATCTGTCAGACCACCTATTCTGCATAATACAACTGTCACGTCAAACAAAATGCAATCGGATGCGAAACCGAAAAGAGTGCAGGTGCATGGACATAAGTATCACAAGGATCTGGCATCGATGAGGCCTGTGCCATCTTCGTCTCGATTATCGCATTTACGGGACCACATGTCGCTTAATGCTCAATACGTGCAACCATTTTTTTGGGAGATAAATCTCTCGCCCCGGATGCAGGTTCGGAAAGACTCTCGGCGGGAAAAGCAACGACGAACAAAAACTAATCCAAGACGGCAGGACGATATGAATACACTTCAGGTTCACGATATAGGAAAAGAAAAACAGGTGAAAATATACATTTGTATATATTTATCTCTGCAGGTTAGCTTCAAAGTCAAAATTCAGTAACTAAAATTCGGCAACAGCATTCGCTCCGTAAATATAACATTTGATCAGTTTTGAAGAATTCAAAAGAAATATGTAATATGTAATTAATTATCGTTCTACGAAGACATTGTCGCGATATTGAAGAAAGATCGTCTTTCGTTGAAATTTAGAATTTATTATATTATTGATAAAATGCCGATGAAAATGTCTTCAAAGGTATAGATAATACATATAATTATGCATCTCTTTTTTTTCAATATTTTCATCGATGCGTTTCACATATTTTTACTTGATTGTATGTTTGATCCTGGCTGAAATTGTGCGTTTATTTTTTTCCACATAGGCGTAATATATCTCGCAAAATCTCAATTTTCAATTTTGAAGTATAATAAGATAAAAATTTCAGAAGTACAAAAAATCAATAATTTATCTTTCTCAACTGCCTGAACTCGTTTTACAATCTCCATCAAATTCGCGATATATTTGTTTTTCAATCATTAGTTTTAAATTACAATAGATATGTATCTTTTTATTATTAATATAAATAAATTAAAATTTTTTTATAGGACCCTATGGCATTACATGATCAAGTAAATGGAAATAAAAAGAGCAGAAAGCCACAGTGAAAAATGCTGGTCATCCAGAAATCATATTAAATGAGAAAGCTAGCAAAATATATTACAAATTAATACCCATGTTTCCAGCTGTAGATACTTTTTTCATTAAACAAATGTGCCAAAACTATCTTACAGATGTTAAGTTCCAATCACATGATGAACCATCATTGTTCGAAACATTAGTTGTATATTTGCTAGAACATGGACAAAACTATCCAAATATCAAAAAAGCAATACTACCAGAGGCGAATAATTCTAATATTACCTATGATCTGAATGATCAATATGCTGATTTATTAATGATATTCCCAGAAGCAGATCCTATATATTTGAGAAAAATAGCTGAAGAAAACTATAAAGATCCCGAGAAAATAAAGGAATTTGTACAATCAAAAATAGAAAATCCAGATTACCCAACAAGAACACAATATTTAGCTAAAAAAAAGATCACGGAACAACAGAAACAATATACTTCAGATTTCAAAATACAGCAATTTTTAGAGTTATTCCCAGATCCATTTGCTCATTTTGAAAATGCAAACAGACGATGTAAATTCAATCCATATGCGATAGACTTTTTGAAGCACTATTTCAGTAAAATCAGGGTAAATGTTTAAATTATATCTTATATACACAATAGTAACAATACAATAATATTAATAATATAATATTTTAACAATGTTTTTTTATAGGTAAATACATTGTTGAATACATACAGTGAGCATTTACATAATTTAAGTCTAACTGCCAAGGCTTTAGAAGTGTTGAGCCCTGATATGAAAACTAAACGATCTCATAATATGATACTAACAGAAAACATACCGCTACTTCAAGAATGTGCTTTTATACAGCATAAAATGGAACTAAGAAAGTACTTAACAGAATTGAAAGATCAAGAGGCTAAAGAATTTGAAAAACTTAAAGTATGACAATGGAATATAATAAAATAAAAACAAAATATGTTTAAAAAATTTATTATTTTCTGTAATTCTAATATAAGTTTTTTCTTTTAGGCAAGAAACGAGTTGGTTGAATGTCAATGTTGTTATGACGACGAATGCATGCCGTTAAAATGTTTCACATGCGAGAATGGACATTTATTTTGCAACAACTGTATCGTGAGAAGCACAGAATTAATATTAGCAGAAGGAAAGGCACATATAAATTGTCTATTAGACTGTGGATGCGAATTTCCATTGTCTGTACTTCAGAAAGTACTATCACCAACAAAGTTCAGTATTCTTCTTTGCAAACGACAAGAAGCAGAAGTAATGGCTGCTGGATTGGAGGGTTTAGTCTCATGTCCGTTTTGTCACTTTGCATCTATACCACCACCCGAGGATAAAGTATTTAGATGTCTCAATCCTAATTGCATGAAAGAATCATGTCGGTAAGTTAATCTTGATGTTGTTATTTCCTTATATTTTTTGCCATATTTTCTCACATTTTTATATCTCTAACTCTTCTTTTGTACACTTTATTATTCAGAATGCACATATAAAAAATAAAATCAATAAAGATTGCAAGTTTTAGAATGATTTAAAAAATATATATATTTTTGTATTTTTATTAATTATTTTTTAAAATTTTTATTATGTCAGTGAAAAAATATTCACATAGATGTATTTTCTTTGATAAAAATGTCAAATTAAATTATTACATTTTTGACAGCACTGATGGTCTATTTATTCCCAGAAATGTAATTAAAAGCGAATAAAAATTGTACAGTGTGTTAATATATTATTTTTTTATATATTAGGTTTTGTAAGGAACTCAATCATATACCTCTGAAATGTAACGAAGTGAAGTCGGACGCTGCGCGTTTATACTTGGAAGAAAAAATGACTGAAGCTCTTGTACGGAAATGTTACAAGTGCGGACGAACATTTTTCAAGGAAGAAGGCTGCAACAAAATGACTTGTTTGTGCGGCGCCCAAATGTGTTACATATGCGATCAACCTGTAACCGACTATAAACATTTTCAAGGTCAAGGAGTGCAAAATTCAAATCTGTGAGTTTTTTTAATATTATGCAATATCATTTTTTATGTGTACTATCTAATCAGCATCTCTCATATATTACGTTTTTTGTGTACATAGTTGTCCGTTATGGAGTGATGATCGTCGTTTGAATGCCGAGTCAGTAATCAAAGTGTGTAAGGAAACTATGAAGCAAATCAAGCAAAAAAATCCTGAAGTCGATATAAATGTGAATGCTCTTTTGCCGAAGTTACCGCCTAAAGCAAGAGGCCCCCACGAAGATGTTGCTCAACCCAATGAAATGCCGGTATATAGATAGTTTTATCTATATAATTTATCAAGATCAATGACAACATCAATGGTTTAACACCAATGTTATATGCTTAAAAAACATTTTTAAGTATATTGAAAGAAAAATACATTATATACAACTTATGGGAATGCAACAGCATTGACCAACAGTACATTGCATACTTGCAATATCTTTTTATTAAACCATTGATATTAAAATTTTTTAAAGAGAATTAAAAATGTTTTACAATTGTATAACTGTATCTTGAATTATTTTCAATTCACACACTATTTTCAGGTACATGCTGCAAGAATTGCAAGGTACAATCCATGACAACTTTGTGTTAATGTTTATTGTCAAAAAGGTAATAGTCCTTTGATATGTTTTGTTAAGTTCATTTTATTTATATATATTCATCAGATTTGTTCTTTTCACCAACTGCATCAGTTCAGAGTTTATCTCTTTCCTTTCAATGTGAAGTAAAAAAGATAAATTCTGAATTAGTACAGCAAATTCAGCTGTGAAAAGAATAAGCTATTATTATAGTGCATTTCTTTTAAATATTAATAATTTACAAATATCTACCTTTTTTATAATTATTATTAATATAGATGATTAGGTAATATTAAATGATATTTTTTAAATCAAAAGCTCTTGCTAGTCCTATGCTATTATATGTTCATGATTACGAGAATGGAAGTATAAAGTGATACCAAAAGAACAGCCAAGTATCATATAATTCATAAATTGAGGAATTAAATGCAATAAGAATGTAAATAAATATTTTTATTTAGTGGAAGATAAATTTTGAAATTTTAGGATAAATTGAAAGAGGAAAGTATAAGTCATAAGAGAATGAATAAAAATTTTTCTAATTATTCATAAAATTCAAATTTGTCAAGGCACATTGTTATTGTACATATAATTTCTCAAATTTTATAAGTTAAGAAGTAACAAAGTTAACAAAGTATTAATATAAATAATAAGAAAATAGTTTTTTTTAAATTTTAGTGTTTTGTTTATGTTATATGTAAGAGAGATAAAGAGATTCCAACATATTTTTTTATAAATTCACACCTGAAACACACGTGTTCCTATTTTACAGAAATAAAGTTTACAGTTTATATTAACAATCATTTTTATGACTTTAATTATGCGCTTGCCGGATCTAATATAAATAAATATATATAGAATAATTGTCTCTTGTCATTACAAGGTGAAACTGCTTTTTATTCGTAATACTTTCTAAATTTCTTACTCTTTTTTTTATTTGTCCAAAGCAGAGATTTATATGCAAAAAGTAAAAATGCAGAAGATAAATAAGAAAATATATTATTATATGCAATATCTGTGATCATATACATATAACACATGTGTCAAGCTTAGATATATATGTTTATATGCTTTACATAATAAATTAAGATCATAAAAGGATTATTTAAGATTAAAATGTGTTCCTAATTGGATACAAGTGATAATCTAATAAATAATAAATGCATGTAATAATATGGATAAACTTATCAAACGCATCCAGCAAACACTGATATATAACTGTTACATTGCTATAATAAAACGGAATGTAACAGGTAATATAACGTGTACGTTACATGTAACATCCATGTTAGTTGTAATTTCCCACTCATAGATGTAACATTTTTAATATAACATATATTACATTGCAGTTATATTGTAATTACACTGAAAAAAATCCATGTACTTTTACATGGAAATTACTAGTTCAGAACTGGAAAAGTTACTTGCTTATCACTGTGATTTTTTTTCAGTTTGTTTTAAAGTGAAAATACATATTAATGTAAAAATACATGTAAAATATAGGTAAAATTACTATTTTTATGCAAAAATCATGTAATTTAAATTTACTATTTTACTTTATTAGAATTTTATTTTATAAATATTTATTTATTTTTTATTTATAACATTATTTTATAGCATTTATACATTACTAACATTTCCTATTTGTAATTACATGTTCAGTGAAATATTTTTAATCTTGAAAATATTTAAGAATATATTTCATATGAAATTACATATAATCTGTAATCTTTCATATAAGTATCAATATTGCATGATTATGCTGGGTCGGAAAAAACCTAGCTTAATCATGTAATTTTACATAAATATTTTTTTCAGTGTATATACCAAATAGCACATTGATGTATTGATAAGTCAGTGCTATCTTGGGATATAATGACAATATAACTACAATGTAATATATGTTATATTAAAAACATTACATCTATGGGTGGGAAATTACAACTAACATATACGTTACATGTAACATGCTTGAATACTTACATATGTATATAACATTTATATACCGTGTTTGCTGGGCACGTAACTTATAAATACATATATTTGCAAGATCATGAAAATGTGTTATGAATTATATAATTATGAAATATTAATTATCGTATTATTGTAATCAAATATTAATCGTTATTATGTGTAAATTGTTTATTATTTACCAATTGAATTTTTAATAAGGTTTTGCTGTGTGTGCATGTATGACACACCACATGTTGAACGTCAAAAGCAGTGAATGGAGATCGTGCGATTATATAATATATACAATCGAGCGAAGTTTAATTTTCAGAGTAATCGCCCTTGATATGACACTCATTCTCGCATTGTAAATACAAAGTCATCGGTTTCCCGAATAGAGTGGCGATAAGATTGAACGAAGTTCCGATCGACCCAAACGCGAAATTTTCCAAACTTCGACTCTCTATAAAGAGACGTCAGAGTGTGGCGACTTTATTTTTTATCATAATTTGTGGCTAATCGGACGTCATCGAATTGCGCGCAAGATGTTCGACTTTAGCGAGACTTTAAGGAGAAAAGGTAATTTTTTAATATATTTCGCGTGTTGCAAATATTATTCACATGTTTGTTTGGTCTTGAATCAATGCAAAATAGATTTATTACTTAATGTCTACATATATATTTAAAAAAACACGATTCTTTATATCTCGTATCAAATAGAATTTATTATATTTTATTACTATATTATATATTTTATATATATATATATATATATATATATAGAGAGAGAGAGAGAGAGAGAGAGAGAGAGACAGTTCCATTTGGAATAAAATGTGTGCGAATATTTTTGAAATTATACATTAACGATAAAAAAATGAATACTAAGTATATCTCATATTCAATTTTTTGTTTGAAACATTTTTTGAGAAATATATTAATAATTTCGAAAAGTTATTTAAAATGAAACAATTTGCATATTATTTGTTGTTTGATACATCTGACTGAGAACTAATTTTTTTTTCATTTATGCAATTTACACATTTTAAGAGCGAATAAATAATGAATTGATGAATAAGTAAATTGAAATAATTAAAATTATCTAATTAATGAAACATAAAAAAGTTTTCGAAATTGAGGGAGTTTCTCGATGACTAATAAAAGATAATTTCGATGATTAATAAAAGATGAAGGTATAGTAATAGCAGAAGGTATAGTCACAGCTTTTTATGACGTGTAGTTTTTTTCAATATTAAAAAAATAAAACATCAAGATATTTACTCATATACGATTCTAATCAAATTTTTTCTCGTATAGGGAAAACCGCGGAGAAAAAAGGAATAAAATCGACGAATTAATTTATTATTAGAAAACTATTAGAAATAAATTGATCAGTTTTACGGAGAATCGGCTTTCCTTCTTCTCTCAATGTCGGTTATATATTATAATAAAGCAGTTTATTATATATATATTTTTTTTTATTTCCTCCCTGGGAAGAAGGGGAGAGAAAAAATGAACAATCAGTGTTGCTGTTATCTACATGAAATAATATAGCCCATACAGCACCGAAAGATTGCAAAAACATTACAACAATCTTTCACCGCAATATTGCAATATTGCAAATTCACTCAAAATGTTGCTACATCATTGCTGTTGAATTGCAGCAATGTTAAAATGTCCGCTTTTTGGAAGATTGCAACAAAATATTGCAATATGTTATGAGTTTGCAATAATGTATTGTTATTGCAACCATAAACTAATGTTGCATATACAGGTATATAAATGTAAATAAATCATTAATGAAAATACGTTGTAGTTAATTCATATATATTACAATATATAAATTATAGAATTTGGATTACATGCAATATTTCCGAAATATTAATGTCATGTTGCTACAAGTGTGCTGGAATTTTGTGCACTTATATCTCTGCAATGTCTTTATAATGTTGCATTGCAACTTGCAACATTGCAACGTTGCTGCAATATATTTGCAATAATCTGTGCTGTATGGGAGATGATTATTTAGCTAAAATTTTGACGTCACTTTATATAGATTACAAAAATATATGTATTATATATATCTATATATAGGTATTTTTATATCCCTTTTATAATTCATATTTTTTTAATAACTGTGTTTATACATAAGCGATTTAAAAAAACAATATTATCTGGAAGTTATATCTATCTTTTGATCTAGTTATATTTAAATTTAAAATCATCTTCATCTTATATTCAAGATGAATTTTCATCTTATCTTTAGACAGATAATTTAAAAATTATTTAAGCGCAACACTGCGGACAATGAATAAAATAAAATAAGGATGAAAAGATGCGGAAAGTTCGAAGGGATCGCAGAGCGCGAGAGAGTGCACCATGAAGTTCGCCACTAACCAACCACCAATCGTCGTTCCTCGTCTATGCTCGTTCGTATACCGGCGCTGCCGTCCGTCAGTCATTCGCGCGCGCTCGGCTATGACAGTTGCGCCTCCCTACAGTCTCACCGGTGCATCCGAACAACGACCCCGGGCCTAAGTTAGCGGTACTTCGTTGCGCTTCGCAAGCACCATACCGGTATGTACATATCTATTTTTTCTGACATTTCTCCCTCTCTCTCTCTCTCTCTCTCTGTCTTATCAGAGATAGAATGGAACAGGCGAATATCGATCTCCTCTGGCGTGTATATATATATATTATATAGAGTAGCCGTCAGTTTTGTGTACGTCATTTGTGACACGTCGTTTGTGTATACGATGTGAGAAGAAAAATTGCACCGGTAGTGGATATCTAACTTCCGGTCCTTATTCTTTTATTTTGCTTCCGCGCGGAAGAAACGTTCTGTTTACACTTTTTTAGAGAGCAATTTTATTAATTTGATTATTTTTATTTTCCTTATATTTGTGTATGTGTTTTTGGGATTGTCACGACAACTGCTTTGCTTTATTATGACCTACGTGAATGTATCTGCGCTTCGAAAATAATTTTCCAAATATATATATCGCAACTTGCAAACGAAGCGCGCGAATACCTTTAATACGCCCTCTTATGCTGACTAAACTATTTTTAAACTGACTGAAGGAATGTTTTGCGTGTCAAAATGTATACTAATGTTTCTTGGGACGGAAGGAGCGGAGGGAGAGGAATGGAAGTTGATTTTTTAATTTCCGGAATCAGAGTTCGAAACCCTTGAACTTGCTCGTATCGATGATGTGACTTTGCTAGATACCGTTAGAATATATGTTTGACCGCAATGTAATTTCTAGTAAAATTATGGTGCGGTGAGTTGTCGCTTATTACTTTTATGACATGATGAGTTGTCACAGTATAATAAATTTATTTATATATAACTATGCGTTTATCTATTTATAATTGTATCTATATTAATGCGAAGAAACTAGGAAATGACCATGAAATCATAATTGGCAATAAAATAATTTCGTTGTATATTTTGTGTATATGTGTGTATCTACACGTTTGATATTAAATCGTTATAAAAGCTCGTCCTCTAAAAAAAAAGAAGGAGAACACTTCCGCCTTTCGACTTGTAAATTAATTCAATAAATTTGCAAACAAGTTTGTTCGACGTTTATATTTTGCGCATAGAAATAAAGTGATATATAAATTTGGAGAATTAGAAGTATGTAGAAGTACATTTTTATAAATAAGTGTTATGCAATATACATATACAATATAACATATGTATTTTTACACGCTTATTGTATTAATAAAAGAGAAAAAATGCGATAAGAAAAATGCGATAAGAAAAAATAATTCGATAAGGAAAAAAATATAAAACAATATATATATTCCTGTAGAAAGTGAGAGAAATTCGGTCATCGCGACAATCGTAAAAAAAAGCTGGTTTTTATAATAGCGATTTTTCGAAAAAGATTGCAAGCTTTTGAGATTCAATGCACACGTCGAGAAATTCATGCGAACATTGCGTTTATTTTGTGAAAGTAGGACAATGCCTATTCGTGTCTATCTCCATCTCTTTCCATATGGTCTCTCTCTCTCTCTTTCTTATTCACTTTCTCGGTTTGGTCGTGCTCTATTTCCCTTTCGAAATAATATAAAATTTTTCAATGACACACCGGCTGTTACACACTTTCCACACAATGACAAGACAATCATTTAAACAGATTTTTTTTAACCGACTATTTTTCTTTCTTTTTATTTTGTAAAAATCTGTGCAACTTTTCCGTGAAAATTTCCGTCAATTTAAACGATGTAAAGCGCATTTACAATGTCCTCATATTTAATGGTATCCAGTGGCCTTCATGGTTATCGCGAGACGATAAGAGAGAAAGAGAACATTTTATTAGGTATATGTGTGAAAAATAATCTTCCTATTTTTATTTCCTAAATTGTTGTCACTTTGAATGATTCAACGAAATATTGATAAAAAAGTAAAAATATTAATTTTTTAATCAACATACATATGTAATTTATATATATATATATCTTTTTCTTTTTGGATACATTGCAGAGTTAGATTACATTTTTATTTCAACGCACAAATTTTTTTTTCAATTTTGTATTATATTACAGAAAGGATTCATTAAGTATAAATATCTATATGATTAATTATTAATTATTCACTCGAGCAAGACTGTGTGATTTTTGCTGATGGTACAGAAAAGATTATCATTTTGCTGCAAAGATGATTCAATCTTTTGCGCACAATGATTGTACTTTGTTTCACGCGTTTCAAATCCCTTTTGAATAAATCGATATAAAAAGAATGCGATTTTTATTTCTTGAAATTTCGATAAAAATGAGTAATAGATCAATTATAATTTATAAAGAAAAAAATTATGAAAAATAAGAGAAATATGCACGCGCGCTAAATCGTCGTAGATTTTGCGCAATTAAACGAACGGAAACTGATTTCCTTTTTACAGTTTAAAAACAAGGAATGTTTTACGAAATCCAATTACCGGTTGCGACTTTTTCCTCTGTCCATTAAGCTGTCAAACTCGCGGAGACACATATATAAACATTGTGCAATTAAACAACTTTGATTTAAAAGCATTATTTATCCTTCTGTCAATCTTTCATTATCTTGTCAATAATGTGTGATTAATAAAAAGAAAACAAGATAAAAAACAATAAGTTAGTCTTAAAAAAATAATTGGCATGTTTATTTGTGCTTTCAAATATTTTATTTGATATTTTGTAATTTCCAATCCATTGACGTCGATACATAAACGTGATTTTAACCTTAACAGGATATGTCAGAGATATAATCTGTGAAAGCGTGAAATTTACGAAAAAATATCTAATTAAAAATATCTAATTAATACTGACTAATCGTAAATGATGCAACGCGGAGGATATCTATTTGTTTGTCTTCTTCACTCTTTTTTGACGTAGTCGCAGTTACAACTTTTGGCCATTAACTGGTTATAATTGATATTTCACTCTTCTTCAGATTTAAAAATAACTCCGTGTAAGTGTAAGGTGTAAGCGTGTGTAAAAGTGTCAATGTAGATGTAAGTATGCATATTTTCAAAAAATATGCGTAACTACGACGCGACTCCTATCTATTTGTTTAAACACAAAAAACTGATACGCTAAGAAATAATGAAAAAATAAAATTATTAATCTTTAACCAAAAAATACGTAAATATTATCGCTCATATCAATGTTCAAATTTGAGATGGTATAAAAAGACTGACGAGCTTAAAATTATTGAAAATTTACTAATTTATTTTAATAAAAAAAATAAAAATTAAACACATAAAAATTATAAACATAATCCAATTAATATAATTGACACTACGATCAAAATTATAATTAAAAGTACAATCCAATTAACATATTTGTTGTTCCAATTAACATATAAATTAAAAATAAACTAAACTACAAACGTTTCGATTGTACACAGCCTTCTTCAGTGTAATTAACATATTAAACATATTAATACGGAAATAAATAATACCATGAGAATACATTTATTAAGACAATATAATGCGTTGTGTAATAACAATATTGATAAAGTCAACTTATTTAAACGTTATGACAATCATCAATTCTTTCCATGTTTAAGTACAATCTAGAAATTTTTTGACCGCATTCACTCCTCAGGATATACAGGGGGTAGACAAAATAATGTGAACACTTTTGAAAGAGGGATATTTATACCTGTTCATTAATTAAATGTTGGGTCACCACTTGTCCCCTTTCCAGTGCAATGCTGTCTCATTCTTCCATTCGTTAATTATCCTAGAGATGTTGAAGGAGGAAATCCGCTTCTCACTCTTCCTCAAAACTGTTCACAGTCCGATAATATTAAGCCATTAAGATGCCCAAACATTCTCTCTGGCCAGCACAATTATCAAATTTGAATATCATCAGACAAAACTTTTTACTCTCTTCTCTAAAATCGCCCATAGTGGCTCAATGATATTCAAATTTCTTAATTGTGCTGGCCAGGGAAAATATTTAAACATCTGTAGACAATTTTGAAAAAGAGTGAGAAGCAGATTTCCTCCTTCAACATCTCCAAAGCAATTGATAGATAGAGGAATATACAGGAAAGGGGACAAGTGGTGACTCAACATTTAATTAATGAACAGGTATAAATATCCCTCTTTCAAAAGTGTTCACATTATTTTGTCTACCCCTGTATGTGGTAGAAAGAATTCTCTTCTGATTCCATCCGTTGAAAAGCGTGGAATTATCTGAGATCCCAATTATTATGTATTATCTACTATTAAATTTTGAAGTTGTCAATGTTAATTATTCCGAACCATCTCATCTCTAAATACATTCCACATAAGTACATTCCTGATACACTAATCATTTTGAAATACAACATTTGCATGGGAATTGTCAAATTATATACATATATCGCGAATGGAGGAAAGCAAACTTTATATAATAATTTAGCGCGTTTTAGCATTTGCAAATGAACATATTCGATTTTTTATTTCAGACGATACCATGGGCGTCCGCAGAATATTTTTCAGGGAGGAAGCTTGATTAAATTTCGTTTTTTATTTTTTGTTCTCATTTAATTTTTTTAATTTAATTCAAATTATATATTATTTTTAATTTTTTTATATTAAATATGCAAAAATAATTTTTTAAAATGATTCTAAGGGGAGGAAAACTTGCTCCCCTCTGCGGACGCCCATATTTTCTACCCACCTTTCTTTCTCTCTTATCTCGACAGATGAGAAAGTATAAATAAACCTATGAACATTTCTTGATTAAAGAGCAAATTTGCTCAAGAACTGTTTGAAATACCAGTCTCTAAGTGCTACCTGTCTCGTTCATTTTACAGCAATTTGTGTAAGTAAGGTCACGGTTCGCAATTTAATTATCGATATCTTTTATATTTATACAACTTTTATTATTATATTGGAAACGAATTTCTGAATGAATCGCCACATCATTATATCAAGTTCTTAACATTAGCATAATGTGTAATCTGATGTGTATCTTTGTGCATGGTGAATCATCTCGGTTCGATATCTCATTGTTAGATCTTTCAAAGTCAATCTCAAATTGACATGACAATTTAAAACGTTAATGTTATTGTTAATGTTGACATGATTTCGATAAAATAATCTCGAGAGCGAATTATCTTTATAAACCAAAATATCTTTATCCCAAAATAATTTCCAATTATATATATGTGCCTATTTGAGATTATTTTATCGAGATCATGTTTATATATATATATATATATATATGTGTGTGTGTGTGTGTTTGTGTGTGTCCTGTGATTAAAAATTAAATATATATAAGATGCGATTTTGTTTGTTTCTTGATTCCTTGTTCTTATCTCTGAATAATGTAAATGTAAATTTTGCAACAGATATATGTATATTATTACATACATATTCCAGTTTAACGTAAATAATTTTTGTTCGATTATATAATAAATCTTTTTCAATTTTATATTAAATTATTGATGTGTGATAAGACTTTAATATTTCTTATATATTTCTTGTAATAATACCAGCAAACACAAATGTTACAGTAACATAACATAGATGTAAATGTTATATTGTAACATAACTATTACATCTATGTTATGTTACTGTAACATTTGTGTTTGCTGGAATGATAAATTAAAAAAGAGAGACTACATAGTATTATAAAATTTACATTATTCTATATGATTAGTAAATCTATGATTAAAAAAATAATTGTTGCTAATCAATATCTCTTCACAAACATGAGCAAAGTTTAAACATGAATGATTCTTATTCTATAATTATTACAGCAAAATCTTACATAATTTGCATTATTTTTTTCTCTCATTATGTTAAGATTATATAACAAAGTACACATTACATGCAATTTTACGACGTCACGTATATTAATTATACATATATAGAACAATATTTTTTTTAAAGATTTTTTAGATTAGCAATTATCTTGATTTTTTCTCGAATACATATGTAATATGTGTTTAATTTTTTTGAATATAGGAATTTGCTCATAAAATATAAAGTTAATCGCATAAAATAATAAAATGTTGCAGTTTTATAAAAAAATTCATGCAAAATTATCAATTATATAAAGTCATCGTCTCAATTATATATTTATATATCTATCTCAATTAATAATTATAATTAATCATTTATTTTAATCTTGGAATATCTTTTTATCATTTTTTAAATTCTTTTATGCAGCTGTTCTTATAACAAATTATAATAATTTATTATAATTAATACAAATGGATGGCAATTTGTGCCAGTTTAGAAAGAGAGACATAATAATATTATTTTATTTTTGCGACTGTTGTGTCAAGGGCGAATTACAAAATTTGACTTTGATCGAGAATATAAGAAATGTTAAAATGCTGAAAAGTTCGATAAATAAGGATTAATTTTACAGTCTATATATTCATACAAAATTGTAAACAATTTGATCTTATTTTTTACATTTTAACAGCATCACGGATTTTTCCTCTCTTACGACATTTGTTACAACGCAATTAAAAATTAAATTAATAGTTGACTCAAGCAAATATCAATTTTCCGCATAATATCGCTTTTATCCTTCGACTTTGTAGTTTGTATTTGCTCCGATTATATTCAATTGCTCGCGCAATATGCAAATGCCTTTTAAAATAATGCTCTTTACATCCAATTATCAGCGTGAAGCTTCGAATATCGTAGCGTCACGTTATACGCGATATAAGATGGGCGTATAATTTTAAAATAAAAATTTTACTTTTATTTTATTGTGTCGCATCTTTTACATATACGTATGAAAAGAAAGAAAAGTCATCTCTTCTAAAAAGGGGAAATTTATAAATTGTACACAGGTTATATGTTGTATAATTGTATATTACAATATATATGTATATATATACATATCTTTTGCTTATTTATTTTAATTAATTAATTTTTCTCTTTCGCTTTACTTTGAAAAAGATTGTTTTTCTATATGGATTATATTTTTTTTAATTTATATATTTGATATACATATACTTATATTTTTATAGTAAAAATATTTATATAGTAAATACTAAAACTATAAAGTTATTAGCTTTTTTCTCATAATGTCCGATTGACTTTATTTATGAGATTCAAATTAGCTATTTGCAGACTTAATAAATATTGAAAGAATGTAGAACAATATATAAACATATTCTACTGAAAAAAAAAAAATGAAAATTTATCGCTTTTTATTAGATAAAATTATACACACACACATATATATATATATATACACACACACACACACACATCAGCAACACATCAAGTGACTGTTTATATATAATTATGTAACTGTTAGTTATAATTTCTCACTCAACAATATAAATGCAATATGACACGTGTGTTATAATTTCCCACTTAACAATATAAATGCAATATAATACACGTGTTATATTGCATTTACATTGTTGAATGGGAAATTATAACTAACAGTTATATATATATATATATATATATATATATATATATATATTTTCTTTATTAATATTTTATAAAATTTTTTAAATGTAAATATTTAAATTATATTGTGTTTCTCATATATACATTAAACACCCAGATAGCACAAGCTATTTGAAAAGAAATCATTATTTGTATGTCACCAATTTTGAGTCCTTTTCAAATACATATAGAATTCATTTTACAAAATGATTATGTATTTGAAAAGGGACTTAAAATTGGTGACATACAAATAAATTCTTTTCAAATAGCTTGTGCTATCTGGGCATAGCTAGTAATTAGATAACTAGTATATTCAATATATGTGTATAATTAGGCCAAATTAAATGAGAACGCAGTATAGTGTTGTGCACTTTTATCCGATAACCTCGCGACAGATTTTGCAGCAATTGTTATGTAAATTCTTTTTAAACTATATTAAACTATAATTTAACATTATTTTCTACACAAAATTTTATATATTATATAATTTATATTTATATATTTTATAATATATGTGTATATATATATATATATATATATATATATATATATATATATATATTACTCTTTACCCGTATCACTATTTGTTAAGCGATGATTATACAAACAACTTATATTTCTATATTTAATCATCAAATTATATAATTAAAGCAATTTTTTTCTAACACACTGATTTGTCTATTTTCAGATTAAAAACTGATAAATTATGCGAAACAGGATTAAACGGGAAGTACAAACAAGCAATTTCTACAACAAGCAGAACGAGAGGATTAAAAAAAGTACAGTGAAAACAAACATGAGTTTACGCGTTTAACACGAGCCGAATGATATCTAATTGTAAGATATCTATTACGGTGACGTGATCGATCTTCTTCTCAGCTAATCAGCGAACTGAAAGCAATTTGTATTTCTGCATCGCGCATTTCCGCATTTCGTGATGACCTCATCGACGCACTGTTCGCCCTCGCGATCATCCCTGAGTTGCTGTCAATTTGACCGTATCAGTCAAGATGACGTACGAGATACGACGATTATGGGTAACAACAATTATTTCCTGCAACAGGAGAAATGTTCCTTCCCGAAGAGGCCTGAGATTGACCTGTCGTTTCGCGACATACGTTATCGCGTCAGGGAATGGAATCTGCGCAAGTTCTCGACAAGTAAGTAATATATCGAAAATATAAAGCTCGTGAAAACCAAGATTAATTCGATTAACCATTTAATCGGTTTAAAGAAATTTAAAAATTAAAATCGATTAACCGGTTAATCAATTACCATTATTCCGAGACACTGATTGTCAAAGGAAAAGATATGCATATATTTATACATGACGAAAAAGTTAGATATAATTATATATAAATATATATAATATCTTATATACTTTGCCATTTATAATTATACATATTTCTGCATATTTATATATATAGTTCTGTATAATATTGTATATAATTCTGCATAAATATATACGAACAATTTTTCCCGGGGAATAGTTTTCGAGGTATTTTAAAAGTGTGCTATCTGAAATAGTGTCTCATCGAAATATCTTTTCATTTAAAAATAGCATCTATAAGAATTTTCAGCGTGTGCTTTTTCGTCTCTGATGTCATAATCCAACATATTTAATATATTTATTTATAATATATACATGAATATTTATAACAAAATATATTTATTTTGTTTTTCAAGATTTTTTTTTAGAATCTAAAGATTGTTATATATTTGTGTTAATTTGAGTATAAGCTTTAATTTGACATTTCTTTCTTTTCTGCGTAGAAATTGTACATACTACACAATTTTATTATATTATTATAAAATCTCAATAAAAATAACAAGTAATTGGAAAAATGATTTATTCGATTAATCATTAATCAAAATTTCAGCGATTAATTGATTAATCGAAACCATATATATTAATCGATTAATCGTTTAATCGAATATTAAACGCTCTTTTTGGTTACAAGCGATTAATCAATTTTTAATCGGTTAATCGGTTATAATCACGAGTTTTGATTGAAAGATAATAGCAATAATGACGTATAGAATGTATAAAACCACGTGTAACTGTTACTAAGTCAAGTTAATGTTTATAATTAGCGATTGACGTCTGCTTGATTTTTTTTTTTTTTGTGAAAAACAGATCAAACAGATTTTTTTTGTAAAAAAACATGATGATACACACACACATACATATTAAATGTATGTATGTTAATATATGTATATATACATACATATATATATAACTTAATAGTTGTGAATTAATTCTGAATATATATTCTTTTTTGACATGACTCTATACAGAATAATTTAATACAGTACATATAATTTTTAAACTCATATGATATATTTTTCTGTTATACACACATACACACGTACGTGCTATACTTTTTTGAAATTATATCGTTTGATCCATAGGTTATCTATATACATGCTGTAAAGTTGAAGATTATATTTTTCTCTTGCATTTTGTGTCAATGTGTGCAATTATTAGAGATATATTTTGTAAATATATTTCTTATTTTTATTCTTAAACGAATTTTGATGGAGAAGAATATTGATACACATATGTACATTAGAGATTTATAAATACATTTTAATTATATTACGATACGTAACAAAGTATTCAGAATAATATGATAGACTCGAAATTTAATTGATAAGTGAACAAAAGAGACGATACAATTCGACTTAAGATGAGACTTTTTTTGAAATTCATGATGATAGTTGGATGCAAAAGTGAAAGCAGATTGTTCTCTACACGATAGTACTCGCAAATTTTATTCATTGATAACTGAGAGATTCTATTTCTAGACTTAAATGTCATAAAAATTACTATGAAAACAAAATTTACATTGAGACATAAAAAGACATTTTTATTACGTTTCTCGATGTAAATTTTTTGCATAGTAATTTTTTTGAACATAAGACTGCAAAAATCCTAAAAATACTTCTGTATAAACTATAAGCATATATAATTACTAATATATTATATATATATATATATATATATATGTATATACATATAAGGTTTTTTTCTAATTTTTATACAAAAATTTTATTGACTGCGATACGTTATACGTTTTTTAGAAGTATTTGTATTGAATACATTTGAAAAATAAATCAGGAAGGATCGCTTTAATATAGTATTACAGAGGACTAGAGTGAGACTCTTTTAAGAGAAAGTATTCGTAACACGTCACATGGTTTGTACAGAAACGACAAACGAAGAAAGTTTTAACGGAGAAAGTATCTCGCTACGTTTTGAAAATATAGTGAAACCTGATTAATACTGCTCATTATAACATTGACGTATATGTCATTAAAACGTCAATCAAATGCAGGAAGAAAAAAAACGAATAATTCTGTTTACAATATATAGTCATCACTTTTTTATAATTGTTAATGTTGAAAGATTAAATAAATATTTAGCGAACGGAAAGAGAAAGATTTACATAACTCAAGAGTGAATCGAGCAGATATTTATCTGACATTGTGATATTGTAAGAAAAAAATTAAGTGTCAAGATTGTGATGCAACTGCCATTTTCTTCATTATATTGTTTACAAATTCATTTAATGAAAAAGTAGCAATGATCGTACCTATTATTCACCTATTATTTCTATAATGCTACTGCTTGCGGGGACATAAAATGATAGCTGTTTGTCAGCAAATACGATTAATAGTCATTTAAATCCGCATTTATGTATATGTGTGTGTTTTTCTTCGTTGCATCTCATTTCTGTATACAAAAAAGATTAATTATATATATTTACGTGGAAAAATATATAATTCTCACCTGTGATCGGTGATCCATAATATGCTATATTGTTATAATAATAGAATTCGATTCACCTTCACACACTCTGAGATGAGGTGCTATTATTTTATTTATTCTAATAAGAGGCGGCAAGGTCTTTATTTTTGTTCGTATGTTAATATATTCTATTATTCCTTCAATTTGCATTTATTAAAGTCCGTAATAAAGTTTTGCAAGTTAAATAAGAGGCCAATCGAAAATTGCGAGAAAAGCAACTAATGCTGCAGTTTTATAGTTATAGTTTTAGTAAGTTTAATTAATTTTTCACATAAAGAAAATATATATAAATTTTTGAAATATAATAATATAATAAATTATAATAAAATATAATAAAATATAATATATATTTGTGTATAAAAATAATTTATTTTATTAAAATAATTTTGATAAAATAAATAATATTAATAATATTTTATTTTTAAAAAATTATTTTTATTTTATAAAAAATAAGCAAAAGAGAGAAATCGCGATTCTAACATATAATGTATACGTTGCCACTGACTATTTATCAACAAGTTAACGGTTTTTTAAACAAGTGAAAAACTTAACTGATAAATAAATATATGATTCTCACCTGTGATCGGTGATCCATAATATGCTATATTGTTATAATAATAGAATTCGATTCACCTTCACACACTCTGAGATGAGGTGCTATTATTTTATTTATTCTAATAAGAGGCGGCTATTCTAATAAGAGGTTTCTTTAAAATTTAAATTTATATATATTTTCTTTATGTGAAAAATTAATTAAACTTACTAAAACTATAACTATAAAACTGCAGCATTAGTTGCTTTTCTCGCAATTTTCGATTGGCCTCTTATTTAACTTGCAAAACTTTATTACGGACTTTAATAAATGCAAATTGAAGGAATAATAGAATATATTAACATACGAACAAAAATAAAGACCTTGCCGCCTCTTATTAGATATTAGCACAGATAAGACGAACGTTTTTTTAGTTATGAATAAAGTGGAATAAAACAACACTTTGAAAAGAAATACTGTATTACGATTTCATGTATTTTAATTGCTATATATATATACTAGTATATATATATTTCTCTTTCTTTTTATTTTAATCGTTTCAAAGTTCAAAAGGTTTATATATATATATATTTCTCTTTCTCTTTATTTTAATCGTTTCAAAGTTCAAAAGGGTTCGTAAAAAAATAAAAAAGAAATCATGCAAAGTGTAAAGTATATTCTTTTTGCAACATTAGCTGCTATTTTTTATTTAATATTGTATAATAATTATATTTATATAATGTACATTATATGTATATTAAAATACATATTTTACATTCATAAAAAATATTTTAAATATCGTAGATAATTTATTATTGATTTATTATATGTTTCTTTAAATTGTCGATGTCATCGTATTATCTATAATTGTGCAAGTAATATGTAACGTTACTATTTTGGGAAGACACTTGTTGATATCAAGCAGGTTCAAATTCTTACGCAAGAATATAAATATGACTCTATATCGTGCTTCAATTAAATAAAGAAAGAATCTAATCTTTTTCTCTCCATCGTTCATTTAACATATTAACGTCGGCCATAACTCAAACGCGATGATAGCGCATCCGCTATAAAAATTCGATGCATTAATCATGGCTTGAGAAAGGAAGTCATTGTGCGTCATAGACAATGCTGTAAAGAAAACCTATAGTCTTCGGTTGACCTGTGAAGACACAATTCTATAAAAATAAATTGTGTTGAAAATCTATTGTTTCGCTCTTCTTCAATTCTTCGCGTTCTTCAAAAATGAATACTTAAAATTTATGATAATTATATTTTATTATATGTAGATATATACTTTAAGTTTTAAAAATAAAGTAGAACAAGTGCAAGCGTAAACTTGTATAACATTTATATAGAGGTGAAGGCATTTATTTATTTATTTTTTATTTTTTATTTTTTTACGACTGCAGCAAAGAGTCTTTTTATAGCTTTCGTTGTTGATATATGAGACAACTTGTGCATGATTTACAAGGAAATAATTCAAGACACAAAGTTAGCAAAAATAGAATGGAAGATTAGTCACAGCTATTTTATCTTTTTCTTCTTGGTACAAACTGGAAGGGGATTCTCGACTAAATTTCCCGCTATTTTCTTTTGAACACGTATTAGAATTGCAAGAAACAGGTGAAGCGATCAGGAGGTTTTGTCCCAAAAATCGATAATTTTGGAAAAATAATTTTCTCGAAATATATTTTGTATAATCACTTAATTTTTTTCATCAAGCAAGAAAAGAGAGGGAAAACTTGGTTCGTTTATTAACATCGTGATATCACAGTTCTTTGGACAGTAGCGTTACGTCAGTCGAGGAAAAATGCGACTTATTCGATGTGCATACGACTCTGTGACAATTGTGCGTAGATATATATATATATATATATATATATATATATATATATATCTACATATGCATACACACCTTCAAGAAAACGGCACTCGTTATACACTCGTCTGCATCTGAATGTACACGTTATCTTGCGCGAACTTTATTAAGAACGCGCGCTTCTTCTGCTATCTAACTTATCGCGCAAGTAGTTCAAGGTTTGTTCGGGTGAAATATATACACAAGGTTGTATAAGAAATAATCAAGTAATCGTGTTCTAGAAATGCTATCCATTTTCACACGAACTTTTCCTATTGTTTGCTTCTTATCATCTGCTTCTTATTATCAAGGAACGAGAGAAAGAGAGACAATAGGAGAGAATACACAACTTCTTGGATAATCCGAGTCTTGAACGTTTGACTTCTATTTATTCCGTAATTTATTTTTATGAAAATATATTTATTTTTATAAAAATATATTTATTTTTATGAAAATATATTTATTTTTATGAAAATATTATCACTCGAGAGGGATTAAAAAGAGAATCCGAGAGTTATTTAATAAATAATTCGCAAAAATATATATATTTATTTATAATATGGAGATGCAATAAGGCACGTCTTATCTTGATGAAATTCTTACCAAAGATACTGAGACAATTGTTGTTCCCCGAAGTGGTAGTAAAGATTAACGCTTGTATTAATATTGATATTTGCGATACATTTATTACTGGAGATACATTACCGGTAAATGTATTGCATATGCATATGTATTAAAAATAGGAACAACAACATCTCTTTGTCACCTATGCAAATTTTAATATCCCGTAAGAATGGTAGGTTAATTAAATTAACAATTTTGCAATCCGCGTGTTGATTTTTAATTTTAGAGTATCATAAAAAGCGCATATATTGTATCGAAAATCGATTTGCTTCCCGAAACTAAACTAATATTTTGCAGCTGCAAAGATATAAGATATTTCACACACAGACTCTAAATTTAATCTAATTTTATACAATTAATCATTTAGATTTTACTCTACCTATCTGTGCTTTCCAAATTTAACAGATATCACATGTTCCAAACGGTTCACAGAAATTGTGTTAATTTAACATAACACGGAGACACAAATATTGTGTTGATATTTTAATGCAAAATAAATGCAAAATTTTAAATAATTTAAAATAAATTTTATGTAAAATTAACATAGTTTTAATGTAAAAATTAACTAAAAACATGTTAGTTTTAGATTTTATCATCTTTACTTATATTGTAAAATAGAAAATTAACATTTTTTCTGTAAACTTTAACAGATAAATTGTTACAAATAAACCAGAACATATTTATTGTGTAAAATTAAAAATAGATGCACATTGTATTATTTTTACATCTTTCTTCAGTTGTTTGACACAACAGCAATATGTTCAATTAACACATGAATGTCTTAAATATTTAACAAAACAATTTTAACGAACACCGTTTTTAACAAGAAAACAAATTTTTCTACGGTGTTACTTTATGCGAATAAAGCGCAATTAAGTTGTCTAAAGTCAACGACTTTCTTCAAGCGATCGTGCTTGCATCAATAAAAGAAAGACGTGAGATATACGTACGATATATATAAGTTCAAGGCTCGTTGTAAAGACTTGACGTTTCGAGACATACACTTATGCTCTTTTTTTCTCGCTTCATACAGTTTCAGGTCAAACAATAAACTTATTAAAAGAATTACCTCTTCGCGAACGCTTGAATGAATTGACAATTGATGAATCATCGCGAATGAAATCCCTATGACGCAATCGAGAATAATTGCAATTTATATAATGGACTTTTGTTGTAGATGAGAAAGAAATTCTGCATGGCATCAGCGGGGAATTTAAGGCCGGCGAATTGGTGGGAATTATGGGACCATCCGGAGCCGGAAAATCGACATTACTCAACGTTCTCGCTGGTTACACGTAAGTATTGAAAAAAATATATATATGTATATATATTTTTCATGTTTTCAATAAAATATACGCACTCTATTTATTGTACTTGACTTTTATTGCTATTTTTAATATTTATTACATTTATTTATATTTATTATATTTATTAAAAATATAAAATTATATGCATAATCAGCATAAATATTTGTTTTAATTTTTTTAGCCATCTTTATATGATTAAAATTTATAATTTTAAAAACATAAATAACAATGTAATTAAACGATTAAAAAAATAAAGAAAAAACTTGGTTAATATAAAATTCAAACTGAAGTCTCTCAAGTCATCCAAGCAGTGACGAATTCAAGATATTAATATGAGTAATAAGCTTTAATATGAATCAACCTCAGTTTCAATTTTATATTAACAACAATTTTTTTTAATTCTTATTAACTTTTACTGCACTTGGCTCTTATTATCATTCTTTTATATATATATATATATATATATATATATATAATATTGATTATATTTAGAAGAATCTTTTATAGTATATTTTATGGATATGTATATTTATTTATATATTTATTTAATCTTTGATGATACACAACAGACGAGTAATTTAGAGATTTATCTCTCTGTATACACATCGTGAGCACATTTTTATCGCCTACATGCATCTGTTTCTTAATCTTAATTATGTTTAAAGCTATCATTAAGTCGAATTAAGACTTCAAATATACGCGATAATGAAACCGGATATTTTGGAACGATGAAACGAGAGAGATAAACATAAATTCAACTTTACAAATATTAATGTATATATTCAATATATTTAATAATAATTAAATTTATAATTTAATATTAAATTAAATATTATTTAATATTATTTAATTTAATATTAATTAAATTAAATTTAACGTTAAATTTAATATTAATAAATTTTTAAATTAATAATAATTTCCGATATTTTTCTCTTCTATGTTCGACGATATGATTTTTTGCTGGATAATCGATCATCAATTTATTAAATCAAACTCGAAGATATCAAATCTCGCAAATGCACTCGATCTATCATCACAAGATAATGATATTAAAAAGTGGTTTTTAATCGTTTCCACGTAAAAACGCAATTTTTTTCAGGAATCAGTTTTTCCATCACACTGGATTGTTATTGTTGAATTAATTGACGAGATCTTTTTTCTCGCGAGAATACAAGATTATTGTAAAAGAGCCTCTCGAGCCGTTTCGATAAACATGCGCTGACCGAATGGTTTCGATCGACTACGTTTTTCCCGATTTTTTCCCGATATATCTCTAGACTTTAGACGATACACAAAAACTTTTAGATTCAGAGAAGCTTTCCCGTCCGCGAAATAGGGGCCCCGACTCAGATAAGGTGCATCATCTCGCGAAAATCGGTTTGTATCGCGAAATGATTGATTATTACGACATGCCTCGTTAATTAGCAACATACTTGTCAATCACGCAACATCCGTGACCTTTTAAACCCGATAGATATTTCTTGAATTATAAATCTCTTTACTCGATTAGGTGTTTACACACAGTATATAACTACTTTTTTTTCTTTTCTTCTTACTATCAATATGTTAATAATCGAATAAAAATGTTTCCTTATATATTATAATTGATGTTCAGAATTATGTGTAAGATCTGTCAAAGCTCTTTGTGCGAGTGCGCAATAAATATTTCTCGTGCAACAATGTTTTGATGAAAATTTATTTAATTATCATGATGAATGTATATGCATTATTATCAGTGCTGTGCGTAGATGATTTTAAAATTAGTTAGATAAAGATGAGATAAAAATATGTAAATTTATCTTAAATAAGATAAAGATGTTTTGTTTTAAATATATCTGAATAAAATATAAAATTATATGGCGGCTCATCTATATAATTTCCAGATAATAAACACATTTTTAGAAAAAAATGTTAATTATAAAGGGATTTAAAAATACATTCATATTTTTATTTATAAGTTTTTATCGCTTTTACTGTTTAAATTCTAATTGAGTATTTTAAATTAATTATTTTAATATTATTTTTAATTCTAAACCAAATTATCTGTACATCATTCTAGATAATTTTGTGATTTTTATTATCTATATAAAGATAAGATGACGCTAAAATTTTATCTAGATTATCATCTATATAATTTTATTTAGATAACAGCAAACACTGATAATTATTATTCGCTTCTTAGAACGGAAGTTAATTAGTGTTTTACAAGAACTTTGCTACTATATACATTGTAATTATAAATCAGGAAGTAAACGTTTATCCTTCGTGTCTTAACCGTTAATTCCCCCATTATATCGTATTAATTAATGATAAATGTATACGGAAGAACTCTATTTAATTTAATTTGTGCGTGAGAAACTAATGATAGGTCGCATCTTTTGACAATGAATTAATTATTATTTATTACTTGTATTTTTTTTCCGCATAAATTTTTTTCATTTTTTACATTAACATGCGATATACTATATCAGTGATTAACATATATAAAAAAAAAAGATTTTCTTATTAATTAATTACGCTACATGAAATATTATAGTTATGTTCAATATTTATTGCGACACAAGAAGCTATGCATATACTCGTAATCAATATGATTAACTTCGTCGAAGTTCATTATCGTCGCATCGAATGGAAAAAAGCGATCTGACTGTATATGTTTACAAGAAATTTACATCTTTCCCCACCCCTTGATGTAATAACTTACAAAGGTTATCACTTCGTATATTTTTCTTGTATTTTTTTCCACTATTTTTCTTATTGGAGCGTAATTAATTTTCCATCGTAATTAATTTATTTTCCCATCGAATGTGCGCAGGGTGAAGGGCGTGAGAGGAGAGATTCTGGTCAATGGCAAAACTCGGCTACCGTACAGCGAGCGATGGAAGAGAACGTCGTGTTACATACAGCAGGACTCCATCCTTCGCACCCGGATCACTGTCGGAGAAGCCATGACTGTGGCCGCTCATCTGAAGCTCGGTTGCACAATCAGTTCCGCTTATAAACATACTCAGGTTCGCGATAAAAATACTTCAATGAGAGACACATGCATATGCAATATCTATGTTTTTTTTACTGCGCGAATTTCTGCCTGAAAAAATTAATTAAATAAATAAACACAAAAATCTTGTCACATTTGCTGATTTCAAAATAGCTATAACAGGATTGATTAATAAAAAAAATTTTCTGTATATATACAATACTTATTTTTATTCGATTTATAATTATAATTATTATATATCATATATATTATATATATAATATATTCTATATTATATTATATATTATATTATATATCATATAATTATATTTATGATAGATAAGAGATACAATAAATATAATTGGGATTTTTTTCTCCGTCTCTAGAATTCTCAATTTTATTTTATTTAAAAATCTTTCTTCAATGGTAAAAGTCGCCCAAACTGGCAATCATTTATTATAAATAATTAGTTAAAATACAACGTTTCGGCTGTCATTGCAGCCCTTTTCAAGTAAATCAAACGTAAATGCATAATAAATTAATGCTGTAAATCAAATTTACTGCATACCACCGACAATATTCACATTGTTTTAATGAACAATAAATAGATGTTAACAGTTAGCAAGAATCTTTGTCACTACTCTAGTAGTGACTAAGATTCTTGCTAACTGTTAACATCTATTTATTTCTTGCTTACTTCTGTCAATTCTACATTGTTCATTAAAACAATGTGAATATTGTCGGTGATATGCAGTGAATTTGATTTACTGTATTAATTTATTATGCATTTACGTTTGATTTACTTGAAAAGGGCTGCAATGACAGCCGAAACGTTGTATTTTAACTAATTATTTATAATAAATGATTGCCAGTTTGGTCGACTTTTACCATTGAGAAAAGATTTTTATTAATTATTACTGGCGAACCTTAAGGATTATTATCCGTTTTATTTTATTTTATTTTTTTACTGTGATGTGTATAGGTTTTGGAGTTACTGGAGATGCTGGGCCTGACTCATTGTTATGAAACGTTGTGCGGAAAATTGTCAGGGGGACAGAAAAAGCGGCTCGACATTGCCTTGGAACTCTTGAGCAATCCTTCAGTATTATTCCTTGATGAACCAACGACTGGTGAGTGCAGTCAAAATTTTGACACTAATAACTTTGAGTGACTTTACAGTTCTAATATCTTGAAAATATAAATATAATTACAAAAGCAAAGAAAGATATAGAAAGTAGCAGAAAATATCAAGGTCTATTGATAAGTAGAAATATAGAAATAGAAGAACATTTAATCTCTCGAAATATTTAATAGGTCACAAACGTTGATCAATCATCCTATGTACATCCAATCAGATATAATATATATAATAATCGCAATTGAAGATACAATATACAATAACAGACATGCTCTTGTCGAAGAAAGAACGCGGCTGACAAAAAATAAGTGTGCGCGATGTGCACATATGGCAATCTAATATTTTGCAATGGCTGTAATATAGTCATTTGCATCAGATTGTATAGCACGAAAAGGTCACTCGGTGTAATTACGTCGTTATTCCGTTATAGTCAAGTCATGGAGTATATTTTTGTAATGACTTGTCTCTCGCAATTGTGCGCGATGTATGTTTCTATTTCCGATTACCTCATTCCGCGTTTCCAGTTTCAATCGCGTTTGTGCAAAATTATCGCGATTGCGTCATTTTATAAGATAGATAGAGAAAGATCTCGCACATACGCAGAGTTTAAAATTCAATATACCTCCAAATTAAAAAATAATAAATATAATAATGCCGAAAATAACTGAGAAGAGACCTTGAAGTTTTTTTTATTTTTTTTTAGAAAGAACTTTGTACAATTCTTATAGAAATTGGACGATTTCTTATAGGCTCAAAAACTCCCCATTAATCTTATATAAAATTGAATCTTGGTAAGATTAACTATATATAGTTCTCGATCTGCTGAAAAAAATGTAATAAATTCAGAGCTAAATATAGTAGATAGTTCTTGATCTACAGCTAGCTATAGAAAAAAATTGCTCTGCGAGTTGTTTGACCCCGGCTATAGCTCAGCAACTGTTCCTTATTTAGCTTTGAATAACTTTAATTTTTATTTATTAGCATATTACATCATATCTTTTATTCAGCAGATTACAAGCTACAACATACAAAAAAAACTAACCAATTCCATCGAAATTTAATTTGCACGAAGATTAAGTAAGGTTCTTTTTTTAAAAAAAAAACTCAAATTATTCTGACTTGAACTTCTTGAATTCTTTCAGGTCTGGATTCCGCTTCGTGCAGTCAATGCGTCGCTCTCATGAAACGATTGGCCAGATTAGAAAGGCGTACGGTGATCTGTACGATTCATCAGCCGAGTGCCCTGCTCTTGGAGATGTTCGACTCCCTGTACGTCGTCGCAGCTGGTTACTGCATATACAGGGGCCCGGTTAGCTCGCTGTTGCCACACTTGGCCTCCATCGGCGTCAATTGTCCATCTTATCACAATCCGGCGGATTTCGGTATGTAGAGCAGCTTTGGCTGATTGCGAGCGAGACCGAAAAAAAGCATCTCTTGAGCGGGATTCGCTTTAAGCGCGCCTATGAAATCGTTTAATATATTTAAAATAAATCTCGCGACAAAGTCGCGCGATTTTGTATGCGCAAGATGAGTCACGAATCATCATAAGCATATATTTTAAAAATTATATTATATTAAATTACTAGTATATATTATAATTATATTAAATTATATTTATAGTATTATAATTAAGTATACTAAATTATAAAAATATTATATTTAAAAAATTGAATGTAAAAATGCGGGAAGAATGTGCCGATGTTTCCAATGAAAGATACGATTGTTTGAAATGTACTTTATTTTATTAACATCGTTTAATCATGCGGATTTGCTCTACTATCGTCAACTTTTTATGTAACATGCCGAGGAAGAGCGATAATTTTTTTACATTAACATTTCATGTTAGGCGCGAGTAGATTGATTATATAACTAATATAATTGATACCGGGTACAAATTGCGATTGTGGCATTCGATTGTATATATAGATGAGTATCATCGGTTTCTAAGAAATAATGATTTAAAATTTAAAATAACATTTTTTTCAGTCCTCGAGGTAGCGATTGGAGAATACGGAATTTCGCTAGACAAGCTGGTAGCTGCAGCGGAAACGATACAGGTCGATCAGAAATCAGTCGCTTTTACCAAGGATCTGGTGTCTGAAGAAAGTAAGAAATCTCCTTTTTTAGAAATTTTATCTTCGTCAATTAAAAATGAGCGGCTATTAATATCTCGAATAAAGCATTCTCAGTCGCGTTCATATAATGGAATCCATTATATACTGCATATATAAACGTTCTTTAATTCAATTGATTATTCGTGATGGAATATTCATTTATAAAAGTGAGTGGAGATATTCAGCGCGGATATATTTGTTATAAATATTTTATTACGCTAGTAATTAAGTATATTCATGCATGTCTCGTGTGTGACATGAAAGACTTTTTTTTAATATTCTAATATTCGCGCGTGAAAGAATTTATGCAAAATTTTATATATTATACTCATATGCAGAATTTTATAATCTATGTCCATTAACAAGTATATTACATATAAAAATGCTTGCATTTTTCTAATTTATTTCCATGCCTTTGAACGCGCGAGGCAATGATATATTATATATATATATAATTACATTATTTTAAATTATATTATAATTATCAGAAAAAGATATAAGGGAAAAATATTATTTTAAAAAATATCGTGAGTACTAATAATTTTTTATATGTATCATTGCCAGAAAATGTTGTCAAGGAACCACCACCGCCCGCCACTTTCCTAACGCAGTGCTATCTTCTTTATAAGAGACAGCTGTTGTGCTTGAAGAGAGATTACACGTTATTGATGACGCGTCTGCTCTGTCATCTGATGATCGGCATGATCTTCGGATATTTGTACATGGGAAGCGGCTATCGAGCTAATGGTGTCCTAGCGAATTACGTCTATTTGTACGGATCTTTATTACTTATAGTCTATACTGGAAAAATGGCCGTCACTTTGGCCTGTAAGTAGCTACGATCATATATAAAGCAATCAATTTGATTTAAGTGTATTTGATTACAGCATATTATGTCTATATTAATCGGTCTTTATGCGTTTATTATTCTGATCAGGCACACATGTACATACTGATATATATTCTCGTATATATGTGCGCAGCTGTATTCTGTATTTCTAAGTTGATGTTTTATCCTGTTTCATCCTGTTTTATCCTATTTTCATTTTTATCTGTTATTCAGATCAGTTACATCGATAATCTTTCATATATACGGATATAATGAATATTTCTAATTACACGTTGTAATGTGTGCATAACGCATAAAATCATTTGGAATAATCTTCGTCTAACGAGAATTAATATTTTTTTATTTTCATCGCGAAACACAAGTATGCAAATTGAAGGATGTATATTAATTATATCTTCTTTTTTTATTTTTATTTAAGGATTGATGCGACTTAGTAATTTCGTACAATCTATCGTAACGGATTCGGATTTGCCATTTGACCCACTGATTATCTCTCAGCGTTGTACATATATGTATGTACATACATGTCTTAAGGATTTATGAATTTAATTGGCTATTGAAAATGTCAGCTATTACAGTCTACAACTAATCAAACGCGAGTCCCGCTCGTGCCTTTCGAAACCCCGCGTCGTTACGAGAATAATTACCTTCACCGTTGCTGCATCGAGCAATGCAACACACATTCGGTGAACGTTCGCGGTCGTTACACCAGGAAATGTGGGTCAAGGAAACGCGAATATCCCCTCCGCTCGACTCGATTCTCCCCCGGCGGGATTAAATTTTACACATTGTTCATTTGAATAAGCACCGTCATAGCATCTTCGAGTGACACTCGCCAAGTGACAGCGATTAATGACGTGATAATAATTCAACCTCAATTTAAATAATCGGCCACGAATAATTTATATCGCACACGTATGCGATTCCTCTAACGTGGATTTTTATTTGAATGAATGAATGAATGAATGAATGAGAAACGAGAGATTCTTCGTCGTTAGAAACATATTTTATTATGGCTCTTTACGCCTTCCTTATGATTTATATTTATATTTTATTATCTCTTGCGAATCTGATGTCGGCGCGAAAGTCTATTTGCATATTTCTTTCATTTGCATATATATAGAAAGACAATTCACATGCGTCATCTTTGTTAAAATCTCTTTTATGGTCATAAAGTGCACGAGTATATTTCCATATTATATACAGAGTGTATCTAAATAAGTGTGAAAAATTTTAGATGATTATTCTTCGTCGAAAATTAAGGATTTCTTATATAAATATATATACTTTTATATCTCTCCCTGATGAATTTTCTTTTGTTAAACATTTTTTTACGGTATAAAGTGCACGAGTACAGTCGTTGACACAGAGGTTGCGACATTTTTTTTTTAGTGAGTTTATGAACATTAATTTTATTAACTGTTAATTTGATTGCGTGTTCATATAAATTCACTAAAAAAAAGTGTCGCAACCTCTGTGTCAACGATTGTACATTTCCATATATATTATATACTTATACAGGATAATTTTTGAGAAAGAATCATTCTTAAAATTTTTCGCACTTATTTACCATAAATATACCCTGTATATAAAATTAACTCGTGTTTTAGAATTTTTTATTTGGAAGAAGTTTTCTCATTCTCTGACACTCGATAAATATTCAACGCGTGTAAGGACCATATATTTCCAAGTCGCGACAAATTCCAGGAATATTACATAAATTACAACAAGATTACATATTAAGAAAATTGCAATAAAGAGATTTCCATTTAAATCGTCTAGAGTGATCTGACGCGTGCGTTATATCTGTTTCAGTTCCCCTAGAAATGCGGATTCTTATGAGGGAGCATTTCAACCGCTGGTACCGGCTAGCACCGTATTACATCAGCATGTTGCTTATCGAAATACCTTTTCAAGCCGCGTGCGCGGCTACGTATATTAGTGTGAGTTACTGGTTGACAGGTCAACCCATAGAGACGAATCGTATAATATCTTTCATGGTAGTCAGCATAGCTGCCAGTCTAACGGCGCAGGCATGGGGTTTCTTCATTGGCGCTACCACCCCGGTTAAGGTAAATTTCTTCAGACTTACACAGGTGTTTTCTTCCCTAAAAAGTGTGATAAAATATAATATATTAATATATAAATATAAATATTAAACATTTATGTACGAATTTGCACATCTGTCTGATCATTCCTTGAAAGCTATATAGACCCAAGTAGCAAATTGACGTCATTTTGGTGTCTAATGATGTCATTCGATGTCAAAATATACACTTGCTACCTGGAGAACTAAGACTGAGACAACGGTTTAACTTGGAAAGCTAATTTGGTGATTCTTTGCAGATTGCGGTATTCGTCGGCCCTATAATCGCGGTGGTATTTTCCATCTTCGGCTTCTGCATTCGTTACACGGATACCCCGCACGCGTTCCGTTGGATGTTCCATATATCATATTTTCGTGCGGGTTTCCAGAACCTGCTGTACACCGTATACGGATTTGACAGGACGGACTTGAAGTGCGATGACTTTTACTGTCACTACAAGAAACCCACCAAGTTTCTCACAGAGATGGATATGGTCGATATAAATATGGTGAACAATCTCATACTGATACTTGGTATTGGTGTATTAATGCATCTTTTAACTGCCAGTGCACTCTGGTGTAAGCTCAACAGGAGATAGGTCACCTCAATACAGTATTGCACATAATTTCTATGAAAAAGAATGAAAGTTGTCGCAAATTGTGAAAAAAAATATAGAAATATTATATATTAAAACAATTATTATGTAAAATATTACATAAAAAATTTAGAGAACATCTCTGTAAGAGAGCTTGTGCTGGAGACCCTTAAGCATAAGTGAAAGAATCGTAAAAAGGCGAAATTATATTGTTTCCGCTCAATTTTATCTCATTTTGCGTTTTACGAATTTCTATCATTTTTTTTCGAGAACTTGTGTTTAAACTTTATTTAGTGAAATTATAGAAAATATCACTAGTCGGAATTTGTTCTTTTGTATTGATCGAAACAAGACGAATCGCTAAAGTGAAAGCGATAATATAATCGAGAAATAAAATGATAAAATTTGTATAAAGGTCGAATGTGTTTATATATGTGTACATAAGCCTGAGTGATATTAAAACGGCAGACATGCGATACAGCGTATCTAAGCTATTATAATTTAGAGTTACATCGTATTTAAAGCTTTAAGAACACGGTAAACAATATAATGTACTGTAATAGTAATACTATAGTTTGTAAATTTTTTAATTTTTATTTAATTCGCGTTTTTCTAGTACATTTACGGAGATATGTACAAAGTTCCCTAAATTATCTTTATAAATGTGAAAATTTTATTAAATAAATATATATGTACATATATACACATATATTTGTACATAATCAATATCGATGAAAATGTGATCCTTTTTCCAAAAGAATATAAAGCGGAAAATAATCGTTCAATTTTTTCCTAGGAGAAAAAGTGCTTAATTTTTTATTAATTTCTTAAAAAGTTATTTTCTATACGTGATGTAAGAAAGAATACTATAAATTGTGAAATATATTCATTTAGTTTTTTCTTGTCTTTATTTTATCATATGCATTTGTTTTTTGTCATTTCTACATTTAAATATATATCATTCAAATTCTTATACAATGTAGAGTGAATCTCATTGTTCAATCGACTTTAATAGTATTTAATTCTAACATACACATTTGTGTTTTTAAACCTTTAAAACTACAATATATATAACTGTGCTATAATCTATGGTTTATATACATCATAATTTGTGCAAACATTACGTGTAATCATGAAGTATTATTATCCAAGATCGTGATTGATGTTCAAATATATTAATTAAGATATGTACATACAGCTAGCAATGAACAATAGTATGTTTTGCATTACAGTTTGAGCAACGCGAGCTCTATAAGATACCTAATGCAAGACATTTTTTTGTGGAAATCAGCTTATACAATCGCAGTTTTGTTTTAAAAATGTTATTATTTATACGAAGTGATGTCCAGTAAGAGCGTTTAAGCAATTATTGTAACAAACTCTAACAGATAACTTACTGTAGGTATATTTATTATACTTCATTTTAATCGGACTCAATAAAGAGCTGTACGAATATATTCATCATTTTAATTATAAAGAGCACGTACTAAATGGCTAAGCATTTCACTTACAGAAATAGTTACTTCTATTGTATCAATAACAATCATAACAATAATCGCAGTCTTGTTCGTTACTCGTATATTAATATAATTCTTGAGGATATATTTTCTGTTGCTCACATTATTTTCTATATATATATATATATATATATGTGCCATAACATTGCACGCACAAAAGTGATATTGCTATTGTAGCTTCTACAAGGAAGATAATACTGTATCATTTACTTTAATTTATTCTCTCTTGTAGTATTAAATATTGAACAGAATAAAAGTAGCGACTAGAAACAAAATTAATGAAAGACTCAATAATGTACATAATTCTTCACTGTTAATTACATGGAGTTACAACCATTTACATAAAAATTACTCTACAGAATATTATGGATGATGATAAATGTAAAATTGGATATTTAATGTCATGCAATAAATTTCTAAAATTTTGTAATTGCATGTAAATATAAATTGAAATATCTCAGATGATATAAAACAGCTTTAAAACTTTTGCTTTAACATCAGTTTCTCTTAGATATTGTACGAAATTCTGTACGATAAAATAATAACAATAATGCTTACTAATACTATACTTCCCTCCTCCTTCTCTTATATAATTTTATTTATTTCTATTTGGATTAATTTTCTATGTATGTTATGATATTAAAAAGTGTTAATGAAACAATGATGAGCTATTGACAGAAATTCACAATTTCGAAAATTCTCAAGAATTTTATAAAAAAAATGTTGGACACTTTCAATCTTCCTGCTTATTGTTAAATATTTAATCTTGATGAACTTGTACAACAAAACTTGTACAATACGCTTACAACATTGTAATTTTATATGTTCGCATATTTTTCTGAATAAATTACAATAATATTAATCATAATATTATCATAATTAAAATCATTGTCATATTGTTTACTATGGAAAGATTTGCATAACTATATCTTGTATTATTTTAAAAATATTTTGACATTTGTCTTTATACAACATATATATATATATATATATATATATATATATATGTATTGTTGTATAGTATATTGTTGTAACGTTTTTTAAATTTCTCTAATTTTTAATTTGATAGATATTAAACATTGAATCTCCTATATAAAATGCGATACGTTTTGATTTAAAAATAATGAACGGTTTCACCGTTCAGTGACGCTCAAATCTCAAATATTTAAATAAAAATGAGAAATGCATCATCATACACAATGAGTTAAACAAAACGAACCGATGGTACCAATGAAATAGAATCTGATAATTATAAAATTTGCAACTTAGATACAAGTTTTCTTTATGTGGACGAGAGAAAAACAAAAAAGTAAAATTATAAACTCCAGAACTCTACTCAAATTTATAATATCTCAAGAACTTTATTCTTTTTTTAAACAATACATTTTGTGCAAGTACATTTAGCTTCAGGCCGAAAGGGTTTTGTCCAAAACTACAATACTTAAATATCTTTCATTGGTGCCGTCGAAACAGCAGTTATGCGAATACAGCGGGTGAATTTGAACAGCATTTTGTTAAATAATGTTAAGATTTCATGCACGTTCTCTTAAGCTTTGTTCGTTTGCGATGTGATGGCAAAAATCTTTCGAATGTTTATGCTTTGTTTAGTGACGCTATAACAATTTTAAAAAATTGAAAATTAAATTTATCCTATTCAAATAATTCCGCCATATCCCACATTTTTTAAATATTTATTAATATTAATAGCCTATATTGTATATGGAATGTACCCCACACAATTATACAGGCACAATACTGCAAATAATTTAATGAGACATAGATTTGATTGAAAACATCAATTAAATTAAAATAAAAATGATTGAACATATAAAAAAAAAGAATTTTTACACCTGATTAATTTTATATTGAAGTCAAGTTATTAAGGAGAAGACACATAATTACAATTATAAAATAAATTCTCATGCATACCACACTATTTACAATATAGGACTCTATATACTGTCTCTTTGCTTAATAATTATTTACATTTAAAAGTTTAATCGTAAGTGGGTTTCATAGTTTGTTTCACTTTTCTTTGCGTCTCCGTTTCATCTTCAGTGCCATAAAGATGCGATCTGTGCTTCATTTCAGTGGCAACAGACTTTAATAAACCAACAGAAAACAGAGAAATAAACATAAAGATAATAGATTTCGAACAGAAAGTTAAAATATATCGAAATGAATGAAATAAGCCACGTTCATCGAGATGTTTTACCCATTATATCAATCTCAGGCTAAACTCACCAAACGAGTGCGCACTCTTTTTGGCAGATCTTCCTGTAAGCTATATATGTCGCTGCGTTTTAAATCAAGTTGCGAACCATCCTCGAAAATTACCTAAACAGAAAAATCGCACAATTATCATTATTAATAGTTAATAGATCAAATGAGAAATATTCAAATCTTATACCACGGTATCAAAATTTACTTACATTAAACATTATCTGATGATTTGTGCCTTCGAAGACACCATCGTACGTCTCGCCATCTGTCCAATTTACTCTCACCGCGGCTCCGAGTGGCGGTATATTTCCAGAATCATAATTCTAAACAGAAAGATTCAACAAATATAATAAATGTATAAAGCATATGCTTCAAAGAATATCATATATTTTTTTATGACAACAATTTTTATTTTAATCGGCTTCAAATAGAAAAGAAGAGTAGGATAAAAAATAGACTGTGTAAAAACTTACGGTTATGTCAGAGGGATACAAATCTTCGCTGAAACTGTTATCGCTAAATGTAACCATGTAAAAGAGAATATGCTGAATAGACTCGACTTTGGCTTGATAATATCTGCTATTTCGATGTTTCGCCCAAACAGTTTCACCTTGTCGTATCTGCAGAACTTTTCCCTTGTCTTCGTCATGACCATTACACGTTACCTGAATAGATTAAACTTACGTAGATTAAGATTCTTGAGTCTTCGTCGCGGCTATGTTAGATTGTGATGTCAGAAAAAGTACAAGCTAAAAATTCTTAGGTGACATTTTTAAATGAAAAGATATTTCGGTGAAACAACACTACTTTAAATGGCTTCAGCATACTTTTAAAATACCTCGAAAACTATTCTTTTCCCTTGACAGTCAATTAACAACTATAAAATGATCGTGATATCAGACTTTGTTATGCGAAATGCTAGTTTTCAAGGTATTTTAAGAGTGCTGAATTTTTAGCGTGTGTTTTCTCATCTCTGACGTCACAATTCCAACATGGTCGGTCAAGAAGCCCTACGATTATTACAAACTGTACGATTAACAATACTGTACCTGCAGTTCTTGCGAATTGTACACTGGTATGATAAATGCGGCACCCGCCGCGAGACCGCAAGACGGATGGAACACGTTGGTGCATTGATTACATTTCAGACATGCTCCGCCTTCCTGGCCGCAGAAGCAACACTTCTTGTTCAACGACTCCGCCATAATCGTCAATACGTTGATGGGATCTTTATTTATGGCATCCTTGAAGGTGGCTCCCGGTACCATAAGCGTGCACAAGATGTGCGCCCATCGACTGTCGCTGGTGCGTTTCAAGGGACCGCCAAACATCGGGCACAAGCAACACATCTAGTTGATCGAGACAACAGAGCCGAGATTAGACAAAATGCATATATTTAAAAAGGAAAAAAGAAGAGATTTTTTTTCACACTTACCACATCATTCCTGCCGGCTTTACATCTATCACAGGCCCAATTTCGGATATCCGTAGGTAATATAGTTATACCGTAACAGGATGCATGAACAGTCACGTGACACTCTCTACATCGTAGGAGTTTGTTGTTTTCCGGCTCTACAACCTGTTCCTTGGAATTGGCCGCAAAAATACTGCCTGACACCTGAGGTACATAAATTATTCATTTAATATCTTTGTAATTTGTTACATTTACGTTGACATCAATTGAAAAAAAAGGAATTAACATTTTATTAAATGTTCTTACCCATATCGGCGTGCTTTCAGGTAACGTGGTTGATTTGCAATACTTCCAATCAGGTGGCATTACTCTGTTGCTTCCGCTCGTAGGTGAAGCAAAAGTGGTGCATACTGCACAATGGGAGACTTGAGTGCTCCAATAATCATTGAAAGCTTTCAGCAAGTCGCTATTCGGTATATTCGGGTAAATCATTTCTGAAATATGTCCGGGAATCGTCGACGTGATTGGTTGGGAACCGCTACTGGATTGTGACATATCAGTGGATTGCGTTGATATTATGTTGGCTTCGTCTTTCGTAACTTGGCTCGTGGAAGTCGCAATTGCAGTTGCTACGTTAGTTGCTGTTTTCTTTTTCCTCGTCGTAGATTTCTTCAACTTTTCTTTGGGCTTCTTCCTCAAGATGGGTATTTGGTTTTGTTTGACTTTGTTAGACAAAGATAAATGAGAATGAGTATTATCTGTTATCTTTATTAAGCCTTGTAGCTGCGCCTTATTGTCCGATATACTCGATATAATGTTTTCACTCTCGCTAGATTGTGTAACATCATCTACAGGTGATTTCTTCTCGGTCGAGGAATGTACATACGAATATATCGTATCGTCTTGCGTATTTGCAACTCGCGATAGACTATTGTCCGTATTATAGCTCAATGCAGGTACGTCTAGAGGATTATTAATTTGCGTTCCGATGGAAGCGACATTTGTTCGAGATGTACTTATAACTGCGTTGTTCGATTTGTCGCTCTTCGAAGATGACTTTTTACGCGATGTATGTCCTTTTTGCGACTTCTGGCGCGACGTATTCTTACTTCGTTTCGAATTGTTTGGAACGGTTGAGGTCACTTTGGCAGTCGACTGTTCGACAGTTTGTAAATATACGTTTGTATTTGGAGGGATCATATTTGAAGGGAACACCATTTTAGAGCCATACACGCCGGGAGAGTGTGGCTGCATCATATTTGATACAGGATATGATGCACAAGCTGGAAATTGCCCAATTTGCATGAGGCCATTTTTATTCATGGCGCCAGTAGACGCTTGAGTCAGTTTAGAAATTCCTGAAGAATTTATGTACGGATTTGGCCAGAATTTTCCTGGGTAAGCCGGGGACATCTTCTCTGACATGGGTATATTTCCCAATTCAGGTTTTGGTTTTGAATTCATGCTGTGCTGACTAACCGTGGAGAAATTGTTATTGTGAAGAACGGGACCCTGTGGAATTCTATTGATGATCGGAGTACAGGCAGTACCAGGTGGAAGCTGAATATTAATTTCCTCTAGTTTTGGTATACTTTTCGGTGAATTATCATTTCCGTTGTGCTGCGCTTCTAATTCATTTTCTAAAATCGGTGGATTGTTGTGGAAAGTTGTATTCGGATAGAATGTCGCCATATCTTCAGGTGGGAGAGTAGGTTTCGATTCTGGTGACTTCTCAATATTTTGTACATTGGGATCCATAGGTGGGCTGAACAAGCTCTCTTGACTTGTAGCAGCATTTTCAAGTTGTGAAACTTTTATCGGCAGTATGCTTAATCGAGGCGCTTTTAACAGGGGCCTATTATTATTTTGTATCGATTCGTTTTTCGTGGATATTGCTGTAGCTTTGTAATTTATAGGCTGTTTCATATAAGAACTGATTTTTGTACTTTCATTTTGATGTCCAGAATTTTTTTGTATTGTAGCATTGAAGTTCTTTTGGTACATTAGTTTGTAAGGATCGCTTTTGACATCTTTCAATGAATCAATGCTTGTCGCTGTATTTCCTACTATACTATTCATTAATATTTTTTTATCTTTGTCACCATTATAAGTATAATTTATAGATATTTGATCACTGTTGGTTGTATTTACAATTTTATCCTTTACATTTATCGTGCTGTGTTCATTACCAAACGGAATATTTCCAGGCAATGCATTTGTTTTTCTTTGATTGTTAGATGTATCTTTTACAGTAGGAATTCTATTATGAAAATCAGGTAGCGCCATATTTCCGAATTGATTAGGATTTAAAATTGATGTGCCAGAATAGAATGGTGTATTATTATATTTAGATTTACTTTTGGACGATGGAGGTTTCAATCTTATTTTCTTCTGACTGCTGTGACTCAAATGCTTCTTCCTCTTTTTAGCAGATTTGTCGACAACTTCGGAAAAATCTAATTTCAGAGGATCTTCCATAGGATCACTATGTATTATAATATCGTCGTTGTAACTTCCTTGAATCACCGGAATTTCGTCGCTATCAAAAGTACTCATGTCTTCAGTTTTTATTTCCACTTTAATCATATTCACGTCCTGTGTATTAATAATTTTATTGATTTCCTTTTTAGATTTCTTTTCTCTACTTCCACTTTGCTTTTTCTTCTTCTTTTTGCTTTTCTTGCGATTGTAACCATCGTCGTACACAGACGCTTCCTCAACATCTAAAATAAAAGTATTTCAAATCAGTAAAGAAAAGCTACTGATTACATTGATTAAAATAAAAATGTAGAAAATTTTACCCATTTCTCCTGCTTTTAACCAGATATCTTCTAAAACTTGCAATTGTTGTTCATCCGGCTCGTCTATTGGTTCCTCAATTTCTTCAAATTCAAGATCTTGCAAAGCCTTTTTAATATCCGGAGGAATGTCCGCACGGTTAACTAATTCTACCATATTAACAGCAGAATTTGTGTTAATCTTCTTCTTATGAATCATATGTCGCTTATTTTTCGGCACTGCATTCAAGTAGCTCTGTGGTAATTGACCATTGCTACTGCTGTTGCACAATAAATCCATTTGCGATGGCATTGGTGCAGCAGTTTGCCTAGGATCTTCAGGATGGGGACCAACATCTTCACCACGTAGCCATAAATCATATCTGTTAACCGGAATTAATATGAAGTTATGCATGATAATTTATTATAGTGAATATTTCTACACATATGTAAAGTGTATAATAATTGTGCACATAATCTCATAAAATTATCAAGTGAAATTAGGTATATATTATCTACATACCTCTCGGGTTGAAAGCGTTTGACAAAGGTATCCATAGATATCTTGACCATGTCTTTACTACAGGTACACTGCGTAGCTCTCTTTCCGTACTCTACCCATCTAGGTGCTGCAAAATTAGTAGATTCGGCGCAATTAAATCCATGATTAAAACCAGCATGGTAACCATATGGAAACGTAATCATTATTTCTCCAGCTTCTTGTGTTATCTGTAAAAATGAAAGTTGTCAATTGATTAAGAGCAATATTTAAAATTTACAAATGTAGCATAAGTGGAGAGACACTTACTTTGTTACATGGAATAGAATATTGTCTTAATATTTGAGGGGATATCAAAGACATTTTGTGACGCAAGAAGGCCTGACAACTCTGATAACTCGATGGGAAAAAGCCATTGGCCAGTCTTTCCAGTCTACGTCCATGTTCCGGAGGTATAGCATACCATGTTTTAGGTGCGCCAAAATGAAGATAATTTATAGAATAAAGATCCATATCTTCCGTGTGCCACGCAAATGTGGTTTTCCACATTCCAAAATATAAATAAGCTGTATTGACGCCATCAATGGATATACCATAGTCTTTGTTAACATAATCCAAGATCGTTCCTAAGTGATTGATGTTCCACTCCTTTACATCTGGATCGGTCAAAGAACCAGATACATCCGCACCATATATCGGTGCTACATATGTTATGTTCTTCCAATATTTCCTTTCCAGATCCTCGTAATCAAAGTGACGAGGAGTGGCATAACGTTCAGAGTTGGCCATTTTACTGTACTCTTGGACAGTCATTGATTTCTTTTGGATATTGATCTGTTGATAAAGGCCTTGCTTTCCAGTGACAACCTGACAGATTGGCGCTGGAATACTAAGATCTAGTTCTTCCAGATTATAGCCCTTTTTCCTCGGAATCCATTCTGGTGGTGGTATCACCTTTGCCAAGCCAGCTTTATGAGCACCCTGACTCTCCATATATTCCACATATTGTGTGAAATTTTTAAACTCTTCATACGTCGGTCGAAAGACCTGTATGCGGGGTATTCCTCTTGAATTATTAGCCATTACTGAATTTATATATTACTGCTGCAAATCAAATAAAGTTTTTCAATCTCTAATAGGATATTATTAACATATGTTTTACAATAATAAAACAATTTTTAAGTAAGCTTCAGTAGTACTGCTATACTTTTACTTTTGATAGTACTACTTTAATATTTTTTATAACAATTAAAAATATATATATTTTTTTCTTTTTAATATATAAAAAATTATGAATTAAAAAATCTTGAAATTTGTAGGTATTTGATTTCAATTTTAGCCATAATTACATTATTTTATCACAAAAATAAATAAACTTGTATATTTCTCGAAAAAGATTGAAAATAAACATCGTACAAAAAATTTATGGGTACTCCAGCGTGATATGTATTTAGCACCAGTATTTTGATTCGATTCAGTAGGAGTACTTTTTTGAATATTTATTTATATCGTAAAATACGCCTGCTGCGATTCATACAAATATTTGTCACTACGCATTTCATTCATCAGGATTCGGATACACTACCAAGATGACGAAATCGTACACCTTTCCTACACATAGGAGTAGATTCCTGTCAGAGATCGAAATCGAACAAGGAGTTGTGTAATACCGAGAAAAGGAAATAAACGCAAAAGAGTCTACGAATATAATTCTTCGAAACCCTAAATTCGATGTTTTCAGAACGAAACGCGAGGGCGGTGGAGAAGGAAGAGGAAGGGGGAGCAGAGAAAGGGGATCCATAAACACACAAAATGGTAGTTATCTATTGTTGCAGGATTCTCTCCCTCGCGCACGTACACGATTCATTCAACGCAGCTCTGGGAGGGGACGGTCGAGACTCCAGGATTTTGTTTCCCTCTTTCCGGAATCTCATCCGTCAGGATTCTGCGAGAATCGATGAAGGTTTTGAGCAAAACGATCTCGATGAGGAAGGTACGCGAGAATCGCGCACTCGAGGAGAGCCGAGGACAGATAAAACACAAATCGTCCCTCGGCGGAGGGTCAGGCGTCCGCGTGTTACAGGATACTTACACACGCCCGATTATGAAGATCACCTCTCCTGTATCAGTAGCATCCTCCACGCGCGAGTACGGGAGACGTTTCGCTGGGAGATAAATCACGCACGGCTTTTTGACACAATATACTACACATATACACACGGATTTTTGATGTACGTGCTTTCGCGGAGCAGCGCCGCGCAGCGTCGTCGTCGTAGTAGTACTGCTGGCAGTGGTAGTGGTAGTAGTAGCGCGCAGGCGCTGACAGGTGGCGCTGGCGCCGCGCAGGCGCCAGCGCCACCTGCGCGCCGCGTGCGAGATTCAAAATCCGTCGTTTGGTCACGTACGCCATTAATGCGCGACCGCCCATCGACGGGTCGACATCGTCGAGCGCAAATCAGAGGAAATATATTTAATATTTTGGAATCTAAATTATTTCAAGTAATCAAATCACGCGCGAAAAAATTCCGATATATTCAGATTCGTTTATAAATAACTCTATATATATATATATATATATATATATATTTATAGAAAACCTACTCGGGTTAGTGTATAAGAGCTCGATTTGTATTTGTATATCAGAATCTTTTCGATCTTTTATTATCTTAAAATTATATTTCTATTCCTAATATTTATTATTTATTCATAATAGAATTTTCTTTATTGCGCACAGAGCATAAAAGCAGGTTTTCTCTTTTCGTTTATAGTGAAGCCGGAGGAAAAACAAAGAAGCTGTGCAAAATAAATCCACGTATATTTTTTGAATTAGCAAAGTAAAAAATTGCGATATCTATCTCTATTAAAATTATTGGATTTTAATTCATGATTTTTTTGCACGTGGAACACATGTATCATAAAAACACACTCGTAATCGAATTTTTTCACGTATTTCTTGCGGGGAAAAAAACTTTGAACTCTCTGCACGTTTTGCTGTAAATTGAAGCGAATTTAAAACGAAAAAAACCTCTCTTTGATATGTGACCTATGTTTTTTGCACGAGACAAAGAAAATGAGCTAGACGCGTGCACATTCTTGAAAATGATAAATCTTATCTATTGGAGAGTCGCGATGATAACGCACGGCTTTTGATAAAATATAAATGCGGAATCCACGGATGTTGGCGAGAATCGATTTCGTACATTTGCTTACCTTAACAGAGAAATTAGAAAATATGGTTCTTCCTCGACGATGCTTGTTTTCGGCTATCAATGGAGAAATTGCATTATATGGAGGGAAGTGTCTTGTAGAAAAGAACGATTTACATTTTTTTAGTCGTAGAATATAAACATCATATAGTGTTTTACAGTATTTCAGGAACCGGAACCAGGATGCATCATTTCCATTAATCAATCGAAATGACTGTATGCAATAAATAACACTGTACTGTATGCAATAAAAAACAAATGTCCATTTATAAGTCTGTTTTTTATTGTTATCACAATTAATAATATTTCAAATAATATACTGATAAAAAACATCCCATTAAGTTTATATTCTTGCATGTTATGAATATTTAATTAAAGAATATTTCTCTTTGGAGAATTTTTTTCTTAAATGAAGAATATCTTTTTGACAGATCTGTGCAGAGTTTTTGTATGAATAAAAATCGTAAAATAAACTTAAAATATTTAAATGACTTTTATTTATGACCGATCACTGCTATGCAATTGTTTAACTATTAATTGTCATGACTTTCATAAAAAATATAATAATACTGCAATTATGACAAAAACACATTATTTCTTATTCGATTCGAATTTTTAATCAGCCTATTGTTAAGTAATCGATATCCTTTTTATTTTTTTTCTACCTAGATTACAATAAATTCCTTAAGGCAACACCAATTCGAGCGATCGCCTCACAATCAGACCCCTCACGAGACACATCCGAGCCCCTGAGAAGCGAGCAACGCGCGCCGGCGCCGGCAAATAGTAGAGGTAACAGGTGGGCGCCGATAAATAAGGCGCGCGTACAATCGAACGGCGGCGGAGTTTACATCTGGTAGTTTGTCGGGTCGGCGGAAGAGAAAGCGGGGCGGAAAGAAGGAACGCGAGCGAGAGCGGGGAAAACCACGCGGCGAGAAAATTCTCTCGTGGACGTGAACGAACGACGATGAGCTCCGACGAGCTGGAATTCGCGCTCGAGAGACGCGATCGATCGCGCACGGACATCGATAGATCGCTTTATCTGCTCTTCGAGGACATATCGTACAGCGTACGGCGAGGAATCCTGACCAAGGGTATATATTTAATATATATAATTAATATAATATAAATAATATGTATACATATATATATATGTATGTATATAAATATATATATATATATATATATATATATATATTATATTATAATATAACATAAATATAATATAATGTGATACCCCTAATAGTACAACATATTCCGAAAGATATTCAGAGGATATCCAGTGGATATTCGAACATCCTCAGGATGTTCTCTGAACGTCTTCGGGATATGTGTGCTGTTAGGGACATAATATATATAATATAATAACATAATATATATAATATAATATGTAATATAAAATGATATAATATAAATAATAATATAAATAATAAAAAAAAAATATATATATATATATATATATATATATATATAATATGTATATGTATATATAATATTTTTCGATTTTCTCTTATTGGAGAAATGTGTTTGTTATGGCGAGTAAATTATATACGTGTATGTGTGTATGTGTTCAATTAATGCAAATATCGGTGCAATGTGACACGTGTGCGGCAATATATTATAATTACTACTTGAATAATTAGCGGGATTCTTATACAATATATCGCATTATGAAATTTTAAAAACAGCAAGAAGACGGTTCTTTGCAATAAAATACTCATCAATTTCAAATTTATGTATAATTAAAATGTAAATTTTTCTGTTTTTAAAAATGATTCATATCGTAACGCACGTGTTTATCAGCAAATAATCAATTCATAAAATATTAAGCTTTTGTAAAAACCAAAGATACAGAGATAGATGGATGGATAGATAGATAAATAAATAAATAGATAAATTTATCTTTTTTTCTCTGCAAATATTTAAAAATATAATAATAATAAATGTCTCTCTCGTAAAAATATGATGATTGATTGATCAAATACTAAAATAGAAGGAATTATACAGAATATATTGTACATAATTACACATTTTTTAAATTGTAAATGCTATCTATGCTAATATTAACACCTGAAAACATCTGAAATTTGCATGATTACAATCGCGGTTTTTTTGTACCTGCACGTACATCAATATAACATTAAACAGCAGTTAACTCTTAATAAAAACAATTCAGTAAAAAAATTTACAATGTGTTTACGAGAAAGTAATGTATATATGTATAATTTGTTTTTAAGAAAAGTTTTAAATCAAATTTAGTCGATAAAATCACGCGTAGCAAAAATAATAATAATAATGATAAATATGCACATATTAAATATATAATATATAATTTAATAAAAAAGGAGGATAGAACAAATAATATAACAAATATATATAATAAATATAATATTATGTTGCATTCTTCAGATGAATAATTGTATTAATTCTTGTAAGCTCACAGGGAAAAGAATAACCTTCACACTTTAGAATCAGTCACAACAAATTGTAATTGAAATCTTATCAACGTTGATTTTAGGCGATGAGATTGATAGGAAAAAAAGATAATAAATTTCATATCCTCGTACGTTGGCCTCGTAAGTATTAAGTCGAGATAAAAATTCAAATGTGAATAATTGCTGTCAGAAATAAAATGCAAAAAGATACGTCAATTATTGCTGAGAATACTTTAAGAAATGTAAAAATTGATAAGATATACATATACGAGCTACTTATTTCGTTCCAAAGTATAACAAATTATAACGTAAGCTTTACTAATCTCAGGATTAAAGTATTTAATTATGAATACATCTTCGAGATAATAAGACATTTTTTCTAGCTGCAAAAGATAATAGAAATTCCTTGAGACAATTTAAAATAAATTTATTTCACATCTTCTCTTTTCAAGGTTCAAAATATTTATATTTCTATAAATATATTATATTTATATTTATATTTATATAAATATATTTATATAAATTATATAAATATATATTATATTTATATTTATATTTATATAAATTTATATAAATATATATTATATTTATATTTATATTTATATAAATTTATATAAATATTTTTATCCTTAAAAAGAGAGAAAAATATTTACATTTATATCAATATTTTATACTGAAATTAATATACTAATTATAAATGTTAAAATAAAGCTTTGTTACGTTATTAGAGCTCACGTATAATGACTTGCTGATTAGATATTTCTCATTTAAATACTAGTTGTCTGACTGATATATTATAATTAAAATGAGCGATGACAGTTACGTATCGTTATCTACGCAAGCATATAAAGCAAAAGCCACATCTAATCCATACAAATTGATTAATTACGACGCAATTGGGTCACATATTTTTATGTGATTCTCATCATAGCTAAAAATCACTTGAATTAATCGATAAAATTAAGAGTAAATTAATCAACACAAAATATAGATAAAAAGCTATTGACAAAATAAATAGACAAATAGCCAAAAAAAGGTACTACTTATATTACATAAATACAAGTATTAGCATTGGATCGAAATATTGACATTACAATAAAATGTTAGTCTAATTGAGAATGACTTATTGCTCTTTCATTAATTTTTCGATTATAAATCAAAACGCTAATATAATAGATCAACGCAGATTCGCGAAAACGAGAAAGAAGACACAGAAAAATATTTGTGATCTTAGTTAAATTATCAATTATATTTTTTATTAATCAATTATAATTATTAGTTAAAATTAATTTAATTGCAATTAATTAATAATGATTAATCAATTATATATATATATATACGGAGCAAAAACGATGTATCGCTTTATATTTGTGGTAACAATAATATTATTCGAACACAACAATTTATAATGAAGAGCAAAAACGATGTATCGCTTTATATTTGTGGTAACAATAATATTATTCGAACACAACAATTTATAATGAAGAGATAATTGTATAAAATATATAATTTATATATATATATGTTACCACAAATATAAAGCGATACATCGTTTTTGCTCCGTGGATATATAAACTTTCACTTGGCGCGTACAACTATAATATTTACTTTGGCCGTATTTAGGACATTGATCATATATTGCGAGAAAAAAAAGTAAATATTAAGTAAAAAAAAAAAATTATTGGATTCGGATAAATATATATTTATTTCAATACCGCCTAATAAATTATTTATTTGAAACTAATAATATTTATATTTATATTACAGAGCCTAGTTAAACTCTTAATTTATACACGCTGGCTTAAAGGCGTTTATTTACCAACATTAATATATATAACAGAGAAAAGTATAGAATCGAAAGGATCTGAATAGCTCAGTTGGAAGAGCAGTCGCCCGGCAAGCGAAAGGTCTCGGGGTTCGATTCCCGATTCTGCGACTTTCGGATCTATATTTTTCTCTCGCACTTTATTTCTTTAGGGGGAATAGGGGATACATGGAATTAAAAATCTCTTGTAGAGATTATTCCAATTTTATATCTTGGCCGTGCCCAAGTAAAAATTTGGTGCCTTGTGCACAGGTATTTAATTCTAACGAAAAAAATTTAGTTTCGTTTAGAATAACGCACTGTCATCCGCGATTTGGCTCTTATTGCCTATCTTATATATGTTAAATTTATACTAATAATATTGATTTGATGTGAAAAATATTTATCAGTTTTGAAAAGAATTTTCTCATATAAAATAAATATTTTTCACATTAAATCAATATTATTAGTATAAAAATAAATAATTTATTAGGCGGTATTGAAATAAATATTTATCCGAATCCAATAATTTTTTTTTCAGTGATATTATCTCGCGAGAGTATATATTTATCCGACCCGTCATTTTCTCACATAAAAACCGTCTACTGCAAGTTTCCTTTTTCAATAAAGGGCAATCATCTTTGCTTTTTAGAGAGAAGAGAGTTACTGCGTGACCTTAATGGCGATTTTCGACCAGGCGAACTCACGGCCATTATGGGTCTTTCGGGTGCCGGAAAATCCACCCTAATGGATATCCTGGCAGGTTTTACGTAAGTAATAAATGTTTTGTCCTACGTCCTGATCAATCTGAAGGACGCAGCAAAGAGACACAATCGGAATGTCTAGAAAACCTTGAGAATCTTGAAGTTCTTGAAACGTTCTGGAATTTTATTGTTTGTTTCCTTTAAAATTGCTGGAAATGTACTTGAATTTTGTAGAACCTTGATTTTATTCGTTGCTTCTAAACATTCAGCTAAAAGAGTCAGCTGAGACTGTTCGAATAAAAAATATTTCATTTTACTTCGTAAATAATATATTATACAATATGTTTTTTATTTACTAAGGAGTCCAAAAATATATGTGTTACGCATAAGTTGTTTATAGATTTTCAAGTGTTCAAATATAATAATGTAAGAGAATATTGTATCAAATATTTGTAATGCATATATTAATTTTCATTAACAATTTATATCGACTTCATTAAAAAATTAAGTTTTCGACTCCTTATTGCACATCTTTATCATACTATTGGAAAATCGTGAAAATTTTCTTGAAATGTCCTGGAAATGTCCTTAAATTTCATTTTCAAATTTTGCTAGACACCCTGCATTGAGTCAATCACAGACTCCCAAATCTTTTCTAACACGTATTTCACATGTGACAGAAAGGTGACAGGAACTCGGAGACTTGTCTGTTTATGGTTACGAATGATTACCTGTTCAGAAAAATGTACACCATGTGTGTGTTTATCAATTTACTTATATATAAATAATTGTCAATTTATACTCAATTTATAATCAATTTGTCAATTTATATAATTAATTATCAGTATATAATTATTTATTATTAATTTATATAATTATTTATTATCAATCGATATGTACATATTAATGTTATACAATTTATAAATATTAATTAATTTGCAAAATTTTATTCTTTATCTCTCTTGTCAATATCAAAAGAATTTAGCGGGATAACAGAAAGACACGTGTACCAAGAAAAGAAAAACTGTGTTCTTTCAAAATTAATAGTCTCGGACCGAAAAAAAATTAATAAAATGCTGGTTTTATCGGTGAATAGGAATTGCGGATTTTTCTTCAAAAAGAAAAACGTCCAGGAGGTGCACGATTTGAAGATTTTGAATCGAAACGTCAATTCACAAAACAGCCTTGAATAGTCGTGTTATCTGTGCACGTAATCTTTATTATCACCTCTTTTTAGCTTTGAGGTCGTGCGAATATATTGCGAGACCTTCCTCCCGGACACGCATCTTATTACGGTTTTATGATAATATAGTCCTACGAAAGAATAGACAACGATTGGATCGAAAACAAAGTCGAGTGCAAAGTCACGGTACGCCTGCACCAACTTGCAAGGTCGCAGTATATTTTTTTTAGTCGGAATTTGCAATTTAGGTGCACATTTATCTATTACATGCGTAAAGATATTTTAGCTCGCGCTCTAAAACAAGTCTTATCATTTTCAGCGCACTTATATCTTGTTCCTTATTCTCTTCGGCATTCCTATACGCAATCTTAGTTTTTTTCTCGTTCAATGTCAGCTCTTATTAAGTTGATACTTTGTATATACATATATATCGCACACCTGACAATTTTATAATTATTACATTGTCTTTCACTCCTATAAGTATCATATGTAGAGACAATTTCCTATTTTTTTTATGAACAATCAAGTTTAATTAATTATAATAATTATAAAAATATATATGTATAATTTCCATTTTAATCAGACAATTATTAATTTTAATTTTAATTGTCGAGAGTGACATAATTATATTATAAATAGATGTACGTAAGTCAGCAACAGATTATTGTTCATCTGACAGGATAACTTCGGTCACCGGGAGGATTCTGGTAAACGAACGGGAAAGAGACATGTCGGAATTTCGAAAATTATCCGCTTACATAATGCAAGACGATAATTTACAACCTCTTTTAACGGTGCAAGAAGCGATGTTTGTCGCCGTTGATCTCAAGCTCAAATTGAACCGACGTCAAAAATCGCAGAGGGTAGGTTTCTTTTATAATAATACTATTATTTACGGATCTTTTTTTTATAATGAAATTATTAACGTGGAAGAGAGAAGGAGAGAGGAAAAAATATATTATTATATAATAATTATTTTTCACGGAGAGAAACCATGAACCCTCTCCTCCATTGTATTACAATAATAATAAAATGTAATAACTTATTGTAAGATTAATAGATTGTACGCGATTATAACAACGCTCATATGAATGACGATAGTTAAGAGTTAATTAATTTTACGTCAGATCGACGAAATATTAACAGTGATGGGTCTTGACGTATCTCGTTACACGCTTACCTGCAATCTCAGCGGAGGTCAGAGAAAAAGACTCGCCATCGCGCTCGAATTGATCAATAATCCGCCAGTCATGTTTCTCGATGAACCTACGAGGTAAAAATCGGATGCTTATCTTGTCGGTTATTGTTTTATCTCGTCTCCTCTCGAAATTATTCGATCAATGCCCAAGTAGCAAGCGTACGTCATCAGACGTCAGATGACGTCACTTTGACGTTTAATGACAGTTTGCTACCTGAAAGATCCACGATTATATTTTGATGTTGTTCCTTCTAGTGGTTTAGATAGCGTCGCATCGAAGCAATGCTTGGCACTTTTGAAGCAATTAGCCCGAGAGGGACGGACTATAATTTGCACGCTTCATCAACCGAGCGCGACGCTCTTTAATATGATTGATCATCTTTACGTAGTAGCTGACGGATATTGCGTTTACACGGGCAGCACGCAAAATTTGGTGCCATATTTAAGTAGTCTAGGATTACACTGTCCAACACATTTTAATCCCACTGATTTCCGTAAGTTTCAAGCTATTTAATAGATTCTATATCGAATGATACTTAAAAAATCAATGATACTTTATTGACACATTCTAATATAATTTATTATACATAATAAATTATATACATATAATAATAAAATTATATAACATATTTATATAATACATATTTATTTATATACTAAATATAAATTAATTATTTAATTAAATAATTAATTGATATTTATTATATAAATAAATATATTAATGTATAATTATATATAATGTAATTAGACATGTTAATTTTTTGTGAAATAATTTTTTTTTTCAATTAATGTTCAATTCAATGATATTGAACTTGGAATTCTCTCTCTTCTCTCCAGTAATGGAAATATGCAATGGTGATTATGGTCTTCACATATCCAAGCTAGTGGAATCGATAGAGAATGGCAAAAGTAACGTATGGAGGTCGGCGAGAGCTCTTCGCTTGAATGAAGAAATTATGATCTCGCAACATATTTCTCCTGTAAGATTGTATTCCTTCGAAACGGAATTCAAACAGACGCCGCATTATGTCGCCAGTTCCTGGAAGCAGCTTTGGATTCTTATCAAGAGAAATGCGATTAAATTAATTCGTGATAAGGTAATGTTGCCATATAATATGAGTCATATCTTTTGTATTAAAATATTTTTATTATAAAATTATATTTATCATATTTCCGCCTAATATGTTAATTCATTTTCAAATAATGTTCGACATTTTTTAACTGATATTTTTAATTCAACGTTTTTAATTATCCCAAATGAATTTTTTTCAAACAAAAACTACACAAAAGATTTACTTATTATATATGTTTGTAATGATTGTATTTGAAAATTTTATTAATTCGGACGTCATATATAATCAATCGATTTATGTATCGATTATGTATAATTTTTTTACAACATCGTTGATAAATTTTAAATTCTTTTTTACAATTTTTCATCTGTCTAGGTCTTAACATGCACACGGATCACGATGCATCTTGCGATCGCTTTGCTTGCTGGCACCTTATACTTCCGAATCGGTCAGGATGCTGCTTACGTATTAGACAATTTAAATCTATTGTTTTTCAGCGTTATGTTTCTCATGTACAATGCGTTTAGTGCTACAATGATTACATGTAAGTTTCTATTTGCGTTTAGCAATTTAATCTCAACAACACGAAAAAAAATTAGCTATCATAGCTAATTTTAAAACTGTTCTTATATTACACATAAAATTTAGTTATCATGCTTAAATTTTAGCTCTATGATAACTAATATATTTTAATATATTTAAATATTATTAATATTTTTAGCTATAGAATTCTCTGCTAAAAAATATTAGTTTTATAGCTCAAATTTAGGCATGATAACTAAATCGAGTTATGATGTAGGGCTAAAATTTAATTATGGTGGCTAATTTTTTTCGTGAAGCGACGAGCTTTATACTTGATATTATATTACATAACAATATAAATCTTTCGATATATACATATAATTAAATTTTATACGCAGTTCCTACGGAATTACCGATTCTCAGGCGCGAGCATTTTAATCGTTGGTACAAACTACGAGCGTACTATCTGGCGAATAAATTGGCTGATTTTATTGTCCAATTTACTGGCACATTTATTTATACCATCGTAGTATATTATATGAGCGATCAGCTTCCCGAAAGCAGAAGATTCGGACTATATATGCTCATGTGCCTCGCCATTAGTCTGGTCGGTCAAACGATCGGGCTTATCATAGGGTCTGGTTTAAAAGTCCAGGTTTGTTCATTTGATTTTTTTGTTTCTAAGATTAATTCATCGTTTTAAATTTGCATTTTTATCGAGAGAGAATTTTTAACGAAATTAGAGTAATAGACACGGGTATATTAATTCGTTCTTTTTTCCTTTTTTTATCTTGAAGGAATTGAAAAATATTCGCTTATTTGTTTATAATAAAATAAAATACTGAAAATTAATAGTAAAATTAATTTGTGCAAATTGTTGCGAATGCTTTATTTTCAGAATAGCGTAATTTTTGGACCACTTGCAGTAATGCCGTTCGTGTTATTTAGCGGTTTTTTCGTACGTTTGAAGGATGCACATCCTTATTTGCATTGGCTGTTTCACATGTCATTCGTGAGATACGGTTTTGAGGGGCTCATAACGGCGATTTACGGGTAAGATCTATGATATATTTTTCCCTTGATATTTTAACAATTGAGCGACAGTAATCTTTGCAATATTTCTTTAAAAAAGAATTAAATCAAACTTTTTCCTCTTAAATAAACTATCGAAATATGAAGAAATGTCATTTATAATCGTAGCTACGATCGTGCGAAGTTGAAGTGCTCGGCGGAATATTGTCACTTCGCTGTTCCCGAAATATTTGTCTCGGAACTAGGTATGAAGCATGTGGATTATTGGTTAAACATGACAATAATGATACTACTGTGTATTGCCTTGGATATTGTGGCATTTATTATATTGAAAATAAGAATTAAGAAACGCATATAGTAGATATACGATATATAATTTAGAGTTTAAAAGGGCTTTACATAAAAATGTCGCAGATATAAAAATGTGCCAGGCAACTAGTGTAAATATACAGAGGTCTCAGAGGGTTTACTTGTTAAGACTGACTTATCTCTTGTTGAATCTAAACAATTGTAACACTCTTATATAATGTATATACATGCAAATATTTAATTATAATATTATATATATATATATACACACACACATATATATATGTATTTAATTATAATAAATGTATATAATATAATATTGTATAATATATAGGTACATGCAAAAAAATTATAATTATTTGGTAATTATTATTAAACTATTATTATAATTATTATTAAATGTTGACAAACAAATAAAAAAGTGTGTATATTTGGTTTGTTAAATTTAATCGTAATATTATTCCGAGATTTATTCTTTCAATATAATATACATATATCTATAACTTTAATATAAAAATCCATTTTAATTAAAATGTGTATTTTTAAACAGATGGAATTAAAATTTTGTCATCGTGTGTTATATGTTGTTATTTTTTCTAAACGTGACTAGAAAAGCAAATTTTGCTAAAAAATATATATTTTTAGAACGGGCAAAAAATAGTTATTTTAGAAGAATATCAATTTTTATGTTATGCAATAAACTGCATAAGAATCGTATATTTTTTTTAATTTAGCATATGGACACGTGTCTGTCAAGTATGATGCGCAAAATTTGTTATATAATTTTTCCGTAACGAAAAACGTAATAATTATTCGTACGTTTGTAAAAAATATACGTCAATTTAAACAAGAAATTAAAAAGAATTATAACTTGAATTTTGCATCTCTTTAACATAAAACGTAATCATTTATCATTAAATCATCATACAATCATTTAGCATATAAAATTCATGGAGTCTTTTTACTTTGTTTTGCACAGTTATAAAACCTGTATGCTTTTTATCTACCATCTAAATTATTTAAAAAAACTTATACCAATTAAAAAACAAAGTCAACATCTCTCTCTCTCTCTCTCTCTCTCTTTATCTTTCTTAATAAATATATAATAATGCATGATATAACAGTTTAAAATTTTCGAAACTGTGTGAAATTTTTATTTTCTTGACAATAGAAAAATAATTTAATTTAATTTAATTTGAAAAGATAATTATTATATTGTAGTTAATGTTTAGTGTTGTCGTTATCCCTCGTTTATCTCTCTTCTTATCTAAAATAGAGGATATTTTTGTGGTAATATTTGCTTAGTTTTATAGATACAGATTGTGGTATCGATTCGCATAAGATCAGTCGCGAACGTCACCACGAGAACATTCAGCAGAATTGTATATTATTATTTATGAGACCATCTGTTTGTGAAACGCTCAGTGTCAACGGTGTCAACAGACATACGAACGCGCCTCTGTCAGTTGCGGCCAAGAATTCGCAAGTAAAGCTTTGCGTGTGTATTCGTCTTCCATTTGATCAAAGAATAAGCGACTAGAATTTATGAAGCAAAAGACTTATGTAATTATATATAGTAGCATGCAGTCGATCGAGAGTATAAGATAAGCATTGAAAGTGTCTAGGTCGCATTGTTGTCTAATAAAAAATTTAAAAGAGAATTGGCGCCGCATTTTTATTTGTGTTCGTTCGTGAAGGCTTGTGTATATAATAGTGTGAGCATTTGTAATCAGTTAACGGAACACTTGTTTAACGAAGCGCGAGAGATGTTGGACGCTGACGATAATAATGACGCGACAGTCAACATGCTCGACCGTAGTTGCCCAGTTCAGCTGAGTGAGTCGGAAAAACTGATGAGAAGACTCATGGAGGAAGAACGGAAGTCACAATTGTACATCGAATTTAAGAATCTCAGCTACTCGGTTTACCGTAAAGGTAAATATACACTTATTTGGCATATTGCCCTTCATATGTAGAAAACACCAGTCTCTCCTGACCATAGATGTAGGACTTCTAGGTGAAGCGCAAGATATACTTTTTTAGCCGAAGAAATGAAGCCAGAGAAATAAAGAGAAAATTGACAATTGCACGATCATCGGATCAGCTATTTTGGTTGGCAATTTTTTCCAGCTCCACTTTCCCTCTCAAACGCTTCATCCATACTCATACAGCACACAAGTTTGCAGCAATATTGCAGAAATATTATATAGGCATAAATTTGCAATATAGTTTAAACAAAGTTGCAGCAACATTTCAGAAATATTATGAAAATAAAATTCACGCAAAAAATATCAGGTACAGACCATTCAGTCCGATCATGTATTTGGCACATTTCCAATAATCCAATAGTAATATTACATATATATATATATATATATATATTTTTTTTTATTGCATTATTGCTGCAATGTTATAGAACAATAAAAGCGAACATTTTACCATTGCTGCAACATTTCACAATAATATTGCAATGAAATGTTGTCACAATGCTGCTGCAATCTTGTAGTGCTGTATGAGTAGTTATTTGTACATCCATGCTCTTGATGGTTTCACCACTGAACTGCATATTATACTGGAATGCAAACTGGCCGTGTACACTTGTAAGTGGAAGAGGAGAAGGATAATTATATACTTTTTTTGGTATACATCTCTCCTTCTAACATTTTACGCATGCGTATATGTACGACTAAGAGATATATGCCTCGATTTTGCTCTCTCTTCGGGTGGGGATAGCTGCGGTTCACGTTGCAGTATACATATAGAATTCAGTGATCTCTAGTAATAACTCAAATCCACTAACAAAGCGATGCTGCGCCATTTGCTTAAGGTTGTTCTATGTGAGACGCAAATCGATCGCAAGCACCCGCAAAGCTTGCTCCGACAGCCAACCTGAAGAGTGAATAGTATCATTGAAGCTTCTGATTGGTCAAAACAAGCGTCTACTTGATAGAAACGTTTGCTGTTATCAAATATGTAAGTCTGTTCTATTCTGCACTAGCTGCACTAATTCACACACAGAATTTATCTTCTTTACTTAACATTAGAGAAGAAAAAAGATAAACTCTGAATTAGTGTATAGTCAGAAAACAGACCTATTTTTAAGTTCTACCCCAGACAAAGACGTTTTAAAATGTCTTTTGGATATCATATCATAAGATTTTTTAAAGATGTCTTCAAGATTTCTTAATGATGTTTTGCTTCAATCTTATAAATTCATATTGCGATATATTCTTTTTGCGTTTGAATCCGCGTCTCTAATAAAGTTCAAAATATTTATCTGTTATGTGGAAATCAGCGGATTCTTAAGCATTTATCAGGATCACCAAATTTTCAAATTTCTTTCTCTCTCTCTCTCTCTCCTTTTTTTAGAAGGTCACGCATATATATAAAAAATTTAAAAAAAAATTCACCAACATTATTCTAATGTTATTATTTACATGTATATTGTAAAGACTTCATTTCTTGAACCAGTTATGTTATCAACATTTTTTTATACATATAACACAAATAAATATTCAACAGACTCGTTAAACTTTTTTTTTAAGTTGAACGCGTATTCTTGTGAAAAAAAATATAATGTTATTATAAAAAGGAAGTATAATTTTCAATGCAAAAACCTTGATTACAATGCGCATTAATTAATGATTCATTATCAATCTCAATTATATCGCAAAACGTATATGCAAGCAAAAAGTTTGATGAACTATAAACATTTAAAAATCATTATGTGTTGATTAAAATAGTTGTTGCAACATTAACATATTTTAATCATAATAACATATATAAAAATGTAAATGTAAAAAATAGGCATACATTAATAATTCTATTCTCGTTCTGTTCGTCAATTTCAAATTGTCATTAATTATATATATATTCTAATTTCACATTTTTGTATATAGTGCAATGAGGATTATATCTAATAAATAACAACATAGAAATTTGCACTTGCAAATTTTTATTACCTGAAACTTCATCTGCATTGCATATTGCATTCTTGCAATTAAAGTGTCAGCTAATATTTTATTGCAATAATCTCCTTGAAAATCATCATGTCATCACTTTTAAGTCTCCATGTTTTTTTTGCCTTTGACTTTCGGATCAACAGTTCAATCCACAAAGTTATCAATGTTACATATGTGCTTGCTTTTTTCAGAAGTTATTTAACATTTCATTGCATGTTAATTTTTGTCAATTTTTTATCAAATTATACGCTATATATCTCTATTATAAAATAAAAAAATATTTAATTTACAGTTATATATTACAGTTAAAAAAATTAGAAAAGATAGAAGATACATAGTTCTGTTTTTCTTCTTTGAGTTACACTCATGTAACATGTAATTCCTTTGAATTAAAATAAATAACAGAAAGTTATTAATAAAGGAATGTCCAATTTTAGGGATCAAAAAGATGATCTTACACGATGTGACCGGACACTTCAGAAGTTATTTAACACTTCATTAAATATTAATTTTTATATCAGTTTTTTATTAAATTATTCGCTATATACTCTTTTATAATAAAATATAAAATCTTTAATTTACATTTACATATTACAGTTAGAAAAAAATTAGAAAAGATAGAAAATACATATATATATATTTCCGTTTTCCTTCTTTGCGCAGTTACATTCATGTAACTCCTTTGAATTAAAATAAATAGTAGAAAATTATTAATGAAGGAATGTCCAATTTCAGGGATCAAAAAGACGATCTTACACGATGTGACCGGACACTTCGAACCCGGGAAAGTGTCAGTGATAATCGGTCCTTCCGGCGCGGGAAAGTCGACGCTGCTGAAAATCATCTCGGGCGAGCGATGGGTCAATGTCAACGGCACCATTTATGTAAACGGCGTCGAACGAAACAGAGGAACATTCCGCAAACATGTATGTTACGTGCCGCAACAATTCGAATTGCTGCCGCTTCTCACGACGAGGGAGACCCTCTATATAGCGGCTAGACTGAAGATGAACGTCAAGCAAAACGAGCAAGCGAATGCTCATGTGATCGTAAGTGCGAACAGGATGGAAAGATGCTTAAAATCCTGTCGATGCATAATTTTTTTCATTTTTTCATCAATACACATTTTACAAGACATATATTTCTTTTTATTCCTTATATTTTCTTTGGTTGTATTTTTATGTCGTCGCTTCTATCTTTGTATATTAAGAGTGCCTACCAATGTTTTATTTCATTGTAATTTGTATACAAAAAAAGGATTGCTATCCCGGATTAATTGAATAAATAAATAAATATCACTGTAATAGTAAGTTCCAAAACATTCTTATATAGTATCTGAAGTTTTTTAAAGTATCTGTTCAAATACCTGTTTGACAGAAGCTTCATAAATAATTCATTGGGTTGTGCTGAAAATATAGCTATTGAAATTATTTGTGAGAATTATAGTATCTGTTAGTAATATAATTATTAAAAAACACTCAAAAAAGCAAATTTTCTGCAATCTTTGAATATTAAACACGAGCATATGATAATAAAGCTATAATAAAGTAAAATAATTTTTCTTTGTCAATTTGGCTGCAATAAATTTCTTAAAAAAGTGACATAAAAAAACTCCAATTACTTTTTATTAAACTATGTAGTTTCCATCATCTAAATCGTTGATCATCAATTATTTTTTTATTTACTGCACGTTGGCGCCACAAAGTAAAGTGCGCATCGATACATCAAAGACTCTGAATTTCCTTCTGAATTATTTCAGGTAAACGAGATCGCAGAGAGTCTCGGTTTAACGAATTGTCTAGACACGCTGACGAAAAAGTTGAGCGGAGGTGAACGCAAGAGACTCGCCATCGGTGTGGAAATGATTGAACCGTCCGTTTTTTTATTAGACGAGCCGACGAGCGGCCTCGATAGCGCTGCATCTAATCAAGTATGGTTCATGGAAGAATTTAATAAATACATTATTCGAAATGTCATATATATATATATATTAATAAAAAATTCTCACATTATTAAATGATATAAAAATTCTTACATATTAAATGATATAAAAAAGTTCTTATGTATATTATATGTGATATAAAAAATGTTAATTTTTTTATATCATTTTTTAAGATGTAATATGCTAAAATTTCGGGGATGAATATTTCAATAGCTCATTAACGTGCTGCATAATATGGCGAGAGCGAACTGCACCGTGATTTGCGCGATACATCAACCTAGTAGTCAAATGATCTCGCAGTTCGATGACATTATGGTACTTAATCGAGGTAGATGTATGTACTGTGGTCCGAAAGACGAGATACTTAACACATACGAGAGCGCCGGGTTCACATGCCCGCGCTTCTACAACATTGCTGAATTCGGTAATTAATTAATTATTGCTTCTGTCGATGCAGCATGAGGAATATAAATCATCGAAAAAAAGTAAAAAATAGCGTTTATTTTTTTTGCGTTTACATACATTATTTTTCGCAATATTTTGGACTTTAGATTGATCTCTTACTAATTGCAAAAATTTTTATTAATTTTAAAAACTAATGTGAAAATTGACACTTTTGATCGTTATCAATTTTTCAATGTTTTTAATTTTTTAATATCGAATGTCTCGTATTTAAATCTAACATTGAGACAAGCGGAAATGAGTTATTAACTTAGGAAATTAAAGGATAATATACATGCAATAGTGAAATGCAAGATTTTTTCTATAATTACAGTACTGGAAGTAACAACCGAACAGAGAGATGAAGATTTAGAGAATCTATACAAGATATGTCGTAGTCAATATGAAAAATACAAATTGCGTCATAAAAATGGTAAATAAATTAATATATATGTATATCTTTAGATATAAATCATTACTTGAACTTTTTTTGATATTATCTATTTCATAATTCATTTATCTTATCTTTGTATTAATAATATAACAACATCAAAGATTGCAAGATAGAGAATATAAAGATCAGCGAGAAATTTCAATCGATAATCATCAACGAATTTTGCAGAAACAGACTCGGATGCGATTTGTTCCAACCAGAATATCGAAAGAGATGACGTGGTTGGTCACGCAAATAATACTAAAAAGCAAAGATTATCTACGTGGCAACAACAAAAAATATTATTTTCAAGAGCTTTTATTTGCATCAAGCGTGACACCGTGAGTAAGAAATGATCTATAAGACACCGAAATTATTTGTACAAAATGAAAAGAAAAATATTGTCCCTATATTTTAGATCATGACAAAGGTGAGATTTGCGATGCACGTTATAATAGGACTGCTCTTAGGAACATTTTTTTATGACTTTGGCGATGACGCGGAAAAAGTGCAGAGCAACATGGCTTATTTATTTTTTATTCTGCTTTTTTTATATTTTACAAATTCGATGCTGGCGATTTTAATGTGTAAGTTACGCATAAATCTTTTTCCTAAGATTTTATCGACTTTTAAGCATGTGTTATAATTTTTTGTTCTTTATCAGTCATCAAAAATGACTAAATAAAATATTATCAAACGATTTTCCGAGTTAAATAGAATTTGATAAATTTTAAAGTGACATTTTATTAAACTCTTGCCGTGTCAAAAACTTGCATCGTGATAAATACATAGGTTTTATGCAGTAAACTTGAGTTTTCTAAATGTTATATTGTATTAAGCATGGCCTCTTATTTATACAATATGCATGATTGCAGTTCCCACAGAAGCGGCAGTATTTCTACAGGAACATTTAAATAATTGGTACTCCTTCAGATCTTACTATAGCGTAAAAATATTAACAGATCTTCCGATGCAAGTACGTTCTTTAATATAATTTAATATAATTTTCTTTACTATATGCTTTATATTTATATAATTTTTTTTACTATGCTTTATTTAATATTATATAGTAAATACTATACATAGTACTTGTGTAAGTACTATAAATACTACTTGTGTATATTATTTATATTTACTATATATATATGTATATATATATACATATATATATAATATACTATACAATACTAATTTTTTTATATATATAGAAGTTACATAATTATACATGATTTTGCTCTTATTTTTAAAATAATCGAATAAAAGACTTTGCTTTAATCTTTAGATACTTTGTTCCTCATCCTTCTTGTTTACATCATATTACTTGTCGGGACAGCCAATGGAATCGAACAGGATTTTCGGAGTGTGGATTGTTGGCGTGTTGATAACAATTCTTGGGCAAACAATCGGAATTTTGATGGGTGTGGCTTTCACGCTTGAGGTAACAACATATATATAACACTACAATGTACTTTTATAAAAATTAACAGATGATTTATTTACGATAAAAATAAATTTCAAATTAGTCCATCAATCAGTTCGTATTTTCCAAATCATGTACTGCTCATTATAAAATATCATAAAAATAACGTCGTATAATAAACATAATATTTCTTCAGATGGCTACTTTTTTAACAACGGCATTAAGTATACCATTTTTGCTGTTTGCCGGATTTTACTTGAAGATAGGGGAGATGCTGGTGTTCCTGCAACCTTTAGGCACCCTAAGTTTTTTCAGGTATGCACAAAAATATACTTTTATTCCATTCAAAGCGTTATTCCTAGTTTATTCTAATTATTTTTTTCAGTTACTTAAAAAAATATGCATTTTTTATTACAGATACGCGTTTGAGGGATTAATGCAGGCGATCTACGATTTCGATCGACCAAATTTACGTTGCATACAAACTTTCTGCTATTTTCGTTCTCCAAACGTCATTCTTTCAGACTTGGGTGTGCCTACGGTACCGTTTTTTGTAACTTTAATAATACTCGGCTGTTGGATATTCCTCACACATGTTGTCATCTATGTGGTGCTTTGCTGGAAAATTTATTACGCGAGAAAGTGATACATAAAATTACTTTTACTGATGAACATTTACTTACATATACATGTATATATGTAAATACATAAAGGGAAAAAATTTGTTCCACGATTATTTTTGTTTTCAAATTAATCGTAGAACGTAAATCTTTTTTCTGTTGACAAACCAAAGAAATTATGAAATAAGAAAAATGTAAAATATTGTGAATATAAATTTATTTTGTTTTCTATATTTTTTTATAATTCTATAACTAATTAGATTTTACTGCAATAATTAATTTAAGATATATTATAACAAAATAAATTAAATATAACAGTATTATATAAGATAAAGTATTTCAAAAATAGTCATTAAGCCAACGACTTGATAAAGCTGACGTGATTATCAAACGGGCAGTTTAAAATTTCTTCCTTTTCTTTTTTTCTTTCTTATCTTATTTTTTTTTGCATAGATATACATAAAATAAAATAACAACTAATATAAAAATCTGTACGTTTTTATATAACGCTGTATTTTTGAAGCCCCGTTACTTGTTTAGATAATTTTAGTCTCTTGTCAGATACTTAAAAATTAATATTATTAAAATATTTTACTAGATATTTGTTATACATGACATTTGAAGAGGTAATTATTTAATTTGTTGCGAACAATAAACAATGAATTAAAAAATCAAATCAAGTGAGAAGATCAATGCATGTCACATTTATATACGTCGCCAGCTTATCGAGAAACAATTCGGACATGGGATTATTAATTAATTCCAATAAGCATTTTTTTGTCATGAGATCAATGTATGTCACATTTATATACGTCGTTAACTTATCGAAAAACAATTCGGACATGGGATTATTAATTAATTCCAATAAGCATTTTTTTTGTCTTTTACTTAATCTGGCGAATCTCGTACATATATATATATTCATATAAGCCAAATGTCGTGAGGTTATATTAAAATATATTGCAATGTGTATACATTAAATTAGTCAAATAAATGATTGATTAGGCAGTATTGAAATAAATATTTATTAATTTAATAATTTTTTTCAGTGTATGTCTCGCGTGTATATAATGACAGTTTGTATCACGAATGACACGTTCTTTCATAATTAAAATAGTTTAAAGCACTAGCGGCGGTAATTAATTAATTTCTTCATAATTTTAAGGTCGAGTATATCGTTGTGTCATATGTTACGTATTTTTTATTTTTTATTATTTGATGTAGGGATATTTTGTTTCATGCTTTTCCATATTTCTAAACGCGCTCGTTAATTTTATAATAATTTTTAATAATTAAAAGCGAAAATTAATTTTTTCAAAAATGTAGATGTCGCCATTTAATTTGTTTTTCGTGTTTATCTTGAAAAGGCCGCGTCTTAAATTTGTATCTTTTTAATAATAAAAGAGTAATAACAAATTTGAAAAAAATATCATAATTCGTTCATCGAAAAACATATGACATTGTGTATTATTATTGTAGTTTATTAACGTTAGTTAATGTTTAGTGTTGTCGTTGTTCCTCATTTAGCTCTTTCCTTATTTGAAATACAGAACATTTTGCAATAATGTTTGTCTTAGTATTATATAAATACAGATTGTGGTATCGGTTCATATAAGATCGCAGTCTTTATGCAAGCATTATTAACTACTTAATTGATCTACTTAACACACTGCTGGGTCGGAGAGACCTTGCTCACAATCAGTCAGAAATGAATGATCAAATCGACGTCGACGATGAATTGACGTCGATTCATTTCTGGCTGGGTATGCATATTGAATTATGTATATCTCGCATTGTATTGCACGAAGAGAATAAATAATTTTTTTTTCAATTGATACGTCAAAGATTAAAGACTAATACTGTGCAGTTCAAATTACTCCAAATGTTTTTGCAACAAAGCTATTCGTAAAAATGCAAAGCAAGAAAATTTCAATTTTTGCAAACTTTTTTTGAAAAATTATATCTTTTTTGCAAAAATAAATAGAAGGATTCAATTGGAGTCAAATAAAAAGATCTTAATTTGAACTTTGTTTAAAAAAATACGTCAGTACGATTTATTTTAAAGAGTATAATTATTTCGCAGTGAAAAAGGCAAAATTTTCACATTTGCTCAATTGATGTTTTTGATTATTTTATTCTAATTATTCATTTTGAAAAATTGCAACTAATTGACATTTAATAAGTTTTGTTAACATAATGTATGTAATATAATACAAAATAAAAAATTTTAATATTTTCGTATACAAAAATTAAACTTAAAATTATATTAAGACTTGATATTAAATTGAATGTTAGATCAAATATAAATGTTCGACGGATTTTTTCGATTTTTTTCTGTTTAAAATATATTATGTCAAATAAATGGATTAATGATGACCCAGTTAGAAATGATCGGTCGATTCGACGTCGATTTAACTATCATTTCTGCCTGGGGAATTTCATATTTACTAAAATTAATTTTTCCCTATGTCGATTTTCTGGTGACCTTGCGTTCAAGGTGCTCTGCTCGACATAAGGCTGCGTTCTCACACAGCACAAAACATTTCAGAGACCTTCGCAAAATTTATTCAAAAATGTTTCATATACGTCTTAAATACGTGAAAATGTTACAAATTTGCTATTTTGTCACAAATATGTTTATGAAAGATTGCATAAATGTTTCAAATGTTACTTTTTCTATGTTATATTTCTTATAGATATTGTAATGACGTTTCAGTGTTACTTGAAACTTTGAAACGTTTCTGCAACATTTTTGTTGAGTTTTGTGATGTGTGGGTTATACAGATTTAATAATGAGTCTCCAATTCTTCCTCTCGATCCCTCTCCAGCTTTGGCCTTGCAAAAAAAGCAACGTTTGTAAAAAAAATGCAGAGCCTCAGAGGGCAGCACCGGGCATCAAGGTTAAAAGAAATCTATTTTTATGCCTGTTATAAAACCGTAGTATGTTAGTGCGATCAGTCTGACAGTAGCGTGTATAACTTGCGGCGAGTTGATAAAAGTACATAGTATACGATAAGTATCGAAAGTGTGAGGATCGTATTGTTGTGTCTGAAGCGTGGTTTGTTAATAGAAGAGAATTTACGTCGCTTATCTTTATTGTACAATATTATAATTAACAATTGACGAAACACCCATGAAATAAGAAAGTAAAATGGGAATTAACGATGATGAGAAAAATGATGCGACCATCAACATGCTCGACCTTAGCTGTCAGATTCAGTTGCGGGAGTCGGAAAAATTGATGGGAGGACTCGTGAAGGAAGAACGGAAATCACAATTGCGCATCGAATTCAACAATCTCAACTACTCGGTTTATTGTAAAGGTAAATATACATTTATTTTACACAGTGTCCTGTTTTATTTCTCTCTCTCTCTCTATGACCCAGTTTACACCGTACTTTATTCGCGTGACCGTGACCTGTAGGCACCTAGAAAGGCTTCTCCAATAATGTAATCATGCATCAATAATGCTTTTAGACCTAATATATACGTCACGTTTAGTTCTTATGTGAATATCATCTATATCAGCTCTCCATTTATATCAGTATGTTATCTATATCAGACCAACTGTTACACAAACTTACACATTGTGTAAACAGAGTCCTCTATCACTATTTACTCATACACTTTTAGGTTTCCTGCGTTTACACGCGATATATTGTGCAATCTAAATTAGGTTAGAGATCGTGAAAATAAACTTGACCCAAACAAATTTAGGTCACTTCGTAAGTGTTTACATTATCGCGACCTATCGTGCATAGGTCGAATATATGTATATATATATATAGAGTAGATCGCGGAGTAAACGTACGGTGTAAATTAGGCCTATGAGAAAATCTTAGTCTTTCCTGACTGCAGAAATATCTACATAAAGCATAATAATATACTTTTTTAGCCGAAGCAATAAAGTCTGAGAAATGAAGGAAAAATTGATCAATCATCAATTGGCCAATTATTATTGCCACTTTTCGTTCCACGTCTCCAGCTTCACTTTTCCTCTCAAAATGCTTTTGATCGTCTGCACTAATTTTGCTAATTAGACGTTACGTCATTTGCTTAAGATAGTTGTTATGTTAGTCCAAAATAAATTGCAAGTAGACACAAAGCTTGTTTTAATCGGAAGTGTTTTATGTATAAAGTCTACAATAGAGTCTAAAGTTCTAAGCCATATTAAAGTCAAGTGAGGAGAACAATCGATTCTGGTTGATTAATTTCTTACGACTTTAGGACTCTATTGTAAACCAGCATTGATAGTATCATTGACGTTTCTGATTAGTGGTCGGAACAGAAAAGCGTTGCGTCTGTTTGCGAACAATTTGTGAACGATCTTTGTATCAATTTTCAAACACTCTTTCAGAGATAGCTTGATGTTATCATTCTTAATATATACATCCATCTCGGCCAAACGCGATATTATTGTGAGAAATAAGAAACTTAGGAATTCGTATCTTATGGTTGAGATCTCAAAATTCCTCTTGTTCCTCTTTTAACCCCCTTATAAAGAAATAAAAAAAAACAAGGGGAATTTTGAGATCTCAACCATAAGATATGAATTCCTAAGTTTCTTAATTTTCGCATTAACATCGCGTTTATTGGCTCTATTGGCTGAAATGGCCGAACGTATATATTATGTATTTATTTCGAGAGCTGACTGAATATTCTTAATGATATTATTATTCTTAAATTCTGATAACATAAAGATAACATAAATCTTGCATAAACTCATTTGACTCCGCGTTAGTAATAAAATATCCGTTCAGGGCTTAATTATTATTTATCAGGAGCATTGAATTTTCAAATTATTATATTTTTTCAATCTCTCTCTTTCTTTTTTTTAATAGGCACGCATGCATAATCTGCAATTTAAAAAGAAATTTTTCAACATTAGGTATTCTATATTGTTTACGAAATGAGCTGATATTATTATGTATTCATTTAAACTAAAAATAGATATTTGATGCGTATAATGAAGTCGTCAGTAATAGAAAAATGAGAAAAAATTATATAAAACGACCAAGACTATGAACAAATAATAATTATTTGTTGATTTAAATCATGACGTTTCGATCTCTGGTTAAGTTTTTTATCAAATGAAAAAGTGAGTTTAAGATGACATTATAATTGTAATTGATAGTTTTATATATTTTTTTCTCATTTTTAAAAATATATAGATACTATTTATACAGATAGATTAATTATAATTATTTAATAATAAGTATATAAACACACAGATTTACATGATATAACTAGAAATAGATATGCTAACTAGAAATGCTCTATGTAAATTAATTAATAATAAAACTGATAATGAAATGTATAAATAGATTCATGATGTTATAGAAATAGTCTCTAGATTGAGGAATAAATAAATATTTAATAATACGCTATATTGTGATTTACAATATCTAAAAATATAGTTCAATCTTATTTAAAATGATAGCACAAACAAAAAATTGATATTCAACAGACACGCTAAACTTGCTTTTTTATATAGATGTTATTGTCAAACTCGTTGAATTTATTATCAGAATGGCGTATAGAAACAAAATGTGTATGTATTTTTGTGTGAAAAAATCTAAATCTACTATTAAAAACGAGAACAATAATAAGAATATTAAGTCGGCTCCTTAATGTTTAAAAACACAAAATACACCCTATATATACCTTCATCTCGGCCAATAGAGCCACACGCGATGTGTATATCAGCTTATTCGCAATTATCGCAAAACGCTTGCAAGTAAAATAATCTCGGAAAATTTACGATCTTATGTTGCAATATCAGCTGACATTCTCGAATTCTCGGACTAGCAACCGAAAAGATGTAAACGCAACATATATTTTTATCCAGAAGACTCGATTTTTCCTTTTTTGACACTTTAATTAACGTTATTTATTACCTCAATTTTTTTTAAAGTATTTGTTATATATATATATATATATATATATATATCTTTTATTAAAATAAAAAATCTTTAATTTCCACATCACAATTTTCTAAGAAAGATTTCAGAAGATATTTCTGTTCTTTTTTTTTAATTATACTAATTTACTCCTTTAAAAAATAACAGCATGTATGTAAGTCAACCAAACTGCATGTTTACTTATTCGTTTTAAATTGATAGACATAAGATTCATCAAGCAATTTTGTGATATAATAGTTGATTTTATGATATAATTATATTTAATTATTTTTAATATTTAACATAATACATTAATTTAATGATATAATTATAATAACATTTAATTACCATGGCGGGCAACAAAAATTCTTTTTTTAAATTAAAGAATATAATAAATATAACGAGTATAATGAATGTATAAAAAGTAATCTGTGAAGAAATGGACAGAAAAAAATTAATAAAAATAGTATTATTGTCGAAAGTTCGCATTTACACGAGAGTACTAAAATATTTCCAACTTTAGATATCAAAAAAACGATCTTACACGATGTGACCGGACACTTTGAACCCGGGAAAGTAACAGTGATAATCGGTCCTTCTGGCGCGGGAAAGTCGACGCTGCTGAAAATTATCTCGGGCGAGCGATGGGTCAACGTCGACGGCACCATTTATGTAAACGGCGTCGAACGAAACAGAGGAACATTCCGCAAACATGTATGTTACGTGCCGCAACAATTCGAATTGCTGCCGCTTCTCACGACGAGGGAGACCCTCTATATAGCGGCTAGACTGAAGATGGGGCGAAACGAGCAAGCGAATGCTTCTCTGATCGTAAGTGCGAATAAGATGGAAAGATGCTAAACCCTTCTGTCAATGCATCATTTTTTCATCTTTTTATCAATGCACATTTTAGACATATATCACTGTAACAGTAATACAGATGTTCCGACACATTCTTAGTATGTCAAGTTCTTTTCAGTACCTGTTCGGAAATCTGTTTATTGACAGAAGCATAAAAAATACATTGACACATTGTTCTTAAAATGGTTATTAAAATTATTTGTGAATTATAGAATCTGTATAATAATATAAATTTGAAAGAACACTCAAAGAGTAAATTTTCTGCAGTTTTTGAATGTTAAACACGAGCGTAGCAATAAAACCTTAACGCGTCACATATATAATAGCTATAATTTTTCTATGCCAATTTGGCTGAGAATTTCTTAAAAGGTGACATGCTAGTACATTATCTGGACTGGAATTGTAAAAAAAATTGATTTATCTATTTCCTATTTAAAAGAAATTATTTTTCATCGAAAACCTATGTAGTTTTCATCATTTGAATCGTTGATCATTTTTTATTTACTGCCCGTGTTGCGCCACAAAATAAAGTGCGCATCGATAAAGTGTTCATCAAAGATTCTGAAGTAATTTCTGAATTTCAGGTAAACGAAATCGTTGAAAGTCTTGGTTTATCAAAATGTCTAGACACGCTGGCAAACCAGTTGAGCGGTGGCGAACGCAAGAGACTCTCCATCGGCGTGGAAATGATTAAACCGTCTGTTTTTTTGTTGGACGAACCGACGAGCGGTCTTGATAGCGCGGCATCTAATCAAGTATTATTTATGAATAATTTAATAAAAACATCATTCAAGATGTGTCAGACATATTAATAAAAAATTCTTACATATTAAATAATATAAAAAATTCTTACATATTAAATAATATAAAAAATTTTTACAAAAATAAAATGATATAAAAAAATTCTTATTAAATATGTATTATATGTGATATAAAAAATATTTATTTTTTTATATCACCTTTTAAGATTTAATATGTTAAAATATCGGAGATGAATGTTTTAATAGCTCATGAACGTGCTGCATAATATGGCGAGAGCGAACTGCACCGTGGTTTGCGCGATACATCAACCCAGTAGTCAAATGATCTTGCAATTCGATGACATTATGGTACTCGATCGAGGTAGACGCATATATTGTGGTCCGAGGAGTGAGATATTGAATACATACGAGAGCGCCGGATTCATATGCCCGCGCTTTTACAACATTGCTGAATTCTGTAATTAATTATATAATTATTGTTTCTGTCAGTTTGACAATTTGACGAATATAAAACACTAAAAAAAAATTAGAAAAATAATGTTCACGCGTTTATTCTTTTTTTGTGTTTGTGTTATCGCATATTTTTCACACTTTTGGAATTTATATTTTCTTTTACTAATTGTAAAAATTTTTTTAAATTTTAAAACATACTAATGCGACACTTTTTATCATTATTTAATGTAATTTAATTTAATTTTTTAATGTCGAATATTTCTAAATCTGTCACTGACAATGAAACAAGCGGAAATGAATTATTAACCTGAAACATTAAAGGGGAATACACATGCAATGCTGTTTCTTATAATTACAGTACTTGAAGTAATAACCAACCAGAGAGATGGAGATTTGGAGAATCTGTACAAGATCTGTAATAGTGAATATGAAAAATACAAATCGAGTCATAAACATCATAAAACTGGTAAATAAATTGATATATATATATATATATATATATATATATATATGTATATCTTTAGATATAAATCATTACTTGAATTTATGTCAATTATTATCTATTTCATAAACTATTTATCTTATCTTTGTGTTAATGACATTTTTTTTTCTTTATTTTGTTTCAATCACTGCGTGACGAAAGTGTAATTGTATTTTATTTATCGAATAGATATAATATTATATATGCGTCAATTTCTAGTGTTCTAGTTGAAATGTAGATTGCAATAGAGAAAAAAAATTAAAATAAATCAGATAAAACATTTCAAAACGAAAGAACATAAAGATGAGCGTGAAATTTTCATCAATAATAATCATCGACGTTTGACGAATTTTGCAGGAACAGATTCGGAAACAATTTATTCTAAACAGAATATTGAAAAAGACGACGAAAAAAAATTAAGATAAATCAGATTAAAAATTGCAAGACGAGAGAATAAAAAAAGAGCATGAAATTTTAATGAATAATTAATAATCGAGGTTTGATAAATTTTGCAGGAGCAGATTCGGAAACAATTTATTCTAAACAGAAAATTGAAAAAGATGCGTCTGCGAATAATACAAAGCAAGGATTGTCTACGTGGCAGCAACAAAAAATATTATTTTTAAGGGCTTTTATTTGCATCAAGCGAGACCTCGTGAGTAATAGATGATCTAAGAGATGCCGAAATTATTTATACGAAATGAAAATATTGTCTCAATATTTCAGATCTTGACGAAAATGAGACTTGCAATGCACTTCATAATAGGGCTGCTCTTAGGGGCGGTCTTTTATGATTTTGGCAATGATGCGCAAAAAGTGCAGAGCAACATAGCTTACTTATTCTTTCTTATGATATTTTTATATTTTTGTAATGCACTGCTGGCAGTGCTACTGTGTAAGTGACATATAAATCCTCTTCCGAAGCTTTTAATCATGTTAAAAATTTTTGACTTGATTTTTTTCCTTATCGGCAAAAGTGGTTAAATAAAAAAATCGAAAGTTTTTTTGAGTTCAAAAAAAATTTGATAATTTTTATAGTGACTGTATTAAGCATGGTCTTTATACGTATCGTATGATTGCAGTTCCCACAGAAGCGGCAGTGTTTCTACAGGAGCATTTAAATAATTGGTACTCATTCGGATCGTATTATAGTGTAAAGATATTAACGGATCTTCCGGTGCAAGTACGTTTTTTCTAATATATCTCTGTGCTAATATCTTTTTAATTGTGTGCGTGTTTTTATTACACTTTATATTTATATAATACTGTATAGTAAATTTTATTATTACATTATTACACTATATAGGTATTATATATTATATATATATTTTTTTTTATATACGGAAGTTGTATAATTATGTATGTTTTGCTTTTGCTTTTATTTTTAAAATCATCGAATAAAAAACTTAATTTTAATTCTTAGATACTTTGTTCTTCGTCTTTCATACTTACATCATATTTTATTTCGGGGCAACCAATGGAATTTAACAGATTTTTTGGATTATGGTTAATTAGCCTATTGCTAACAATTATGGGACAAACAGTCGGGATTCTGACAGGTGCGGTTGCGGGGGTTGAGGTACTACAACATATAGCACTACAATGTTTATAAAAATACAATTTTTATAAAAATTAACAGATGACACATTTAGTATAAAACTAAGTTTCAAATCAGTCAAACAATTAGATCGTATTATTCAAATTATGTACCGTTTATTATAAAATATTTTGAAAATGACGTAATATATAACAAGCATATTATTTCTTCGCAGGTGGGTGTTTTCTTAATACCCGCATTAAATATACCATTTTTGCTGTTTGCCGGATTTTTCTTGAAGATAGGGGAGATGCTGGGGTTCCTGCAACCTTTAGGCACCCTAAGTTTTTTCAGGTATGCACAAAAATATACTATTATTCCATTCAAAGCGTTATTCCTAGTTTATTCTAATTATTTTTTTCAGTTACTTAAAAAAATATGCACTTTTTATTACAGATACGCATTTGAGGGATTAATACAGACGATCTACAATTTCGATCGACCGAAATTACATTGCGCAGAAATTTTCTGCTATTTTCGTTCTCCAAACGTCATTCTTTCAGAGTTGGGCGTGCCTACGGTACCGTTTTACGTAACTGTGATAATACTCGTTTGTTGGATATTCCTCTTTCACATTGTCATCTATGGGGTGTTTCGTTGGAAAATTTATTACGCAAGAAAGTGAACGTATAAATAAATTACTGATAAGCATTTATATATATGTATGCATATATGGAGAAAAGATTTATTCGAGGATTATTTTTGCATCTAAATTAGGATTTGTAGGACAAATCTTTCTACTAACGAATAAAAGAAATAATAAAATAAGAAAAAAATGCAAAACATTGTAAATGTGATTTTTTATACAATGTAATAGTTGATATAGCAACAGCAGCACGTAAAATTTATTTCTATTTTTTTATAATTTTTCTATAATTTTATAATTAGATATTATACTGCAAGTCATTAAATTTAGATGTTATAATATAACAATATAAATTAATTAGATAAGAAATATATTTTGGCACTATTTTTTTCCATATGTAAGTTCGAGATTAATTTATATATGGAACTTAGTAATCTCAAACCAAGAGATACAGTTCCGAAGAATTAATTTTTCGCGCTTTGGCTCTATTGGCCGATTTAAAAATTTATATATTATTATTAATATAAATTAAATATCATATGAATAAAAGTATCTTAGGTATATATGTCACCAACTGTGAGAAAACTGACCAGAATATCAAATAGGCAGTTCAAATTTTTTTCTCTCTCTCTCTCTCTCTCTCTCTCTCTCTCTTTTGCTCTTTTTTATCTTACTTTTTGCATAAATGTACATAAAGTAAAATAATAAATAACATAAAAATCGGTACTAATAATGATACAATGACGGTATCTAGATACATCCAATACTAGAAAAAAGTATTCTGTCGAGTACGATACGTGAAATTTGTTGTATTATTTTCAGTAAAAAACATAATAATCAAGCGTACGTTTGTGAAACATATATTATTTTAAGTAAAAGATTAAACATAGTAGAATTGTGAGCAACTCGAACTTTGCACCTTTTTAACAATAATTTTTTGTCATATATCTTAAATCATCACGCACTCATTTATATAACTAATTGTTAATAAGTTTTTCCTTATTTATTTCGCATAATTATAAAACTTATATTTTTTATCTATATATTAATCTATAGATTACACTGAAGAAGACTGAGTACAGTCGAAACGTTTGTGATTTAATGTATTATTATGTTTTGATGGTTTTTAAAATAAAAATTTATAATATTCATTAACATCCGAATAATTTTATGCTCTTTAGTTGGCCTGTACTGACATTAATTTTACAATTTTATTTATATACGCCTCTCTCTCTCTCTCTCTCTCTCTTAATAAATGAATGACTACAGTTTTATATATGTGTAAAATTTTTAAAACTGAAATGTTATCTCGTGGATAATGAAAATATAATAACGATAAATAAAATAATAATAATACTAAAGATTTGAATAATAAAGATTTGAAAAAATATATAATTTTCATTTGAGAGACATGATAATTACTATTATAGTTTATTAAAATATGTGATCGGTCTGTTTCTCTGTTTTGTGATAATGCTTACTTAACATTATAGATATACAGATCGTATCGGACTGCATAACTTGGTCACTAGTCATTACGCGAGCATTAAGCACAATCATTTTTTATTTATGATGCTAAGCGTCCATGAAACCAGTCTCAGTGCTTTAGCAGACATTCGCGTCTGACAGTTGCAGTTGGGAATTCACGAGTGCTACTTCGCGAGTGCGTGTGCGCCTTTCATTTGATCAAAGTAAGAGGCTACTGGACCCATAAAATACTTGTGCGACTAACAACGAATTGAAAGTACAGCACATAAAATTGAAAGTGCGTCGTACCACTCTCTAGTAGAAAATTTAAACAAGAATTAACGGTTTATTATCATCTTTGTTGTGCTCGTCCGTGCAGGCTTATCTGGGATTGTGTCATTTAATTTGATCAATTGACGGAACTGACGCTCGGTTACGAAGCGAGAGAGTAAAATGTTGGGAATTGACGATAATAATAAAGATGACGCGATCAACATGCTGGATCACAGCTGCCGAATTCAATTGCGGGAGTCGGAAATATTGATGGGAGAATTCACGCGGGAAGAACGGAAGTCACAATTGTATATCGAATTCAACAATCTCGGTTACTCGGTTGATCGTAAAGGCAAATATACATTTATTTTGCATATATATAGTGTCCTACATTTGTATTCCTTTCTCGTTCTCTTCCTCCTACTCTTTTCTCTGTGAGAAAGTATCAGCCGCAGTCTCTCCCCGGAAAAACATTTTTTATATAGAATCACAAAATTAGATAAAAGTGTTTTTTATATATAATTATATAAATTATATATATATATATATATATATATATATATATAATTTGACATGATTATATATGAACCCTTATAATTTATATATACATTTATATAATTACGTATAAAAATGGACATATTTTACATATAATTTTACGATTATACCTATAATTATACAATTATTTATATATGATTATATATAAAAAATTTTTTGCCGGGTCTTTACTAACTGATTTTTAAATTATACTATTGCTTATGAAGTCTTCGGACAATTTCAGAAACGCTTATCACTTTGACGTTCTTGTTATCATTCGCTTAATTTGACCTCATAAATGTGTTCTGCGATACATATTTATATATATATAGGGTGAGTCACTTTATTAAGATCAGTCATCTAAATAATTCCTACAGTTTTGGAGGTAGAAAGAAATACTTGAAATAAAAGTTGCATATCGAGAAGGACATAAATGAACATTTTCTTTCAGATAAAAGTGCTTAGGAGATTTAAACATTATTTTCATTTTTTAAATGAAGAGTACCATTTCATATTTTTTTATACAAATCGATTCCTCGCAATATTTGACATAAAAAGTTATAAAGGTAAGATGGACAAAAAGTGAATAGTTTAAATAAAATTTCTTAAATACTTTTACTTGGAAAAATATTCATCTTCACAATATACACTGAATTTTAATTTGAAGCATTTTTATCCCTAAAACTGTAGGAGTTATTCGAATAACTGATTTTAAGTAACTCGCATTCTGTATATTTTTGTTTCGATCCACATTTCTAATAAAACATATCTTATCCATTTAGGGTGTTTATCTGTTATGAAAGTCAACAATGAATGTCAAGATTTTTAATCGTTTATCAGGACTATCGATAAATTTTTTTTTCTCTCTCTCTTATTTTTTTAGTAGGTCGTATGCATATATGCAACTTAGCAAGAAATTTTTCAATATTAATGCAATGTTATTTACGCAATGTATCGATTTTTTATTTTTTGTTTCTTTTTTAATTTGCATTTTTGGTGTTACGACGATTAAAGTATCAGCTGAGACACAGCAACCATCTATGAGATCGTTACATAATTTTTTCTAGATCATTTTAATTATAAATTACTTAGTCATCTTGTTTATTAAAATAGATTATTTTTACTTGGAAGTGTTTTATGATAATTACGAATGCATATAATTAATTATAATATACTTCATAATTGTTTGATAATTTTATAATATAAAATATATTATATAATATATATTATATATTATATAAGTTAAAAATTATACAGTTCAATCTTATATAAAATAATAACATAAATAACACAAATAAATATTCAAAAGACACGCTAAACTTGCCATTTTTTAAGCAGAACTGATATTAAGTAGAATCTTTTAACTTTCTTATATGCCCAGATAGCCACAGTAATTATTATGACATCATTTTGATATCAAAATGCATCATTTGCCATCAAAATGATTACATGTTTGACAGACTCGTTGAATTTATTTTTCAAAATGGCATATAGAAATAAAATATATATGTATTTCTGTGTGAAAAAATCTAAATCTACTATTAAAAACGAGAAGTTTATAATTTTTTATATAAAATTGCCAGCAATTATTCGTATGTATTTATAAATTATATTATACATTCACAATTATCATCAAACGCTTGCAAGTAAACATGATCTGGAAAAAATTATATAACGATTTCATAGATTGTTGATGTTATATCAGCTTATTCGCAATTATCGCAAAACGCTTGAAAGAAAAATGATCTAGAAAAAATTACGATCTCATAGGTCATAGATTGTTGCAATATCAGCTGACATTCTCGAATTCTCGGACTAGCAACCGAAAAGCTGTAAACGCAACATATACTTTTATCCAGAAAGACTTGATTTTTCCTTTTTTGACACTTTATTAAACGTTATTTTTTACCTCAATTTTTTTAAAGTATTTGTTATATATATATATATATATATATCTTTTATTAAAATAAAAAAAATCTTTAATTTACACATCACAATTTTCTAAGACAAATTGCAGAAGATATTCTATTTTTTTTAAATTACATTGAATCAACTCTTTTAAATTAGAATAAATAACAACATGTGTAAGTCAAGCAAATTACATGTTTATTTAGTCGTTTAAAATTGATAAGCAAAATGAGATTCATCAAGCAATTTTATGATGTAATAATTGATTTTATGATATAATTATCTTTAATTATTTAATATTTAATATAATATTAATTTAATGATACAATTATAGTTACATTTAATTATCATGGCGTGCAATAAATGTTTTTTTTATTAATGGATATAACCCAGCCAGAAATAAATGATTAAATTGACGTCAAATCGATGTCGATTCGACATCGATTTATCTAATCGATGTTGATTCAACGATGAATAGACGTCGATTCGATCTCGTTTCTGGCTGGGAATGAATACGAGTATAATGAATGTAAGGAAAGTATTCTGTGAAACAATAGACAGAAAAAAATTAATAAAAATAGCATTATTGTCGAAAGTTTGCATTTTTGCGAGGGTAATAAAATATTTCGATCATCTTCTTCACATATAATAAATAGCATAGATCTCGTGTGATATTCGCGTTTATATCACGGGCAAGATAATGAGTTATTAATAAAGAGATGTCCAACTTTAGGGATCAAAAAGACGATCTTACGCGATGTGACCGGACACTTCGAACCCGGGAAATTGACGATGATAATCGGTCCTTCCGGCGCGGGAAAGTCGACGCTGCTGAAAATCATCTCGGGCGAGCGATGGGTCAACGTCGACGGCACCGTTTCTGTAAACGGTGTCGAACAGAACAGAGGAAACTTCCGTAAACATGTATGTTACGTGCCGCAACAATTCGAATTACTGCCGTTTCTCACGACGAGAGAGACCCTCTATATAGCGGCTCTATTGAAGATGAATGTCAAACGAAACGAGAAAGAGAATGCTCATCTGATCGTAAGTGCGAGCGGGATAGAAAAATGCTTAACTCTTTCTGTCAACATATAATTTGTCATCTTTTCATCAATGTACGAGTACCTAACTGCTACCTCTGTACTTTCAAAACACTATACCGCGACAATTTATTTTAGAGTAGCTGCTGGAGATTCTTTTCAGTTTTATTTTAGGAGGTATCCGATACAAAGGTCTTTTGTATTTTTTTTTCAAGTGAAGAAAAACTCCGACACCTTTTTTATATTTAAAATAACTTCGAATACTCCAGTAATTGTTCATTGACAGAAGAGTTAAGTATATTGTCGCGTTACTCCGAAAGTGGCTGTTAGAATTATTTTTAAATTATAGTTTTGTTTAATAATATAGTATCCATTTAATATAATATAATCTTAAAAAATATACTCAAGAGAAAGGGAGAAAAGGAAGAGAGTAAATTTTCTGCTATTTTCGGAGATTAAACACGATGAGCGTCACAATAATAAGACTCTTCTTTAAGGCATTGCACATAGTTGCAAGATATATGGTAAAATAATTTTTATTTGGCTGACAATTTGACTAAACATTTCTTAAAATTGCAAGGTGTTAATAATTATTTTATTAATAATAAGTACGTGATAACAATTTTAAAATCGAAATTGGAATAATACTGTCGGAAATATTTATCCTTTTCCTGTTTAGAAAAATTATTTTGTATTAAATCATGTAATTTCTATCATCTGAATAGTTGGTTATAGATTATTTTTTATTTACTATATACATCGTGCGCCAAAGTTTGCATCGATATATCCATCCATCAAAAACTCTTTTTTTCAATTAAACTAGACAATACAAGCGCGCGCTTTGCGAAAATGTGAATCATTTCCTTCAGATTAATACATCCCACACATCTAACATGCTGCGCGGTTCACGCGAAACTGATTCTCGTCAGTGTTGTTAGATTCTCGCGCATTAGTATCGTAACTCCCGCGTATAACGTTCTAAGTCAATTTTATTTGGCATGACGCAAGGGTGGTGCTATTGCATTGCGTCGTAGCAAACGTTGAGCCCTTTCGCGCCCATATCACTCTCTCAGTCGTCTATGTTAATACTAGCCTCGACATGGCCGCGCACAGAGAACACTGATTCTCGTGCGGGGTATCGCGAGCGCGGGACCGATGGTCACATGACCAGTGGTCACATGACCAGTGGGTCCGCTAGTCACGTGACCTCGTCTTCACGCTCGCGATACCTCGAACGAGATTCAGTCGCGCGCGAGCCGCGCAACGTGACGGATATATGGGGTATAGTCTCGCGCGAGTCTAATAAAAGCGTAGATATTTGATCATAAAAGAGTCTTGTAGAAAATTTCACTTTTTTGTTTGTATTTTCTGTTAAATATTTATATATGGAATTTTTATGCGTTGCATAATTAATTAATATATTTTTTATGCATTGATTACAATCATAATTTTTACATACACGCGTCGCAATTTTTGAGATTTTATTATCAAGGAATAATATAACTTCATTTTTCGTGCATAATTATATTTGATTAGATTAACAAGGTGACATGCTATTACAATATCTGGACTGGAATTGTAAAAAAATTCCATTTAACTATTTCCTCTTTGAAAAAAATTATTTTTTATCAAAAAATTATGTAGTTTTTATTATCTGAATCGTTTGGTCATGAATTAATTGTTATTTACTGTCCGTTGCGTCACAAAATAAAGTGCGCATCGATAAAGTGTTTATCAAAGATTCTGAATTAATTTCTAAATTTTAGGTAAACGAAATTACTGAGAGTCTTGGTTTATCAAATTGCCTAGACACGCTGGCGAACAAATTGAGCGGTGGCGAACGCAAGAGACTATCCATCGGGGTAGAAATGATCACTAAACCGTCCGTTTTTTTATTAGACGAACCGACAAGCGGTCTCGATAGCGCAGCATCTAATCAGGTATAATACATGCGAATAATAATTTAATAAAAACATTATTCGAGATGTCACCCATATATATATATATTAATAAAAAATTCTTACATATAAAATGATATAAAAAATTTTTACAAAAATAAAATAATATAAAAAAATTCTTACGTATATTATATGTGATATAAAAAATGTTTATTTTTTTATATCATCTTTTAAGATGTAATATGCTAAAATTTCGGGGATGGATATTTCAATAGCTCATTAACGTGCTGCATAATATGGCGAAAGCGAACTGCATCGTGATTTGCGTGATACATCAACCCAGTAGTCAAATGATCTCGCAGTTCGATGACATTACGGTACTCGATCGAGGTAGATGCATGTACTGTGGTCCGAAAAACAAGATACTTAATACATACGAGAGCGCCGGCTTCACATGCCCGCGTTTTTACAACATCTCTGAATTCGGTAATTAATTAATTACTTATTATTTCTATTGATTTGACTTAACAAATATGAGTCACTGAAAAAATTTTTTAAATAGCGTTTATTCTTTTTTTGCGTTTGCGTACATTATTTTTCACAATATTTTGAAATTTAGATTAATCTCGTACTATAATTGCGAAAATTTTTATTATTTTTAAAATCTAATCTAAAACTGACACTTTTTATTATCGTTATCGATTTTTCAATATTTTAATTCAATTTTTCAATATCAAATATCTCATTATATTTAAATCTATTATCGTGGAAATAAATATTAACTAAAAAATTAATGAATAATACACACGCCATAATGATATGCAACTAATATTGCAAATACTATATTGTTTCCTATGATTGCAGTACTCGAAGTAATAACCGAACAGAGAGATGGAGATTTGGAGAATCTATACAAGATCTGTAGGAGTGAATATGAAAAATACAAATCGAGTCATAAACATCATAAAAATGGTAAATAAATGTAATACATACGCATATCTGTAGATTTTTACTTGAACTTTTCTCAATTATTTTATCTATTTCAATCACTTATTTATCTTATCTTTATATTAATGACAACATTCTTCTTCCTTGTATTGTTTACTGCGTGACAAAAATATGTAAGTATATTTTATCTATCGAATATACATGCACAGAATAATACATATCTGCATCAATTTCTATTTTAAATGTGGATTGCAGTAAAGAAAAAATTAAGATAAATCGGATTAAAGATTGCAAGATGAGACAATAAAATAAAAAATAGCATGAAATTTTAATCAATAATTAATAATCGACATTTGATGAATTTTGCAGAAATGAACCATGAAACGACTTGTTCTAAACAGAATATCGAAAAAGACGATGTCCTCACGTCTGAGAATAATACAAAGCAAAGATTGTCAACGTGGCGACAACAAAAAATATTATTCTTAAGGGCTTTAATTTGCATTAAACGAGATACCGTAAGTAAGAGATAATCTAACAGACGTCGATAATTTGCACGAAAAAAATTAAAACGCTGTTTCAATAAATTTTTCAGACCATGACGATGCTGAGATTTGCGGCGCATGTAGTAGTAGGACTGCTTTTAGGTGCGGTCTTTTGTGACTTCGGCAATGATGCGGAAAAGGTGAACAGCAACATAGCTTGCTTATTTTTCTTGTTGCTGTTCTTATTTTTCGCAAATTCAATGCCGGCAGTGCAGATGTGTAAGTGATATATAGATCCTCTTCTGATATATAAATTTGTAAAGCACGATATTATAAATTTTCAACGTGTTTTTCCCTCTTATTGGCAAAAATAATTAAATGAAAAATATTATTCGAGAAAAAATGTAATTTTATAAACGGTTTCAGTGTTAAAAAAATTTGATAATTTTTAAAATAACATTCCAAACTCTTATTGCGATGCGTGAATTTTATGCAGTAAAGTAGAGTTTTATAAATGTTATATTGTATTAAGCATGATCTTATTTATACGATATGCATGATTGCAGTTCCCACGGAAGCAGCAGTATTTCTACAGGAGCATTTAAATAATTGGTACTCTCTCAGATCTTATTACAGTGTAAAGATATTAACGGATCTTCCGATGCAAGTACGTTTTCTAATATATCTCTGTGTTAACATCTTTAAAATATTTTCGTTACTATACTTTATTAATTTTATAATACTATATAATAAATACTATATCATACACTATATAGTTTATACTATTTTTATATACTACATACATAATTACATATATCTAAATATTTTTTATATATATGGGAGTTACATAATTATGCATGTTTTGTTCATGTTTTTAAAATCATCGGATAAAGTATTTTGCTCTAATTTTTAGATACTTTGTTCTTCGTCCTTCTTACTTATATCATATTATATGACGGGTCAGCCAATGGAATGTGACAGGATTTTGCGAGCATGGAGTATTGGCGTATTGATAACAATTCTTGGACAAACAGTTGGGATTCTGACGGGTGCAGCTTTCAACACCGAGGTGTGCTACAACACAAATACAACAATTTTTTTTATTAAAATTAACCGATAATTTTACGTAAAATCAGTCCATCGATCAGTTCGCATTATATCCGAATTACGTAGTGTTAATTAATATAAAAATAACACAAGTACTCATAAGCATATTTTTTCAGATAGGAGTTTTCTTAATACCAGCATTAAGCATACCATTGTTGCTGTTTGCTGGATTTTTCTTAAAGATAGGGGAGATGTCGATGTATCTGCAACCCTTAGGATGCATAAGTTTTTTCAGGTGTGCATAAAATATTTTGGTTTATTAATTCGAAACGCGTTTATAGTTTATGATATTATTTTTTTCTTTCCATCAATTGGAAAAAATATGTTTTATTGCAGATACGCGTTTGAGGGAATTATACAAGCGATCTACGGTCTTGATCGTCCGAATTTGTATTGCTCAGAGGTTTACTGCTACCTTAATTCGCCAAGCAAAATTCTCTCGTCGATGGACATGCCTACGGTGTCGTTCAGTGTAATTTTGGTGATACTCGGTTGTTGGATATTCTGCTTACATGTTATCATCTACGTGGTACTTCGTTGGAAAATTTATTACGCGAGAAAGTAACATAAAATTAATGTTACTAAATACGTACATAAAGTATGTACTTATAGAGAAGATTTGTTCGACGATTATCTTTGTATCTAAATAATCTAAAATAAATCTTCTCTCTCTCTTTAACGAGGAAAAGAAATATTAAAATAAGAAAAAATATGAAAGACTGTAAATATAAATTTTATCTAGATATAACATAATCAAATTAAAATTTATTTTTTTATAATTTTATAATTAACTAGATTATACTGTAAGTCATTAATTATTGTATTATATTATAAGAAAATAAATTAAAAGTTACATATATAAACCAAAAAAAGTATCATATATATAAACCAAAGTATCTTAAAAATTCCACTTGATAAAGCTGACGAGTATATCAAACGGATAGTTCAAAGTTTTTCCCTCCTCTATTTCTTTCTTATTTTATTTTTTGCATAAATGTGCATAAAGTAAAATAATAAATAACATAAAGATATGTATTAATAATGATACGATGACAGTAATAATAATATATAAAATATACATATATAATAAGTTTAAACATTTTAAGACGATTATTCACACAATATTTTCATAAGATTAATGCAAATGAACATTTCCTCCTTATAATATCTTGAATAATTCGGAAATGACATTTCGATAATACAATACTTGACAATTGTATCAAAAATTCTTGAAAAATATTATATGTTAATAGATGAACGTGTGTGTGAAATGTTTTCCATCTTAAAATCAACATTTCTATTCTTATATGCGTACTTTGGACATATTGTACGTATATCGCACACATTCATTTAGACTCAACGCATCTTATCAAATATAATATATATAATTCAGCTCAATTTGACGTATTTGCTTATCGAAGTCTCGGGTGAATTAAAATCATCAGCTATGTCAAGACTATAATAGACGCAATAAACCCCCCTCCAATTTGAAAAAGAATATCTCATTAATTCACCCCATTGATGTACGTCACATCTTCTACGCACAGCTTTCTTATGCAGCATCTATGATATCACATTCGAGCAGATTAAATACAATCATCGTACTGTTCGCTAACGCCGCGGTATCGATGCGTATATTATATCATCACTATTCTCTCCTTCAGTATATATCATATATCTGTATATATGCTAACATACATGAGCATACACAGTCTCACATTCTCATTTTCACACTCACGACTGTCACGAGATTACAATTGAAAAATTTTGAAGTTTATATGTATAAAAAGATATATATCAAATGCTTAAGAAAATGGCACTTTTTAGTTGTATAAGTATCTGTTCCAAAATAAAAATTTTAATAATACAGACTATTTAAACGATCTAGAGGCAAGATGAATAACTTATCATAATTGTTCAATCAAACGAAAAAAAAAAAAAAAAAAAATAATATACGATTCCGATTTTTATTTCAGATAGGTATTCTAAAATCAAACAACTCTCAACAATCACTCGGACGTGTAACAAATGTATAAAAAAATGATTTTATTCTGTTATTGAGAAGAGGTTCATTCGCATGCATCGGCTTTATCGTTGCGACATAATCTTCCATCGCAGAAGCAGATACGCGCCGCAGCGTGTGATGATTAGTATCATGGTCAGCGCGATAACATCGTTCCAGAATTGGTCTCCCCTCATAGCGATGTCAGAGAGAAATTTGGACGGATATTTGTAGTGGCAATACATCTGCTCCTTCTGGCAATCCAGAGTCGGTCTGTTGAAACCGTAAATAGCCCCGACGAATCTACGACAGGAAATGTTCCCTCGTTCTCATTACGCACGTAAACATATTATACTTTAAATTTAATTTATATATATATATATATATATATATATATATATATATATATATATATATACAATTTAATTTATATTTTAATTTATATATAATTTTCTTTAAATTACGATTATATTAAATAACATACAATACTGTGCTATAAATATTTATAAATAAATTATTAGGGAGACAAAATAATAAGAGATATTATGAATATAAAAAAAAATTATTAATAATAATGATGAAAATAATAAATCATATATTTAAGGCATATTTAACTTAATTTATACACGGTATATTTAATATTGCCATATGTGAAACGTTAAATAAAAAATTTACATGGAAAATAATTCTCACCCTTCCAAACCGTATCTTAAATAACTGATGTAGCTGCCCCATTTTAGGTAGTCTGGTAAATCGCGTAAAGACACGCCGAATCCAGCGAACATCATCAATGGTACTGCCAATGTTGGTCCCATAAACGTTCCATTCTAAAATCAAGATGTTTTTTCATCAAGTTCGATTTACGTAGATAATTAAATGCAATTTTATATTGCTTAAAAGAGTTATAAAAAATATTTATATATCTCTTTATCTTTTTCTAAAAAAGGCATGCATATATATTATATGTACATCATAGACATTATCGGGAATTAAAAAATTAAAATATAAAACATATAAAATAAAATAAAAATGTAACTGCTTAATATAATACTGTAGCATCATTTCTCTTTCTACTTTTTCTATTGGACTAGTACATCCCACACATCCATCACGGTGCGCGTCTCGCGCGACACTGATTCTCGATTCTCGTTCGAGTTTCGAGACTGCGAGACTGATGATCACGTGACCAGTCGCGCGCGAGCCGCGCAGCGTAGCGGACGCGTACAGAGTCTGTACTACAGACGCGCGAGTCTAATGAAAGCGTATTTTGATCGAAAGATTCTTGTAGAAAATTCTATTTTTGTTTTCTGTTAAAATTTACATATTGAATTTTTATGAATCGCGCGCTTGTGTTGTCTAGTCTCGAAAAATTATTAATGCAAATATAAAAGAATAATTTTTAAAATGATACCACAGTGGATAACATTTGAAGCGATATGTGGTTAAATTAACATTTTTAAGTTAAGAATATGCAGATCAGAAAGATAATACTGGCTTTACATATGTAACTATAAAATAATATTTTATTGGTTAAACGCAAGCATTGTGTTATAAATTGTCGCAATAACAATTATAATTAATTGTAATTAATTATAATTAATTATAATTAAATATTCACTCACCACGACGTTGAACACAGCGCCTATCATGAGCCCGGTACCTTGACCGATAAACATTATAAACATGCTGATAGCCAGGAACATGAAGAATCGAATAAACTCCAATGGCTGAGCCGACATAAGGTAAACAATTATTGAGAAAATGATATTACATATAATCGAAATAGGCACGTCGATTATCGTAATAGCGGTGTAAAACGCCTTCAAGCTGTACCATCTGTTAAAATGCTCCTTTATCAAGATGGACATCTGCATGGGAACTGCAAGACAGAAATAACATTTAATTCTCCTTTCAATTATGTGCTTGCGCAAAAGCATGGGCGTCCGCAGGATTTTTTCCAGAAAGGGGCATGATTAAAATTTTTTTGTCTCTTATTATTATTCTTTTTTAATTTTTTAAATTCAACTTTATTGTTATTTTAATATTATTTTCTTATTTTAATATTAAATTATTTTAATATAAATTATTTTAATATTAAATTTTTTTAATATTTTATATTGAATAGAATTGCAAATAAATTTCAATGTTTATTCACAAGGAATGTTTAATTTTTGCCCATGCACAAAAAATCATTAATGTGTATCCAAGTGTAGAAATTTTTGCCTCCAGCGAGTTGTACAAATTTCACACACACTTACACGTTACTATAGTAAGCATCATCGTCGTCATCATGTGATGGATCAGGATCGAGAAGAGGAGATTGTAATTGTCCAAAACACGCGAACCATCGGCGCCGGATTGCAAAAAAACCGACCCTAACATTATTCCGACTAATATGTTGACAGCGATACGTAAATGTGTCAAGGTCTGCAAAGCAGATAAAATATATAATATATATTATATTCCTAGGAGATTTAAATATTCGACTATATTTTACATTTTGAGCTGAACATTAATTTGTTAATACTTTCTAAATAAATATTCTAATTAAATGATAATTAAATATTCTAATTATTCTTCTAATTATAATTAAATATTCTAATTATTAATATTTTAATTAAATATTCTAATTATGAAACATTGGGTGTTTCGCTTAATTATTATTATTGTGTAACTTTCGTACCGTATCTCGTTTACACATAATGAAACCTCTTCTCAGTAAGATTTTGAGTTGATGAGCGAGATTCGTCGCGTGCAAGCCGCTATTATCTTCGAATTTGTTCATCAAAGGACGCGCCGCTAAAGGAAAAATTAAAAATGACTATTTATATAACATAAATAATCTTAATTGTTAATATAAATAATGTTCTAAAAATATAAAATAAAGTTAATAAAGTTATAACGTTTGCAATTAATACAAAAAATCCATCGGTTATCCAACGAGAAATTAGTTAGTCTATCATTCAATTCACCTACTTCTCAATCTTTTCGCATCCATCAGATCTGCCGAATTTTCGAACCACTGTAAATTGCTTCCATTTTGCGATCCATTTATCAATACGTCGATTTTATCTTCGCCGTATTCTCCACAAGCTAGTTCGATTACTGTAAATGCATATTTCGCAATATTATTCTAGATTCTACAGAATTTCACACACATACATGTATTTTTTCCTTTCTATATTTTATATAAAATCAAGTAGTAAAAAAGTTTTTATAAAATTTCAAAAACACGCTACTTTCTTTTTTACTTTTGAAATTAAATTAAAATTAGAATTAATTTAAAATTAAATTAAATTACATTAAATTAAAATTAATTTAAAATTAAGAAGATACAGATGGATATAGAAAAAACAAAATTTTCAAATAATTTAATTGTTCACTTAATTTCAAGAATTACATGTACTGAATTATACGTACTGTAATCTGCGGGATTATGAAACATGGGGCAGGGTAGTTTTATACTTTCTAGATAAGGTAGCAATTTGTTTGTCGCTCCTTGGTACAGACAATCTCCCTTTGCAATAACATACACCTGTAGAGATTTTAATTAATTAATATTTTTTTAAATGATCATAAACACATGATTTTACAAATAAAAATTGACATCGCATCTTTCTGTAATAATAAATTTTGCGTTACGTTTTATATGTGATACTTACTTGATCGAACAATTGAAATAAGGACGCACTGGGCTGATGAATAGTGCAAATTATTGTTCTTCCTTGTCGCGCCAATATTTTTAATAAATTTACGACTTGCATGCAAGAGGAACTGTCTAAACCTCTGTAATGAATAAAAAATATCAAATAAAAAAACATCTATAATTAAAAAAAATCTCTTGAATTAAAGATTAAACTACGCATTACTCGATCATATGATTATATGTTCTCGCATAAATAAGAAAAAAACAAACATTTTTAATTGTTCTCAAATATAAAATGCTGTATAAATTATGCTTGTAAGTCACTAATACATATGAGCAGTGTAAACATTATTTTTCTCCTGCCACTCAAAATGCAAAATAAAGTAATTATTTCAAATGATGCGATTAAATCGTAAATAAAAATATTAAAGACATTGCTCAAATACCAGAAAAAATAGGTAATTAAAACATCGCGATAATATAATCGACGCCGTATTCAACTGATTATGTTAATAATGCTGATATAACTCGATATTATATACAAATAAACATTGTATCTTTTTTGCCAGTAAAGACGCAAAATAATGTAATCATTTTAAATATATATATAACGATTACAAAATAAGTATAGATATTCAAATTCCTCATATATTTTGCAAAATAAACGAGCTAAAAAATAATAATAAAAAAGAATAAAGAAAAAAGTTAAAGAAAGATTAAAAGAAGAAATTAAAATATTGCATTACATATATTAGAAAATAAAATTGCAAATATAAATATGCAATTGTAAAAATATTGTTAATAAGATATTATTAATATTATTAAAATTGTATACTCTATATATTTATTATATATGACATTTGATTTTTATATTTATTATATATGACATTTCATTTAATTTTTGTTACGAATAGCAAGTAATGAAGAAAAATATTGGAACAAGTAAAAAGATGTTACATATATGTCGCACTTACGTCGTCGGCTCGTCGAGGAACATCACTGTGGGATTGTTAACTAATTCTAATGCGATTGACAGCCGTTTTTTTGTCCTCCACTTAATCTGTCCGATCTGGTATATATGTGTTCGTATAAACCAAGCGTCGTGAGAATTTCTTCGATCTGAAATAGATGCATACAAATGCATAAATTGATTAAAATATATCTGCAATATGTATGTACATTAAATCATCAAAAATCTTTTTGTTAATAAATAACTTTACTTAATAGATATACAAGAAGATAAACAAGTTTAATGCACAAGTACATTCGTACTTTATTCTAAAGAATAATAAATTAAATAATTATACGCGAAGTATGTTTGTGCACGTTACAGATTAGCAATCGTATATAATTTTATCTTACGTATATCAAGCGTTATAAATAATACATAAAATTGCTCTGAACATATATTATAATGTCAAAGTTAGAAATCATTTCTAATTATAGCTCATATCAGGATAATTAGTACAAACATTATTAATGCGCTTGGAAATATAGCACTTTTCGAATATTTAAAAATTTTTATATTTCTAATTATGTTCAGCAATTTAAATCTTTTTTTGTTAGAATAAAATTTACATCTGAATTATCTCTAAATAATGCTAGTTTAGCAGATTTCTTTATCTTACATAACTGCAGCTTTCAGCTGATCATCGAATGATTGAGCATTTTACGTGTAACGTGAATTCATTATTGATACATCGAGATATAACATATATCGATAATTCTCCGCGTGACTGACAAACTTTTACTCACAATCATCTCCTTTTTGAGTCGCGGCGTATTTGTCGGAAGTTTCAAATCAGCGGCAACTCTCATGTTTTCGATCACAGTCAGCAGCGGTTCTAATCGATCATCTTGCGTGATGTAAGCGCTAACTCTGAAAATGCGACAGAAAAAAAAACATTGAAAAGAGAGAGAATAAAAAGACACAAAACCAAATAAATACAATATATATAGTATAAATAATAAAAATTACATTTAATTATATCTATTAATAATCTTTTATCTAATAAAAATCTGGAATTTAAAGTAAAAATTAGTACATTTTGCTATCCGCTTACTTTCGGAAGGCGTTGAGATCCCGAAGGCGGCCATTGATGAGTACAACACCTTGCACGCCGGTTACGCGAAATCCAGACAGGATGTCGAGTAATGTGGACTTTCCTGCGCCAGACGGTCCCATCAAAGCGATAAGTTGTTTGCCAGGCAGCCTTCCATTGATCCCGTGCAAAATCTCCTTGTGGCCTAAAATTTTCAAAATTAAAAAAGAGATCGCTCGTGTACTTTAAAAGTACCATTAATTTTTCAATATTGTATCTTATATAATTTTTTGTGCTTATAATTTTATTATTTAATAATATAATTAAATAAAAAACCCCAGTAGAACATCCTAATAACATCACTTAAAAGTGATTTTAAAAAATTACTTTTATATGTTACAACTATTTATTTATTCTATTGTTCATAGTTTATATATATTCTAACAATATTCAAGCAACATACATTTTTCAAAATTATGTAAAACAATTATCTTATATTAGGGGGTTTTAAATTTATGATTCCTCTTATAATTTTTCAAATTATTTTTTAATTATTTTTGTCTAGGTAACTTTTAAGTGAATAAAATCATGATGAGTTTTATGTTCTACCTGAGAAATAAATATAAATAATTAAATAAGTTATAATTAAATAAAAATTTTATCTAATTAAATAGAGAAATTATAATTATAATAAATTATAATTCTAATTTTCTACTTAATATTATTTTACAATCGGCTAAATCATTAATTGTCGCTAAATATTTTTGATCGCTTTTTTATAAAATATTTTTCAATAATTCTTTATAAGATACGCAATTAAAATATTGCTGTAAACTGTTATTTTTCGGACAGGCTTAATAAATTACGACTATTTGAGTCTATTTGAGAAGAATATCCTTATCTGCATTGAAAAGAAATCTGTCACCTTGAGTAAATCTTTCAACTAAGTTATTATTTTGTTAATTGAACATATAAAAATATTTAAATTAAATATAAACCTATAAAAATCTATATTTAAATAATATTAACATATAAAAATATTTAAATTAAATCTAACACAACGTATATTTCATTTAAATACTATAATTAATAGTTAATAAATTTTTGTTCAGCGTTTCAGTGAAAAAGTGCAAAGTACCTTTTCTGAAGCCGAGATTCACGGTGTAATTGATGTTCTCGAAGATGATATCGATCGATTCCTTGTCATCTTTAGGCGTAATTTCGGACGACGCCTCGTCGACTTCCTCTCGCGTGTGCGCCTTGAACTCGGATTTAAGCTCGAGGGTGCAGGTCGGCGCGCTCGCGTTGATTTCCTGTCGGTTTCTATTGCTCGCTTCGTGTATCAATACCTCCATCGTTATCGTTATAAATGTGCTTTATGTTGTGCGAACCCACTTGTGAGCGACAGGGGCGATTATGCTCGAACAGTCATCTGTCGTTCCGATGTACGCGGAGAACCTGGGACAAAGGAGAGGCAGCCGAGTGTTAGAAGAGTCTTATGTGCTGGCGGATAAATATTTGCAACAACAGATAATCGAGAATGGCATCGATCATGATAATCGCTTATTTTACGGCGTATTTATGAGGCATATTTACGAGATCCGTACAGATTATTGTGTGTATATTATGTTATCTGAAAAAGGCAAGAGCCAATTAAAACTCGAGGTCGAATGCGGTAGCGAATTTTTTACAAAGTCCTTCACTCTAACTAGGAGTTATGGTAGGACTGACACGTTAATTCGACCATCGTATTTTACCATGATTTAACCGCTGTATAATTAATTATATATTGCTTCACGATTCTTTTTCTTTTTCTGAGAATTACGGGTATATCGATATGTCGCAACAGAGAACAATTAATTTATTTATTTATAGTTTGCAATTTGAAGACAAAATTAAATAGTTTTTATCGTTTCGTCGAAACTAGGATTAATTAAAAAAGAATTTTATCGATTCAAATTCAAATTAATCTTCTTCTTGATAGCACTCACAAATTTATATTAATAACAGCCTCTTCTCTCTCTTAAGATTAAAGTGCAAACTAAATTTTTTATCGATTAAATAATAATAGAAAATAATTTAATATAAAAAAATTGATATATATTAATATAATTGATAACATATAATTATTAGATATTATATAGTTACTAGAAGAGTTGTTATTTACAAATCGCCTAGAGAACAAAGTCGCATCATAAATCATGACTTCAACAGACAGGCATGTACATATATACATGTGTATTGTATATATGTATGTGTATGTTAGAACATACAATATTAAATAAAATTTCTATTAATTGATATATAGTGTCCTACGCAAGTGCGGCCTTTTTTTCTTGCTTTGCTTATTTACGCAACTGTTGACAGTTTTATTGGAATCTGACCGATTATCGCTCAATTTCAAATAAAATAATAAATGTGTGACGCGAGAGTGCATGTAGAAAAAATTTGTTACGATATCGATTCGCTACGTAATTTATATATGTGCACATATAATACGTTCATCTTTTATTTAAGAGTTCATCGATATTCATTTTATACGGGAGAAGAGATAATTATGTATATTATTCACACAATTTTATTTTTTTATCGCACAATTATTATGTCATACGATTTATTACTCGATCATCATTACGGAACGTGATTTTCATTTCAATATACAGGATACAGATATGCGTAAATGCAAAAAATTCCGTTCATGACACAGAATTTTAATAATAGATTTTGAAATAAAATTCATAATGTAAAATACTTTGTATGTCTAAAGAATTAAGTGATTTAAATATTTTCATATGCGTGTAGATATCTTTCATTTTTAATTTTAAATATTCATTCTAATATCCATTTTACTTTATAATTACTTTTATTACACACTTGAGAAAACAAGTCAGCTTATTTAAGTCGTAATAATATATGTTAAATAAACCAATTATGCATCTAATATTTAATTTATTTATTTAAATCACGCGATAAAATTACACACAAAAAAAAGTGGACAGAAGTTAATAATTTAAAAAATAAAGATGTTCTTCACAAAAATATATATACCTACATATTTATTATTTGCGTAGTAGTTCTATCAGGAAAAATTCTAACGCAAAAGTATATATACCCTATTAATTATGCAAAGTATGTGTGCGATCTTTAACAATAATCGCGATTTTGCGTCAACAAGATTATATCACTTCGGAGCTGCGTCCTAAGAGAGTACCAAGTCCAGTAACCTTTGATGATTTCATCGAGACAAGAGAGAGAATCAATCTTATCTAATCGTAAATGAATACACAACATACCGAGCTAAATTATCAATTTTTTATTCAATCTTGCGCGGACAAGCCTTGTGTTGTTATTTCAAAACAGGAATCAAACAGCTGAGCGATTGTTAATTCAGCGACGCGTGTCCACAATAAAAAGGAGGAAATGTGGAAAGATAATATACGAGTATACGTAGTTGGAATTTTAGAATTGCGTCAAAGATATATTATCGTAATCCGCGCATGTGAACCGAAAGAAAATAAACTGTCGCCAATGCTGAATGATTTTTTATCATGCAATAATTTTCTCTCTCTTCTATGCGAGCGTAAACTAAATAGCGATAAGCTAAAAACGGAGCAAAATATTTCGCGTGCAATATGAGGCTATTTTGTAGGCTTTGACGTCACGACGGATATAAAAGAAACATACGGATCGTAATCGCGGCTCAATCATGCTAATAAATAGTTTTTAATGTTTGTCATTTGCAGTGATTTCCAAGAATTTCATATAACTTAAGAACCGCACATTCCTTATTATTATCTCTCCACCTATCGAAAGCTTAAAGACGTTTATTATCTCAAAATAAATTTCCTTTACTCATAATTTTTTAATTAAATTAATATATAATAATTTTTATATATAATAATTAATATATAATTTATATAATATAGTAAAATATATTAATATATAATAATTAATATTTTTTTTAATTTTTCGAATTTTTCGAATATATCGAATTAATAAAAATATCGAAAAATTATTGTGTTACGCAAATAAAACTAGTTTCTTTCGAAATATATAAAGTCCGTATCTGACTGTGCAATTTGGTTGCTGCGATAAATTGCAGCAATTTTTCCATATCACACTATGCAACTTTGAGAAACAATTTGATTGCAGTGATTGCATAAGATTTAGTTCTAATAAAGTTGCATGTAACTAATTTTTACAAAATAAAAATAGATCAATTCTAAGAACATGAGTTTTCGTTAAGTGCATATTTTCTTTAAAAATAGACAATAGTATTTTATTTGTTGTATTAACATAATTTTATTCTGTAGTTGACAATAATTCAGTTTATCTTATTTTAATTACCTGTACAGTGATTACATTTAAATAATTGCTGCAACCTAATAAGTTGCGACAATTAAGTCGCAAAAATTGCATTGTCATAGATATGGACTTCAGTAAAAATTATATAAAGAAACTAAATATAAAAAAATCATGAAAAATTGCTCAGCATGTACTTACGTCGGAAGCGAGTGTTTTGCAAGAAACTAAAAAAGAAGAAGATAAAATTTGTTGTTAATTTTGTGTGAAAAATAGGTTGGGTGTCGAGATAAGCGACCGCTCTAGAATGCATCTTAAAGAATGAGCCTGTTGCACGCTAAGTGAAAGCAAGGTAAAATACTTTGAAAGAAGCGGATATACAAAGAGTGCGTGCGGCTAAAAGTATATGTGTACTTGTTCCGTCAGCTTTTACATTGCAGATTGAGAAAGTCTGCGTGCATGTTGCATATTATACATGTACATGCCACATCGTCCATCAAACGGAAAACAAAGTGGATGTACGGAGACATACCCGACGGTTACGAGCACTTTTCCTAAAGCCATTGTATATTGACAGTCGCAGCCGAAAGTAAAGTGTCATCTCCAAAGGAGAGAGAAATAGCTTTCTACATTGAAATTGATTTTATCACACGTTTAAAACGTGGTACACTGAAAAAAAGTTTGATAAAGTAACAAATATTTTAGTTCAATATACATTCGAATGAATTATTTATTTAAAACAAATAAATATTTATTTGTTTCAAATAAATATTTATTTGTTTCAAATAAATATTTATTTGTTTCAAATAAATAATTTGTTTAAACGTATTGAACTAAATATTTGTTAATTTAATAAACTTTTTTCAGTGTATTTATTTCAATTCTGCCAGATGAATCATTTATTTGATACTAATATTTATTTAATATGAAAAATATTTATTTGATATAAGAAAAACTTTTTCAAAACAAATAAATATTTATTTGCTTCAAATAAATGATTTGTTTGGCAGTATTGAACTAAATATGTATTAATTTAATCATTTTCTTCAGTGTATATACTGAAACAAAATTTGTTACTTGTAACTTGACTAAGCCTTTCAATTAAATTTTGATAATAGAATGTATAAAAATATTTAAATATTTAATATCTAATAAAATGTATATTTTACTTAAATACTATAATATATGTTCAATTAAGAAAATAATAATTTAGTTGAAAGGTTTAGTCAAGTTAACACATTTTTTTTAATGTATGATACATGATCGTTTCAGTGAACTTTGTTTTCGAAGATTCGATACAAATCTTCTAAAGAATACACGTTTGCGATATGAATCGTATCGACAATGATAACGAAAACTCTATTGTGACAATATTCCTTCACATTTTTTAATTTATCTCACATAACAACTGCAATTTATTTATGTACAAATATTTAATATTTATTTATGTACAAATATTTAATATTTATTTATAAATTATTAAATATATTTGAATATTTATTTATAAATAAATATTAAATATTTGTACATAAATAAGTTGTTATGTGAGATAAATACTACTAGTTTTTCGAATTGTACATAGTACACAAATTTATATTATATAAATATTTATATAACTCTAAAAAATTAAGTCGATAATATATAATAAAACGATTATGCTGTTATTGCTATATATATAACAATCAGCGATTTAATTTGCGCATAAATATTAATACATTATTATATCGCGTCTAATATTACATTTAAACATCCGTAACTGGTACTATTATTATATCTGTAGTCCCAGCATCATTTGCTAAATGATTTTACAAAAATGACAATATTATCAATCCTCCTGCAATCGTTCTTCATATCATGATTATTGTAGCAACAATTAAATTAAGTATATCAAGGACGTCTTATTTATTGTATCAAGGATATATTATGGAATGCAACAGTTGTTCTTCTAAAACTGGTTTCGCAAGAATCTTCTATCTTACATATATATTCCACTTAATGTTTGTTGATTCGCAAGTTACGAAAGCATATTACATTGTTAAATACAAAGTTGTGTGTAAATAAAAAATTTTCTCACACCTTCTGCAACTCATTCTTTAAATTTCTATCAAGCCGAGCTCTATCTGAAATTAATTGCAGAATATAATTTCCCATTCATTGTTAAGTTTTTTTAAATTAAGTTTATTTCATTATTACGAAAGATTCTTTTATTCTGCCGCTTATAACGTGCAAAAATTACCAAAAGATACTTTAACATTTTTTGCGAAGAAACAATATTAATTTAAATTCCCCGAAGAATAAAAAAAAACACGATTTTGTAACAAAACGTCCTCTTATATGATGACTCATTCTCAACAAAAACAACTTCTTTTGATTGATATATATCCTAATATTCATTGCGCTTACAAGAATATGCACATAAATATGCATTAAATTTTTGATAGCACTTTTTCTCTGCAACTATAAAACTGAATTAATAAATATTCATTTCAATACCGCCTAATAAATCATTTCAACAAATAAGTATCAATTTGTTTCGAAAAGGATTTTCTTAGATCAAATAAATATTTTTGCATCAAATCAATATTATTAGTTTCAAAGAAATGCTTTTTATTGCGCAGTATTGAAATAAATATTTATTCGAATTCAATAAATTTCTTGTTCAATGTGAGAATTTTTTCTAACAAATTCTGGTGTATTTAAAAAAAAAACGCAGATTAAAAATACAATTCTTACGGTTCTTGGGATTTAACGGAGAAGAAACAAGGATGACGTACGGGATTTATTTCAAAAGTAACTCACGATTGCCGACTCGTCGATTAAAAAGCATTAAGCGAGGATCCCCAAAAGAAGATAGAAGGCTTTTCGATCACGCACTTTTAGAAATGTCGATTTCTGCTACCTTGGCACGTATGAACAAATATGTCTCTCCGAAAGACGAGGACCGACACTTCGCGTTTCAAGGAGAGAACAGAACTGTTTCGATATACAAAAGCTCGACTATGGCAACTCGGACGCACACAGTTTGTCATCGCAGTCATGGAACAAAGAAAGATATGCCCGTGTTATGTGTATCAACAGCCGATCGAGCAGAAAACATCGCTTATCGTTGACGTTTTCGCGCTCTCCGATAAAGGATCGAAAGGGGTCCACGCGCCGTTATCGGATTGCGTCGAAATTTTCTCGAAGAAAGTGTTCAGCAGCTTCATCCCGCCTCTCCGTGTCCTCTTTAAACGTCACGTTGACAGATAAGCAGCTGATTAATTGTACACAGAGGATGACTAGTTGCCTGTGCAAAGTTCACGAGAAGAGGGAGATTCGGATCACGAAGCTGGACTTTTGCACCGGGAACATTTTCTTGATGCATTTCCTAATGCATTTTTGCATTGGAATTGAGTGATTGATTTTCATAACACGCACGGAATGAGTTTACACAATCTCGTTGATCTGGTTAAGATAGATATAATAGATTAAAAAATAATTTTTTAGTCGTGTATATGTAGTATTAATTGTTAGGATCATTTGCAATTCCAAAGAATGGCTGATTAATCACAGAATCTAACAAAGTTCGAAGACTGAAGAAAAAAAGAATATGTAGACTTTGATCCTGACACGCATAAATAGTCATTCAGACGGGATGCAATAGACTCTTTGTTCGTCATTTTTCTCGTATACGAGTACATAAGTGTGACAGGCTCATTAATTTTTTAAATAATAATAAAATATATTTGACAGTGAGACTAATACGATATTTCTTATATTACATATAATAATTATATATTTATATGTTAATAATATTAATAATTTTAAACTGTGTCTAAATTTAACTATATGAATATAACTCTATTTGATAACATAGTTATACTTTTGATAACACAGTTACATTTATTGATAACACAGTTTAACAGAGAAAGAAAAAGATACGAGGAAGAATCATTTTTTTCGTTAATCTTTTTACGCTGATTTTGACTTTTTAATTTATTCATCATGTTACAATTTTGAAAAATTTGCAGTTATAATTGCAAAAAGAATTAATTTATTATTATATTATGACAACTGTGTGTGAGTGTAACGTATTATGAAAAAGTATTTTATTGTATAGTTACAATTAAGTATAATATATTATTGGGATTTTAAATCTTAAAATAGATTTGTAATATGCATTATGTTAATTAATACGATATGGGAAATATTAAAGTTTATTGCGTGGCTAATTAAATCATTGAGAAACTATAAAACAGTTTTTATACGTTTACTGAATCTTTAAAAGTTTTTAAATCGTTGACTACAAATCTGACGAAATATTAACAAATAAAAAAAAAACAATTAATATAACAGATATGTCAAAATTTACAAAATTGTCAATTTTTATTTCCAAAACTTATTTATACATAAAAATACAAATTAACGCTCGTGTAGAATTTAAAATTAATAAAACATGAAAAGTAGGCTATAAAATATATGAGCCGAAATAATTTAGATGTAAGAATAATATAAATAAATAATTTTTAATTATTCTTAATTATTCTAAATTATTTCGGCTCGTATATTTGGCCTACTTTTCATGTTTTATTTATACATACATTTGCATACTTGCAATAATTTATTAAATTTGAAAGACGAAAAGATGATAAAATCCGTTTTAAAGATATATAATTTAACTAACAATAAGTGATAATTTTTGTTTTTCACAAATTTAAAAATTGACACCTGTGTATGTTAATACTCATCTACATATTTTTTATCTCATACACACACGCAAATAAAATGTTAAAACGATCAAAGTTCTCTCCTATAACGATATATCTTATTCATTTAAATTACGCAAATTTTGAGAGTTTCTCCTTGAAAGAGACATGTAAAGTCAAACATTGCATCTTATTGTCCCATTTCTTTTGCGAATATGTAATTTTTTCTTTCAAACTGTTGTAATATTTATATATTAAGTAATATTTTTAAAACGTTTAAAATTTTGTATTTGCTTTCCACGCAATTAAAAATTATACTTAACAGTATTTAACAATTAACATTTATGGAGATGCATTTCTATTAATATAATAATAAAAAATATACAAAAACTTCAAATGATGCAACAATGAAAGAGATTGTGCAAAATATTAATAAAGAAATGAAACGTTCGTTCTTTTAGCCTAACTTGTGATAAATTTTGATCATTAATTTTCGTTATTAATATATTAAAATATAATGATAATATATTACGATATGCAAATATATATAATCTTTTATATAATCCTGAATATTTGCTCCAGACCTCTTTCACTCGAATAATTATCGTTTCGTTCGAAAGCACGGGCGTTTAGATATATTTTTAGCGACTTAACTCTTTGTATAAGAAAAGAATAAAAAAAATAAAAGAACTTTCATCAAACGATCGAAAGCCGGCTAATTCCCCTCGTGCGGAAACACCGCTGGGGGGACAATGACCTTTCGTTGGTCACGATTGCGGTAGATCGAGCCATTGAAGAGCTATCTGAAAAAGAGGCTCATTGTCTAACCCTGTAACCTTGAGAGCAATCAACTTCGGAGCGAAATAAATACGGCTTGACAATAGAAAAAAAAAGATGATACCACGAGTATTCGCACGTTCCATTATCATAATAAACGAAAGATAAAGATTATCCGTTAACGCTAAACGCAAACAATAAAATGCCTGTCTGGATGACTATGAAATTACTTGGCGCGACACAAATAGAAGACTGAGATGTTGAATGAACGTGAGTGAAAGAGGAGTTCGTCTCTCCTCGAAATATTTAATTTTTATTTAGCGAAAATGTTTAAAATATTTAATTCAATGATTTATTAATAATATATAAGTAATGGTAATTGAATAATTATCAGCGCTATCCGCGAGTTTCTCAGCCGTAGGGGACTTAACTGATATAAAGATATGTCAAATGATTGTCATCGCTTTTCGGTCACACACGCGCGACCTTTGAAATGCAACACTTGATGGATTTGATGAACTGAATGTGATATCTTCAAATGGCAGATAATAAAACATATAATGTATATATACATATATAATAAAATCCACTCATATATAATATCGTAAATTTTTCTTCTTGTAATCTCGTACGGAAAAAAATAAGTATTTTTCTTTCAATCTGTCAATAATTTTTATACGCATTAATTAATTTTATGTAAACATTTTGCGTGCGTAGAGAGTTAATTACTATATAATTACAGTGCAAATTATTACGTGCTGATCAGTCAATTTACTATCGGTAATAAGTTTTTCGTGCAACTTTCCTACGCAAAAAAAGAACTTTGAACTTTTCGCTTCGCGAGATTGCTTGATGGAGAGAAAAAAGCGCTCGATTTTTCCAGCAAGATATCGGAGCAAATTGCAAAATGTCCGAATGCATAAAGCGGCCGCACTTTTCTAAACACGATAATGTGCGCATATTTCACATATCTCGAATCTCGAATGTAAGGAAAATCAAAATTGCACGTGTTTAACGGAAGTTCGCGCGATAAGGCACAGCTTGACTCTGTAACTTTTGACATTTGATAATCGCGTGTACTGCCAGCTTCTAATTCCAGAGAGAGGGAGATGCTGAGAAAGCATTTTTCGATATGCCTGATACATCAAACGCACAGGAAACTTACGATCCTCTATCTTAGACGAATGAGCGGACTGTGAAAGTATATGCAGATACACACACACACAAATATAAATACGCGGACACATATCTATACACAAACACACAGGCGAAGAAATGTATATGGAGCAAGATAATAATATTGTTGCGTACACGATTTCATATTGCAGAGTAAAATTACAAAGGGCTCTCGTTACCAGAGTAATAATGTACTTACGGAACATGCAGAGAGTGCAACAGGCGCTCTTCAAAGTTCTCTCTTCAGCAGACCAGGATGCGGACTGTTGACGACCGAGGATAGAGTACCAACTCTAAGACACCGGTACCCGTTTTTCTTCCTCTTTCTATCTCACTCGAATCCCCCACCTCACGTCATCGGACACGCTGCATCTCTCAACCCTTCTCCTCGTCGATGCTGCTAAAACGGAATTCTAACATTTGCACAATTTCAGCTACGGTCTAAGATTTTAGCAGGGTTGGCTAAGTTCGTAATTTTTTTAAACTAGTTAAGTTAAAGTTAGTTGCTTATAAAATTAATTTTGTTATTTAAAAGTTTTCTGAACAAAAATTAACTCCAGTTAAAGTTACGTTTAGATTAAATTAATATTGAAGTTAAATCAAAAGTTTGGTTTTTTTAATATTATTTATATTAAATTAGAACTTTGTTTGGTAATTTTTTTGAAATTTATAATAACATAACGAAGAAATGTTGGTTTTTATATAGAAATATATTTTTTGGTAATTGCAATTGATGACAACATATAATTGAACATGAAAATTAATAATACTTATTTAATTTAAAAATAATACGTTTATAACTTATAAAAAACAATAATAGTATTCAGAGATAAAAAATTTAACTTAAAAAAAAAGTTAATAAGTTTACAGTAAAAAATAACTAGTTGAAGTTAAAAATTAATACATTTTAATTTAAGCTAAGTTAAAAGTTATTAACTTTTTAATTTTTTTTCACTTTTAATTAATTAACTATAGGTATTACCCAACCCCGGATTTTAGATTATTTTTATTTTTTCTTAATTTGTATTTTCTTTCAATTTTTTTATTTTCTCGTAATATTTATTTTCTCTTAAAAAGAATAATATACAGGGTGTTTTTAAAACTAGGTCAAAGATTTTAAGGGCGTTATTCTAAGGTTCAAAATAAGAAAAAAGTTTCTATATTAACTTGGGTTCAAAAATGAAAAATTAACCTTCCGATATCTCTTTCAAAATTAAATCAAATTGTCAAAATCACATAAAAATAAAGAATTTGCTATTAATTATTATTACGCTGTGCAAAATGTCAACGATCTGTAAAAAAATCTCTGAGAGTTATATATAATACATTTTTTGATTTTTTCTCCCAACTTTAGCGGGCTAATTCGGCGGAAAAGCATTTTTTGAACCCATGTTTGGACTTTTTTTCTTATTTTAACCCTTAGAATATGCCCTTAAAATCTCTGACATACATTCAGAAACATCCTATATTAGTGAAGAAGATTAATGAATTTCAGATAAGTTTATCTTTATCAAAAATAGTTTTATAATTGTAGCTTTAAAACTAACCAGATAACGTATGCAGCGTTTGCTGACAAAGAAATAATTGAAGGCCTCTCCTTCGAATCGTTTTCATTCAAAAGCACGTATTGAAATATCTGAAAAGTAACTAACATATTGATGATGCAATCTTATTTATGTATGATAATTATAATCATTATTTGACTGTTTATTTAACCCTTAGACTCCCGGCATTTTTTTATTAAAATTGAGGTTTTTTCCTAAAAATTTATCTATATAAGTAACATATACATCGTGCACAATTTCGAGATTTGTACCGAGCCACAAAAGTGGCTTTCTCGGCAGTCTAAAGGTTAATAAACAATTTATAGTTTATAGAATTAAATAGAAATATCGATCTACGTATACTATTCTATATTAAAAAGGATATTCTATTTCTATGGCAATAAAAATTCGAAGTCTATAATTATTATTTGCAAGGCGCAATTAAATTATTAAAAAATGGCACTTGTATGCATCATCAAATTTTCGATGACATGATTTTCTAAATTTATCTCTTTCTTTACACATACACATAAATTATACACATGTGTTATATATTTTATATATAGTTACCATTCTTTTTCGAACTCCTCTTATTACGTTGGATATAATATTACTGAAGTGTTGAGTAGAATATGAAATGTTTCAAGTTTGGAAGTCGTTTGTGCACGTGTCGGCTATCAATATCTAATATAAATTTTTTATACGTTTATATAATTGCTCTATTCAAAGCGCAACATTTGTTGTAAACAAAGGAGAACGCAAAGATTTATTACAAAAGAATAAAGTTGTAAGGCTAGGGAACCGCGTCATATACTATACAAATAAATTAAATAATCTTAAATTAGATAATCTTACAATCAATGTACAATAGTCCAAAGGTACATATCGAATGTACAATGAGCAATAATATTGATCACTCTTGCGTAATGCGTTGCGATATTCGATGAATTGTTATTCGCATACACGTGCATATATTGTATATGAAACACATTCGTATCGTATTTCGTATAATCAAATTGACTGAAGAATTTCCTGATTTCTTTCACGCATCGCGAGTTCAAGGTTTTAGCGAGTACGTTGCTGAAAGTGAAAAATTTTATCTTTAAAGATAGAAGCACAATTTAGGATTTCATTATATTCGCCATCCGATTTTTGCAAATTTACCAAATATATAAAATAATTATTTATTAGTGAAAAGATTATTCATATTATTTTATTATTATATTCGCGATCCAATTTTTTGCAGAAAATAAGAACGTGCTCCGATTTTATAGTCTGTGAATAAGAAATATTTTTCATTGAGTGATTGAAATTTTACAATATATATTTATGATTCTATTATTTATGGAATATATAAAAGTAAAAATTACTGATTATTGTTGCGTCTCTAAAACGCAACTCTCTTTTGTTTCGCATTAATTTTCACAAAGAGCGGTTCATTTCAAATAAAATGTAATGAAGTTTTCTCTTCTTCTTAGTAGATAATTTACAATATTTTTCTAAATTAAAAATAAAACCAGAAATTAATTTTAGTCATTCAGTATTGCAACTTCTTAATAATGCACCTCCTGCATATATATCACTTATTTATTTTATCGGAATAATCTTTCAACTTTAGACACAGACATTTTTCGCCCTTTCGCTTTAATGTTTTCCGGACTATTGTTCTTGCGTTATGTTATATTAGCATAATCTAGTTTACTCTTTCCATTCTCTTTATCTTTTACGTTGGTTTCATTTGGTCTTTGTTTATTTCATGTTATTATGACATATATATCGACATACGCTATATCGCACTGATTTTTCAAAAATGATTGCTACGTTGTATGTGTAATCAGTAACTGACGAACAGAAAAGTGAAAGCGATTAATATTACATTACGATATGGGAGAAACTCGTGATTTTGTTATTCTTGCTAAAACACGCATTTCAATATCACCCCTTTCCTTCTTTCCTTGAATCGTTTCTGTGATTAGATAAAGTCTTTAATAATACATAATGTAATCATGTAATATATACCAATTTTTTTATTATCTAATCGCGATCAGATTTAGGCAAAAATTGCAAATGCATGCACCGGTTTTATAATAAATGTAAACAACAAATATCTTTTGTTACGTGATTGAAATTTTATAATATATTCATGATTTTATATTTACGGAATATATAAAAAAAACTATTATTGAAGAGAGAAATTGTTGCATCTCTATATAATATACTATAGTGTAAAAATAAAATAAAACTTTTTTATGTATATTTAAGAAACAGTATTATTTTATGCCACATTACAAATGTTTCCGTATATGAAACGAAATAATGTTGATATCGCGAAAACAAATCCAAATGGTTGTAGTTGTAAACTAGAGATAATGCTATCATCACCATAAAGTGCATGCTTTTAGAATTGTTGACTGTTGACCCGATCTCATTTTTCAATCATTTTTATCAATTATATGCTTCCATGAACTACAATGAAAATATTCTTTCTGTGGTCTAATTAATAAAAGTGCATCGTTAATATATGTATCTACAAATATCAAATTACATAATAATATTAGTCAAAGACACAAAGTTTCTATTAATAATAAATAAAAAAATTCACGAATATTATCATCTCCACGTTGTATTGTGTGTTTCATTAACAATAAATTGACGAAATATATGTATATTTTAACTAAACATACTGTATATAATACAATCAATTCAAAAACACTGCATGTAATTTTTTTCTACATATATATTGTATATATATGTATTGTTTAGAGGTGTATTAGGCCTGTCTTATAATAGAAATAATAAAAATACTGTACATTTATTATGATGTTGGGTCCGTAACAATTAATATGCATTAAGTAAATTCATTGTTTAGATATAATTAGCCGAGGAATTTATTCATCATCTTGTACAACAGTTGTTTTCTCAGATACATAAAGTCCATCTAAGAACTTTCTAATATCCTTATTTTTTACTGTCGTAGATTGTTGGATGAGAGCAGCTGAAAATGAATCATATAACATATTCATAAGTAATTCAAATTGATTTATATGAAATTAAATATTAATTAGCTTAATTTAATATTTAATTTAAATATTTGATTTCGAGTTAATTTTTTCAATTTAATTATTTATTTCAAAGAAATAATGTCAAAGTATTTACCTGAACGAGATACATCTTCTAAGGAGTTTCCCTCGATGATCAACTCGTCTTTCTGTTTTCCAGAATTTGCAACAGTTACACCGGGTGCCATTTTGACACGACGTATGTACTTTTCACCCAAAAAGTTACGAATTTCTATAACTGTGTTGTTCTCCGTAGTAACACAATTGATGGGAAAGTGAGCGTATACAGCTCGCATTTTGTATTGGTAGCCCTTTGTCACACCCTTGAGCATATTTTCTATATGAGAGCATACAGTACGAACAGCAGCTAATTCCTTCTTCGTTCCAAACCATTTTTCTACTTTCAGTAATCTTGGACTCATCATCTATATGTAACAAACATTATCTATATATAATAAAAACATATACATTGCAGTACAGTGTGGATATGGTGATAACACTTTGGTATAAATCACAAATATTTCAGATAAGGATGTATCATTTATGAAAAATGAAGGGGAATCCTGATTATCATCATAATATAAGTATTTTTAATATTGATCAAATTTATAATGAATAAATGATCTTATCTACAAGAAACATGCTATAACAAATATTTTATAAAAATAAAAAAATCAAACTTTTTACTTACACGAATATCAAGCGCAAGATGTTTGAATGATCGTTTCAAAACACCTCTTGGTCCTTTTACAGTCACCAGACGGGACTTGACTGTAACAGTCAATCCCTCTGGGATTTTAACTGTTTGATTTGTAACAATCTGCTTCATGCTGCAATATAAAGAAATTTCACATAAAATATTTTGTATATAAGTGTTCACAATAATATATATCTAAACTATTATAATAATTACAACTATAAATTTTTAAATATAATAGAAGCAATAACAGTCTCGCAATAAGCGTAAAATTCGAAAGCAATATAATTTATTAGTAAAAGAAAATTGTAAATATAATTAAAACAAGGTGATATAGAAATATATACTGTATTTAGCTTTATATATAAATAAGACAAAAAATCTCCATATGATTCTCTATCTTTATTTTGTTATATTATGTTTTACCGGAATAAATAACTTTTTTTTACATCAAAATAGCATCCAACAGTATAATAAAAACATACAATTGTTCATTAAAATACACAGAACATACTTTACAGCATAAAGTTTTTAGGTTACGACAAATTATTGCTTACAGTATGTTTACATGAATTAAGATGGATTGGTATTACAACTTTATATTTAAAAAATTATAAAATTTTTCCTAAACTTATAAAATGATCTCTCATTTATTGCAAATCTATCTTATCTTGATAGCAACACCTCGAGAGCAAATTGTTGACAGCTATAATCGCGAAGGTTATATTTCTTGTGGATGCAAAACGTTTCGCATATCGCGAAAAAATATTGTATCGCGACGAAAATAGAAAAAATGACGAATGCTAAAAATGCGTAAAAATCAATTTGGCATTTGACGCATCGCCGGATCGTCACAGATTTTATACGATATCCCTGAAAGCAAAAATTTCATTACCTTCAACACGCCACACGGTAACCGGAAAGGACCGAGGAGATGAAAAAACCGATCCACCAATAGAATGAAGCGATGAAGATAGAGCAACATAGAGAGGCGCCAGTTCTTTAGTCGCATTTTAGTTACACGATTTCTCCGCTGCGAATTGCGAAATTTGTCCACGCAGAACGATGCTGTGATTGGTCGAGATTAAAAATCCCTAGACTTGGAATTTCATCAGTTTCTCTACTTTATGCCTTCATAATTTTATTATTCGATGGCAAAAGTCCGTTCTCTTTCTTTCGATAAATACTCCGAACTTTGACACAATTTTGGGAAATGTCATTACATCAAATGCATTTAGGCATATCTAAAGGTATGTATTATATATCTAGTCACAATCTAAATATTTCAACACTTTTATTAATAAAATATTAATATATATAGTTTTTTAATATATTAATATTTTTGTTAACCAAAAATATCACGTATATACTTTTATATTTATATATTAACTTAAAATAAAGTTAAATATTTCATAAAATGAAATATTAATATTCTTAATAAAAATATTTTTACGAATATACAGAAAACCTAATCAAATTGAATTAATTATTTCTAATAGTAATTGCGCAAGATAAAATTGAGGAAATGTCTTGACCTGAGAATAATAGAACGCACGTCCTACTTTGAAAAGGTTCTCCGTCTTATTACATTCTTCGAATTCTCTCCGTCCGTCCGTCGTATTCTTATTCTCGCAAGCAACCGTAAAAGAGATCGTAAGAGCAAGATTCTCCAGTTCTTCCTCTCGAAGTAAAAAAAAAAAAAAAAAAAATAGAAAAAATTGCGCGGTAAGTGGTTCGCCGAGTCGCGCGCATGCGCGGCGAGTGACAGTCGAGTGCGCGCGTGCGCGGCGAGTGACAGTCGAGTGCGCGCGTGCGCGGCGAGTGTCAGTCGTCAGTCGAGTGCGCGCGTACGTACCCTCTGGAAAGGAGGCAAAGAGGGTAAACGGCGCTTCCCGGGAGAGCGGGATCTCGCCTCGCGTCGGTTCGCGACCTCGCGCGTCGTTTTCCGAGGCAGTGTGCGCGCTGCCGCCGCCAGGCCGGTTATATACAGGCTCGCGGTGCGGACTCTCAGTACGATGCCGGTGCCGCGCGCGGTGGGGATGGCCTCTCGTCGCGCAGCGCTCTGTCCGTAGGTAGGTAGGTAGGTAGGTTGTACCCCGACGCGGTCAAGCGTCCTCGTCGCCGTCGACGCGGAGGGTCGCTCCCCTGGGTCGACGCGCTTATTTATACGTGTATTTGTACGTTCGTGTGTTGCCTGTGACTCTCTCTGAGCGCAAAAAGTGCGGTCTATCGACTCCGTTTGAGATCGAGACGGGATATAAAGCGAAGCGAGACACGCGGCTCTCCGAAGAAGTGCTCCGGGAGGTGATCAGTATAAATATTATCCCGCTGCTCTCGCGTGGAACGGATTCTTCTCCTTTCTTCCTCCCCTTCTTCTTCTTCCTTTCTCTCGCTCTCTTTTTTTTTCTCTCTCCCCGAGTTAACTGGAAGAAGAGTGCTGTCGAGTGCCTCGTGGAGTGACAATTCCCGTGACTTTTCATCATCACACCTCGCAGTGACGTGTATAATATATTCGGTGCTATATACATTTTATCTCTAAACATCCCGCGGAACGTCCGGTGAGAGAGTTCCAGTCCGATCGAGCCGTTCCTGTCATCTGTTTCCAAGAAGAGGAGCGAAAGAGGAAGCGAGAGGGAGAAGGGGTCGCCTCCTGTCTACCTGGCCGCACGAGCGAGAGAGAAAGAGAGACAGAGAGGTATGCGTGTATGTGGTATGGCTCGTCGTCGGTGGTTTTTCGCCGCCTTTATTACAGCGAAACCCGAATGCGTGCGCGAGCGTATCCCTCTCGTCTGACCGGCCTGAACCCGCCACCGTAAGGCTGCGCTCACACATGCGAGATTGATTATTTTTCCACGAGGACGAGGACCCGAGTCATCAGAGGCCGGTTGCTCGCCGAAGAAACGCGTCACCCTTCAGGTTAATGAGAACCAACGTCGACCGATCGTCCAATCAGCTTTCAGGTAAGAGTCTCATCCTCTCTCTTTTTTTTTTCTAAATGTCAAACGAACCGTCTCCGAAAGATATAGTACCATTCCAAATAGCCACAGTATATATATATATATATATATATATATATTGACATCACTTGACGTCACGTGACATTACTTTGCTGTCAAAATGACGTAATTTGATGTCGAAATACATTATTTTGCTGTCAAAATGACGTAATTTGACGTCAACATTATTACCTTTGCTATTTGAGATATTTCTCGATCCTCTCGGGACCAAATCTTTCCGGTTCACCGAACTCACGCAGGGGTGGGGGGAGGGAGGAGGGAGCACGTGGTTGCTCGCAGCGAGATCTTTGCTCCCACATCGCATTATTTATAAATGCGACCACGGTCCATCTGCTAGAAAGACGTCGATCCATTTGTCCGGTTGACAGTTGACTCTCGATCAAAGCATTTGACAAGTGATTTTTATTTATTTATTTATTTTTTTTTTTTTTTTAATAATATTTTACATAACGCGATGAATTATATAATTTTCTGTCTCAGCCTCCTCCGGTGAGTTTCAAGTTTTTAAAAGGACCGTTTAACGTTATCTCGAGTGGTTCTATATACAGTGTTTTTAAAACCATGACAGATTTTAAGAGAATATTCTAGGAATCAAAATAAGATAAAAAGTTCGTATACAAACATTTTCCTTTCGAATTATAGCTCCCTAAAATCGGGGAAAAATCGAAAAATATATTGTAACTCTCGCGGTAGACTTTTTCACGGATCATTAAAATTTATAAATTTATTTATAAAACTATTTTTATTAGTAAAATAAATATTTTATTTTTTTAAATTCTATTATATATTAAATTTTATTTAATTAAATTTATATTCAAATTGATCTTATAATTAATATTCGCGCGAAATCTCGGAGCTCGTAAACAGATGATCCGACTAGATCCTTTTGTATACGTATGCACCGCACGTGCAACGTGCTGCGCATTTCTTCGCGGCGTCCTCGTTGCATCCGTAAGCGAGCATCGTCCTTTGTTCGACGCTCTGCACCGATATGAACGTCGCTTAGCTCAGGTGCGCGTGCACAAAGGGGCACCACCATTCTACGGATGATGATGCGCCTGCTGCATCTTGCAGCGTGCAACAAGCGACGCGAGAGAATCTCTGGATAAGATTTTATTTACAAAATGCTTTCGACTCTTATTCAGCGACGCGCGCGATAACACGAAAAATCTCGAGGCATTTAGAATTGTTTGATTGAATACGTATATTTTACGTCGAATTTATAGTTTTTCATCATAGATTTTTTTAAAATAAATTATTGCAGCTTTAATATTGAGGATAATTAATTGTTCGTTATACAGGATGTATCTAAATAAGTGCGAAAATTTTAAGAAATGATTTTTTGTCGAAAATTAAGGTGGGTTTCGGAAGAGTTACACTTTTCTAAAGAGGGATGTAAGAATAAAATTTTTATTTTTGCCTCAAATTTCAGACAAATTAAAAAAATAAAACGGAAAATATCCACCAAGTTTTATTTTTTTAATTTGTCTGAAATTTGAGAAAAAAATTAAGCATTTGCTTTCCTTTTAAATGAGCACTGGAATTTATTAGCATATTTAATATTTAAAAAAAATTAAAATTAAAAATTAAGAAAGATAAAAAATAAACAAAAATTTTAATTATGTCCCTTCCCCTGGAAAAAATTCTGCGGACATTCATGTATACAAGTAATATAACTTAGTGAACTGTAGTACGTGATAAAAAAACTTGATAAAAAACAGAAGAATATCTTTTTGAAAAAGAAGCAACAAAATTTCTCCAAACAATTTTCTATTCGCGCTCTATAGTAACACCGTGATAAATCGCGTAAATTGGATCGTTATCTTAGTGAGCTATGCGTTTAGATCTTATGTTCCGTAAATGAAACAGCAACGTGTGTTTACGATAGGAGATCAGTACTCGCGAAGTTATCGTGTATCTCATTTAAAGTGCGTCGAAAATGACTGTATATGAAACCCGATCACGAACGTAATATTATTTGCACGCACTTCGATTTATTCTTCATCTCGCCGACTCTAAAGAACTGTTCGTAAAATAAAGAGATTATATGTTGTCTTCTCATAAAAAAATAAAAAATTGCAATTTTTAGAAAAGAAACATTATTTAAATGCAATATACATAATTTTTATGAACTTTTTTGTTTAATGGAAAACGCTTGAAACGATTAAATAGCAAAGAAAATTATGCACATGAAACATCAGGACGCGCTTTGACTAGGTATATTTAATTTTATTGCTACACGAGAGAGACTCGCCGAGTTTTACATTTTTAGCCGTTTAATAATCTTGGAAATATACACAAGAGTAGAATCTACAAAGAGTTCAACGTTTCTCCCTATCTCGCGTATTTATTAAATAAATTAAGCGCGGTCACTATATATAGGATACATTTATCTTTACACATGAAAATGCTAATGGGTCGTTGATTATAATTGCAGCCAGGCTGGACGAGGATAGTCGAATGCAGCTGGGCTCAGCATGCCCTCTAAGAAGCAATACAACCTCGTACATAATGACGAGTACGACACGCGAATACCGCTGCACAGCGAGGAGGCGTTTCATCGTGGAATCGTGTTCCACGCCAAGGTAATCTGGAGTGATTTCTTATCCACTTCGGCATCCCATCCGCGGCTCCCATTCGTTTTTCTCGCTTTCCGGTGAGTTTCTTCTACGCTCGCCGATCCGAGACATGCCTACGTACCATCAGTTCGAGAGGAGATACGCTGGAGATGCGGATTTTCATAGATTTTAATTTTTAAAAGTCAGAAAAGAGCTAATAAAAGCCAGGTCCAGATGTTAGACACATCAACACTTGTTTCTAAATTCTTCTCTAATTATTTTGAACGTTTCGGTCTTTTATTTTCCTGTACATCAGTGAAACAGTATCTATTGTTTAGTACTGTTTCACTGCAATGAGGTCGGGATCCGAATTTTCCATTAGTCAATCTCCTGAAGATTTTGGTCTAAAGAAAGGACAGAAATAATTAGAAAAGAATTTTAGAAATAATTAGAAATAATAAGAAAAGAAATTTAGAAATAGGTTTATTTCGCCTAGTCTTTTTTGTACCTGATTTTGTATATACCTATATACATTAGAATCTTTTCAATTTATTATTATAAAAAAATATTTAAGGAGTAATATATATCAATAACTGAAAAAGAGAGAGAATATTTTGCAGTGAAACTGGTTGACTCGAGTTTTCAAGTAAAATTCGCTCGAGCTCGAATATAATATCCCTCTGGCTTGTTCTGCAATGCTATTAAATTGCTTCAATATAATGTGAATTTCTAATTACAAGAACTCTCTCATAAACTGTGCGCACTTTGAGAAAATAGTAACGGTCGATAGCGTCTCACGTCAGAGGAAAATGTATGTCGACTATATAAACTCGTGTGCTTCGTTCTTGAAGAACCGCCGATGGGAACGAAAGCATCTGTTTTTGCCATGATGTGCGTTGAAAAGAGTTTCGCACCTTCCCTTTATTTTTCCTTCGGCTCCGTTTCGGTAAAGTATCGCGCTACATAGTATTTATTATTAGTACGACTGCAATAGAGACATGAAGGAGGGAAAGATCAATTTTAGCACTGGGGCAACTTTGGGGACGGTGCAAAAAATACGGCATGTAGCTGTGTTTTTGCTACGAAAGCGAAATTGAAAGTTATATAGAGAGAAAATCAGGAGCATAGATTCCAGGTATCGCAGAGCCTTTTCATTTTATTATTAGAGAGAAAATATACGGTTAGTATCTCTCTGTGTATGCCATTTCTCACTCTAGGATTAGAGTAAAGCACCCGTAGCGATTTATATTCGAGTGGTGTAAACTGTGTACTTACATTAGTCACTGAACTGGGAACGTGATATCGGGTTAACGTACATAGAGAGAATTTTCTTTTAGAATTTACCCTGAAAATCATGGTAATCGTGGAACGATATCATATTTATAGAGTCTCTCTGATTAATATTCATCATAATAAAAATATCAATATCTACCACGATATAGGATATGAAATATGTTCGATTAATTTTACTATGTACATATGTATATTTTTCTATTGTGGTAAATATTAATCAGAAAAACTCTTCTAAAATTCTTCAGCGTAAAGTCTATAAGTGAAAATTCTCTCCGTGTTATCTGACGTATTTTCTACGTGATAAAATTCGAGCAAATCGCGATACGTCGAATCGTGACGGGGAATAATAAGACCAATAACAATAATAATAATATTTAAACGTTGTCGAGGCTCGGTATCGATGGTGCAACACAATTGCGGGACGACAGCCTGCGATACACCGGCGACTTATTTCTGGACCGCCGCGCTCCGTGTGACGTCATTGTATCGTGCACGTGTTTATTTCGGTGGTACTTCTCTCCTGAGAAAGGTTAAAGCTTTTTGTGCGCCGCGTCGTAAATTGTGCAGCGTGAAGTCGCGAAAAAGAAAGAGAGAGAGGGAATGAAAGAGATGCGGATTCATACAGGAAACTGGTCCAAAATATAGATCTAACAGATCATGATTCTATGATAAAAGAGAGGTTCAATTTCGCGTCTCAGTTCACGAAACTTTGAACGATATTTTATTTGTTTTTTCTTTTTTTTTGGTACAAAGTCGTGAAAAAAATATCTTAAAAATAAAATTTCAAGATAAAACAACAAATGAAACGCGTGCATACGCAACGGGATGTCTGTCCATCTGTCTGAATCTTAAAAGAGAACGTAAACTCAAAAACTTATTATTACTATTTTTTTTCTTTTTATTTCATGATTAGGACTGCTGGAAAAATTACGGATGAACCTTCTCCGAAGAATTTCAAGATAAATTTTGTATAATATATATATTTTGACTAAGAAAAACATCATGTCTAAATTGGTCAAGAGAATCTACTAAAGGAACATCCGAAGACTTCGAGATATCCTGTACATGTTTATTGTCAATCAATTATATAGAGAGAGAATTTACCTCTCTCTTTATGAAAATCATGGTAATCGACATATTAAACAAAAATTATATAAAAATATAAAATATAGAAAAAATGTTACATATAAAAAATATAAATATAAATTATGTATGAAAAATATTAATATGTATATAATAAAAATATGATTGAAAATATTAACATCTACAATAAGATATAATAAAATGTTTGATTAATTTTACTATGTACATAATAGTATTGATATAGTAGATATTAATATTTTTATTGTGGTAAATATTAATCAGAGAAACTCTTATAAAATTCTTCCGATATCATATTGTCTCATAAATAAATTCTAAGAGAAAGTTCTCTCTGTGTTTAGATATATGTGCAAGATCTCTCGAAATTCCACGAAACATGGTCTAACAATAAGAAATTAATGTGAAACTTTAGGACGTATCTTTGGAATTACCTTACAAAGGATCTTTCCAGGTTTGCTTTCCGGAAACAATTCAGTTTTCGCTCTCCTCTACGGCAGCAATCAGCGTAGAATAAATTTGCCTCGAGCAGACTTAACAATGAATCTCGCCCTGGTTTCGTAAGAGACTATCCTTCGTCCTGGTAAAACCACAATCGCTTTAGCGATTTAGATGTCAGCAGCAGAGGAGAGTGTAAATGGTGCATGGGACAAACGGATTCGTTTATGCAGTTGCACGTCTCGTGTGCAACTTTGCAAATTGACTCGCAGACCTGAAAGATTAATTTTACGTTAATTACACTTTTAATTAACACACGATGCGATTTAAATGCAGAATCTTGCACATGAAAGATTTTAATTCCTCTTTCTAAGTAGAGTATTATGTAGTTTCTTTTTCTTTTAATTAATAGGACGAAGGTCCGGAAGTCATATTTTCTCATTAGCATCGATGAAAGTATATTTTTATATACATTTTATGTAATGTTTTTTATCTATTAAATTTTATTTTATTATGAAAGATACTTGGGCCGTAAAATTAAGCGAATAACGAATAAATTGAAGGAGTATTTGTGAATTATATTAACAAGTTTATTTTAATGTTTTAGAAGTCGTCTGGATATATCTTGAATTTTCATTCGTCCAATAACTGAAAACTAAGCGTGTTACCTTATCACGGCTTCAAGAATCCGATGCCTACATTTAGTGCTTAGTGGGGTATAAATGCAGATCGATATACTACTAGAGAATTTGCGCTATTAATATTCCAACCCGTGTACGTGTATGCATATATTTCTTACAAAGTTATAAAGTAAGACGAAATAGAATTTATATATATATCTTTCTCTCGATATACCCAGTGTAATTCGATTTTTCAAGAAATAAAAATGTTTCTACAGTAAAAACAATTATTATGTCAATAGGGACGAGTAGTGGAAAATTCGAGGCGCAAATTTTTAGCTACGCAAGCAGGTATTTTTTCTCAGTTCGTAGAAAGACAGACAGCTTGTCACGCGGTTATCGATCGCAAATTTTCACGAAGAAAGACTCCGGTTGTACATAGGAGCGTGTGTGCGTGGGATAATACCACGTCTACGCGGAATCAACCGAACGAACACCACGTGGCTAAAAGACGCACCGCTTCAATGGGGGTTTCTAAATACAGATTGTGTCAGACCTATGTGTAGTATGTGCTCCTCCCCCGCGATATGATTACAGCAACCGCCCTAACTGCGTGTATGCATGTACACGAGACCTTTTGCATCGTTGCATGTGCAAGCGATTCGTGCCTCCCTCGTCGAAATCTTACCGTAGCTCGTGACATTCAAAGTCCCGGAGGCGATTAATTTTATCCGAGGATATGGAATTATCCAGCAATTCCTCCTATATAAAAAAAAAAAATACAATCTAAGTACAAAATCAGATATGAAAAGGACTAATAAGAGCGCAGATATTAGGCGTAAAAAGATATTGTTTTAAAGATTTGAGAAAATTATTTTTAATCTCCTTTAAATTAAAAAAAGAAATAGATTAAAAAGACAGAATATTTAACAAATTCTAAATACGGTAATAAATACACGAAAAGTGTATTTATCATACCATGATTTTCAGGGTAAATTCTCTGTATGTACAATTATATTTTTCTGAGAAAAATTCAATGTTTCCAATATACATACATATATATTTGCTTTGTTAATTTTATTTTTATTCAAGTATATATATCTTCTTTAGAATCGTATTATTTTAATGGCTATATTCGTTTAAATAAATATTCTTTCTCTTTTTTTCTGTATATGTATATTTATACATATCTACATTGTACCGAGTATAAAAAATACAATTTATTTAAATGAGAAGACATTCGCACAATTCTTTAAATTTTCGCTAAAAGCTTCTTTTTGTATTTCAGTTCATCGGTTCTATGGAGGTTCCGCGACCGACTAGCCGAGTGGAGATCGTGGCGGCGATGCGAAGAATCCGCGTGAGTAATGGCTAATTAACCCAGTTAGAGAGGGCACGATATACGGTTCAAATGTCTTCGTATCTCCTCTTATTAATCTGGATTTATTTGATCCGCAGTACGAGTTTAAGGCCAAAGGGATCAAGAAGAAGAAAGTGACGTTGGAAGTCTCGGTGGACGGGCTGAAAGTGACTCTACGGAAGAAGAAGGTGAATAGTGGTTTCTCCAGCAACAATTTCCAGTATATTATATATGTTAGCATAGGCTTAATTGGGTTGAACGCGTTAAGTCATTAATTCTTCACCGGATAAGCTAATTCTCACATACATACATATGTAAGTGGATAAGATGAGTCTGTTAGACTCGCGATGGCATATCATGTAATTTAAAGAAGCGAAGGAGGAAGTACATTTGGACACCGACGCAGATTCGGGACAATTTAAGCGTTGTGCGTAATAAAGGGAATTTGCAGCATCTTTGCGAACGACATTTTTGCGCTAGTCTTATAAAAGATATCTTTTGATTGATATCAGCTGATTCTTGTTTCTTGCAAAAATAAAATATATCTTGTATTATACGCGATTTTTCTGAAAAGATTTATGTATATTTGCAAAATCACGGTAACAACAATTTTTTTTGACGACACGAACATAAAATTTCCGCGATGTCCGCGTAAGATGACAAGGAACATCGGCACATCTTTCGCGAATGTCTCGGGAGAAAAATCGCACACGCCCGATGACGCGCAATTTCGTAACAGTTGCAATTTATAACAAGAAATGATTTTGGACAAGCGCCACGTTGTATTCGCACTGATACACATGGGTGCCATATATTTTCGATACTAGCATACATCAACAGATAGTGGTAACGGCCAATATTAGCTAAACAATATTTTCAAATAATCGTTATAATAATTACAGTTCGTGTTTTTGCAGAAGAAACAGCAACAATGGATGGATGAGAATAAAATATATCTGATGCATCATCCGATTTACAGGTGAGATATTTTATTCGCTTATTTTGCCATTAATTTCCCTTTTTCTCATTAATTGATTTTATTGAAAATTATCAAATTATTTTATTATTATATATCGAAACTAGAAAGGGCTTATATTTAAATTTGCATTCTTTTTAATAATTATCGAAAATATAAATATAAAATACATAGAAATAAAGAATATAAAAATATAGAAATATATAAAATATATAAAATATAAAAATATATAAATATGTATATAAAATATAAATACAAATTACAATTAAAATTGAACTTGCTGTATTTTTTATCTTCAAAATGATACAATTGAATAAGCTGAAAACTATAATGTATATTTTTTCTTTTTTTCAGAATATTCTACGTCTCGCACGATAGCCACGACTTGAAAATATTTAGTTATATCGCCCGTGATGGGAGCAGCAATACGTTTAAGTGTAATGTCTTCAAATCTAGCAAAAAGGTAAGTCGCCATTTTTCGTCCATACGCAATATAACAATTTGATTAATTCTCGATATCGGCGAGAAGAATTTCCTACATCGGATTGTTAGAAGAGAATTATATGTGTATTGAAATCAACTATTATTTTGGGAAGATTTTATCTGAAAAAAAAAATGTCAAAATCAATCAAGTTAAAAATGCGACGCAATCAAGAGGAAGAGGAAGAGGAATTTATATACATATATGATGAGACTCAACAAGTGAACGAGTAATGTATGGAATTTCCGCGGCTGGAGACAATTTTTCTATTGTATCTTCGCGGGTCCATTCCGCATGCGGAACGGCGTAAAATTACGTCGCGCACGTGCATGTGAATTGTATATATACCCACACACACATATATATATATACACATACACACGCGTCGCGACAATTCATGGCAGCCCGCGTCGCCTGGCGCTTTATCAACTTACTTTATTGTAAAACTATAAATAAACGCCGAACTCCTTGGCGGCCTCCCTCGATCCCTCGCCGCATCTTTTCTCCGTCGCGGAGACGCAACGGGGTGAAGGAGAGATATAGCTGCATCCCTGTCGAAGTGTGGAGAGAGCGTATTTTCGCCTTTTCGTGGGTGGAGGGTGGAGGAGGAACGTATATCGTTTTGTCGTGTATTTGCAGTAGCGGCTCGGCGGCCGGTTTGGCACCGGGTTATTAAAATAGTGCGATATAGGCCGATCTCTTTTCGCGACATCCGTGCGCGGTTTCTTCTTGTTAGATCCGGTAATTTGTCTGTCTCTCTGTCATAGATTTTAAGAGCGATATTTTTCGTATGCAAATACGAACGTTTTGGAGCAAGAGAAATCAAGTGCATTGAAACTTTAGATATGTATACGTGTGTATGTGTGTATTTGTGAGGGAAAAAAAATGCGAGAGAAAAATTTTTATTCACTCTCGTTATCTCTCTTGTATGTATATATAGTCTTATTATGTAATATCGCGCTTCTAAATGTGCCCTCGATACTTATCGGATAAACATAGAGGTGTCTTCCCTTCCATCTCTCCTTTGTTGATTATTTGGGGATTCCGGTCGCTTTGAAAATCTGGGTGAATCCAGAAATAACCGACGACTATAGGAGACGATATATCTAGGATGCCGCAGAAATATCCGACTTGTGAACGAAATTTTAAACTCGCGGGCGAAACTTCCAAAAAGCTTTTACTGGTTCCCTTAGCGATAGAACTCGTTTATACGATCGTCCACGGAAACTTTTATACCAGTTCTCTAGGATAAGACAACAGACATTGCACCTTGCTCTTTTCTATAATGGACAGACTTTCTATTCTTTATCTTTCACATAAGGAATTGCGTTTTAAAGGGCTTCCTCCTTCAGAAGCTAAAAGATTCAGGATCTTTCTCCTCCGAAAATATCCATTTTCACGTTAACGATATAATTTTACTTTACAATCTATATTTTGTAGTTTCGAGGAATATATATAACATTGTAAAATGTTTACAGATATTATTGTACGTGGAAATGTCCAAGGAATTTTTTCAGACAAGTCCTGCTACGTCTACTTTTATTGGTCGATACGCAGGGGATGCGCACACACACATGTACGAGAACTACGTAAGATAATAGCGAATTGTCACAGAGAAACCGTCTGACACGCGACGATATATAATTTATCGGTCGGGGGAACATAGGAGTCCCGACCTCGGAGTCTCCACCGTTAAACGACGCGTTCTGCAACGTCGGGGTCGGCTATAGAATGGCGTTCCGCGCAATTTTCCGCGAGCGCACGCCTCGCTCTTTCCGCATTCTCTTCGCTCCGAATTCGCGCGTTGAACTTTCGACTGGAACAACTAACTAGCTGGCCCGTTAATCTACCACGTGCGACATCGTCCGTATAATGTACTTGCGAGATAGAAAATCTAATAAGACGTAAAAGATGTAAATGAAAATTGAAGTTGCGCGACGTTGGACAAATTTCGCCGAGATGCTTTGTTCTTAAAATAGTGCGAGGAAATTTAATTTTCAAATGATTCACTTAATTCGAGAATTGTAGATATTTATTTTATAGATATCAGATATTATTAATTAATATCTATACAATTATATATATATATATCTATAAAATTTATATAGGGTGTTTCTAAAACTATTTTAAGGGCGTGTTTTAGGGGTCAAAATGAGAAAAAAGTTCTTATATATAGGTTGAAAAATGCTTTTCTTCTGAGCTCCCTAAAGTTGAGAAACAAAATCGAAAAATAATGAATAATGAATACTTCATTTTTATGTGGTTTTGAGAATTTGATCCGATTTTGAGAGGGAGACATGGGGGGTGCTAAGTTTTATTCTTGGACTTAATTATTTATAGAAACTTTTTTCTTATTTCGACCCTTAGAAAATGCCCTTATCTCTGACATAGTTTTAGAAACACCTGTACACGAATTATATTGATTAATTATAGATATATTTTTTTCGAATTAAATCTAAAATTCTTTAATAAATTCTTCCTACACACTCTATTTGTCACTCCAATTAAGAGAATGTTAATTAATAAACTGTCGTTTGCTTTTTATTTAAAAAAAAGTCACGTTCGGAGGAGCATCTCATGATTAATAACTGGAGCAATTATTCAAGCGTAAACGAGAGCTGAGTTGAATTATGAAGCTAGGCGAAGAAAAAGAAAGAGAGAGAGGGAGAAAGAGAGAGATGGAAAAGTGCCATTGAGCTGGCCGAAAGCGAGAATATTAATGCGATTATAAATAAACTTGGGGGGAAAAATCCAGCGTGGCGCGAGCCTCCGCGAGTCGCCGGCCAAGAAACCGCTCTAGGAAGCCGCACGGTTAACTTCGGCTCTCTCGCGTTCCGGTTTGTACACCAGAGAAAGAGAGACTTTATACACAAATCCGTTCTCCATCTCTCTCTGTCTCCATTTCCTTCTCTTTCTCCCTCTCGTTTCCGATAAAAGAGACTAGAATGAATCGGAAAACCCGGACAGATGGATCTTCTCGAGGAAGTGATTCCACGCTCCATCGCGAAGATTAATCATCGTCGTGGCTGTCGTCGTGGTGATTGAACGTTCGAGATTCGGGAGATGTGACGGGGGTCGTCTGATTACCAAGAAATGAGATTAACATGACAGCACTCTATAAGAGATTTGTGAATATCGTGGTGATATGTAACAGGACATCTCCGACGAGAGAATATACACGTATGAAGAATATTTTTTCAATCTTACAGTGATATTCAGGATATGTGGATAATTGACGTAGTGGGTATCCTGTGTTTATTTTAATTAAATTTTCATCGTTTTTTAAAAAGGTAAATCAAAACTGACAAAAAATTACGGGAAAAATATTTGTGACAGCATTAATTTATATTTATTAATTTAAATTCTTAATTTACGTCTCATTAATGTAATGAATTTTATGTATATCATTGATTTTTTGGAGCACCTCGTCGCTCTTTTGATATAATAAAATATTATAAAGCGCGCGGAGAAAAGCTCAGAAAATTTTTAAATTGCATCACTTACTGCTCAGCATCAGTCTTCTTTTATCGCGAAGACAATTAATATATATATATATATGAATATACATATAATATAAAAAACATATACATACGTTTAAAGTATCTAAAATCTGCGCATTTGTCTTTTTTTTTTTTACCACCTGAAAATTCTCGAATAAGTTTCTTACGTCAAAGTCGTCGATGACGTCCGAGTGATGACGCAAAGCGCGACAAAGAAATTGACAAACAACACGCGTTTATGATATACATAAATGCGATTCTCTTCTCGGAAGTCGACGCATGCGTTTTCGAATTACGCACAATTTAACGGGGAATTTGGCAGATTGAATAGTCGCGTCGCGACTATTTATAATACAAATGAAAACGCCGTGCACAGAGGGAGATCGCCAGCGTCAATTATTCGAGTCCACGTAAGAGACTTTCGTCCTCTTCTACTCCGACGTCGATTGTACACGTTCTCGTTTTCCTAAGTGTAAAATATATCCGCGACATTCGCGTCAGAGTATCGAGTTACGATCACCCAACTACCTGTCGATGATGCATCGTTATTATGCCATTACTGTTGCAGCATTTGACGTCGGGGATAATGCATTTTAGACATTTGTAAATATTTACCTAATATAATTCGTGTCAGATAGACGACCGTTTCGCTCTTGCACGTGTCTAATGGACAAACATGTTTTATTACGGAGATTTCAATTTCAAGTTTGTACAATTATATATATGTATGTATATATAGAACATCGGATCAGAAACATCATATTTTCGAAAACAAAAAAAATCGCGATTTTATATCTATAAAGTTTGAATTTGGGGCAATTAATGTACGTAAACAATATACAGGATAATTATCTTATTTTGAGAGTAAAAATGCGGAAAAATCTGGAGACTTCAATCATTCGGGAGTAATAAGCGATAACAAATAATCACAAGTTTTTCCATTTTATTATTGAATTTTTGAGATGTGAAATGTGTAAATTATTTTAATTTAAATGAATTTTAACAGGGTTTATTCAAAGGATCAGTTTCTAAATTAATCGACAAAACTAGCCAAAATTATTGTTTATTAATTAGAAATAAAGAAGAAATAAGGATTAGATCCTTTGAGTAATTGACTAGCGATATTAATAAATTTTAGAATTTTTTCAATTATCAATTACGATTTTAAATATCGTAAATAATAATATCTCCAGATTTTTTCTCTGTCAAATAGAAGAACTCACTCTCGATATTTTTCGTATTATTTAGCTGCGAGTGACTCGGTAAATAAAATCTCATACCTGTTTACTTTCTTCATGGCCTCGACAAGCTGAAATAAGCTCAAAGAAACTCTCAGAGTAAACGGTGGGCCTTTGTGCCGAGGCGGGACGAGCGTCGTCTAAACAAAGAAAAAGAAAAAAAGAAAATGTAGTCGGTGAGATCGCGCTGCCGAGATGGATGACAGCATCCGCAGCTGCGGACCCGCGCAAATTCGATCGAGGTGAGAGGTGGCGAACGCGATCATGCTGAAGAATTCCTTCAAGTCGGCGGTGGCTTCGACCGAGTTCTCGATGTCGACCAGCAGCCCCGGCGGCCCTCTGGGCTTCGAGACCACCCCTAGGCCGCGCAAGAAGCTCTCCTTCAAAGAGCCGGAGATCTTCAACTACTTGAAGATGCGCAAACCCTCGACGCGGCCGAAAATTCTGCACACGCAGAACAGCATCGATCTCAGCTTCGACGAGAATCCTTTCGAGGAGGAGAACGAGGACCTCGACGAGCTCGAGGTAAAAAATTGCGCGCATAAAACAAAATGTTCTGTCGACGGACAAAAATTGTTCGATTAATAGAATTATCGAAAAATCGACCGATGTAGGAAATTCACGCAGCCTGTAATTTTGATAATAATTATATTGCAGTAATGTTAATTAATTAATTAATCTTGCCTGATTAGAGTCAAGCGATGAGGGTGGTCAGAACGGTCGGGCAAGCTTTCGAAGTGTGCCATAAGTTAAGTATAAATAATACCACGGAGGATCACGAGCCTCGAGGAGACAAGGACGGCGGGGAGAGCCACGGCGAGAATTATCACGGTGATGTTTACGAGGACCAAGATGAAATTCCCAACGAGCAGTCCCAGCCCTCTCCGCCACCGGTGCATAAAGGTGAATTGCCACGCATCGATTTCGTCATTTTTTTATTCCTGAAATTATGGCGAAAGAAACGTATTAATATAAAGAAAAATCGTTTTTCGATCAAAAATCTCTACGAATTTTAAATAATTTTTTATCTGTATTTATATGTAATTTCATTATATATTTTATATATGCATTTTATTATTATTATTATATATTATATAATTAATATATTATAATAATAATAAAATGAATATATAAAATATATAATAAATTATATTATTATATTATATAATTAATATAATATAATAATATAATATGCAATTTTATTATAGCATTTTATTATAAATTTAGTATATTATTATTAATGATTGCACAATGTTTTTAGACATATCATTATTGGGGGATACCGAAGACTCGGTTCCCGAGCAAACGTCCGTCACCTGTCTACTTCGATCGCACGATGGACCGGCGACAACAACCTCTACCTCACCGATCAGACAGTCGCCATCGGTAAGATTCATTAATTACAAACGTATCAAGAAGTGTGGTTCGGAGCGCGTGCTATTTTGAAGGATACTTTGCAAAGTACTTTGGCAGCTGAAGGCAGAAGGAGTCAAAGTCTTAAAATAAGATGGCTCGTTACCGAAAGCTGTTTTGCTCTACGGTAGCACATTGTTTATCACTTTCCAAGTTTATTTCGTCGGTACGCCTCATAAATTCTAAAGCGTCTCCTTGCGTACTCTATTTCGCAACGATATAATTTGCTCTATTATAGATTTCAGCGCGCCTGCAATTCGAAAAGCAACTCTTCGCATCACGTACTCCTTACTTATTTCTTATATTTTTTTCCCGTCAGTTCTCTCTAGTTTATTTATAACTATATGTGTACTATATGTAGTTTATAGAGAAAGGTGTTGATTTATTTATCTTTTTTTTTACAGGGCACGGTAACCTCCGAGTGCGGAGGTTTATTGGTGGGTAGCGAATTGACAGCCCTAAAGCACGAAATACAACTCCTACGTGAACGTTTGGAGCAACAGAGTCAACAAACCAGAGCTGCCGTTGCCCATGCGCGACTTCTTCAAGATCAACTTGCGGCGGAAACGGCAGCGCGCGTCGAAGCTCAGGTATAAATAAGCGAATCAATTAGTCAGAACGCATAAATATTCCTCCCAGCGCTTGTCTCTACACATTTGTCATCTATCTCATCGTATAATCGAATATAATTTATCAAAGTAGTGGAAGCGAATTAATTTAGTACGTTTGATGAATTTTATCTTTTTTTAATAGTATTTCTCGAGATAAGATCATATATTATCCATGTCTGTCGTAATAAGATATGGCAAGAGGATTTGATGAAAAATGATTTAAAGCTTCTGAGTCCTTGTTGGATTATGACGTCAGAGATGAGAAAACCTACGCTGAAAATTCTTAGATGCCATTTTTAAATGAAAATATATTTCAATAAAACATTATTTCAGAAGGCATCTAAGAATTTTTAGCGTATGTTTTCTCGCCTCTGACGTCACAATTCCAACATGGTTGATGAGGAACCAGGATCCTTAATAAGCGGAATTGTAATAATTGAAATTTTTCACTTGAACGTGCTTCTTCTTCTTGTCTAGACGAGGACACACCAACTCCTAGTGCAAAACAAGGAATTGCTTGAACATATAAGCGCGCTGGTGAGCCATCTGAGGGAACAGGAGCGTGTTTCCGGTGGTCATGTCACCTCGCAGTCGCAAATACCCAGTACGCCTGCATCTATGCAACAGAACGCGACGGTTCCCGACCTGTCGAGCCTCGGCCAGGTAACGCTCTACAGAATCCCATGACACCGGAGCATTCCGGTGGAGCGTGGAACCGAAGCACCGACTGATCGAGCGTTGCATCTCTCAATTAACGTTTAACAGAATGCATTTTGTATTTTTTCTTAATTTTTTTCACACTCCTTTAATAATCGTTAATACCGTCCTTTTTGTACCGATTTATCCCACCTTTTTTAACTTTATAATAAAATATTTTATACGTACACCAGTTTTTGTTCTGCACTCGTCGTACTCTACACTACACTCTACCGATTGTGATGCGTCCGAACTTGTTTTTTTTTTTCTGTGCTCCGATATGATTATTTAGCAATGCACGCGTTATGTTTTAGGCGTTTTCGTTTGCTGCCGATAAGACGTCGAAAACGACGGATGTAGCCTCAACTATTTGCATTGTTTGCGCGAGTATTTGCGCCTCTACTCTGACGGCGCAAAAAATACAAGTCAGAAAGCTTGCCGATACTAACATCGATAAAGATAACAGTCTTGTACAATGCGAGTGATTTGATTGGCACGCGCAGTTGTGCGTTGTGTATTATATATCTTGTCTCTTAATTACACCGTTTGCATCCGAGGTATCTGATAGCGTGCAAAAAAGAATTGAGATGTGATTTCAGCTTAAGATTAACGACTAATATAATAACAATTAAGCACCCCAGTATGACGGTGTTGTCTAACAGCAGGTCTTCGCACGGGATTTCGGAGTACACGCTGCCAACCAATGCTAGGTAATGTTTTATCATATATTATTCAAAATCTAACGCGGTATAAGAACAATTTCTGATCAGACATTGCGATATCTCACGGGTCCATAATATCTGACAAAGTATTTAAGAATTAGATGAGGTAAGAGCATAAAAATGTATAGAACAAAGAATATAAATATCAATTTAAACATTCGCAGATATAATTTATGAATAAATTATCGCATAAATTAACGATTACGTATTCAAAAGTATAAAGTATGTACATGTGTAATTATTTGCAAGATTGATTAAGAATAGGAATGTAAGAGAAAAAAAAGAGTCACTTTTAAATATCACGGAATTTGGAAAGATCTTGTTCCCCAAACTGCGTCTTCTCGAGTTTAGTGCCAACGGACCGGAAGTCAGGGCTCGCCGTGGGAGCTGGATCCACCGACCTTTCCTTACTGCTCATATCCGCCGGACACGCTCTATTCCGGCGGTCTCAACGCCATGGGTATCCAGGGTAATAACACCACCGCGGATCAATTGCAGTTCCAAACACAGCTGCTGGAAAGGCTGCACAACTTGAGTCCATTTCAGCCACAAAGATCGCCCTACAATACACCTTCGCCGTACGCGATGGGTCCTAGTCTGCTTTTACCTCCTTGCGGTGGACCAACGGTGAGCGATTCCTCCTGGAATTACTTTATTCATAATAGTTTAATGTCTAAAAAAATTCTGTTGTCAATTTCATAATCTTTAAACCGCAACTCTTCAATTCTGAATTCAGAATCCAGCCCAATTGTCCCCGAATTCGGCGTCCCTGAGGATCTCTCAGCCCAACAGCTTCTCCTCGTCGCCAATCATGACTCACAAACTCGACAACTACGGAACGGACACTTCGGACGTCCATCTACCTTTCATAAAACCGTTACCGTGCACCAACGACAGGAATATAACTCACTCGACAGCGGACGTTAAAGTCAAGCAGGAGCGCTCGAGTGTCCAGGATATCACCGATATACCTCCGATAATCCTGGACCCTCCGCCGCAGGGTAGACGCAGCGTAGACCCTACGAGCAAGAAAGCGAATCCGACGAAGCAGAGTTCGATGACGCAGGGCGTGCACGATAACAGGAATAACACGCCGAAAAGTCTGGCGACCATCCTGCGGACTTCCGGTCCGCCGCCTTCTCGCACGACGAGCGCCCGATTACCCTCGCGCAACGATTTGATGAGCGAGGTGCAGCGGACAACCTGGGCTCGTCACACTACCAAGTGACCGGGACACTATTCGATACGATGACGCAATTAATATATTTGCCGAATATGTTGTCCATATATATTCATGGGCGTCCGCAGGGGAGGAGGAATCAATCAAAAAATTAAGCATTTGCTCTCCTTTCGAATAAACACTGGAATTTATTTGCATATCTAATATTTAAAAAATGAAAATAACGAAATAAGAAAAAAATAATTTTTAAAAATGAAGAAAGAACAAAAAATTTAATTATGCTCCCCCTGGAAAAAATCCTGCGGGCCTATGCATATATTATATCCCGTTAGTTGTAAATTATGAAGAAATTATATATGCGCGGTTCGAGGACCTCTTTTTGATTTTAAATGGATATAACAGGGTTTGCATTTTTCCTTCTCTCGGTCGCTCAAACTCGAATTTCAAATAATCGTATCTAGAGTGCAAAGTCTATATACTTTTCCCAGACACTTGTGAAACTGGAAACTTTTAGACTACACTTTGTCAAACAGAATTTCTTACACTGATATACCGATATTTTGAGAAAGAAACTTTTACTTTTACCAATAATGGGTCACACACACAAACATCGTTCAATATATAGTCAATAAATCGTTGTGATAGATTCCTACGACAAAAACATGTAAAAATCGCGATTTCAACGAATCGCACATCTATTTGTAACATCTATGGAATGTTTGTAAAAATCGAAATCATAGTCGCGTTCGAGTTTAGTGGATTTATATCTCACGCGCGTTTTCCCGCGCATATATCCATACAAGGGATGAATACGTGAATACGTATTCGTACATCTATTCGTGTCGCGACTTATACATATATATATATATATAGCGTACTCCCGTGTATGAGAATCGTCATCTAGCAGACGAACCTGTGCCAAAAGTACCAATTGTCAAGAGAATTTATTTTCAGTATATTTTTAAGTAATGTAAATAAAACAAGGAGAGATACGCGCGTAATCTCTCAGAGAGACAAGTACAATAAAATGTATTTATTTCCTCTTTCCATCCTTGTATATGTATGCGAGCGACAATTATTAGCCTTTTCCTCGTGTGATTAAAGCTAGAAAATTAATTTAATGCCGTTAATTATTAGAAAAAGTTCTGTAAAATATAACACAATCGTGACAATATTCTATTACAGATTTCAACAAATGAACGACCATCCCACCCTCTTTTTTTAATTGACTTCGCCCTTAGTTTTTTGCTGAATAATATCCTCACATATATACACATGCGATATGATCTAATACGGTTTCACAGAACAATAACAAGTGTTAAATTTGCGTGCAAACGAAATGCTCGTTAATGCGAAAAGAGGAATGCGTGTCTATATATGCATACGTTAAATGGCATAACTACTATATTCATTGTTACCGCGAATGGTTATTCAAACCTTCAGTACGCCGGGAGATCGTCGCGAGTGTCGGATCGGGTCAATGTTGAATCGAGTATCAGGTTCTCTTTTTTGCACATCTCGTTTCAATTATTGTTATGCAAGTTATAATAGTTGACGCAAATATTAATCATGTCTATTTCATATTTGCGTGATAGCTAGTGCTCTTTACTCGACAAAAACCGATCGAGAGTTTTAAAGTAGATTTTTTATTTTATTTTTTATGTACAACTAAGATAATATAATGTGTACATTGGAAATTCTTTGATTTTTTTGGCAGATATATTAGTAGTTTAAAATATATTACTCATCTGTGCAAGTCAACTCTCGGCTTCATCGATGGATCAAAAACCAAGAAGTCCCGGTATTCTGAGACTAGAGAAAATGTCACGCACTTCCGAGCTTGGAACAACATCTTCGGCGACTATGGAGGTATTTTTTTCAATAAAAATCGTTTTGACAAAATGACGAAGAGAATGCATCTTCTATTTTATCGCGTTGACCGAACATGTATTTCACTTGTGTTGAGTTAAATCTTCCTAATAGAGAAATTACAGAAATAAATGAGACAATTAAAAAATATTAAAAATTAAAATACAATTAAGACATGTTAAAAATTAAAATAGCGAAGACACGCCTTCTTTACACTTTCCCTTGTTTGAGCGACCTTGGTCTCATTTCACGTTGTCGTTTCGCATACCCATAACTTACAACTTTCGTAAATTAGAACCAGAACTTAATTGGCCATCGATCCGCGCGAGCATTAACGAAAATTACTTTAGGCAGATGCGCGGTATGCAAGTGATTTTCGTGGGATCGCGTGTAACACGTATATGCGCGATAATAATCGCTCATCCCCTCGAGGAAAGTAATTACCTGCGAAACAGAAGGGTGGAGCCGCACAAAGAACGAGGAATATATATCGTGACTCACACTTTCGCTGCTTCTTTTTTCTTTTTTTTTCGTACACGTAATTGGTACCTTCCTCGATGTGAACGAAAACGCTGAAAATTATGAAAATGAAGCTGAAAACTCAAATTTGCATAAATTTTACTTGATGAGATTTAAGTATATAAAGATAAAATAAAATGTCTAATGTAAAATAAAATAATGACTTGTATTTTGTTTAAATTTACAGACTATATGCTTGTAATAATATATATGTGTCTAATAAAGTAATAGCTCCAATATGTAAATGGGTCCATAAAATGCACTTTGAAAATATGCGTTCAGGGATACTATATTTTTTTAAGATTGTACAGAGGTGAATTTTTGCTTGCATTTAATTTCTGTAGCTCATCGATAAAAAGAGACATTTATATTTATTACGAAAAGAAAATCATACCTTTTGAAAACTTAATGAAGAAATATTCAGTGAAAATTGGAAGAGATAAGAATCATTGGTTTAACAAAATGAAAAATTTCCTCTTCGAAGCCATCTGCATGAATAGTTAATACCGCACATCTCTGTATAAATGTTTATATTAAATAAGACGTAAAATCCTTTTATTATCTTTGATCAAGTAGATATTTAGATCCAATCAAGTCGTATGATATGTTTAGAGGTGTGTCACGTCGCGTGCAACCCCAAATTATCTCTATACCTAGAAACACAAAGAAATTCCAGTTGAAAATCGAAATTATGTCGAAAAGAAAAGACAAGTAAAAGAGAAAAATTTAAATTATATGAAAATTCGAAATCGAGATTTAATGATATTTCGACAAATTTGATATATCTATAACGAGGAAAAACTGTATTCGCTGTTTAAATTCACTTTCACTCTCTGAAGAAATTATTCTCTCTCGAGAGTACAACTTGTAATTTTTTAAAAATTAGATACTACTAAATGCAATCTCGATTTCTGATTTCATATCTTCGCCTTGAAATTAATAGATTTGATATAAGTTCTTTCGAGATTTCATACGACATGATTTCAAACGTAAAATAGGTCTTTTTTCCTCTTTATCTGAGGTCGCTGAGCTCTTCATTACTCGCGTGACTGAAAGAGATCTATGATCGCTGTTCGAAGACAGTAATTGGTATCTTTCGCCCTATAGGTGGGTCCGTCATTCCCGTCGCAATCGCAATCGTCGGCCAGTCGACAGTCGGTTACGTTTGGCACCGTCGAGTGCCAGGGTGACGAAAATTACGCGGGTGACGCAACGTCGAAGACTGTCGCGGACGCGAGATCCCGCGACGACATGCAGCACATCGTCGCCGGTTAGTGAAAATGAAACTGATATACATCACATTTACACAGAATATATGCTATTTTATATCCGTATATAAATTATCTTTCTTTTCTTATTTTTAAATAAATTATTTTCCTTCTTTTTTTAAATAATTATTTTTTTTTTCATAGAAATATATGCGATTAAAATTTTATTCAATTTTTTTCGCTGTATAGGCTTATTCGCTAGATGTAAATAACGTTATCGATTGTCTGCGAAAAGCGATATCCACGCGGGCGAATCCTGCAGGCGAGACTCCGCAGAATCCGTCGACGGAGAAGTCGACCGTAAACGGCGAGGGAAATGACAGCGAGAACGATTACTCAGCCTCGGTCTGCGCGATCATGCAACGACGGAATTCGATACGACGGCAGAGCCGGAGGAAGAGACGTCCGTCCTCTCCCTTTGGCGTCGACGTCGACAACATCGTGCGTCGTCGATCCTCGGCTTACACCACGAGCTCGGGAGAGTCAGTAAATAATACCGATTTCTTCGAAGAGTCAGAGTGAATCTTCAATTCCTAATTCTTTTCAAAGCGCGACTTTATTTTATTTTTTTAATTAAATTAAAAGAAGAAATTGAATTAAAAATATAGCTTCGCGAAGTCTATTCACTCTAACTCTCAACGTCTAATTCGCAAAAAGACCTTCGCAGTCTTCTGCTCTATTATTGCAATGAAAGAGAAAACTGCGATAGATGTTGTATAGAAAACTAAAGGGACATGACGTTTTTATTTGATTAAAAATTAGGACGGTAATCTCGATGGAGGAGGGCGGTAACCAGGAGCAGATCTTCGAAAATCTGAAGCTGCATAAAGAAGTATTGAGTGGCGTGAAGCAGCAACCCTGGCCCCTCCGGCGCAAGATCAAACTCGTACGACAGGCTAAGGCTTATGTTAGGCGGCACGAGGGTGCCCTGCAGGAGAGACTCGCCCAAAGTCGCAACACGAAAGACGTCATAGCGCGCGTCTCGCTCTACGTGACTAAGGTACATAACTTCTTCTGATCCATCATGTAAGAGTGTGCCGAGAAAGATAGATTGATACGGCTCATTTCTTCTTCAGAAATGGCAGCATTTCCGACGAGAGCTCATCAATCTGCAAACGTGGTTCGTGCCTTGGGAGCTCCGTATTATGGAGATAGAGTCTCATTTTGGTTCTGCTGTTGCGTCTTATTTCACTTTCCTCCGCTGGCTCTTCTGGATCAACCTGGTCATCGCCGGAACTCTTACAGCATTCGTCGCGATACCTGAAGTGAGATATTTCTTAGTCAAAGAGCGAAGAAAAATAATTTTTAATAAAGTAAAAGAAGAGAGATTTTGATATATAAATACAAACTTAAGTATGAAAGGACTAATAAGAACCATAGAAAAAGTAACTAAAGATGATCCAGAAGAAGGACCAAAATATTAAAAATAATTAGAGAGAAAATTGAAAATAATTTCGCAATTTCTTTTAGCAAATTGTATATATACTAGCGGAATATTTTCTTTTTTTCACAAGAAAAAAAAAGTAATTACATTCTTTTGCAATTATATTAGGTGTTAACCGCAAACGCGACGCTCGCCGGCGAAAGAAAGATCATGCTGAAGGAGGAGAGTGTCAAGTCGAAGCACCTGTTGACCTTGTGGGAATTCGAGGGTGTATTAAAGTACTCTCCCTTCTTCTACGGATGGTATACCAATCAGGACACTAACACAAAGTATCGACTACCCATGGCGTACTTCGTCACCAATCTGGTCGTCTACACGTACAGCTTCGTCGCGATCCTCCGCAAGTACCGACTACATCTCTCTCTTTGACCTTCGCGCTTCTCTTCTAAAAAAAATAATGACATTCTTAAGATCTTTATATATAGTTTTATCATTTTCGGAATTATATATACATATTCCCATGATATATCATTGATAGAGAATGAAGAAGTGAATGTGTAGCACGTGGATACCTCGTTTCAGAATGGCGAAAAATTCACGTTTGAGCAAACTGACCGAGAAGGAGGACGAGTACGTCTTTTCATGGAAGCTCTTCACGGGATGGGACTTTATGATCGGTAATCCGGAGACCGCTCACAATCGTACGGCTAGCATCGTGTTAGGCTTCAAGGAGGTCCTGCTGGAGGAAGCTGAGAAGCAGAAGGATAAGAGAAAGTGAGCTAAAAAATATGACCTGCTTTATTTTTAGAATTTTTTATAATGTTCAAAAATTCAACCTCTCCGTTTTTTTATTTAAAAAAAAAGATTAATCCGTACTTTTTGTAGCTGGAAAATCATATCCAGGAGAATATTCGTGAACGTCGCGGTGCTCTCTTTACTCGCGTTATCGGCCTACGCCGTTATCGAGGTGGTCGAACGAAGCACGACAAAGATCGATTCGCACAGCTGGTTGCGGCAGAACGAGATCACGATCGTCATGTCCCTGATCACGACCCTATTTCCGATGTTTTTCGAGATCCTCGGCTTCCTCGAGAGCTACCACCCCAGGAAGCAGCTTCGAATGCAACTGGCGCGGTAAAAGGATCGTCTTGACTCGGCTAGAAAGAAATACAAACGAATGATACACTGTCGATTATTTTTCAGGATAATGGTCTTGAACTTGCTAAATCTCTACTCGCTGATATTCGCGCTGTTTCGTAAAATGAACTCCATGGTGCGTAATTTGCAATGTGTAATAATATTATCGTTCGTAGAAAGATATTCTCGTATTTATGGATAGAAGAGAAGAAGTTTTCGGCGCACGTAAGCTCGTCTATTATTATATCTTCTTCGTAGAAACCTGATGATATTTATGATCTCAAGTCGACGGAGACGACGTGCAAATATAATTTGGTGGAGTGTGGTGACGAATTAACGCACACGCAACAAATCACGACATTGGCGACTGCGAGTCTCGTTTTTCTAAGCAATATCACCCATTTCCACGCCAAGAGGGAGATCATCGAATCAACGAGTAAGTTTCACTTATCGAGAAATATTTTCGATGAACGCACATATGGCTACTGCAACTTATTGGTTTGTAAATCTCGAAATATATTCAAGTCTTAAATTAAAAAATATATTTATGTAAATATTCAAGTCTCCTTAGTTACTTGCTCTTTAATTATAGCTTTTAACTTGTTTTAAAAAATTAATTTACAAATATACTCCTTAAATATATGTATTCCTTACTTGTGTATAACGACATAAAAAATGTCTTAAATTTTTTTCGGTAAACAATTTTTCATTTTTTTTAGCGCTACCATCCGTCAGACAGGAAACGTTGTTCCTCAATCCTTTTCTGGACCGCAACGAGTTATACGAGGATTACCTTTCCAACGATACCTTCGATTTGTCGACTATTGATTACCTGTATGAAGATTCGCAGACGAATAGCAACGAGTCTTATTACGAGAGACAAGATAATCGAAGCGTGGATGATAGTAGAACGTATGATTACAAAAATTTCACTCCGATTGCCAATTTTCTCACCGATTCGACGATCGCTGAAGATTTCTATACAACTTCTACTTTGTCCCAGGCTAAAACTCCGACATCGACAGAAACCAGCACGGCGGAAGGTACAAATCTATTTTAAAATATTATTAAATTGTGAATTATAATTAAACTATTATAATAATTCAACTACTATAATAATTAAACTTCTCAGACAATTATATAATAATTTTAAATAATATAATGTAATTAAATTGTAAATTATAATTAAACTATTATATTTATTGAAAATTTATTATATAATATCGTCTGAAAATAAATTTTTTTCGACTTTAATTGTCATATGTCGATAATAAATCATTAATCATGCATAAAAAAATTGACGACAAATAATAAATCGCATTCGTAGATTCATCAGAGATCACTGACGATTTTACCGAAAAAACAATTTCTTCGTCGTCTCCAGACGAGATGTCATCTACTGAAAAAATCAGCGTATCTGCGACGGTAGAAGTCACACCTAAAACAAATACTATTAGTTTGGAAAATAGTCTTCCTACTTTGCGGTCGAATGATCCGTCCTCGAGAGAAAATTATCCAGTGAAATGCTTCGTAAAAACCTGCAATGTTACGTCGCAGAAGAATTTGAGTAAACATTTTTTCCTCAAATCTGTAACTCTTTCACTGTTCTCCAATGTATTCTCGGTATAGTTTTTTACGTTTATATACTCAATGTTCCAGTCCCATCCTTGGAGCAGTTAGATCCAAAGATTCGCAGAAAAGTACGTCGATTGTGCTGGGAAACCATGTTCGGCCAGGAACTAGCCAAACTCACCGTCATGGACTTGGTAAGGCACATAAAAGAAAGCAAAATGCAAAAAATTACACAAAGCGCACCTTATTAAAGTTTTGACTTAATTTGTCGCATCTATCGATTCCAATATTTTGATCAAGAATATAGAATAAAAAGGCTTCGGTTCATCTTCAGCACTTTTTCTCAGGTACTCACCACATTAACCACTCTCTGTATGGATTTCCTCCGCGCCGTTTTCGTACGTTACATGAACAACTGCTGGTGCTGGGACCTGGAGAAGCAATTTCCGCAATACGGCGACTTCAAAATCGCCGAGAACATACTTCACCTGGTGTACAACCAGGGCATGGTTTGGATGGGCATGTTCTTCAGTCCAGGTCTGACGGTTCTGAACCTTCTCAAACTTGGCATCCTGATGTACCTACGTTCCTGGATAGTTCTCACATGTAATGTACCACATGAGGTAGTCTTCCGAGCCTCCAGGTCAGTTTTGAGTCGCAACGCATTATTCTCGTGAAGCTACGCTTTTAAACAATTTATACATATTAATTCTAAATAAACTAAATTATATAGAATTAAAAATATCATACTGCACTGTCCTGTTACCTTTTATCGATTGTCTTACGCATCTCTATGCCTGTCTAAATCACAGATCCAACAATTTCTACTTTACTCTTCTACTGACCATGCTGTTCTTGTGCGTGTTGCCTGTCGGTTACGCGATAGTCTGGGTCGAACCTTCATGGCATTGCGGTCCGTTCTCCGGTTACCCAAGGATCTATAGTTTAGTCACGCACACCTTGATAAATTCGCTTCCGGAGATGATTCAACGGTGCGTCTTTGTTCTTCTTATTTAAGGCATTTAACTATATATCGCTTTTTTACATATCAGATAATTTTGTAATAACAAAATTATGTAACTTGAAGATATACAATATAATCGATCATTGAATTCATCCTCGTTTTTAGGTGTCTCGAATACGTCACATCTCCTGGTACAATAATACCACTAATCGTCCTGATGATGCTAATTATTTATTACATGGTGTCTCTCGCTGGATCTTTGCGAGAAGCGAATAACGACTTAAAGGTAACACTCAAGAAAGTATTTATATAACCGAATACGTCATATGTTATATCTCGACTTTCGAAACCAGATTGTATATAATGGAACTAACGTTGGAATAGACTTAGAAACTGTCATTGTTCTAGATGCAACTAAGACACGAGCGTACAGAGGAACGTCGTAAACTGTTCAAAATAGCCGAAAAGAGGCAAAACGTGGCCGAAGCTCCGTTATCGACGAGGTGGAAGAAGCTTCTGCCGGCTTTGCCGCAGGCCAGAGTAACGGAATTGTCTCGAAATTCGGAGATAACGCAAAGAGACGACGTGCAGATCGCTATCGGGAACTCGAGCGACACGACGGAAGGCAAAGGGTTGACGAACAAGGATATCGACAATGATTCGTCGCGTCGCGAGCAAATATTATCCAATAACGAGAAACAAATTCAAGAGGAGAATGATTCGGGACTGAATGGTACATCTTCTAATAAGAGGTACGATATTTCTAAGATTATGCAAAAATATTTATGTGAGCTTTCAAGCCTTTTTCTACATCGAGTTTCAAATTAATGATGTATTTAAAAATGTCAGTACACGTGTTAAAAATTCGTGTATTGATTATAATCGATATATCGTCGAGTTATAAATGATTTCCTCCACCAAACAGGTCCTTTGTCGGATATTCGTGGGACTCGCAATCGAGTGAACAGAGTGTTATACCGGAAATTCAATTAAACAACGAATTGAGCAACGTAACCGAAGATTGCGATCAAGAAACAACTTAGTACTTAAATTGAATACTAATAAAAATGTAAATGATAGTCAACTGTTTTTCTTTCATCGCCTTATTTATATAAAAATCTATTCAATTTTCGAAATCCTTCTCCGTTTGAGTATTGGAGAAACATTTCGAAAATTATATCCGTGGGATAATATCCGTGTTATACTCTATTGCACTATCGCTTATATAGATATACCTTATTAGAGATTCTCGGTTATTACATTTAATTCTATACAAACGTGATAAAATAACTATAAATATTTATAAACAATTGTCAATTGTGCTGATAACAATGTGTTAGGAGTTATTTCTAAATCGAGATGGATCCTTAAAACACAGTGTGTGTACATACAAAAGTCACATTTCGATTGAGCATTGGCACGTTCTTATAAATAATACTTATTTTATCATGTACTATATATTACACATTACGCACACATATAATTCGAGATATTTATAACACTGAGTTATTCGAAAATTAATTATATCTTACATTACATTTTCCCGCGCACATACGATTAATTTCACATTACAATGAGCTAATTGCACATCCTCATTATCTCAAAATACATGACGTCTATTATAAAAGAGAGGATGTTGCGATAACAAGAGATATAAACAATAATTGTACGACTAAAAAATTATGTTATTGCAACGTTCGCGTTATCTTTGCACTTGGATATCTTTTTCTCTGTCTCCGCCTGAGACTTTTATTACACCGGATCTTTAATCGCAATTCGCGATATATACATATGCGATAAAAAATATATTCTTTAGCATTTTCGCGCCAAGCGTTTACGCTGCTCGTCTAGAAGTATCGAAGCTTCGCTCATAATTTTAGCAGTGGTCCTAACTAAGAACAATAACTGATATTCGTCTATAACGGTCAGAGCTGCCTTCGTCTTGACAAGGGCGTGAAGAACGTTTGCTCTCTCAAGGTCGAGCCATCGTTGAAGTGCTCCTTCTCTTTCCCGTGGACCACCAAGGGGCACGTCGGCCGGACCCCACAAGGAAAATTCCAGGATAGATTTTACCTTTAATTACCGCGCATCAATTAATTTTACACTCGAGTCTATCGATAGGATTAAGTAGACATATAAGAAACAATAATTGTAGATAAAAAAAGATTAATTAAATAAATCTTAATAATTCATAAAATAATAATAAAATTAATAATTAATAAAATAATAATAAAATTAATAATTAATAAAACAATAATAAAATTAATAATTAATAAAATAATAATAAAATTCATAATTAATAAAATAATAATAAAATTAATAATTAATAAAACAATAATAAAATTAATAATTAATAAAATAATAATAAAATTAATAATTCATAAAATAATAATAAAATTAATAATTCATAAAACAATAATAAAATTAATAATTCATAAAATAAAATATTTAATTAAATAAATAAATTTATAACTGAATTGAAGAACTTTTCTATATATACAAACTCTCTAGCCGTGTCTGAAATAGGACGAGAATCGGAGTTCTCACCTGAGATAAGGTGACCGCTTTTTCGCGTATCAGTAAATCCTGTATGAGAGGCAATTCGTTCGTCAGATGCAACTGCCGAAGTGCTATCAGAGCGCATTCGCATAGAGAAACTCGTTCCTCCCCAGGTTCGTCGCCAGGATCTATGTTCAGCCTCCTGTAAAACGGAATATGTTATAAATGAAGATTATCAAGTTGTCGTCACGCGAGAAAGCATACTAAACTAACTGACCCTTGCAAAAGATAGAGTCGATAGTAAACGTCCTCTCTGCAGAGTATAACATCGTTCAGGGATCCGTTGACGTCCTCGATCCCGCGCGCCTGGAGACTCTTCAGCGCATTCACCAGCTGAAGAAGCACGAACGACGCCTCCCGGTTTGCACCTTCGTTGCTCATGTCCTTCAACATCGCGCCGAGCGATCGTACAGTGGTCACGTGTAGACAGGGAAGGACCGAAATCGTCGCTGAAATTACGAGAGAATTGTCAGAATTAAATTATTATTAAATATCCAAATTTTTTTCTCACTACAGAAATATAAAGCATGCGTTACCTTCAACATCTTCTTGAACGGCCGGTCGAATCTTGTCGATCATCTCCTTCGGCGCTCTATCTACGAATTCTATTATAGGTGTCAGATAAAAATCCTTTTGCGGCATAGGCACAGCTAGATCGAACGTCATGCAGAGGGTGACGTTTTGATCGTTCCATGTTGCCGGGCAAAATATCCTCCTGCCGATGGAAATTGATGATGCAATGTCGATGTTGAAGTGCTTCAACTGTGGACGAGCGTTCTTCAGAGCACGCAAGCCTATCGGTAACTGAACAGCTTGATTTTCCTGAAAAAAATATTAGAACAAATTAGAGATAATTATATCACATTTATTTTTAAAGAATTAAATTATTTTTAAGTAATATAATTGATAAAAATCTTTCATTCATGATGACTAATTTTTTAATGATTAATTGTTTTTAAATTTTTAGCGAAGATTGCAGGATATAAAGCTTTATCTGGAAGTCAAGGATAATAAAAAAATCTTTGCATAAAACTTGATTTTTGACTCAAATATTTTGGATTTATTCTTTTCAAACTAGTTAGTAGCAACAATAAATAAGACTTGATATATACCTGTTCGAGAAATTGAGCGAGCGCTTCGTGATTCGCGACAACCACCGCACCATAATTATCCTCCAGACTTCGATGAACGATGGTGCGTCCTCTGCGTTGTCTTAAGCGACCCATTCGTGACCCTTCATCGTCCTTCCAATCCTGATCCTCCTCCGCACCCTTCAATAGTTTTTCAATTTAATAATTTTATCTTTATGAACTCTAAGTGATAACTTTTAAAACCCGGACGTACATACCTCGTCGCCAGTGTAAAAGGTGTACGGTGCGTAAAGCTCGCTTTCAGTCTCACTGCCGCAATAAGGCAAGGAGGTCGATCTCATGAATGGCTGATGATGATGAACCTTCGGCTCTCCGCCCATCACGTTACTGTCAGACTTCCTCTTGCAGGCGCCGCGAAATCCGTCACCACGTCCGTTCGAACCATGACGTAGTTCCAGATTCGAATCGCACTCGGGAGAACTCGAGAGACACTCGTACACGTGGCTGTCGTTGGATGTCTGTTCAATTTATAACAATTAATAATTAATCTTAATATATAATTTTTTTAATATTATATTTTATATTAAATATTAATATTATATATTAAATATATTGATCTATAGTATAATATAATATTTATAATACAGTGTTCCATAGGAAATTACTGAAACTAATCAGCTGTCATTTTTTAATTCATGCAGTTATTGAGAAAACAAATTGTATTGAAAAGAGGAAAGTCTACAGTTTTTAATGAATATAAATAAAATGTTTGTATATCAGTTTATTTTATTGAAAAAAAGTAATGAAAAAAGTGCTAAAAATCACATAAAATTACATAAACTAATGATAAATATTTGCGAAGATAAAAAATCAACTGCAAATTGGCTAGAAATTCTACTACACATCCTCACGTTTGAAGGGATAAAAATCTGAATGAAATGAACAGGAGGGCCTCTCACCGGCGAGTCGGAAGTGGATCTTACGGCCGCGAGTCCGACGTCGTAATCCCGATGTTGATTCACTCCCTGGGTCGACGTAATGTTATCGCTATGCGTCCTCCTAGGGACGGGCTGGGCGACGGCCTGGTCCCTCATGCTGGCGGTTCGCTGCGGTTTCGAAGGTGCCAGGGCGCTGCGTACCTGACCTGTAACATCCTCCGCTGCTGCAGGCACACGTCCGCCATTCATCAAGCGCCACGGGTTAGTTACCACAAGACACAGGCATGTCAGACGAAACGGACTAGCTAATCTAGAGACCAACTAAGTTCTCGCAACGCTTGTGTAGACATGTCTCCATACATATGTCGCGTACGAAATTAATGCAACGACGAACATTTAGTTAGTTCACCCATCGCGACTAGTGCTAAACAATTTTTTTTATTCAGTTTTCAACACCTAGCTAATTTATCTATTTATCTATTTACGTATCTTATTCATTAGACAAGTCGTTCTCTTAACAAATCCGATGAAAGCGTATCGAAAATTCCAGCCAGTTCTAAGTTCACAATCTAGTCTCTAAATAAATCCATTATATCTCGTACAATTATTTATTCTAGCAGTACAACAACTCGTATTAAGTATTCCAGCATTCGCAAATTATTCTGCCATTAAAATAGCCAGGTAGCTGAATACATTCGAGTGTACTAAATTAATTCAAGCATCGGCAGCATTAAATGTAAATCGCAAAGGGATATATCTTTCGCAACTTGTCGCTCGATGACGCCCTATACGGTATACAAAATGTTTACAAAGCGGAAATGGGATTCTTCTCGCAAGCGTACGTCGCCCAACTCTCAACTTATTAACTTAAACTCTAAAGGATGTATGCGATGCGATCGCAATGAATCGTGCAATTGCATGCGGCGTTAGTTGCACCCAGCTTCGGTTAGAGGATTCCCTCGAGTTGACAAGCAACGTCGTACGCACCGTTAACTATTGCAAAATGAGAGAGAGAGAGAAAGAGAAAAAGAAAAAAACGGAGAGAGACGTAAGTATCCGGAATGCAAGCGCGGTTTCACGCTTGAGCGGAGCCGCGCGTTTATGCGCTCATTAAACTTTATTCGCGTTAATGAGGAGGAAGGAAGAATGGGGGGAAGACCACAGATGCGAGGGTGCAACGAACAAGCCACAGCATCAGGGGGAAGAGAGGAATACGTGTTCGTAGACGATCAAACAAGAGAGACTTCAATGATCGAAAGAGAACAAGACTCCCTGATTTTTTTTTTATATATAATATATGTATTTATTTCGGAACACAAAAATGTTTTTTAATCTCTTACACAACTTTCGCCTTCTTGACAGAGCGAACTTTTACAAAACAGCATCTTTTATATCGATATAGGTATAGATATATAACACAAGTAGCGCATATATATTTAACCAGCCATTCTCAAACATTTTTATCGTCATCTTATAGATGGATAAATTATCTGCTTTGCAAAAAAACATTAAAACAACTGTATCTCGATCTATGTTTGCTCGATATTATATTATATGAAACTATAGCAATGCTTGATAGTCGAATCTCGTCCAAAGAAATAAAAAAATCAGTTTCAATAGAATATAAAAAAAAAACATCATTATATCGACAACACATCTATCACAGAGTATCGTATAACTTTTCAAGAATGATTTAATGCTTCCTCAAAGTTCTGAGAAACCTGTATACATAAAGTTCTGTATTTTGTAATGATATAAAAATTCGAAGAATATATTTTATATATCATATGTTTCTCTCCTCAAATTCTATATAACTCAAAAATTACTTCACTCTTAATCCCTACAACTTTACTCGCAGAATCTGATTAAATTGCGATTCTAATTAAGCGAAGGATTATATGCGTCCTCCCCGAAGATGCGAAGAGTCAAGTGGCGATCATCCACGAGTATGGATCACGTGGCTCGATCGCTGTACCCGCGCAAGAGCAAAAGAGCGACGTCTCTCTCGTTTTAAGAAGCGACTGGCGCGCGTGGGTCCGTGTGAGTATGGCTGTTAACATCGAGAATGATCGACCGCGGGGGCGGCGATTGTGCTCAGTTGCACTGTATGGGCCGAAACTTACCCAGATTCGCGTAAATCGAGTCCGAGGTCGTCGCGCTCGTCGGCCTCCACGTGGCTTTCGAAGATATCTTGTCGCTCCTGCTCGGAGAAGCGACGCCCGTTTTCGCTTCCGGCCGAAGCGGAGGCGGTCTCATCGGCTTGTTCGCCGGTTCCGACCTGGACCAATCCTCCAGAGACTGATTCCTTGGCGGCGGCGGCGGTTTTCCGGGTCTCGCTGTGAGAAGAGACAATTTAGCGAGAGAGAAGAGAAGAATTTTTTTATTCAAATACAACTTCAAATATGAAAGGGCTAGTAAGAGCCAGGCATCGATATCAGATGCAACAAGATTATTTTGAAATCTTCTCTAATTATTTTAAACATTTCGGTTCTTTCTTTAGATCATCTTCAACATATCAATTAATAAAAAATTCATATCACAAGCGAAGACAAGAACAAGGGACAAATTATTCTGTCTCCGCAATACAATACATCAAATAGTACTCAACATATCTAGAAAAAAATGTGGATTTATACACGTGAAATTTTTTTGCTAATTGATATGCTGATGGTTCAAAGCAAGGATTTTTGTCATACTTAAGTTCAGAGTCTTTTTGATTTATTATTCTCTTTTATTCAGATTGCAAAGGATTCTGCATGCTTACCCGCCGCTGAAGGTGGAGGAAGCCGCGTCGCCGTCTTCGAGCTGTCATTCTTCGCGCCGCAGGAATCCGTCTGATCCTCGCCGACGATCCTGGAGACGACTCTGTCGCTCCCTACTACCACTTCGACCGCAGCCCCGTCCAACTCTAGCGGATGGATTATCTCCAATCGCGGTTTTGGTTGCGGTGTCGATGGTATCTCGTCGCTCTTCCCGTTCTGACCGACCACGACGTCCATGTCCTTCCTCGAGCCCATTCTCAGGAAACGCTTCAAGGAGAAGCCTTTACGGTTTCTACCTCTCTTCTTCTCCTCCCGCACCTCCTTCTCGCTCGTCAGACTGTCCTGCGACAAGGATATCGTTCTTCTAGGTGTGGACTCGACCGGTTGCTTAGCGTCCGTCGTTCCGTTCGTGGGATCTGGCAGATCGGAGACCGCCTTGCGGAACTTGGGACTGCACGAGGACGATCTCTCTCTCTTCTCCTTCTCGCGAACGACCGGCGAGTCAGATTTGAGATTCGCCCCTGGATTCCTGGCGAATAGAGAGGAAACCGCTGGAGAATCCTCCGTGGACTCTGGCGGTCGAGGAGCCATCCGTCTCTTGTTCGGTGAACGTATCAATTCCATAGTGGAAACGGAAACGGGAGTGATCTCCGGAAACTCCTCGTCCGGCGTGACATTTTCGTTCTCTAGCTCGACGTTATTCGAAGGATTGCTTGGATCCGGTGTTGTAATTAAGGAAGTGGATAACGGTGGAAGAGCAGACTTGAATGGCATTTTTGTTGGAATTTCCGGCTCCGAGTTTTGTTGAGTTGTAACCGAGAAAACCTGATCAGTCTCCGACGACGGCGTCTCGTTCGAGGTGTCCTTTTTCACTGAACGTCGCGAATTTATGTCTTGCGAACCTAGAGAAAGATCGTAATAATATAAAAAAATGAGTGAAGGAAATTTTCCATGTCTAATCTTTTTCTAAAAATTATGATAGATTTTTAAAAAATCGTCAGATTTTTTTTTAATTCCTCAAATGAAAGGACGTATATTTTAATTAATTGTTCGATAAATTAATTTTTTTAGTTTTATACATTGATGATAGAATGAAATGCATTGACAGAAGGATTTTTTTAATGTCTAAAATATTCAAAACGCCGTCAGATCAAGTCTAACCTAAACCAAAAGTGTACTTATTTTTTAACGATTTTCTTACCTAAATTCTGAGCAGATCTACCGGTGACGTTTTGCACCGATGGCGGTGGCAGCACGTAATCATTAGGAATTCTTTTCGCGCTGAGCGGGCCTTCATTTAAGCTCGCCTTCATAGAAAAGGTCGCGGGTTTCTGCGGCACGGCGGGTTTCACTCTTGTGTCGTTATTAACATTATTGCCGTGTAAGAAGGAGGTCCTCGGTTCCGTAGAAATCACGCTCGGCGGCGGACTCGTCGGCAACGCCGGAGGTTCCTCTGTGACTTCCTCTTCGTTCGCTCTGCCATCCGGTTCTCCGGCAAATTCTCGGCTGTACTCGGAAGCGAGTCGCTGCTTATCCTTCGAGACATCTCCGACGATTCCTGAAGAAACCTGGTCGGTTGTCTTGTCGTTAACGTTGCTCAGCGAACCATCGTTCTCCGGAGTTTCCTGATTCTTCAGAGGCGTCAGAATGAGCTCAATTCCCTCTTCTTTTTCTCGTTCTTCTTCTTCTTCTTCTTCTTTCTTCTCGCCGTCTCGTCTCAGATTCTTCGTCGTCGTTCTCTTTGCATTCTCGCTTTCTTTTACGCCGCTTGACTGCATGGTTATCCTTGACGACGTCTGGGCTTCAGTCTTTTTTATCGTTGAAACGCCGCTGTCGAGGGAACCGTTTACAGCGTTTCTCTTGTCGAGCTTACAAGCGGACGAGTACTTTTGCGCCGCAGTTTCCATAGATGTTTTCACCGCGTCGACGTTGATGGTGTCCATTTCCTTCCTCATGACTGTGATCATATTGGAAGAGGTGATCAACGGCATATCTATTATCTTTCCTAGTTCAGGAGAAGACTTTTGTTCGTCCGCCTTTTTCCGGTCCACCCCATTGAGTTTCTTCGCGGCCTTTAACATTAAAGTTGTTCATTAAAAAATATTTTATTTCTTAAAATTATTTGTAATATTTCTTTGCAACACCGTTTTACATATACAGAATCTTCATATTAAATATAATATAATTGAGTATAGATAATATCTCATTTAATTTATATGACGAAACTCAAAATAGTTAATCAAGGCGGTTTTTTAATTGAATAAATAATTAAAATATTTTTACACACTATCATTTTTATAAAATTATTTAGAATTTTTATTTTAATACTCAATTCTAATTTTTTGTCATCTTTATCCTAATAATATAATTCATTCATCTTAATTTATATTTATATCAATATATATAATATAATATCTATATAATAATTTTTTTTTCATTTAAATCTAAAACTTAATTCAACTTATATTTTTAATAATTTTATTTTCTTAAAAAATGTATTTATATTATCAGTCTTTCCTCATCAATATTATGTGCAATTTTAATTTACATTTACATTCAAAATTTTTAATTCTTTCATAAAAAAAATTACAATTTATTACTTTAACCGGATTAAAAAATTTTAAATTTATAAATAAATTATTCTAAAGATATCGGAGTTCTCCACTCACTTCGGCAATATTATCCGGTGTTCCTCCGTCGGCGGATTTGCATCTGAGCGGACTGGGCTGCAAGTTGATCTTCCGATCGACGGGTCTCTTGGCAGTGGGTACGGCTTCGTCTCCGCCAAAGGGTGTCACGGACACCAAAAGGGTCGTCTTTTTGCCTTCGGCGTCTCTTTGTACTTTTCCCAGCATCAGAGACGCGAAGGACTTGACGGGCGTCGTCGTCGTCGACGACGACGAGGACGACGACTTGGTCGCGTCGCCGTCCACGACGCTGTCCGTCAGGTTCGCGCTGATCGTGTTGAAGTTCGTGTTGGCGCGCGTCAGATCGAACAGGGCGCGCTCTTCTTCGCTGTCCGGCACCAGGTCCTCCGCCTTCGCGTCCACCTTACCTGGGTCCCGCTCCTCCTCGGCGTCGGAGAAATCATCGCCGCCGTAACCGATCACCTCCGTCAGGGACTCCGGGAAGCCGACGTTCTTCTTCCGCTGGTCCTTCCGGCAAATCGTCTTACCGCGGAGGATACTCTGAAACGATGGACCTTGTTATGACGAATCTTCGTGATCGTTAATTGGACGTAATTACGATAGTAATGCTGTCTTCGTGTAAAGTATTGAATAAGTACTTAATATTACATAAATGAACTTTTCAGATAAAATATTTATTATATATATAAATTACAATTCATAATAATTAAATATTTATATTTACAATTGTAATTATGATTAAATTAACCATATAATAATAATTAAAATTGAAATTATGAAAATATGTAATTATTATTATATGGTTAATTGAATTATAATTACAATTATAAATATAAATATTTAATTGTTATAAATTATAATTATAATTAAAATAATGTTCCTTTAATTTCCACATGGCAAGTGTTATATGTAAATCGAGAGGAGTAAAAGATAAAAATTGTGAATTGCATGAAAAAATACATAAATATCACAAAATATAAACAAGAGACCTATTGAGGACAATTTATGCACTTGACTTAATTAAAAAAATGTAGATAAAATTTCTTTATATTATATAATAAATATCTATGTTAAGATATAAAACGAGCCGGTACCTGTACCTGAAGATGACCGATCTTCAGGTTCGTAGAAGCCTTTTCGACGTTCAGTCGCAGGATATCATCGGTCGCCGCGTGTTCCTCCCTCGGCTTGAAACAATTCGAACAGAGCTCCTTCTTCCAGGCATTTTGCACGAAGCGATTGCATTGTGTGGACATTGTTGCCTCACCCACAGCGACAGCGAAAGTCCCGTTACATCATCACCCTGGAAATAGTAATCGTTCGATTCTCTCTCTCTTTGGACCGGTGCGCGACGATCGACGCGGTGCATTGCGGCTAAAGAACGTGATAGTGCACGAAAGGCTACTTAGTTCCGGATCACGAGAGATTGCGAGAGTTGCACTTGCGAAATATATCTAACAATTGCTTGTTTCATCAAGACTTTTTTTTAAGGAGAAAATAATTTTTATAATTGATTTATATTTACTGCAGCGAGAGAATTTTCTCTTAGAATTTATCCTGAAAATCATATTAATTGTGGAAGAATTTTTGTAAGTTTCTCTGATTAATATACTTATTACAATAAAAAATATGTTAATATCTATCACAATAAAATATAAAATATGTTCGATTAATTTTATTAAAATGTTTAAGTAGTGTTAATCAAAAAAACTCTAATAAAACATTTTTGAGAGTGAAAATAGTTTCTATAATTGATTTGCATTTACTGCATAGAGAGAATGTTCTCTTAGAATTTATCCTGAAAATCATGAGAACTATGTGGAAGAATTTTATAAGAGTTTCTCTGATTAATATTTACAACAAAACAATAAAAAAATGTTAATATCTATCACAATAAAATATAAAATAAATTCGATTAATTTTATTAAAATGTATAGTAAATGTATAGTAAATATTAATCAGAAAAACTCTTATAAAATTCTTCCAATACCATATATTGTCCCACGATTACCATGATTTTCAGGGTAAATTCTAAGAGAAAATCTATTATTTCATATAATATATATAATATAAAATATAATTACATATTTGTATTAAATTATACAAAATTTATGCTCAAATTTTGAACGTCATTACCATGGAAAATTAATCGAATATTTGGCTAAAGCTTCTTAAAGCTCGCTCGCTCGCTCGATGAAGCTCGATGAAGTTTCATCAACGAGCGATTATGTTAGATGGAGGACATTAAAATCCAAACGAAACGAGTGAGTACATTTTCCTGTCCGCAGCCTCGACTAGCGCGATGGCCATTGCGAATACAATCGGGACAATTGACTGGAGCTGCCCGGCCAGCTGAGTAATTGCCTCACTTCCGGTCCCGGTTTTATGTGCAACAGCAACAGGGCCCCTGGCCCGTCATTAACAAGCAATATTGTGTAAAAAATAATACTGTATGCCATCACGAATCTTTCTTTCCACGAACGGCTTCCGGCATAAACTTTGCGTAAAGACGGAATTGATTTCGCGTACACAGAGAGAATTTTCTCTTATTATTAGACTTTACCCTAAAAATCATGATAAACGTGGGACAATATATGGTATTGGAAGAATTTTATAAGAGTTTCTCTCATTAATATTTATCACAATAAAAAATATTAATAATGTACATGTAGAGTAAAATTAATCGAACACATATTTTATATCTTATTGTGATAGATATTAATATTTTTATTGTGGTAAATATTAATCAGAGAAACTCTTATGAAATTCTTCCAATATCATATATTGTCCCACAATTGATATTCAGGATAAATTCTAAGAGAAAATTCTTTCCATGTATTTATTTTATATACCTACTTCTTCCGTGTCACTTCCGTTTTTAATTTCGAAGCTTAATTCGTAAAAAGAACACTGTTTACTTTCCTCAATCATTTATAATCTCGGTAAATTATCATTTATTTACGGTAATGGGTGAAAACGGGTTTCAAAAGATTCTTATATAAATCACGTCGTTCAGATCTAACATATAATGTTCACTAATTAAGTTTAGGAGAGTATGGTACTTTATATCGATGTTTCCATTCAAGCGCCAAGGTTTATTATGCAATGACCTTTCCGAAACTTCCTGTTTCAGAGCCCCGCGCTATATATATAATATATATATTAAAAACTATTTTGATATATATATTTAATATATTTTATATTTTTAATATATTTAATATATTTTAATATACTATACTATTCTATTACAATTAGAAATTCTCTTTTATAAACAATAAAAAGTATAAACACAAAATATTTAATATATGTCCTGTAATTATAATATAAATCCTCTACTGTTTTGTGATTTTTATAATAATTGATGAGAAATTAATTAAAATATGTTATATTTAATTTAATTTATATTTTTATAAGTTCAATTATAACAAAATAATATTTAGTCGAAAGGTTTAGTCATTTAGGTCAAGTTAACACATTTTTTTCAGTGTATATATTTTAATTAATTTCTCATCAATTATTATAAAAATTATCATAAAAATCACAAAACAGTAGAGGATTTATTTCTCATCAATTATTATAATAATTTTTATAATAATGGATAAGAAATTAATTAAAATATATACACTGGAAGGAGGATTTATATTATAAATCCTCTACTGGATTTTGTGATTTTTATAATAATTTTTATAATAATTGATGAGAAATTAATTAAAATATATACACTAAAAAAAAATGTGTTAACTTGACTAAACCTTTCGACTAAATATTATTTTGTTATAATTGAACTTATAAAAATATAAATTAAATTAAATATAACATATTTTAATTAATTTCTCATCAATTATGATTAAATACAGGACAAGTTAACGCATTTTGTTTCAGTGTACTAAGTCTAGAAGAGTATGGTACTTTATATCGATGTTTCCATTCAAGCGCCAAGGTTAATTATCTAATGACCTTCCCGAAACTTCCTGTCTCAGCCCCGCCGCGGAAGCTGCGAATATCCATCCATCATCGCGTTCTCAGGGAAAACGTGGACGAAGAGGACGTCCCATTAGCATGCGGGACTCGCGAATAGGCACTCTCGCAGACCAGGATGTACCGAGGTACCGTTGGCAATCTCGTTGATCCGTTACGTCTCTCGCGTTCTTGTCCGGAAGGCTCTCTCGCGCGCGTGAAAAGTGTCCGCGTCGCGGTCGCTTAAAGATCGAGGATGAAGAGAACGTGTTTCACGGCTGGATGGTGAAATTTGAATTCCACGCAGCTGCCGACAAAACTGGAGAAGGAATTTTTCCAGCCGCGGAGCACCACAAAAAGGACCGGTTTTACGAAAGGAATTTCCAGCGTCAACGTAAAGCAATGACGGAATCGAGATATCGAAGATAATTCTCGCGCGAGAATGACAAAAATTTGAAAAATTATTCTTAGCACTTCGGATTTGGAGGCGAGAGTCGGAGAAATTTATCCTGTTTAGGAATTTCGTTTATCTTTGAAAAGGAAATGCATTTTTGACAGAGCTACTTTCGATTTCTTTTTAATTCTATGAGAAATGCTTATTTTTGCAAAAAATACTTATTTTTTTTATATACTTCAAGAACAAAAAAAAATATTTCTTGGAGAAAGATTATACATTTCTAATTAAATACCTTTTTAAAATTAAAAGTTAAAAATCTATTTTTTATTTTTTGAAGATTTTTGAAATTTGATGTCAGAATTAAAACGTCTAATCTATCGCTACAAATAATGTTGTTGCACATAATTTAATTACGTATAATGAAGAGATAGAAATAATATGAAACCGCGCATGTAATTTTCGTATATATAATTTTTGAAATTAAATTTCAATTTAATTCCAATGATTAATTACATTTCTCCATAAAATTATTTATGAAATATCTTTCAAATATTGTCAATGATGAAACACATGTAATTTCCAGCTTACATCTTAGAAAAATTAAATTATACGTTGTATAATTAAACGAAGATAGCGAACTGCGATTTCAATCTGTTACAAAATTACAATGTTTAAGTAACAGAATGAATCCCGTGTGCCATCTCCATCTTGCGTGCAGAATTCTACGTAATAATTAGGACGCTTTTATTTTACTCTAAAACCGGAAAATCATGTTGGGACACATAAATCTCTCACGCGGCGACTCCTCAGTAACCGCGGATCTAGCAATGCAACTTTGCAATCATTACAAATTAACGGTTGCTACATAACTATATATGCAACATATCGTCGCATAGCGGTCGCTGTATTGCGGTTTATTATAAATTCACTCCCCTATATAACTGTGCACGCCGCGACTGACTGTGTGTAATCCCTTTACATTACGTGTATGCAAAACGAATCGTCCACAAAGTTTCTTTCTTCGAAGCACACGAAGAGACTCAACAGACGCGGAGGCGGACCTCTCGCCGTCTGACTTCTCATTCCATTGAGATGACGTGCAGCGACGAGACGCGACACGCCAAAGCAAGGGCGAGGCCAATGAATTTTACGTGTCACGATATACTCGACCGAGCCCTAATGTCTGCCTTTACGAATGCAGAAATAAGTGCGAGTCACGACCCACGATTTATTATTTTTTCCGTCAACAAATCTCAATCAGGGTATCCAGCAGACTCAATGAACAAAATTCCCTGACTTTTTCAGATTTTCCAAGACGAGAAATTTAGTTTTTCCCGGACTGTTTAGTATTATTTCTTACAATCATATAATATATATATAATTTGCATATATCTATATAATAAATGAATTAAATGTTAAATCATGAAATTCTCGAGATATTTTTGTCAACAATGAAAAGATTCGGAAGTTGAAACAAAAATTTAAATCAATTATACAATCTGCATTATGTACGATAAACTAATTAAATAATCACCTTTTTTATTTATATTATATATAATTTTTTAGTTTTGTCTCTATCAAACACATTGAAATAAAATAACACAACGATGAAAATATAAATTAAGGAACACGCTGTCAAGAAAAAGTTTCTATTTATTTAATAAAAAATTTGAAATTATTGAGACAAATGTAGAATAATGTGAAAAATTCAGATAAATAATAAAATTTCCCGACTTTTCACTGTGAAGATTCCAGATTTATAAAATTCCCTGACCAGTTTTCCAGATTTCCCTGACTGCTAGACACCCTGTCAATTATTCTACACCAAGAGAATTTTCTCTTGGAATTTACTCTGAAAATCATACAGTAATTATAGGACAAATGGTAATTAATTAAATATTAATCAGAAAAACTTTTATGAAATTCTTCCAATATCATATTGTCCTGTG